AAAAGAGAAGAGAATTTGGATTTTCCAGTTAGGAAATATTAATTTGCAAACATACAACAACAGTCCTGGTTAGATTGTAACATAAATAACATATATTGATTCCAGTTAGGAAATTTATTTGCAAACATACAACAACAGTCTGTTAGATGTAACATAAATAACATAATAATCATTGTATCTATATAAAGATAGGAAGATTCTCATCATTACTAATAAGACATTACTACTTACAGGCTAGGACCATTCTCATCATGACCAGCTATGAGAAGTGACACACCAAACGGACGAGACTGCAAAAAAATAACATCACATACATCAAAAGCATATAATAGGAAGCATAAGATGATATATCCAGGATTTAACATTAATGACTATAAGCAGTGTTGTTTTCAACAAATTTTCATTTGCATAGTGGAAGGAGCAAGTAAAAGGATGCTTTTTTTTTATCTTCCATAATGACAGTAAAAGCATCTGGCAAACAAACTACATGAGAATTGATAGTGCACAAAAGCAATAGCAGCTTAACAATCGATGATAAACAAAGATTTCCAATATCTTTTACAATATTAAAACTTAAAGTAGATAGCTTTTGCCAGAAAGCATGTGGGAAAAGTTCCAGCACTTTCCTTTAGTAACTGCAGAATATCAAAAACATCAATCCAGCAATGGATCTGAAAGATTCATCCATGCAACTGATATAAATTTCAAGAAGACACAGACATCTTTGGCAGGTAGAAGAAAACAGAAGTGAAAAGGGAAAAAAAAAAATGAATTTCTTCAAAGTATCATTTCAATGGCAGATTGACAATGTTAAAATACAATTGAAGATTGTACAATGAATTGTAGTGACTATTTTTAAAGCATCTCCCAAAGAAATGAAAAAAAAGGCAGAAACAAATTATCAGAAGGCAATTATTTTTTCTTTTTTAAAGTGAAAAGTAAACTGCTCTACCATGGATTCTTCATCGCCTTCACCAAATCGTAGAGCGAGATCACAAAGTGCTTGTGTTGTGGACTCCACTGTCATGGGCTCACCATAAGAGAATCTATGGTTCTGAAGAATAAACTTAAGAAATCAATAGAAGTGCCATTCCAAAAAATGTGCAAAGAATGGCATTAAAAACAATGAAAACAGTACCTGAGTTTCCACACGTGCATGCTCAACAAGCGTACGAGCATCTGCAATTAATCCACTCATAGCGCATCCAATATGCTCATCAATTTCCATAACTTTCTCCACACTACTGGGCTCCTGGAAAAGAGTTGAAGAGCAATGATGATAACCGTAAAAATTTCACAACTATGGAACATCAATGTCCATCATCTAGAACCCACATATTAAGATTTAGTAAATTTCTAAAGTCATGCTGAATCCGCAAAATCAAGTTTGAAGCATATAAACATGCACTTCATGAAAATTCTACACGTTTATCAATATTAAAATTGGAGTACTGAATAATTTGTTCAAGAAGGAAGTATCTCCAACAATCGAATATCTAAGAGTAAGACCACAACTTCATTGGACCTTTCTCAATGCATACCACTCATATGATGCAGTAACCTCATGTCACATTCAATCCAATAAGCAATTATCTACAAATGGATTTACATCGTCACAACCATTACAGAATAACTAAAAGCAACACTGGACTTGCACCTTTGGTTGACCAGATTGTGGTTTTGCCACAGTAAAGATGTAAAAAAATTCAACTCATATAATAAAAAGACACCAGGAGAAAGTGGCAAACCAGGAGTGGTGAAGTGATACGCTTCTCAACTGCAAGCACAACACCTTCTTTTGTCTTTATCCCAATTGCAGTTGAACCTAGCTGAAAATATGATAACCACATTATTTTTATTCAAGTAAGCATCTGCTTGACATAGGCAATCCTTTTTTTTCTTTTTTTAAGGTAATAATAAGTAGAACAGTTCTTCCAGTCTGCAATAATGGTAAAAAAGATAAGATCATATCAAGATAGCATCAATCATCAAGTGTCCAATTTATTCAGCTTAATCATTGGGAGTAGGTAATAAGTGTCCAATTTAATCTGTTTGGCCTAATGGTATTAGAGCCCCATGGATTGCCCAGAGATGCTGGGTTCAAAACCTTTACAAGGTGCGGACAAGGAGAAACAAAAGTCCCTTGAGGCTGAATAAAATAAACCGAATAGCCACGGCAGCGAAATGTGGTGAGGAGTAATAAGTGGGATTCTGGGTCTTAGCTGGACAGGTTAATCTGTTCAGCCTAATGCAGGTCATGAGTAAGAGTTCATGACTCATAATTGCTTTTTATGGTTTTGATACGAAATGATTCCACATCTGGCCATGGACCACTCTAGGTTGACCAAGTGTGCACTGTTTTCACGGCTACCAATGTCCCAATCAATAGTATCTATCAGAGTTATTCTACATCCTATGGTGGAGAGCCTCACTTTGGGAGAACGAGGTCATGAGTGAGAGTTCCTAGGATGCCATCCACAACCATGTCCGAGTTTCAAGCTAACAATTTCTTTTCATGGCCCTGATACCAAATGAATCATAGTTCATAAACTTCACTCTAGTATTTTTCCAAAGCCTTGTGTACATAAAAAAACTGCGTGAGGTTTATTGGTTCCTTCAAGATATCTAAGAGGTAGGTTTTTGGTGAAAAATGTTCTTCATTGGTCACCTTGACTTCTAATAGTAGTCAATACACATACTGAATTGATGAAGGAACAATTATCAAGTCCATACTGTTATCCCATTAACGAGTTCTTCAAAACCATAAAGAACGCCAAAAACTTATTTATCCATAGAGTATTATAGCAAATATCACGATTAATCACTACCAATTATACTTGACTCCTAAAATTAACTTTTTAGTGCTCAAAGTAAAAGACAATTGTTTCTAACCCAGTACAAATAATTCCCAGGAAAACCATTTATCAAAAAAAAAAAAAAAAAAAACCAGTACAAATAATTCCCAAGGAAAACGCATTTATCAAAAAAAAAAAAAAAAAAAATGAACAAACTGAAAACAAGACCGAAAAAAAAAAAAAAAAAAAAATGAAACAAACTGAAAACAGACCGTGGTAAAGAAAGATTTTTATCGAGAGAGCAAATAAATGTCGAAACTTTCTAGGGGAACAAAGAGGGGTTTAAGGCGAATTCATATTAGATTACCTTGATTGCTTCGATAGCATATTCAACCTGAAACAATCTACCTTCTGGAGAGAAAGTGTTCACTCCTCTATCATACTCAGTCCTTAAAAAACAGACACAAATCATAAGCTCAAAAACTAAAAACCAAATAAAAAAATGAATTAAAAAAAATTATAAAATCAAAATGAGAGCATTATTTTAAGGGAATTATGAGGTTTACCTTGTGAGAAACATCTTTGCTTGATCTCAATGGCAGATCCTTGCGCGAAAGAGAGAGAAAGGGCAGAGAGTAGGTCTGCTTGCTTCGCGTTTCTTGTGCTTTTGTAGAGGTCTACTTGTTAAACAAGACAGGTAACGTTTCGATTTTTCTTACACTAAGTTTTTGGGCTCATTGCAGGCCTAGATCCGGCCCTATTAGGCCAATTTAGTCCAACGGGCTTAAACGGCATTAACACTCCTTTTCTACCCATACACATTTGTATAGATATAGTGTTTTATCTACCTCAACTCTTTATTTAAACCAACTGATAATTAACTTGACCGTTGGAGGGTCTTAATCATTTATCAAGAAAAGACAAGTCACTAACTAATTTTTGCAGATTGATTGGCAAATTATGCTTTGGAGTTCAAAATTAGTTTCTTTTATATTTCTATCATTTTCTAATCATTTATCAAGAAAGGAAAAACTCATGTGAATTAAGCTTATTAAACCTTTTTAAGAGGAGATTTGTATACATAGCTTGTAAGGACATCCTTCATTAAATTCTCCTAAACACCCATCTAGATTACAGAGTCATCAGCATGACTAGTTCTAGGTCTCCTAGTCAAATTATTATCCCAGCCAATTCAAAGTTTTTGCAGAAATTGGCCCTCTAATTGTCAGGGAACCTCCATACGGCTAGTAATTTATTATGACGCTAACAACTTAATGGAGAATGGTGGAACCTTTGGTTTTGCAGCACCCAGAAGTGGTCCATTGCTTTGACTATTCTTGTTTTGAAATTAAATTTAAACAGGTTACCCATTTTCTTTGATGTGCATGGGTAGTTCTTTGCTTCCTTTTCTTTTCTTTTCTTTAGTATTTGATCTTCAGTGTAGCAAAATTAAAAAAGAATGCATTTTTTGGTTTTGATTAGAAAGAACAGGAGATACAAGCATCTGTCTTTTGTCTCTAGATTATCAAGGATGGTTGTTGCAAGGGAAGCAACCACAAGAAGTATGGCTAGAAATTTGTCGACTAATCATCTTCTTGGATTGTTGACTTGCCCTTTCAATCTGCTCTGTATGTTGCTGGCGAGCAGCAGTTCTCCATTCTTCAGCTTTTCGATGCACAATCGCCATTCTCTTCATCAATTTCTCTTCCAAGTTTGATCTCATCTTCTGTATTTTCACCTGTTTCCATTTCGGAAGCAAACTCAGAACTAATGGAGAGGCAAGAGTGAATGCAAGAAGCAGAAAAGAAAGTGATAAACTAATGCTGCCTTTTTTTAATTATACTTGGGATTATTTTAATCAACATAAACTAAGTACCAATCTTCCAAGCAAGAGAAACCTTAGTTCAAATAAACATTCCAATTCCCAACAAAAATTTTAAATGCTAAATCACATGGGCTTACAAGCTACAACAAAAACCATGGAATTATTTATGTATGAACTTGATGACTTTGTAGCTTTTTTTCGACTTGTTTAAGAGTGAAGCAATTTAACAATATATAGAAATGAGGAAGACACTCCAACTGAGGTGAACCAGTCAAGAAAACAAGACAATTGGTGCTCAAGAGCAGCGAGGCGCTCGAGGTAGTGAATCCATCGATAACCCAGACAAAATCACACTACAGTCAACCTTATAAAGCCATAGATGATAAATATGCACAACTAGACAAGATAAAAACTTAGATCATCTTTACTTTTCAATACTAGAATACGAGCTTTTTCACATGGCTTCCACCAATCCCAACTCTTAGGAATATAGTAAATTACTGGTTTAATAACATTAATCTAATTACAACTTGACATGATAAGATGATTAATTTACCATGGTAGAAGCCAAGAATTAGAATCTAGAATAATATTGGAAAGATACGTATTAAGTTTTTCTATGTGCACATAATCTGTTTTCTTGAATATCCATCGCAAGGGAATGAATGCGCAGACTTTAATGATAGAAAAACTACAGAATGAAGCAAGAAATTAGAGCATCCCAGTGCATGGGATCTCCCACATTGTGAGCTCTGGGGAGAGGTGAGATGCATAGACATTCTATTGCAATGCAAGGACGGCGTTTTTGTGATTTGGACCCTATAAGAATGAAATTAAGTACCTCAAGCTTTCTTGATTGAGCTTCTGCTTTTGCAGTTTGGAGATTCAACCAAGCTTGAATTTTTGCTTCCTCTCTTTGATACCTGTAGCTCAAACAAAACAGACACTAAATTTGTTAAACCAATAGGAATGCTGTGAAAAACAAAGTAAAATATGAACAACTGATTACCTAAGACAGCATTTTGTCTTTTCCTCTTCCTCCCATGCAGCAGCTCTTGAATCAGAAACACTTTTACGGCAAGTGATGCCTGTTTCAAAGTGTCTCAGGCTCTTTGATATTTCCTCTTCCTCTTCCTCCCTTGAGCTCCAATTTGATGCAACTGAATCATACTGTGACCCGAGTTGTAGCTTAGCCAAATGGCATGCTTCTAGTTGTGAAATGTCAATGGTGACGTCGGTGGTGCTGCTAGAATTTCCTAAGGGTAAAGGTCCTGACCTATTGGCAGGGGTGTTATGGCGAGCAGGCGATGAACTTTTGAATGGTGTGTGGCATCTAGAAGTTGTGGAACTGCCTAGAGGAGTCATTTCTGTCCCAACATCCCTGTGCTTCACTTCGTGAATTACTTCAGTGCCAGCATCTTTCATTGCTTCATTGCCCGTGTTTCTAAATAGAAATCCTTCTTTTGATGGCTCTGAGTATCGAAAATTTGGCAAAACTGATTCCACCTCATCAGTGAACTTATCTGCAGTCGCCACCAAACATTGAATGAGAAAAGCTCAAAATATAGATATATACATTGAATGAGAAAGCTCAAAATATAGTATATATATATATATATAATATATATATATATATATATATATTATTCTAAGAATTAGATGAAGGCACCTGCTAACAAAGATAAATCATTGTTAGAATGAACAATGATTATTTTGAATAGTTCTAAATCAATATATATATATACTAGAATTAGATGAAGGCACCTCTAAAAAGATAAATCATTTTAATGGAACAATGATTATTTGATAGTTCTAAATCAATAACACGCACGTATTGCACGCTATCTGAAGCTACAAAAAGGCCTCAGCTGTGTAAAATATCATTCATAAAGAACTCTGTAATCTGTACACTGCAGTGGAAATTGTTATACACACTAAGGAAACTTTTTAACAAAATTGAACCTGACGCAGTTGTTTAAACCAACACACATTAAAATTTCACAGTTCTATTCTTTCATGTAACTTCAATTTTATCAGCAACTGAAAACCAAGTCTAAAATGAAAAGAATTTATCCACATTGTGTCAAATATACTCTGCAACGCTGAAACCCATGCATGGTGGTTTTGCTCCCAAACAAATAAAGCAATTGAACAGTAGAGAAAAGTTCAATGCCTTGTTATGCTTTTAGAAGACAAAAGAAAAGGGTTATCATAAGAATATTACTGGAGCTAAAAGGGGACAAGCTGAGAAGTAAAAGCCAAATAGGTAAAGGTATCATTAAACTTAAATGAAGAAAAATCCTACCTTTTAGAAGCACATCTGGAGAAAGAGAGACCCCATCAAAAGCAACTCCTGGGTTGTGTTGGTCCAAAGCCACTGACCCCTGAAAGCTGGAAACGAGTTTTGAGACCTTTTCCTCTGTCACCCTTGATTTCTCTGCAAATACATCCATTTGCTGCTTGAAGTTATCATTTTGTTTATGAATCTTTGAAGGCTCTGGCGATGGCTTAAAGGCATAAGCAGGAGATTCATGGCAAGAACTGCTCATTAGCCACTTCTCTGCATCTTCCCACTTAGAAGGGAAGCTCTTTCTTGCAAGATTACCAACACTATAGCTAAATAGCGGCCTACCAGGTGTAGAAGGAGCTTCCACTCTCCTTTGGGTCACTGAGTTCACTCCCTCTCTCCTTTGAATACCACTATTTGCCTTTGGAAATGATTTGACAAACTCAGATGTCTCTTTAAGATTGAGCTTACAAAGCGGGTCTTGAAAAGGGTCTGCAAATGGGTTGTCTTTACTTTTCCCATACAGGCCTGTGTGGTTGGTCTCCAATGTTGGTTCCTAAAACACAAGAACACCGCAACGTAAGAAGAAAAACCAGAAACACAAATCAAAATCCAAAATCCAAAACCCAAATAGCATTTAAAAAAGCAATAAATGAAAAAGAACCAAATGCAGGTTATTTACCCCAGTAGAAGCAAAAATAGGAGGAGCTTGAAAATAGTTGGGACTTGTGAGATCCATGAATGGAATTGTTGATTACGACCAAGTTGAGGAATCTCTTGTAAATGCTCACTTGCTATAATCTTGGTCAAGTAGGCACCTGCCTCATCTTTGACACAAAAACAGTATCGAAAGCGACCGAGGGAAAGTACGTGAGCAGAATAGACTATCAAGGAAAGGCTTTAACTTTGTGGGAACCATAGTCTAAAATACTGTTACACTACAAGACCCACATGGGGATATAACCAATTAACCAGTCTTACTTCAAGAAATGAGACCACAGTGTCATACAGTGACATGGATATTAGTATTTGGCCATTGAGGAAGGAGCCGAAATAGTACCTCATGAAAAGATGAGTGAGAGCTTTGGGAGGTGCAAAAAACAAACACGGGTACTGAGAAAGAAAACAGAAAAAAATGATAGATTTATTATTTCTTGGTATGCCAATAATTTTTTTTTTATTCTTTTTGGGAAGGTTCTTACTGGTTTTGAAAACTTTAGATCCCTCTCTATAAATGTATCACAGCTCTCACTTTTTTACTATTTCACAAGTAAGCACTTTCTTGCTTTTCGAAGAACTACATTGCTCTGAGAATACATTACTTGAAAAACTTGTTCTCTAAATTGATTTGTAATACCCACTGGATATGGATACCGTTAGAAAAAAGATTTCCGCAACATCAATTATTTACCAATGTAATTTTCCTTTTCAAATAGTGGTTCGTTCCATAATAACAGCTCCAATAGCGTCCAAGAGCAAGAAGACAGAGTTGAGCACGTGAATGTCACATGTCACACGCAAATTTGCTACCGGACTTTTATTATCTATAGCCACATACCGTACATGTGCCTCTCACGTGTCACGTGATTTCTACTGGCCTACTACGTTATGAGCCCATTAAAGACCAGCCCAGCTCAAATTGCAGGGAAGGAGAGTCCAACATGGAACCCAAGGTCCCAACGTAATTAAATAAAATTTATTATTTAGATTAAGAATAATACTTAAAAAAAAAAAAAAAATCTTACGTTGGCATAAATTAAAATTATTGGAACATAGTAAATAAATGTTTATTGTTTCATATATGAGGGCCACTTCCATGGACCAGCTGGACCTTGTAAGCAACACCACATGATTATTATATTTTAATGCCACCTCTTCTCTTCTGAGTATATTAAATTTATCAAAAGTATTTTTATATTATTGTTAGTTATTGTAATTAATAATTAAAAAAGAAAGCTTGCAGTTTCAATTATTGTTGATATCTATAGACTATAGGTATGGAATTTCAAAGAGAAAGATAAATTACAAGTAATTGTTTGCTGTGGAAGTATTAATGAAAATAGTTATTAATTATTGAAATTGATTGATGGGAATTTTATTCCAAAAAATAGAATCAAACTTAGCTGTTCCTATTGAAAAAGTCTAGTTAATGCTTTACTATTTTATTGTTTAGATAAGAGTAACCTTTGTGAGCTAGAGGAGGCAAATCATATTTCTATAGCTTAATTATTTTCTTCACTATATATATATATATATACAAGAAAGAAATTTTTTTTTTCATTTCCTTTGAAAATCTTTTAAACTTAAAGATTAATAACTATATATATCATTTTTTTAAAAAAATACTTTTTATATAGCTTTTTCTTTTGTTTGAAACTTGAAGATGGTATGCTTACTTGAAATAAGTGGGTTTTTGTAATTTTTTCATTTTGTTTTTAGTTGAATCCATGTATTGCTTTATAGGATGACCCCCTTGAATTATGATATATGTATATGGTATGAGTGATGACTACATCAGCCATTTTTGTATTAAAATTAGAAGTTATTGAATTTCAAAGCAAAAAGATGTAAACTTTAATATTATCACTCTCTATTGAAGCATTCAAACAGACTTATAGTGAGAAAATGGATCAGCTTATAGTGAAATTGTGAATAGACCCACCAACCAATTGATAAGAAACAAAAGCTTTATCAACCAACAAGACATAGGGTTCACCAGCATCAACAGGTAGAAGATAAGCAATATGGGGTCCATTTCCTTTTAGTTAACATATAATACTTGATGACAAGACATTCCTTGTCATAATGGAATTTTAAATAACCTAGCAAACTTGTAATCTAGCCATTATTTCTGTTCTTGCAAAGTTTGCATCTCCCAAGTTTAAAAGAAACCTTATTTTCTTTCTTTTATTTCTTTTTTGGTTCTTGTTCTTGCATATGTTCAATGGCTGTCACTTGTTTTTCTTCTCCTTACATCCTAGTGCAAAAGTCTAGGCCAGTTGAAAAGAATAGAACCAGAAGTATTATGCTTAAACACAGTCAAATTCCACTCAAGAAAGCATCTACACTTTCAGTCAGATCATCTTTCCAAGACAAGGTATTAATCTTTTTCCTTGTCATTCAAGCTATATATATATATATATATATATATATATAAGCATCTTACACTTTCAGATCAGATCATCTTTCCAAGACAAGGTATTATCTTTTTTCCCTGTCATTCAAGCTATATATAATATATATATATATATATATATATCAGAAAATTGTCAAACAAGAGAATCGAGAAAAGATAATAATACCACTTGGAACTGTTCTTGATAATATAAAGAAATCAAAGAAATATCATTGAAATATATAGTGTTTTTTCTTGATTGTCTTATGCATATTGTATTTATTTAATTTTTTATTAATTGCAGGTGTTTTGAAGAATAAATCTGGAGAGGCAATAATTTGTTATAGAGATGAAATAGTGGGTATATATATATATATATATATATATCAGAAAATTGTCAACAGAAGAATCGAGAAAGATATATACCATTGGAACTGTTCTTGATATATAAAGAATCAAGAAATATCATTGAAATATATAGTGTTTCTTGATTTCTTATGCATATTGTATTTATTTAATTTTTTATTAATTGCAGGTGTTTGAGAATAAATCTGAGGGCATAATTTGTTATAGAGATGATAGTGGGGAGATAATTTGTGAAGGATTTGATGAAGGTCCTCGATTCCATCATCATCTTCCAAGAACAGCATATAATTCAAGGTAGATCATCATAATGGATCAAATTTATCTTTAACACGTACATTTCAATAAGCTTAAATTATATATATGTGATCTTTTATTTTCAGGGATGCTGAGATTATCAATCTCCTTCAACAAAGATTGATTCATGTTGTTAATGGCGGTGAGTTTGACAACAGTGACAATGGTGTTATTACTGTGAAAGAGGACTTCAACTTCAAATGGAATGAGTTTAATAAATTCTGCTGATAAATGACTAATTAACCCTTGTTAATTTCATCAATGTATTTCAAATAATGTGAATCAATCCAAAACATTGTATTTCTTGCAATCTCAGAATGTAAATGAGCCTAAAAGTACATTATTTCTCTTGTATTCTCAAAATTTCAGTTCTTTTGCTTGCATTTTTGTTCCTTCTGTGAAATATAAAATTGCAGTTCATGCACAAAATACAAAAGCAACAATCAGTAATAGGTTAAAGCAAGTTCAATGTTTTAGAGAATCGGATTGTTCTAATTTTGAATTGCAAAAATGGACATTCAAATTTCTCCATTAGACAAAATTAAGCTCCCATAATTCCCACCAGATGGCAAGAATTTTTTACTCCACAATAAGCAACAATATAAACATATTTGCTACCAGAGAAAGAAACAAAGCAGATTGATAATCAAATCGAAGGCTCTTCAATTAATTGTCAAAGGCATTCAATTCACGAAGAACCAGAGAAATCCATGAGCAAACATAGTAAGGAAACGAAAACCAAATATAACATTGGAAATGAATATCGAAATCTAGATGCTAAAATGCAAAATATATAATATTCCCTTGAGATACAGAAATTGCAACTGTAAATAGGTGAGTAAATACATTCTGCAGAGATTTCATGGAGAGGTCATCCAATTAAATACCTCTTCCAGAAACTCCGCGGCTTTAGTAGCCTTCTTCTGCTTTTCCTAACAAATAATTATGAGCTTTTCTTCAACTAAACATACAATGTAACTCCTATAAAAAAGAATCAAAATATAAGAAAGAAAAAATATATATAAACATGGGAAAAATGAAGCGGGATGACCATCCCGATGTGCATATTTGAATGTACAAGAAGCACACAAACTCCCAGTATCATTCAACTGAAGTCCCAACTTGTGTTTCATCTTCGTTCAAATCAGACTGGGATTTACTTGGAATTATAGCAGGAGGTGACCATTGATCTGGGACCATTAGAAAATATGTAGTCATTGCTTTCCTGAACCTTTTCTTGTATTGCTTAGGAGAAATAACAGTTGGAGATGCATTCTTTGGTCCCCCAAGTATACCTGAAGCCTTCACCCATGTCTCCAGGTGCTTGTCCCATGTATATTGCCTCATGAAATCAATGATTCCAAGAACTAATTCATGCTTCTCTTCATCCACCCCAACCAATAAAGAGTAGTCCATTACATCAATTGACTGCATTGGCAACAAGCATGAAACAAATTAGAAGGGCCAAAAATATTTATTTTATCTCAAATTATGGACAATCTACAGAGATAGGTAGTTTGAATGTGTAATTTTCAAAGTACACACAACCACCCACCTACTCCAACCCTTTCTCCCGCCACCAAAAAACAAGTAGGTGGAGAAGAAAGAGGAGTAGGGGAAGGGGGAGGGACAGTGCCCCAAATTCAAAACCCACACAGATTTCTAACACTTACTGCAAGAAAAGAAGTATCATTCCAGACAGCTCTCTCCAGCAATCTCTTTGCCTTGTTTCCAACAAAAATAGGAGAAGTTGGCATCGCTTCAATCAAGTTCTGATCTAACAGAACTTTATTGCTGCCACTGGAATCAGGATTATACCGTGACCGGGAAGATCCTTTAAGATCATAAAGGCGAGTCACGTTTCTCCCAAACAAAAGGTTCTCCATAACCAGAACATCCATTTTTGATTCTTTCCCACCTTTCAGATGCTTTGACGTAACCTTCCAGCATAAAGACAAGATACAAACATAATAAATTCCAGGAAAAAATATACAGTTTTTACAGAAAAGTTTTATATAATTTCTAACATTAGCTGCAAAGATGACAACATTAAAAGATTCCTCAAATTTTCTTTTCCCCTTCATTCTAATCAATTTTATACAGCTCTTGTTCACAATAAAAAAAAAAAAAAGAAGATAGCGGATTGATTGGCAAAGATCACAATAAAGAAGATAGCGGCATAAGAACACTACACCAAATTGACATGCCTCATAAATAACAAACAATGATTAAAAAAAAAAAAAAATTATAGCAGATGCTAAGCCATTTCTTTTCATTGTTTGCTCATCTCTCCTCTCCTTTCTCTCCTCTTCTTTCCTTCTTTCACTTTTGCTAATTTGCAATTTCATTGTAAAGCTCTTAGGATTAATCGTAGATGGATTAGTGGACTTTATAATTGAGACATTTGTCATACCTAGGATCCTAATCCCCACCACTTTCCCCAAGTGCTGGCACTACCTTGGGCAGTTAAGTGGCAAAGCTAGATGCAGCCATGTGTTGATGAGCATCAAAATGACAAACTTTTTTAGGCCAGCAATATATAACCTCTGTAATTATAAGTATAAAATTCACATTAAAAACAATCCGACCAAGTTTAAAGATACAGACAACTTTCAACATCTGCACGAAATATCACTCATCGATACAAAATTTCCCTCTTAGTACTTCACCCCCACCCCTAATCCAAATTTATTAACATGGAGACCAGAGTTATTAAAGTATAATCACAAAAAAGATACACCATGACAATCAATAGGGTTGGCAGGGCTGTAAGGTCAAACCAAATGACTAGAATACTTTATCCTAGTTTGCAATTGAGTTTCAGAACAGGTACCTGATAAATCCCCAAAATCTTTGCCAGGCATGTTGGACTTCTTGAGCTAATTGATTCAGAGAGATACTTGAAATATTCAGGAGCAAATTTTATAAATGACTCCAATTCTGTCTTTGTGACTTGTTTGATAATAAACCGATCATCCAAGGTTTTTGCAAAGAAGACATTGCTCTTGCCACCTTGAGCTCCCCACTTTCTACAACGACTGAGAGACCTTATAAAATCAAGCTCGGATGGGCAACATATCCTCCTTAAGGCTTCAAACCGCTTCGCAAAATAACAAGTTACAGAATATTTCACCTTACCATGTTCATCTGCAAACGAAACTCTGGCATGCAAAGTTTTTGCATAAGAGAGAGGGTCTAAAATCAAAGAGCTACGAGATCCAGAAATAGATAAAATACTCTCTTCTAGAGATCCAAGGCTTCTATGAGAATCAATTGTGACGTCATCAACAGATAAGAATGATTGAGAAGCAATAGAATCAGATAAATTTAAGGAAGAATTGAAATCCCCACCATCTTTCATTCTTTCACCCTCATCAGTCAATTTCCCTTGATACTCGGGTGATGCTAGCGCATAAGATATAATGCTTGTAGGCTCATCATCATACACAGGGATGACACAATCATTTTTACTCAAAGGATCAAGGAGCCTGGCCCCACCCTGGAGTTCTAACTCCCTGAACAAAGAAACATAAACTGGAGTATACTCACCCATTGTATCAAGTTTCTCTGAAGTCGGTAAAAAATTCTTGTTCAATGAACGGTAGAGGTTTAAGAAGGGAATTCTTAAGTAGCTACCCGATTCTTCCATATTCTCAGAACCCTTGATGGACAATGCAGGTAGAGGTGAATAACTAACTTTGGTTCCATTTGGGTCTTCCACTCGATTACAAAAATCTAAACCCTCCAGTGCAGTAGATGTAGTTGATGAATCTCCTGCAGCTGAATCAGATAACACACTAGTACCATCCTTTAATAGTCCAGTTCCTGGGTGATTCTCACCTGTCCATGCAGCGTCAAGGGTATCAGACAAATTTGACATGGTAGGAGCCTGTCCTTCAGACATGGTCCTGCAAACATTTCCACTGCATTCCAGACTCTCAGGTTGATCACTGATGGCTATGGCAGTAGAAAGATCAGCATGGTTTTCTTTTGTGTGATTGAAATCTTGACTAACATCTATTTCGAGCTGGGTTATGCCAGACTGGTTAGTAGGATTGCTGTCAAATCCCCCTTGCTGATCTGGGATTTTAAGAAGCTTTGTATCTTCAGGGAGAGAGTTAGAACTGCTAAAACCTTTTCCTGGCTTGTCATCCACATTCATCTCATTGAGCTGCTCAGTATTAGCTGGGGGTTTTTCCTCACGTCCTGAATCAGAGCAATTCGCATCATCCTGAAGACTGTTGTCATCTGAATTGGCCGCATGAAGGTTGTGGTTCCACACTAGAGCTATGAGAAGCAACTGCCTCCGCAATTTATTAATCTCAAGAATGTCAATAACAGGCTGACCCTTTTTCACTTCTCTATTCAAAGCTTTTTGGAGTGACTCCTAAGACAAAATTGAGAATCATTAAGATTTTGATAATAAATATGGCAAAATATTTAACTAGAGCTTGGATGCAAGGGTTAAAATTATAATATTTAAATTTAGAGAAAATTACAACTAGTGCTTAACAAATAAGGATCTCTGTTTTCAAAAATTAACTATGAGGTCCCTAATTTATAATTCCGTTAACACTTTAGTTCTTCCATCTAAAATAGCCTCTTTTAATTGTCAAATTGATTGAGAAATCGATCCCTAAATTATAGTCAAACTAACTATGAAGGTCCTAACTTATGATTCTATTAACAATTTAGTCCTTCTTTCCTCCAACAAAATCCTTCTTTTCAAACAAAGGGTAAAAGAACGTTAGCGAGTAAACTCAATTCATCCTAGTGACTTTGGCTTGCAAAGTTAGAGAAAAACAGTGGACTAGATGTTACATAGACAAGGAGTTCCCAATTAATCTGTCCACTACTTAAATGGGCTGCATAAAAACAATGCATGCAATTAAAATGGCTTGTAGGATATGATTTTTGTTTGACTAAGAGCTAGAAGACTTGATACATGAAGAAAGCCTCACCTCAAATTCTAACTTCATCTTTTCCAACTGTGCTTCAAGCTCACCAATTTGCCTTCTTGATTCCAGTAGTTTCATGCCATTGTTGGGTGATGCTGAACAAGTTCTTTTCTCTGCTATTCCATTCAAAGCCTTCAGTACTTCAGAAAACAATAGCTGTGCTCGGTCAACAACCTGTTGCAATCAGATAATTTACTCATCCATATGCAAAGCGATTTCATATGAAATAATAAAAAATCCAAAGTGGTGATCACTCCACCTCATCTGTTTCTTTCTGTACCCATTCCTGACTCTCAAAGTTGAAATCAAGTTTTGGGGGCGGAAGGTACACGGAGAGAACATTAATTGATGCATACCGAAAGCAAGCAACCATACTCCCAAATCTGCAAATGTAAACCCAATGAGAGAAACAAAAAGAGGGGATTTATCAAAAAAGAAAAGGATTAAGCTACTGTTGCTCATACAGTTCAGCAATCTATGTTGAAGATCCAGTTATACAAATGAATTTAACAATCAGTTTCATCAAACTTAAAGCTTTTGCTTAATGTACATAACTATCCCAGAAAGTATTCTACTGGTTCTACAATGTGCTGTATATATTTAATGACATCACAATGAAATAAAGAAGTTAATAAAAATACCCATAGAAACGAAGACAATCCCTATGCAGAGAGTGACCACAGCTCGCCACCCTGCTTGCAGCTGCATGGTTTGAAAAACTGAGCTCTAGAAACTTCCCAAAAGATAAACCCCAAGCAGCATCAGACATTACTACCCTCCGTGTAGCAGGAGGAAAGCCATTGGTCCTGGGACACTTTAGGCATCTGTGCCACATCCAGATCTTTCCATCCTTCTCACCTGGTAAGAGTATTTTTGTTAACTTCTGAACAGATATAGTGAGGGTGCCCTGCCGATGAGTGTAACAATGAACATGCGCTTCTGATGGCATCTCACAAGAGCGGCAAGTGTAACTCTAAGAGAGAATTAATATTTGTCAGTTCTAAAATATGCACCCATGTTTTGAAGGTGAATAAAAACAAATACATAAAAAAAAGAACTTACTTGATCAAACAAATGGTCTCGCAAAAACCGACCCAAAGGTTTGTCAAAGCTGCCATAGTATTTAATTCGAAAAAGATGAGACCTTTCACAGACAGTCCCCTTCCACACACACCGGGAAGATAAGGACACCAAAATGCTCTGATGATCTGAAGGTGATGGAGGAAATTCTTCTTTTAAATGTCCCTGCTCCTCAAAATAATTTTTATTGGCTTGTTGTACAGAAGATACCTCTGAAGTGTGCAACTGAGTGGGAACCATTTCACTAATATCATTGTGGTAATGTTTTTCCATAATACCTTCCGACTGCTCAAATCCATTAACAGTAAGATGGTCACATGTGGCAGCCACCTTGTTAACTGCAGATATTTCTGCTACCAGAGAACCTTCATATCCCATTTTATTTTTCTGCTCAAAAGGACGGTAAGAATCTGAAACAACTTTCACTGTAGAAGGAACATTAGACAGAAATGCAGATGGAGTAATGAACGAGGAACTGGGTGCTGGGGAATGAGATCTGGGACCATCAGGTAGCGGTTGTGCTTCAACATGATTAACAAAAGAACCAATGATAGTTGAGTCATGAAATGTCATAGGGACACTGCTGGATCTTTGTTGTTCATTTTTAGTTTCTAGTCTCTGAGACTTTTCATTGGCAGGAACAGTGAAACCAGGTACAGTTGATATAGATCTCTCAATGCTTGAAGGTTTATCTGGGAGTGCCACTGTAATTGGAGAGTTAAATGGAAGTTCTGGTAGAGATGCTCCTTCATCAGCAAGAAAAGATGTTTCCAAAGCCAAGTGATATGCTGCAAAAAGTCCATATTGAACCACATGTTTCACTTTCTTCAACTCATCCCCATTAGCACCTCTAAGTAAAATCTGTAACACATGAAAATAGAAGATTTTAATGGACTGGTAGCACACCCATTTGATCTTTGTCAAAGTAGCCAACAAATCAGATAAATGATATATAAATAGCATAGCTGCACATTTTGCATTGATCCATGCTCTTAAGACGATAACACAGAACATGAACTACAAGAATATTTCCAAACGAGATAATGCATGAATTGGTCAACAAAGCTATCTCCAAAACAAGGTAAAGCATGAATTGGCATATGACCACATGATTGACAAACTTGATCACATGTCAGCCAAACCTTCAACATTGAAGACTTGATATAAACTGAAACTAAATATGTATATATGACCATCACCACGTTCTTTATAATTGAAAGTTTCGAGGACTTACAGTAAAACCCAATGGCTTTGGGCAGCCCTCAAAATACATTAATGTCTTCACCAATTTTTTCCCACCCTGTCCAGCTGTACCAAGATCTTCCAAAAATCTCTCCACATGAAACATATCACAATAGCCCAACTTCGGCGAGGAGAGTTGATCGATTGAAGGAACAATTTGAGCACCAGTACAACGAGCTATCCGCTCTAAAAGCGGCCTCTTGATATTGAGAACAAGAGATATGTCTTTAGCAAGAAGATACTCCTGTGCAAATCGTGAAACTGATTTCTCTACTAAAAGAATATCAGGTTGGTGTGTGTCTATCCTTGCCACTGCCATCTTTAGATGGTCCATTTCCTAGAGAAGAAAGGAAACGCATAAGGAAGAAGAGAAAAAAAGGAAAAATATTCAAGAAAATAAAAATAAGCAGCTGTGTGAATAACAATGATACAGGAAAAGGAGGCGGTTCATAAAGGATCACAACCTGCTGTAATAGAGTATCAAAACTTGACAAGTGATTAGAAACCCGCTGGTACTCAAGAGCCCCACCAAGGATCAACAATCTAGGTTTTTCTATTTTTGAGGTCATCCGGCGATGAGCCACATTTTTCTTACAGACAACTCCTTTGACCACCATACTAAAAAATGAAGCAATCAAAAGCCCAATAAGAAAAAAGAAACTGAAAAACAAAAAAAAAGCAGTAGAAAACAAAACTCATCATGATAAGAAAATACCTTCTTTAGTCTCTAATACAGTTGTATAAGCTTTTTTATCTTTTAAATGTACAGTTGCATAACCTTAATTCACAAACGTTTGGCATATGCAAAAATATTTCAACCAGCTAAGTCTATGAAACTTATCATAGAAGAAAAAAGTTATCCTTAAAGAAACTTTCAAGTAGAGAAATGGTGCAATCAAGAGTCTAAAGAGAGATTTTACATTGTAATTAGATGCATGAATTCTAATGTCAACCTCCTTACGAATTCTAACGTCAACCTCCTTATGTTTTCTTCATGATTGTGAGAATTGTCACGTTGTATTGTTTACTAAAATGGCCCACAGGTTGAACCATTAATTGTAAGTCAAGGCACATGATTGGTATTCTATATATGTGTAGCAGTGTCGTGTTTTCTTTCATTGGTTACTAGGATGAAGAAGCCAAAATTTCAGAAACTCAGATTCCAGTTCCCAACAACCAAACTTTAAACAGAAATTTGTAGCCAAAACCAATTTTAAAGGCAATTGCAGCCTTTCTCAACTATAATCAATTATAAGAAAGCTCCAATGGAGGATCATTCTCTAAGAATTTGGAAAGAAATGATGTATTGTATTATGCATGGATTATGTAAATAATTGTGGCAATTACCTCTCACAGCGGCGTCCAGAAGCAATGCATTTCACTTTTACATATCCACCAGGATCCATGCCTCCACCTTTGCTCATATCTGGCTTTAATAATGTAGCAGCTTCCCATGACAGAGATGTAATGATTTCCAACCAGCTCTCTTTGTCATCCTCATCACCCACAGGAATATTCTCAACCTGCAAGAGCTGAGATACCAAAGCCCTAAAATGCCCGTCAACCACATTCTTCATGGCCTTCTTGTTATCCTCACTTGATTTATCTCTATTACGAAATTCTCCACTTCCAAAACTGCTAGAGGTGCGTAAATGTCCCCACTCTCCAGCTGCATGATCATCATCGAAGTCATCGTCATCATCAAACAAACCAGCTTCCCTCTCATCTTCTTCATCCTCTGGTTCAGGTGGAACCCAGAGCACGATATTGTCCTCAAAATCCACAGGTTGAGCATCACTGTTTTCCCCAGGATAAATAGAGGAAGCTGGCTCACCTTCATCATCTATATCATGCTCATCTTTTCTGACAGGCTGAGACCTTCCTTCCAAACCATGTGAACCAAAACTATGGTTTAACAGAGAGCTGCTTAAACTTTTTGAGTTAATATTTTCTCTATCAACACAAGCTTTATGTGATTCTTCATCAATGCTCATATCATCAAACTCAACTTGGTGAAAATATTCACTGACTTGGGGAAAATGCCTTGTTTCAGAATCAGACTGAAACACACCATAGTCATCATCATCATCATCACTCCTAGAGCCAGACAATAATTATCAAATAAGCACTTGTTATATATCAACAAATACATCTTATATAAGCACTGCTTGTATCTTCTTTTTTTTTTTTTAAGTGAGAATCTACTAAATGTTTTGCAATTGCAATATGCAATCTTGTTCTACAATAAAATAATCAGCCATAAGCTCTAACAACTGCATATTTTGTGACATTTTTCAGAAAGTTTTAGCCACTGATAAATGGCATGTCACTTCCTGAAACCTACATGCATTAACAGACATGTGCTTGATTATCATATTGCTCTGGATTTCTAATGCATACATTACTTAACAGGAAATGACTACAAACCTGTTCATAGAAAAAGCATATTGGTTTGGAGATTGATAGCCGATGTCTGTAACAAGGTTGTTGCTCCTTCCTGATGCTATTTCCCTTTGTTTATCCGAATTTGCTTCCATTTCAGACATTTGATGTGGGCCAGGACCTGCACTTTGTTGAGCTCGTTGATAGGGCCCAACTGAATATGGCATTGAGCCAAGAGTGAAGCTACTACTGTTAGCAGTACCACTAGACTTAGAGCTGGCCAAACTTGCCGCTGATGGTGACCTACTAAGATCCAGGCTGGGAACCTGGATTCCATTATCAAAAGTAGCTATTCCTTGCTGCCATTGTTTGAAACAATAATTACATACTCGAATTTTCTCCCCGTCTTCCCGTGCAATCCTTGGATCGCTAGATAGGGCAGGAACTGAGTTGGTTGTACACTTGGCACAGAAAACACGGCCACAAAGTCGACAATGGTGTCTACGGTTTATTATTGTGAACTGGGAATCACATTCATAGCATACCCTACAACTTTGATCAGGCATCCAAAAATCCCTTGACACATTAGGTGGCTCAGATCGCCAAGGGATCCAAGATTTGAATATGCCAACTAGCTCCGTGAATGTCTTGTCAGAAGAATCCATCTACAAACAACCCTTACAGCCCCGTTCATCATGCTAAACTCATTTGCCACCGTCAAGAAACCTTATCCTAAAAATTTTTAGCTTCAATCAAGAAACAAAATCCTCGAAGAAACGACAAGAAAGCTATGCTGTTATTGTTAACATACCCCAATTCGAAAACTCCAAAATTAACAGCACTAGCATCTCCTACTTTTATGTCAATCCAAATATTAAATCTTCTTGGAAATCACTGCCTGCTCTAATAGACCTCAATTATAAGTCAATCCTATACCTTTATATGCCCCCTAATCCAAAAACTAAAGTTCAACGTCCCTAAATAAATTATGCACGGCCCAAAGTGAAAACACTAAATTGAAAACACCCAAAAAAACCTTATAAAAACATGCTTGTTTCAATAAACAAGCCCGGAACCTCCTGTCTTCTGCAGCTATATTCAATGAATTTAAGGGGGGAAAAAGAGAAAAGAAACCAATATCCCAACAACGCGAATCTAAATATATTTGTACATATATTTTTCCTATAAAAAACACAAGAATTTTATTTTCATTTTGATACAATCCTAACTGAGAAACAATGTTACCTTGAAAAGACAAAGAAGAACAACAACAATAATAACATCTCAGTCAAGATCTTCTTCTCCAAGAAATTCGCGCCACGTAGTCAATGAATCCGTGACAAAGGGTAGGTGGTGATTTTGCAAAAGCCCGCCTACCCAGATAGCGATTCTTCAAAGAACCAATACGATCCGGTTCTTGATCACAATCATGAATTCATGATCGTGAATTTCTCGCCCCTTCACATAAAAAAAAAAAAAAAAAAAAAAAAAAATTTCCTCGCCCTTCACATCACAAAAAAAGAAAAAAAATAAAAAAGAAGCTTCCCATACTTCACTTTGTCTTTTTCATGACTAGGGTAAATCTCCCGAGATGAGATAAGTTGGCGTCAGAAGATATAACTACATACCCGGTAACCATTCATCATGGCACCCATTTTGCCTCGGAAAAATTTTTTTTCTTGAATAATAAGCAGAGGATAATCTTCAGTCTCTAATTTAAAAATTTTTCATAGTCAATAATGTTTGCTTTTACTTTTTCCTCTATTTCTCTTTTCCGCAAATCGATGATGGTAATTCGGGTTGTATTTAATATATTTTTGCTGTAGAGTATAGTTCGCAATATTTATAATAACTCTCATAATATGTCAATATATTTGATATATGTCGTTTATGTCTCGTTTCCTTTTTCCTCTGGCAGCAGAGTAAGACCGCTTATGGATTCCGTGGTGTACAGAGAACATCGAGGGCAATTGCATGATCTACAATCTTGTAACCAATAACACGTCATTTGGATAGCCACATATTTGGTTCGGTACAACGCTAATTCTCCAAAAAAGACCTCACATTTGGTTTGATATCGGAAATGGCTAATGATGTATTGGGGAATTGGGATTTTGTGGGGATTTTCCTGACGTGTTGATATTATGACAACTGTAAGCTCGGATACGTACTTAGTATTTGTAAGGGTTTTTGGTAAAAATTTATCTCCAAACTTATCTTAGAAAACGCGTATTTTTTTTTTTGCGGCCTTTTTTAATTACATTACATCATAAAAAAAAAAAAAAAAAAAAAAAAAAAGCTCCCAATTCCTTGCTTTTTCATGTACAAAAACTCCGAGAAGATAGTGCTACAAAGAAAACTAATACGTAACCCATCATCATGGCACCTCGCCTGGTAATAAATTTTTTTTCTTGAATAAAACAGCAGATAATCTTCAGCTTAATATAAAAATTTTTTAGTCAATGTTTTCTTTTCTTTTCCTTTTCTCTTTCCCAATGATGATGGTAATGTTTATTAATTATTTTTGCTTATTTTAGTTCCAATATTTATATATCTATAATTTCATATTTATTTCGTTTCTCGTTTCTTTTTCCTCTGGCACAGATAGAGACCCTTTGATTCCGTGGGTACGAGTACACGGTGCAATTCATGGACTCAATTGTACCAAACGACGTCATTGGATAGCCACAATTTGTTCGGACACGCTAAATTCCCAAAAAGACCTCCATTCTTTGTTCGGAAATGGCTACGATGTTGTGGGGTTTTGTGGGGTTTTGAGTGTTGATATTATGACAACTGTAAAGCTCGGATACGTACTTAGTATTGGGTTTTTTAAAATTTTCCAAACTTATCTAAAAACGCGTATTTTTTTTTTTGGCCTTTTTTAATTACATTTAATCATCCAGTTAAAAAAATTACATTTAATAAATTTAAATACTCTTAAATAATTTGTTTAAATAAATAAATAATTGGTCAATGCTATTTTTAAGGACAAGCAAAGCAAATAAACATATATACCCATCATTTAATGATCTAAGAAGATCCATTGCTTGTGTTTTTAGGAAAATGTGTTTATTATTACATATTATTAATATTAATTATTAGTTTAATATAAATTAGAAATCATTAGATATGATTACACGAACACTACTATCAATAGATACATACACCCACCAATAAATATTTTTCTAGTAATAATTTCCCTCTACGCGTAGAATGTAAAATATTTATAGAAATTTAGTAAAGTTTTGTTAATATATTTAATTATAATATATTACGTTTAATTAAGTATAATTCATTAATATATTTAATTATAATGTTACTTACTGGAAATGAGCTGGTGTGTGTGATTGAAAATTGGAAAACGCCAACCGTATATCCCTCTGCCATTTATAATTGAAAGATACATTAGCCTATCATGAAAATGAAAAATCATTTTCCATTTTCCTATTAAAACAAAATACAAAAGGAAATTATGAAAAGATGTTTAGGTTACTTACTATATGAATGCCTGCCTTAATTATAATATATTAAATAAATAGTAATAAAGCCAACTCATCTCCTCTTAATAATAATCCAAAGAAGCAAAACCGAACCAACTTGCTAAATATATATATAAAGCTTCTTAATTAAAAAAATAATTATAAACAAGTGAAAGATAAATACATTAAACGAGAGGTTCATATCTGGCCAAAGCTTTCAACCTCAATCCGCATTAGACCTCTACCAAATGTTTAGTAATTTCCAAGCCGCCATAGATAATTAGATATGCAAAAATGAAATGATCAAACCACAGTTTTAATCAGTAAAATATAAATTAAAGCCTTCCACTTAACTTTATTTTTATATCATATCATCATCAACTTCATCTTTACTTATTTACTAGCATGTTGGATTTGTTTTTGCGCACTTCTGAAGTTTTCTGGTGTTAAATTTTTTTGTGAAAAGACGAAAATGTTTTATCCTTTCATAAAAATGTGTTTAATTACTGTCATCAAACTTAACCTAAGCGACTTTTTTTAAGAGAAAAACACAGCATTGATCTGAATTACGTTGGAGTAGATGAACTGACGAAATCTCCACATGGGAACAGTTATACGAACATGGGTCCTGAGAGTGATAAAGATTCCATTTTGGGTCACATAGCAACCAAAAACAACAAATTTTCCTTTTTTTTTAACGAAATATAAGAAAATATAATTTTGAAACTTATAAAACTGGTGTGGTTTCACTTCATGATATCTTTCTTTAATCCATGCAGAACCGGCAAGAAATACAATAAAACTGTTTGCCTTATCAAGACAATTTAAATATTTTTCTTTATAAATAAAGTGGAATCGTAAGTTTATTTATATATATATACATAATATATTAAAAGATAAGCAAAACAAAAATTAAGGTCTACACCGTCCGGAATAAGTTATTTCGGTGATATCATTAATAATCCAAGGCAAAATAGCGCCTTGACACTAATCGAAAACATGAATATTCATCTCGTGCTAGAAGCAAACCCTACAAGCCAAGTCAATCAGCTAGGAAATTAATTAGTCGTGTTAAGAAATATTGTATCTTTTTAATACGACTAGAACTAACTAAGACTAACTAGGGTTAGCTTGCTTAATCACTTCAACTTGATAGAGTTAAATCTAGTGGATACCAATTGCTAAACCGACATATTAAGTTAATTAGGAGCAGAAGACTTAATTAAGGTTGCCTAATTCCAAGTTGTGGTATAATATTGTTAATTATCCTCTATTTATTAAGAATTTAAAACGCAGATCTGCAGAAATTAACTGCAATTCCAAGCTAAACTAGTTGAGAAATGGCAAAGATACATCCCCAAACACTTGCTTCTTCTTCTCCTAACTATTTCACATCTGAACAAGAAACTTTTACAGTATGGATGAAATCTCTAGTTCTAAGTGGAAAAGGTTGTACTGTATTTGATTCAAACGGTCATGTCGTTTACCGGGTTGATAACTACAACTGCAAGTCCAGCCATGAAGTTCATCTCATGGATTGCAGAGGAGAGGTTTTGTTCACTATACTTAAGAAGGTAAAAAAATATTAGTTAGAGCATTTTCTTTTAAGTATTGAGACTTATTTACTGTTTTTTGTCGTAGAAATTCAAGTTGTTTGGCTGCTGGGAAGGCTATAGATCCACTGCTGCGAAAATTGAGAAAGGAAAACCATGTTTTGAAGTAAGAAAACATTTCAGGCTTTTAAGAGGAGGGTTGCTATGTAGAGTTACTGTGGAGTTGGACCACAGCCAGTCATCTAAATACGAGATAGAAAGCTGGACTGGTAAGTCAACATGCAAGATAGTAGATAAGTCTGGAGGACAAATTGCAGAGGTGATCGATGAGCTAATTCTTCTTTTTTTTTTAAAAAAAAAAAAAAAATCTTAATTAAGTAATTGGTTATTGATCGATTAGTTTTAATGTTGAACAGGTGAAGAGAAAGCAATCAGCAAGTGGAGTTGTGTTAGGTGAAGATGTTTTGACTATGGTGGTGGCGCCATGTACGGATCATTCCCTTATCATGGGACTTCTTGTTGTCTACAATCTCATCAGCTGTAAAATTTGATGTTTTTTCTTTTTTCTTTTTTGGTTTTTACTGGTGTTTATAGACCCGGACTGCGATAGTATTTAGGTAAAATCATCTTAGAAGTGATGATTTCAGGTTTCAACTCTCAATCTTGCATAAAATGGACCTGTAACGCAATGAACTTTTGCGATCCAACTACTTTTTGATCAAATTTAATGTTTTAAATGAGGAGATTGCTATTTTTGTATATATGTAAATTATCTTATCTACGTATTTCTATGTGTACAGGTGCATAACTAACTAGGTAAAGAATACATGGTTTGCCAAGTTTGAATTTTGCTTCTTTATAATGATAATCAATGGAGTCATTTTGTTTCCATATTATTGCCAATTCATTGTCTAGTTCATTTTTAACCATGTGAACATGTAATGTATTAGAGAAGAATACCAAAATAATGCAAAGATTCCGGTCAGTATGACCTGGTTGATTTTTTCATTTTTCAAATAAGATACAGAGAGTGAGAAGTTTCGAAATTTGAGTCTTTTAAACTATAAAAGTTATCACCACCCACATATTCTTCGGTTCATTAGTCATTCTACCAAAAAAATAATGCAAGGATTAATTAATAGATCTCATGTATTAGTGGTAGTTGGTACTAGGTAGTGTTCTAATAAGATGACATGAACATAGAACTGCATTTAATTTTTTAATGAGCTAAATATTTTAATTTTGGTAAGCACGCTGGATAGACATGGGATAACTTATGTCCTCTTATGATTGGAAGCTTAGAAGAATTTTATTACTAATTATTTTAAATTAAGCAAATTTTATTATAATCAATATATGCGACAAGTTTAAATAATCTTTTTTTAATGAATTTAAATAATCTAGATTGCAATTAATTAAGTATCCATTTACCTATCAAATAAATAAATAAATGTGTTGAAAATGAAAATATGTTTCAAATACGAAAGATGGAAAATGTACATGGCAAAAACGGGTCAATTAAATTTTATATTCATTTCTCTAGATCATTGCATTTCTTTCTTATTTTTCCTTGTTTTTTAAATTTTATTTGAAATAAAAAAAATTAGAAGGAATTGTTGAAACATTTTTTAAAATATTAAGACAATAAAATTTTAAAAATATGAAAAAAAGAGATTAATTGAATAGATTTTATGTTTCATAATTGACTCAAATTATCCACTTTAATTTCATTAAAATAATTTGACTAATGGACTTAATTAAAAAATTTATCTTTTTTTTCTGAAAAGAATTAAAAAATTTTATCTAGTTGATGAAAAAACATAAAGTGCATATATATTAAAATAGAAAAACTAGCGAACTACACCGTATTATTTTGCGAGTCGGGGCTTTTCTTACGTGACCAATTGTCCATTGCATTGCCAAATGGCGGGCGAGCAGCGCTGACCACGCAGCGATGGTTTAGTTTATTAAAACGACCTCGTTTCGTCATTTGCACATAATTATAACGCAAAACACTCACCGGAATCTATGCTTAAGACGAATCCGATTCTCTCTTCATTTTCTGGAGAAAGTGACGCACTTGTTTTTACGATTTTAGACCTAACAAACACACAAAAGTAAAACGAATTAACATCAAATGTGGTGGAGATCAGCGTCTTTCATTCTCGACAAACGGGAAAACGACATCGCTACCCACCCTAACCCTGACACACTAACTCTATCTTCTCCACCTCTTTCCATGTCTGATACTCTTCAAAACCCTAACCCTCAGAATACTAACATCTCCGCTTATTATCAGACTCGTGCGGCCCACCATGGCGTCGTGACTAGCGACTGGCTGGCCCAGGCTCAGGCCGCCGTCGGAAGCCAGCCGGATGATGTATTGGCTCTGGAAACTGACGTCAAGGTCGCTGGAAATGCTTTTAGTGTGATCGATGAATTCAATAACTGGAGGAAGCAGCCGGACTTGGCGGAGGCTGTTGCGGCGATTAGAGCGCTTGCTGCTGTGATTAGGAATAGTAAGGCAACTACGATGATGGAGCTTGAAATTGAGCTTAAGAAGGCTTCGGATTCACTCAAAGTAAGTTCCTTTCTATTTCTCTTTTTTATCCCTTCAGGTGTTATATATCAGTGACAAATTTTTAATTTTTTAACGTAATCATGCGCAATTAGAGTCGAAATTGGATTATTTGTTCTCGTTAACTTGAAAGTTTTAAAGGTTGATTTTGGAAAGAATCGAGTGAATAGTCTCTTCTTCTCACAAATGAGGATCATATTATATCGGATGTCTTTTTACTCTATGATCTCAATTGGTCCATTATTGTCTTTTGGTACATGGCAGTATTGGAGGAACATCTTTATGTAGAATACTAGAATGTCTCTTTATGAGGTTGTTAGGGCGAGCCTTGGTACAATAGTTAGGATGTTTTCATTTTACTTGGAAGGTTTCAAACGGTTTAAGCAGTTTCCTCGCAAATGCAAGAAAAAGGCTGCACGCATCTTATTCTCCTTGGAGCTGACAATGGATGAGGATTCATGCTTCGAACACCCTTTTGTTATCTGTGAATTAGCAGGGAGTTTGCACTCAGTATATCATCACAGGTGGAAGCTGTATATATTGAGTTATATGTTTTACAACCTTGTAGTTTTTTCACTACCACATGAGGGCTATTGATTATGTCGTATCTGTGAGACTGTATATAAGATTTATCATTCAAGATTAGGTGTAGCTTAGAAGGGCCTTGCTATGTACATTCCCGGTTTGTTGAATAATATATTGTGGGTGATTTAAGGGATAACTGATATTGATTATTGGGCATGGATCTGCTGTAATACGTTAATCTAAATTCTTGATAGTGAAGTCATATGGATAAGCCTGTTGGACTAGCAAGTGCGGTTTTGAGTTTTTGACATAGTTTCAGAAAAAGAGTGTCTTATTTGATGGAAAGAAGGCCAAAGAATGACTTCTTTGGAGGTTGATGGGTGGAAAAAGCGCCCAAGAAAACTTGAATGCAGCCAATTTATGACTCTGAGAACAAGGTGAAAATTGAATACATTAATTCATGCAATCAGATCTGGGGGAGAATTTGAACCAAGGGACATTTGGATGATCATGTAGGAGGACTCGCAAAAAAAGAGTGACGGTCAAATTGTATTTTCTTTGATTAATATTGGCTTTTTACAATCAAGCAAAATAATGTCATGTAATGATTTATTTTTTTTCATTCATTTCCTCATTTTAGATGGCTAATCCTATATGTGCTGCCCAGTCATGGGACGCAACCTCTATCTCTTTGACTGCAGGCTGCGATCTCTTTATGCGGTATGTAACCAGAACTTCAGCCTTAGAATATGAGGACTTCAATTCAGCTAAATCTCGTTTGATCGAACGTGCAGAGAAGTTTGGAGAGATATCTTATAAGGTATTTTTTTAGCTAATAGTGCATGAAGCCTTTTTTTTTTTTTTTTTTTACTAGGTCATTTCTTTGCACCTACTCATGGTAAAAGGAATCGTTGGTTCATATTGCAGGCACGCAGAATCATTGCAATGCTTAGTCAGGATTTCATTTTTGATGGCTGCACTATTTTGGTTCATGGTTTCTCCAGAGTTGTATTGGAAGTCCTGAAGACCGCTGCTCAAAATAAGAAACTGTTTCGAGTTTTTTGCACAGGTTTTGTTTTAGAAAATCATGTTGTCTGTTGAATTTGAGTGGATTTTTTTTTTTCTGAACCTGAATGCTAGTCATTTCTGACTTTTGTGCATGGGGCCTTGACCTCCTTTGTGCTTGATGTCACCTTGATCGCTCCCTCTATCTAAAATTAGCTTAAGTTTAATAACTGAATACTGCATGTTGTCTTTCTGCTATTTGAGTAATTAACAACATTAGACATAAAAATCTTTCTGTTCCCTTATTAATAGCAATGAGTTAATGACCATCCGTTAAGCATGGTGTTCAAATCAATAAAATTTAGTGGTACTCTCTTGTTGGTAACAGTTTCACTGCAAGTATTTTGTTTTTGATTGATAGTTTCCGATTCTAGTTATTAAATGTAGGATCAGTTGACAAATTACAAATTCTTAAATCTAGGATTAATTGTTAAATTGTTCTTTCTTTACATTTTTACTTTTTCCTGCCTCCCTCCTTGTTCTTAACTTTACATGCTTCTAGAATTGCAGAAGGAAGGCCTGATAGGACAGGATTACGGTTGTCCAACGAGCTGGCCAAGCTTGATGTTCCTGTGAAACTACTTATAGACTCTGCTGTGGCATATAGTATGGATGAAGTAGACATGGTATTTGTTGGAGCAGATGGAGTTGTTGAAAGTGGAGGTATAATTAACATGATGGGAACATACCAGATTGCACTGGTGGCACATGGCATGAACAAACCCGTTTATGTGGCTGCTGAAAGCTACAAGGTATGCTAAACTCTTGTATTTTTAGAATGAAATATTTAATTCCAATATATAATGCGCTCAGTTAACTCACCAGCTACTGTATCAACAGGATTTCAGCATACTAGCATAGGATTCAGTTAAATATTTTTTTTGTCAATTTATGAATAGTTATTTACTTAGATATGGATTATCTGCTTTGCAGTTTGCCCGTCTATACCCATTAGACCAGAAAGATATGGCTCCTGCCTTACGTCCCATTGATTTTGGAGTACCCATCCCATCAAAGGTGGAGGTAGAAACATCTGCTAGGGATTATACACCTCCTCAGTATTTGACATTACTCTTTACTGATCTAGGTGTACTCACTCCATCAGTAGTCAGCGATGAGCTCATTCAGCTATACTTGTAGTGAATGTAATTTTGTTTTTTTTGATTGAAACATGTTAATGCGTTAGTTACAAACATGATATATATAGATGATAATTTTGGATCAAATGCAGAAACTTGGGAACTTTGGCCAATGGCATCATCTGCAGAGCTTGTGTTTTTGTGTTCTACAGATTTATTGTTTTCTAGGTTTATTTGATTCTTCAATTGTAATTGATTGCAATGATGGCATGTAGCCAGAGAAGGGTTTATAATAGTGTGTGTTTAGAGTTTGAGAAGGCTGCCTTGATTTGATAATAGCTTAGCATGTGTTTAGAGCTCGTTTAAGAGTAAGGATTATGAGCCCCCAGTGTAAGAGTAAGGATCATGGACTAATTTTGCTGAAAAGAAATAGTAGAAAACCAGTAAAACAAGACAGACAAAAGGAGTCTAAATCTGGTAATTGAAGTCAGTGAATTACTAATTTAATTTATTAGTGTCATTGTTAAAATCACAATTTGGGTTTTCCATTGAGAAACTTGTCTCTCAAGTCTGCAGCATCGATCTCTCCAAAATGAGATTCAGGAATCCAATTACCGGTCTTTGGATCTCTCATCCAAAATGACTTCTCCTTCACCTTCTCCTCCGCCAAATCTTCTGCTTTACCCGTCACTGATAAAACTGATTGCATGCTTCTGTTTTCTGTTGCAACTGCATATGATCTCCTACTGCAATACCTAATCAAAATATTAAAATATATACATATACATAGATCAAGAAACACAAACAATAAACGGTAATTACCAACCTGAGAAGAAGAAGCTTTTTGATTTGAAGCTTGTCCATGATTAGAAAAAGATAAAGAAATAGAAAGTAATGTCGTAGTTTTTTTAGTAAGAATTGTTTAGGGAGGTTTGCTTTTATAGGAGTTAAAGAGTCCTACTTGTTCTTGAGTTTTAAGTTCAGGAGTATTAATATATAATAATAATAATAATAATAATAATAATAATTGTTTTTATGATGAAAAGATAATGCAGAATTTGAAAGATTCAGTAACTTTTAAATACCTAATAACGTGGGCTATCTAAATACAGATGAACATCAGTCATCAGGTTCTTTTTGTATACTGTATAATTTTCCCAAGCCTTCTCAATTTATGAGGGACCGAATCCGACGGTAAGTGGAACTCTTATAAGGTGTTTCTGAGAATCAAAAACGACAAAGAACCTTTTCCTTATCATCCACGAACGACAAGGAAACCTTTCCGTCTATCTCAAAGCTTGTCTTTCTTCAATCCTCTTTTCTCTTTCACAGACCTCATTCCTAAAGAGTTTAAGCTTTTCAAGCTCTTTTTAGTTTGAATATCTTATCTCTGCATTTGAAGGCATACAACAATTCCATTAGACCAATCCTAAAGAGTCCTCAGAATCAAGGTTCTGGATAGCACCATCATGATTTCTCCTTTGATAGGATTCCCAATTATTCCAAATGCAAATTGCAAAAACCCTAATTATTCTCTTCCATCTTAATCCAACACCAACATTGAAAATGGAAAGCGATACATATACATATACACTCCAATTTTAATTTTAATTTTTTGGAATAGTAATTTTTTTTTCCCTTAGAGATACGAGAAAAAGGTGTAAACTTAAGATGACTTATGAGAATTAATTTAAAATACCATTTATCCAAAAATAAATAAATTTTAAATTTCTCAAATGCATTTTATTGTGTATAAACTTTACAAATTTCTCAAATTGCATAATCTTTGTAATTCTTTAAATTTTCCCGTAACCTTTGGTTTTTTCTAATGATATATACCTGCAATAATCTCTTGACATTGAAGCAAAGCATCTTTACAAAAATTTCTCTATATAGGCATCTCAGAGCATCTGCATCATTAAAGTTTCCAGTCTGGTTGTTCGTTTTTGGATTCTATGTTTCTCTTAAAGACCTTTAATTTTATGGGTATTGCCAAATGCAGGAACAAAATTAGGTCAATCTCTATTGGATTCACATAACCGAATTAAAAAAAAAAAAAAAGTAAAAAATCTATTTCAGATGGAACGGGCCTGGGCTCAATCGGACCCAAATCAGATCGAGCCCGCATGTCTGGATTACTACATGACAAGGAGAAACACATTAGAAAGGATGTGTCAGACGAGGTGATTATTGAAATAATTTTATCTTTCTTCCGGCCATGGATAGAATTTGAGATCCTTCACAACTTCCACGTTTCTCATATTTGACAACAGAAAAAGTTATTTTTATTAAATTTCATTAATTTGTGGGTGGGTCAGACACTTTCTTTTTTTGGAATCTTATCATACGGGCACATGTTCGCTGACACTTTCATTAATAGGTTTTTTTAACTATTATCATCAAATATTATTTAAAAAAAATGACTATTTTTTACTGTAAAGTCCGTAATATTATAAAATATGATAAAACCTAGAAAAATTATTACTAATTTATGCTAAAAGAAATTTAGCACATGATTTAATTTATGCTAAAAACAACATAAACCGTCCGGACAGTAGGCGTTGAATCACTGTATATCACTTTTCTTATGCGATGAAATACATGTGCAAACAAAAATAATAAAAAAAACAAATAAAAAATTCAAGATATGCTTTTATATCCACCTCTTCTTCTTTAACACAGCACTTGAAATTCCTCTCTCTCTCTCTCTATTGCTCAGTTTTTCTTCTCTGAATTAACAATGCTAGCAAAATTCAAAAGTCCCTTTAAGATGCTAGGAGGGTACTCTCAAGATAGCGAGACTGTGAGTTCAAAGAAAGCATTAATGGTTGTTGGGTTGCAAACCCTTGTGCAGATATCAGAAAGGAAATCCAATTATATTGTTATAAAATCTACAATGAAGAAAGTATATCACCACCGTCCTCCTGCAGCCACCACCACCATTGAATCTTGCTACCTCAAATCTTGTTGCTTGTGTAACAAAAACTTGAGCCTAGACAAAGATGTCTACATGTATAGGTAATTCTTCAAAAGCTAATTAAATACTTTTTTCCTCTTTTTAATTATTTCAGATTCCTGAAGAGAAAATTCAAAAACAACCTCATCTTTAATTATCACCAAGAAAAGAATAAAGCTTGTAAATTTTAATTTGTAAATCTTAAAACAATATTAGCTTCTTTTCTTCCCCGCTTTTCCTTTGATGGGATTGATCTAAAACAAATTGAAATGGCAGGGGTGATCAAGGCTTTTGTAGCATAGAATGCAGAAACAGACAGATTGTTTTGGATGAAATGAAAGAACTAGAAATATCTACTAAGCAAATGAGAAAATCTTATAGGCATTGTGGCTCGGCCGGCCGGAATGAGATACATCTACTCCTAGAAGAGCTTCGCCGGCGAGATAAAGCAGTTCCTCATACTCATAAAAAGCACTGGGCAATCGTTTCATAAACGTAATTTACTGTAATGTTGTTTTTTGAGTGGACCACACAGATATTCAGTGGGATAATGTAAAGCGCAAGAGAAAGTGACAACAGTGGGAACTTACATATATCTTTTTGTAACCCTTAGATATTTATTTAATTTATATATATATATAATGTAAATGATTATGAGAAATAATAATTTTTATTTATACGTTTTGTTTATGAAGAGTCACCTATATATGGGTACATGAGATTATTGTATAGTTAGTAGGACATCCATAAGGATTTTATCATTATCATAGATCCATGTATTTTATAATATAATTATTTTTATCAAGTTAAAGTTTGTGTTTTTTGTTGAGAAACTTGTCTCTTAAGTCAGCAACATCAACCTCTCCAAAATGAGATTCAGGAATCCAAATACCAGTCTTCGGATCTCTCATCCAAAATGACTTCTCCTTCACCTTCTTCTCTGCCAAATCTTCTGCTTCTCTCATCACTGATAAAACTTTGTTTTCTGTTGCAACTGCATAAGATCTCCTACTGCAATACTTAATCAAAATATTAATATACATATATCAAGAAACAAATAAATAAATTATAAACAATAAGAAACCAATAACCTGACAAGAAGAAGGTTTTTCATTTGAAGCTTGTCCATGTTTGTGGAAGAAAAAACAAAAAGAAAAAAAAAGATATAATGTAGGTTTTGTTTTTTGGTTGTTCAGTGAGGGTTTGCTTTTATAGTGTCAAAAGAGTCCTACTTGTTCTTCTTCTTGAATTTTTAAGTTTGGGAATATTTGTTTTTATGAAAGATTCAGTAACTTTTGTATACTTATAAAACATTTGTGTTTATATACACACACAGACACACTCAATCAATGAATGAATTTTGAACTCTAAACTATATGCACATATACAAATTTTTAAATAATTAATTTATACATTAATTAATATATAAAATAAGATTTTGAAGGGTTTAAAGCATTTGAAGCTCTTATTAGTTTGAATATAAGAACTCCACTAGATAAGAACTCAACCTCTGCATTTGAAAGAAGGCAAGGCATATAAGAACTCCACCAGATCAATACTTTTGAATATGAAGAAAGTAAGGATTATATATTGAAACTGACACCCTAAAGAGTCATCAAGATTCTGGATAGCAACATCAAGATTTTGCTTTTGATATTATAACCAATTATTCCTATACAAATTGCAAAAAGCTCTATTACAACAATATTGTTCTCTCCCAATATTAATCCAGCTCCAAAATTGTAATGGATTTTGATTTTTAAGTTAGGATTAGTGACAATAATGGTGCATTAACTGTTTGATATTTTATATTAAAAAAAATATTAATTTAAATTAAAGTAGAAAATTCTAAAAGATTGATCCAATAATAGGTTTAGTGACAAAAAGCTGGTTTTTGTGTCTATAATTGAAAGAACTTCCAAAAACCTCTTTGCAATAATACCTGCACCAGCTAAGTATTTTTCTCTCTTGATATTCGAGCAAGGTCTATTTACAGACATCTCATGGAATTACATGTTTGCCATTCTTCTATGAACTAGATTTTGATCAGAATCTGCATCATTAAAGTTTTTGTCTGCGTATTAATTTTTGTGGCTCCATGTTTCTCTCGATCGAGGACCTAACTCAGTTGTCTTTTAACAGCAAGTACTCTCTTTTTTATGGGCTGGGTTTCAGATATTTCTTACGTTGCCTGTTAAAACGGGCCTGCTTTAATCTAATGGACCCAACATCTATTCTTTAAAAGCTACAAGCTAAGGAGGGAAGTAAGAAATTGAAATCTTGGTTTTCTTCTCTTTGCATTAGGAACCTGCATCACATAATCATTAGTTTTCCGACCAGATTACAAGGTAAAGGATTCCGGTTGACAACTCCGAAGTAAACCTTCAACAAGACCTGCCTGAGCATATCATCCAAGGCTATTCTCACTTACCTTACTAATTAAAAACAAAAAATTAATTAATGAAACCCAATACTCAAAAACAGTTGATTAAAAATTAGACATATCCCTAATTAAGAAGGACATGTCCAATATAAGATAGTATCTACTCATTTTATTTTTCAAAAAAAAAAAAAAAGGAAAATTGATAATTAAGAGTTTAATTAAACTTCGATGATGACTAACAAACTATGTTATTTTTAATATAAAGATGGTAAAGAACTCACGACTAATATTCAAAGTTGAAACCAACATCCAAAGCATCCAAACCATCATTCTGACCCTCAATGAACTGGTTAATAATTCCCGTTTCACCAGAAGCATTATGAGAAGCCATTTCGTCAATCTTTATCAGTACATTCTTCTTCAACTCTTCTAATGACTCCTTATAACCTTCAAGCTCTTCTTTTTCCACATTATCAACTGGTAGATTCCACCAAAATTCACCATTGCTTTTCTTGTTAGTTTCGTTTCTTATAACATCCACAGCTCTTTCTATCTCCGCCAACCGGGTAAGAGATTTCTTGTACTCTTGTTCTTGCTCGGTTTCGGTCACAGCACTACTACTACTACTTTCCAATAAGTGACAGTTATCGTTTTTCTCCTCTGTTTCAGCAATATATCGATCAAGAACCTTGTCGACATCTGGGTTACCGAAAGAAAACACTTTTCCATGCTCGGAGAAGAGGATTACGGCGACATCGGCACCGCATAAGGTTGAAAGTTCGGTGGCTTTTTTAAAAATACCACTTTTGCGTTTTGAAAACGTAACATAACGGCTGTTTATTTTCTCCACTTTCTTGATCTCAATCTTTTGCCGGCCTTTGCTTGTCTTGCGCTGTTGTTCCTGTTGCTGTCGGTTGTTTGTTATGTCCATGGCGGTTTAAGGATTGTGCAAGAAGAGGAAAATTGTTATGGTTTAGGGTTTCAAGTTTCAACTTCGAGTGATTGTATTTATAGAAAGGTTATTGGCTTGGGTTTTCAGTCCTTGGATATTGAAGATCCGACGGTTGTGTTTGAATTTTCCAATTTCCTATTTTGGGTGTTAGATACCGGAAAAATCATGTTCCTCAAGTCACCGGCAATTAACTCCCTAATGAAGGAGGAATATATGCTCCCATTGTCGGTAATATTCCAACCGTGCAATTTGTGAAAAGGTTATACGCAGCGTTTCACTTTCAGGATGAGATGCATGTACCACACGTGTAGCATTCTCGCACGCACGTGTGAATCTTAAAACTTAATGGGCACCATAATTATGGAAAACTCTGATTCTTGGGCCCAACATTGCTTTGCTCTGCCATCTCAATTCAATTTCTTCAACTGGCCTTCGAGTCATTGACCATAGAAAGTTTCTATCAACTTGCTCTCTACCCACAAACATATGGGTCCATTTGTATAAATTGCTTTTTCAATTTTTACTAAAAAAATTCCTTATCAAGCATAATGCAATAACTGTGTGTTCTTTCTTGTAGTGTAATATTCAATTAATTTAAACATGAAAACCAAAAATAATTATTTAAAAAAAGAAAAAAGAAAAATTAGTATTAAACTTGCTGATTTAAGTTCATGATTACAAAACCCTTGTTGAATAATCATTTTGGATATTCATTTCATGTAGTATAATACTTGGTCATTAAAGCTTCATCATAGTCTATTCTAGCTACATTTTTTTTTTTTTTTAATTAAAGGTTGAGATTCTCACAGGCCAGAAAATCAGGCCAGCTTTAATTAGGTTTGAGTGTTTTTTATTAAGTCTAAGTACATAATTAAAGCAATCTAACTAGCTTAACTAGGTAAAGCACTAAAACCCATTCTAATACAGTGGTAAATCCTCATATTTGTGGCCCTAAAACCCATTTTAGCTTCAAAGATAAAGATGGTTAGGTTAATTGCTTTTAGCCGGTGCATAAGGGTTTTGAGAGAAATTTTAAAAAAAAAGTGCACAAAGTTAATTAAAAAATCCCTAAAAAAAAAGCGATTCAATTATCATATTTGCAACCGACATCAAAATTTGGTCAGCAACCAGGTTTTGAGCAGCGGAATCGTGATGGTTGCAAATCGGTTTAGATTGAGATTAGGGACTGATATTTCGGTCCCTATTTATATTTTTTTTAGTGAATTCATTAATTTTATAACTTAATTATATATATATATATATATAGAGGAGATTTCATGATAATAAATAAATAATCTGCTTTTGTAGTCACTAATAACAATATAAAAGGGTAAAAGGGTATATGTGATGACTATATAAAAAGAAGCAAAATGATGTAATTATATGCTCTCTCTTTAACAGATAATCAAGTCCTTTCTTTTCATATTTGCTTTGCCATCACTCTCCAAGTTCTTGTGTTTAACAAAAGTTGGTAAAGAGGAGAAGACAATAATTGAATTAAGAGGGTCAATAAGAAAGATGATGCAAGAACCTTCTCATAAACCTAACTACTTTCTTTTTTTTCTTTTATAAAGGCATTTGAATTCTAATAATCAACATCAGATACCCTTTAAAAAGTTTTACAAGGAAGATAAGACCATGAAAATATGGAAGTTCTTTAAAAATGGACATGAAAGGTTTTACTTTGATTCAAAATACCAAATCCATACCCCACACTTGGAGGCCTGAGGCCCCTTCCTTCATCTTCTTTACTACTCATAAACCATAATTACACTTTCAATAATTGCCAGTGAACTGTAACAACCCCACACAGAGTCCTTTTCCCTAGTCTTTACCATCTTCTTCTTCCTTTTTTTATTATTATTATTTTTCTTTTCAACTCTCTTGTTTGCAGTTTCATCTTGTGATTATCCATCATCATCCTTCCAAGTCCAAAGGTTAATCCTCTTGTTTCTACCCTTCACTGTTAAACTATTAACAAACCAATATCTAATCTAAAAGATTTGTTTACTGTGCTTTGAATCACTTTCCTTTGAAATTCAAAGATTTAGACAAAACTTGTCCAAAAGAGACCGAGTTTTGTCGTCTGAGGAGTCCCCACCATTATAATTTATAATGTGAAACAGAAGAAGAAGCAATTAAGCAACATTTTACCTGTGGTTGATGATCAAGAAAACAAAAGCATTGATAATTGTATTATGGTTTGCATATTAATAAGTTTCTAAAGAATGGAACCCACCACCAATTTTTCTCCCCTTCCAAAATGGTAATCATGCTTCAAGATTATAGACAACTGTCCTTGCCATGCGTGTAGCAACTAGCAACTCTTCTAAATTGGTACCAACTCTCGATGAGCGATCATCATCATCATCATCATCTCTCTATTAATTTCTAGGGTTTTTTTTTTTAAAAAAATTGTTCCACAGAAATAGTTATTCGTAGTTTCTTTTTATTATTACTATTGGTTAAACAAATTATTTATAGTTTTATTAATAGATAAATGTGAAATAATTATTTCAAGAACATAACAAATTTAATATATTGTTCGTTAGCTGTTATTTCCCTCCTTAAAGAGTTTCAAAATGTCCAAATATCAATATCAATGTATATATAAATGGGTTCCCACCTTAGCAATTTCAATCTTTTGGAAAAGTCCAAGAATTCAAAGGAGGGAAAAAGAAAAAGAAAAGTGAAAGACAATTAGTAGGTTGTTGGCTGTATTTTTGCTTTTCGTTTCACCATCATTGATATTGAAAAAGACTGTGAACGATGGAGGCCTTTAAAATTCTGGAAAATCCCCAACCATGCATAATTTAATCTTTCATTTTTTCTTAGAAAAAAAAAATTATGACTCTCTAAAATTTTAAAAGTGAGGTTGTAATTTTTTGAATTTTTACCTTTTATGCTTATGGACATAAAATTGATTTACTTTTCACTATGTGTGTGAGATTAATAATAAAAGAAAAAACAAAATTTAAAAGATTACCATATCAAAAAGTGAAATTATAAACTTATTTTCGAAATTTAAAGGGTGATAAGCTGAATTAAATAAAAAATAAAAAAATTAACTGTTAAAATATTGGAAATTACAATGTTGTCTTAACATTTTAATTAAAATGATGAGGTATGCTTATCTTTTTAATTTGAATTTTTATTAATTAGGAATTCTTTTTATCGATTAGAAAGAATAATATATTAGAAATACGGTTGGAATTAAAATATAAATCTAATTATAATAATGTAATTAACTAATTAAATGTGCTGACATGAAGCTATCTCTCTTTTTTATTTATTTATTTATTTTTAATGTAAAGAATGAGAAGAGCAAATATACGAAGTGGCAACAACAGAGGTCAATGTCACGTGTGAAGCGTCCACACGTGAGAGAGGAGACGGCATTAATTCTTAATTCCAAAATAGGTAGATTCATCGGCGTAAATAAATGCAATATTTTAGTTCATTAGTTTGTCGCGTTTGTAACACTTGTCGTTTTGATTTATGAATTTTGAGTATTGGATTGCATCACATTAATTACTTTTTATTTTTTTATCCGCAAAATAAATTTTATTTTATTAAAACCATAATGTCCAAAAAATTTAAATTATTCAAATATTATTCCGAATCAATAAACAACGTTACCTTAATTACTAATTTAATATATTTAATAAATATGGATATTATATGAGACAGGTAATTTAATTTGCGACTATTTGAGGCACATTAATAATTTTAGCAATCAATTCAAAATAAAATGTAATTTTATATATAATAAATCTATCGATTCGATGAATTTAAGTGTTAAATAATTGAAAAATATTATTTTTATTTAATAGAATACTCACACATGTTAAAAGGAGAATCGAGCATTATTCACCATCAATACATACATCTCATATATTAATAACTGCTAATTAATATAAATATAATAGTGTCTAAAATTATATATAGTTTTAGAATTCAAATGAATTATTCTACTACTTACATTATATTTTAAGTGTTTTCTAAAGTAATTGTGTAAAAATGAAAAAAAAATACTTTAATTAATTAAATTACTATTTTATTAATTTTAAAAATAAGGAATAAAATAAAAATATTTTAAAGTGTAAGACAATATTATATTTTAAAGTTTGAATAATTTTTTTGCTGTTTCCATAAAATTAATATATTTGATGTTAAAAGACTAAAAATTATAAAAAGCAAATGAAAGAAAGCAACAAAATCCCACCAATTTCAATTTGAAAAAGGAAAAAGACCAAGATCCAAACTTTGAAAACTTTCAACCACCAATGGACAATAGTCCAAATGCAGTACTTACCCATATCGCCAGCATCACTAGGCCACCACACATGTCCATTACTCCATTTTAAAGCTACTCAGTGACAGTCTGCCATAGCTCACACTTCCATACCTCATCTCTTTCTCGTCCATGGCTATTTTCCTTCTCTTCTTCCTTTCTTTACTTTCTTCCTCCTTTTCTTCTTCTACGAATGACCTGCCCAGAACCTACATAGTTAAAGTCCAACACGATGCCAAACCAGCTATTTTCACTCTCCACAAGCACTGGTACGACTCTTTCCTTTCCTCCCTCTCCTCCTCCGTCGATAAAACGCCGTCTTCCTCCCCGCCTTCTGAGTCCCGTATCATTCACACTTACAATACTGTTTTCCACGGCTTCTCTGTCAAGCTTTCTCCAGTTGAAGCGCTTAAGCTTCAAACCTTTCCCCATGTACTCGCCGTCATTCCTGAACGTGTCCGGCATGTGCAAACCACGCGGTCCCCTGAGTTTCTTGGTCTAAAGACCACCGACAGTGCTGGGTTGCTTAAAGAATCTGACTTTGGCTCGGATCTTGTTATTGCAGTTATCGACACCGGAATCTGGCCTGAGCGGCAAAGCTTCAATGATCGGAACTTGGGTCCTGTGCCAGCGAAGTGGAAAGGGATTTGTGCAAGTGGTAAAGACTTCAGTTCATCTTCTTGCAATAGAAAGCTTATAGGAGCTCGTTACTTTTGCAATGGTTACGAAGCTACCAACGGAAAGATGAATGAGTCGACGGAGTACCGATCTCCACGGGATTCCGACGGCCATGGCACTCACACCGCATCCATAGCCGCTGGCCGTTACGTATTCCCAGCTTCAACACTTGGCTACGCCAAAGGTGTCGCAGCAGGAATGGCACCTAAAGCTCGACTGGCCGCTTATAAAGTATGCTGGAATGCCGGATGCTACGATTCCGATATCCTCGCCGCATTTGACTCCGCCGTTAACGACGGAGTGGACGTTATTTCTTTAAGTGTCGGCGGCTTGGTGGTTCCATATTATTTAGATGCCATTGCTATTGGTTCTTTTGGAGCTATAGATCGGGGTGTTTTTGTCTCTGCCTCTGCTGGTAATGGCGGCCCTGGTGGCCTTTCAGTAACCAACGTAGCACCTTGGGTTACAACAGTTGGTGCTGGAACTCTTGATAGGGATTTTCCAGCTGATGTGAAGCTTGGAAATGGAAAAGTAATTCCTGGTATGAGTGTTTATGGTGGGCCAGGTTTGACTCCAGGTAAATTGTATCCTCTAATTTATTCTGGTAGTGAAGGTGCTGGAGATGGTTACTCTAGTTCATTATGTTTAGAAGGTTCTTTAGATCCTAAACTTGTTAAGGGCAAAATAGTGGTATGTGACAGAGGAATAAATTCAAGAGCAGCTAAAGGTGATGTTGTTAAGAAAGCAGGAGGTGTAGGAATGATTTTAGCTAATGGGGTTTTTGATGGTGAAGGTTTAGTTGCAGATTGTCATGTATTTAAAGGTACTAGACTTGGCATTAGGCCGGCACCTGTTGTCGCTTCATTTTCTGCAAGAGGTCCTAATCCTGAATCCCCTGAAATTTTAAAACCTGATGTTATTGCTCCTGGTTTGAATATTCTTGCTGCTTGGCCTGATAAAGTTGGACCCTCTAGCGTTCCAACTGATAACCGAAGAACTGAATTCAACATTCTTTCTGGAACTTCAATGGCCTGTCCTCATGTTTCTGGTTTAGCAGCCTTGTTAAAGGCTGCACACCCAGATTGGAGTCCAGCTGCTATAAGGTCAGCCTTAATGACCACTGCTTATACAGTCGATAATCGCGGGGAAACAATGCTTGACGAGTCTACTGGAAATACTTCGACTGTGATGGATTTTGGTTCTGGTCATGTTCATCCACAAAAGGCCATGAATCCTGGCTTAGTTTACGATGCATCAACACTTGATTATGTTGATTTTCTCTGCAACTCAAATTATACTATTAACAACATTCAAGTTGTAACAAGAAGGAAAGCTGATTGCAATGGAGCAAAAAGAGCAGGTCATTCTGGAAACTTGAATTACCCATCAATGTCTGCTGTATTTCAAGAGTATGGGAAGCATAAAATGTCTCATTTCATTAGAACAGTAACTAATGTTGGGAATCCAAATTCTGTATATAAAGTTACAATCAAGCCACCAGTTGGGGTTAATGTCACAGTAGAGCCAGAAAAGCTTGTATTTAGAAGAGTTGGGCAAAAACTGAGCTTTCTTGTTAGAGTAGCAAGTAGGGCAGTGAAATTATCACCTGGAGGGTCAAGCATGAGAAGTGGTTCAATAGTTTGGTCAGATGGGAAGCATACAGTGACCAGCCCTCTAGTCGTTACAATGCAGCAACCTCTTTAGGAATTTTGCTTTATATTTGTGTATTCTGTAGGTTTATATATAAATATTTACATATGTCATCTCTTTATGTATAAAGAGAAATGTATGAGGAGGGTTTAAGGTTTTCTATATCAGAAAGCAAGAGTTTGGGAATTGGGTTTTTAATGTATAATTAATTTGGGTAGCAGAAGAGTCTAGAAAGAAAATGTTTGTAGAAATGTTGTATGTGTGTGTGGGTTTTGACTAAGAAGCCAAAAAATCATAATGAAAAGAAGACTTCTCTTTTCTTTTTGGAAACCTTGTAATTGAATCTTCAACTAATTATAATTTCCTGTCTGTGCAATGCATGCATGTGAGATTATCTGAGGATTAATTGTGATTATTTATTGTTAACAACATGCAAATTCTCAGTCAAAGTAACAGAATGTACCAAGTTTAGCTGCTTAAGAACAAAGGTATCGCAATAATAACAATAATAGGACAAAAATCATGTGGGGAGGTTTGTTTTATGCTAAAATGGCTTACCTTCCTGTTGTTTTACATTTAGCAGGTCCTGTGTGCTGCTTTTTAGTAACTGATTAACAGAAGATCAGTTAAATTTTTAATTGTTTTTGTTTGTGTACTCCGTGTCTGGACCAATTCATGTACCTAGCATTAATTTTGTTTTTCACTTAACACACATTAATATATTATGGACAGGTACTCGAATACTATCCGCAAATTTTATTTTTGAAGGTTTTATTTGAAGAGAAAGATCACATCAAAAAATTTCTTAGCTGTAACTTTTAAGTGGGTATATGTACAAGAATTGAAGTTTGGAGCTTTCGTAATGGCTATGGCAAGAATGGAAAGGGAAGTGTCAAGCTATAAATGGAAGATAATGAAAGGCTAAACCCTATATAAATGGAAATGGTATCTCTCCTGTGAATGAAAGCAACTTGGCCTGAAAACTTTACTCATGACTTAGAAATTTGCTTTACAAGTAATGGACCTCCACAACGTGCATTTTAGGTGGCATTCTGGTGCTTGCTGCCTCATATCAATCATCATGTCTCTTTCTCTTTCATTTTGATAGTTTTCTTTCTGGTCCTCTCTGTGTAAACTGCAAGAAAAAAAAAAAAAAAAAAAAAAAAAAAAAAAAAATCCATCCTCGGAGCCCTTCTGTGCTTTTTTTTCTGGTAAAGATAGCCTTTTTACAGGTAGTTTTTACTCGGGTGTGAGGTCGCTCATTTATCATTTCTGGAAAAAAAAAAAAAAAAAAAAATCCCCATCCTCGACCCCTCCCCTTCTTTTTTTCTGGTAAAACCCTTTTACCCTTTTTCTCGTAGAGCAGCTCATTTATCATTTTCTGGAATAGATAGTGTTCATAGTGTCTAAAATTCATAGTGTTTAAATTAATATTTATTTCAATTTCTTATAGCTGTATTTACTTATCTTATTTATGAAATATAAAATATATATCCTGAAATTGGAAATTTTGTTAAAAAAAATAGATTAATGGTGTAATTATCCATCATTGTTGATAGAAATAGAAATATCCATACTTCTTGGGCTAGGCAACAACATACGAGCCCATGAGATTGCTTAGTCTCGTTTGAGGCCCACCAAAAGTAACCCATTTTCAATGGGTTTTTCTGCTTTGCTATTCCATCCCCACAAATCCTTAAAGATGCAAGAGTTGTTTGGTAATTGGAATATATGTATTTTCGAATAGGTTAATGGCTTAATGCTATAAGGATAAGGTAATCCAAATAAATGTGAATTAATGAGGATAATTATATAATTTCATTATAAAAAATGAATTGATCAATACTTACATCAAAATTTGCTACCTAAAATTGTACAAAAAAGCACCAAGAATAAGAAATTATATTAATTTAATACAAGTTTAAAATTCAATTTCTTTACTTAATCCAGTATAGCAGCTAAAAATTGTGAGACATCTTTTATTTTCTAATAATTAAGATTTCTGTACATCATCAATTTTAACAACCCAAAAAGAACAGATTTTATTAATAAAGCTATTAATTTACAGAGGACACGACTTCCAATATCGTTTCAATCAGAACATAAATTTGAATTCTTAAAGAAGATAAAACACGTGTCATTCATGTAAATAAAATGTAAAAACGGATCAACCGGACGCGTATTAAAAACTCATTGATACACAACAAATCTAAAAACGAAATGCTTTCGTAATCAAGTTGATCTACATTTATTGCTACCAGTACCCATTACTTGATTAAGATTAATAACTATAATTTTGATTGATTAATAAATTTCATTGACATAATAACCAGAGTTGTAATGTTTAGACTAGTCCAGAAACTGAGGTTGATGACACATTGGGTACTATCGCTTTCATCAACAGTTGTAACAGTTATAATTGGCATCATCTTAGTAACTATACGATCTAAAATGACATTTCAATTCCAGAAAAATCTTAAAGATTCATTTCCATTGTCCAGCATTGAAAATACCACTCTCTAATGTGGGCCTATTTGGTATATTCAGATTCATGGCACCAGGCTGTCAAAGCTTTATGCTGTCTTTCAATTTCAACATCAAAGTTCTCTAATGCACACTACTGCACCTCATCAAAGTCCATCCATTTGTTTTTGTTAGCTGGTGCGAAATGAAACGGGTTATGACCTGAATAGGCAGGCTCAGTGTCAAAGAGTATTTATAGAATTAATCATTATATCTTGGATCATGTGTTTGGTCCTCTCATATATAAATTTCTTTCGGGGAAGCCCGTTTTTCTTTAATGGTAAACGGAAATTAGTTAGATTTGTGGACCGTTAAACGGAAATGTGTTTGAATATTTCGTATAAATATTTAAAAGAAAAAAGGTTATTAAAGTAAATACACAACTTCCTGTTTTTATTAATTAACTCATTTAAATATTTTTGTTAGCTTGTGCGAAATGAAAGGGATTATGACCTGAATGGACCAACTCAGTGATAAAGAGTATTTACAGAATTAATTATTATATCTTGGATCATGTGTTTAGTCCTCTCATATACAAATTTTTCTCGGGCAAATCCGTTTCTCTTTAATGGTAAACGGAAATTAATCAGATTTGTGGACCGTTAAACGGAAATGTATTTGAATATTTCGTATAAGTATTTAAAAAAATAAAAGGGTTATTAAAGTAAATACACAACTTCTTGTTTTTATTAATTAACTCAATTAAATATTTTTTTAAGATATGGATTATGATAGATAACATCGTATCAATCCATACTTATTTTTTTATTAAATATCTTGTTAACTCACTCTCTATCTTTGACGAAGCTTAATTGTGAAATTTTATTTTTTAAAACACTAATTAAACAGTTGACAGATATTAAAAAAATATAACAGCTCCTTAATCCTATCGAATAAATTATTCGGGTTAAATATAAAAAATTTATCTATCCTGACATAAAAAAAAAAAACTGTAGACATACGTGATTGTTTTATCGTGGCAAAACATTACATGTTGAGGAGGTCGGCAAAGTTGTCTGTTTTTGTGCAAAAAGATTAAGAAGGCGGTGTCTTTTTTTACACTAATCACGTGATTACTACTCCTAATTCTGTATTTATAAGCTTTATTATTATTTTATTTTTGATTAAGAAAGTATATCCTGCTATGATTACTGAATTTTATCACTATTAATTTTTAATATTATTTGATCATTTATGTTAAAAAATAATAATTGATGTCATATACATACTTACGATAATAATTAATTAAATTTTCATAAATTATTTAATATTTAGCATCAAACAGATATTTTTATTAACATTTTTTTTTTACTTTAAACCATTATATAAATAGTTAATCATTAATTACTAATATTATAAAAGAAATAACTTAATTAATAATTTTTATCTCTTATAAGAATTATACGAGAAATTATATAAAATCAAATTGTACATTTTTTTTGCCCTCAATTAGCTTAACTCGTTACTTCTGTCTATCAATAGGAGACAGCGAAGATAAGAGAACCATCTTGGATAGCTCTGCCCGAAATCAATAATTTTGATCAAGTGATTAATCACAGCCGTTGATTATTCAAAGATCATCCTGAATAATCAAAAAAAAAAAAAAAGATTTAAAAATAAAATCCCTTGAGATGCAAAAGAAAAATATTTCTCTTGTTTGGAAGCTATCCCTTTGGAACGTGTAGGCCACAAGCCTTGCCTCTTAATCATCTTCTAGGGCTCATTATTGTTTAAAATGCTTTTTTTTTTTTTTCCATTAATATTTTTATATATTTTTTATGATAAATTGAATTTATGATAATTTGTCTGTCAAATGAAAAGAATGCCACTTGACTACCAGGCCAAAATTTCAACCAAAGACAATGACGATTGATGCTTGAACATTTGAATATGTAGCCACTTGGGTCAATATCCCATGTTTAAATAATTTTCAACTTGCAAGTTGGTGTTTCCTCCACTCCATCGCACAGAAAATTAACTCTAAATCAGGTGTGGTCGGATTAATTTTCTTATTAGTATAAAGAGTGAAATATTTCGAATTCAAGTCCTTTCAACTATAAGAATTTTTATTAATTCAGTGAATTAAAAGAAATACTATCCTTATTATACAGCTTAACATATTATTTCGATTATTGAACCTTTTAAGATATAAAAAACAAAAAATCTGATAAATTATATTTTAATTTGGTGAAATTAAAGTTTAAAAATTTTAAATGGTGTGAAGATAGATAAAGATCAAGATTATGAGAACTTGACAAAAGCTAAAGTTGGTATACAAACATTGTACCATTAGAATAAATCATGATCAATGAGAAGCAACTTGTTTATTAATTACTATATAAATCACTATTAATCTATCATTAACATTTTAAGCAAAATATAATAATAACATTTTTTATTTCTAAAAGGTAAATTTAAGTAAAATGGATCAGAACCAAACAAAATTTAGAACCAGCTGCCTCTATCTTTCTAAAAGTTAGGAGTTAACCCGAGAGAGAGAAAAGAAACCGACTTTATGCTATTTTGTACATTTACTATCTGATGTCGACCACATTTTGTTTCTGCTGACAGGGTCCTAAAGGATGTGACCTGTAAAACACTGTTACTAAAATCATGCCTTGAAGTTTCTGGCCAGTATAATTTGATCGGTTTTTTCACTTATGTAAAAATTTAAGAGTTTTAAATTTAAAATCTCTCGATATTAATAAATGAGAAGAAGGATTGTGCTTATATTTAGCTCGCAATGCCCTTGATTCTCAGACGTTGATCAAAATAAAAAAAACAATATGATTGATTAATAATTTAACGAGTGAGTTATAAAAATATTAATAATAAATGATTATTAATATAATTATCATTTAAGATAGTTATAATATAATTATAAATAATTAAATTACAAATAACCAGTGGTTAGCAAGGACACTTTCATGCATTATGTTAAATATCAAGAAAAATCCATTTTTGCTTCAAGAATATATTAAGAATTGTATTATTAAGACTTGTATTATTTGTATCAATCTATGAAATCAACGTATTCGGTTCAATCAATTTATTTCAATTTCCTTCTTTAAATTATTTAAAAATACAAATTGACCAAATTTTCAATTCAATTTATCTATTTTTTCCGGTCAGACCAGTGAACCAGGCATAAGATAAATAATTCTAAGTTAAGCTAGTCTCCAACAACTTCAATACTTAATACATATTTTAAAATTATTTCATTAAATGAATTGGGTCAAAAAAATTTTTATTTACAATATAAAACAGATATTAATGTAATGAATTTCATTATCTGCTCATTTCAATAATTAAATATACATTTCGATTTTAAACTATAAAATAAAATGGTATAAAAGGTCAAAAAATACTACCAAATATCTGTATTCCAGCAGAACTCTCTAGAAAAAGTTGTGGCAAAGACAAACGGTGACCATTATTTTCCAAGTTGGCAAAAACGAACACCAAGTTGATATTGTCGTATCGCTGCACCAAAACCAATGCCATATTATTATTACTTTATACGTCAACTAAAATGCAAACGCGTGTTTATTTCTAATTTCTTTATTTTTATCTATTTATGGTCAATCAATTGATCAATCAATCAAATAAACACGCACGTTCTAATTTACTAATTAGCCCTTTGTCCCGACTTTAAAAAACTTTAAACATGTGTGGGTCCCTCTCTTTTTCTTAAACAAACACTTTTATTTTGTCGTCTTGTATTATTACTAGCTCACAGCAGATTCCGGTGCATGAACCTTCTTTTTTACCTTTTTACCCCTTGATATTTTGGTTATTACCGGTCCCATCTCATTTCTGGGCTCAGATCGTGCGGAACATTCCAAATTATCGTCAGATTTTTTTTTTTTTTTTTTTTTTATTTTTGTCGGTCTGATATTTTATAGTCCAGGCAATTCCGGTGCAGGAACTTTCTTTTGTTTACCTTTTTAGCGTCTTGATATTTTGGGTTAGTTACTGGTCCTATCTCATTTCTGTGGCTTCAGATGTGCGGAACATTCCATTTTTTTTTTTTTTTTTTTTTCAGGTTACCCTCTGCCGTACAGTAGCCCGATGATATAGTTCAGTCTACCCATATCTAAGACATGGGGCTCCATCTCGATTGTCCACTTAAGAGTTGTAAACGAAACGAGCTTGACCTTTTTTTTTTAATTTAATTTTTAATTAGTTGAATTTAAGTTTTATATATAAAATATTAAAAGTTTTATTTCTCATAAATGTATAACATTTTGATTTTATTTAGAGACACGGACTGTATTTAAACATAATAATACTTGATTTGTTCGTAAATTAATTAAATTTACGTAACCGAAAATACGAACGTATCAAAAAATTAAATTGAACTTTTCCTTTATTTTCTAAATAGGTCACTCGTTGATGGTTTACATATAAGGTTTTTTTGAGTCATTTTTTTAAAGTCAAATTTACACTTCTTCCACCCAACCCAACATAACAATAAATTAATAAAATAGATTTTTTTTTAATTTCTTGATTATTAATCCAATTGATAATAATTCAATTTCAATGGAGCTAATATTAATATCTTCTATCACATCATATCACAATAGCCATAGCTTACACGTAACGGTGTTTCTTAACGAGTTAATGCATTTAATGGAATATTGATTGAATAATTTTTAGAAGAAAATAATATAAACCGAAAGATAAATTAACTATTTAATCTAGGATGCGGAAACTTTGGAAAAATTGAAAATTAAATCGAATTATTTTTTTGCTTTTGGTTCAGTTATTTAGTTTTCAATTTTAGGTTCGATTTTAATTTTTTATAATTTCATTTTTCGATTTTTGAATCAATTATTATAAATTAATTATTTTATAAATAAAATTCAATCGTTTAACCGAATCGAACCAATTGATTAAGTTTTTAGTTTTCAAACTTATTTCGCTGCGGAACGGTTCCAACTTTCCAATCGCCCGTTTTTTCACTCTTCTAATTTAATCATTAAATTTCAATTAAAATTTATATCATATTTGCATTATGTAGCAAAAATTGTGATTCATTCTTTAAACTTAGTTGGATTTAATTATTTAGTTATTCCTTTTAAATAGTTTAAGGAAATTAAATTATACAAAGGAATATGTGATTTTGTGTAAAAATGTGATAGTAATTAAGAGTAAAAGTAGGAAAATAATAGTTAATTACAGTAAATATATGACTGCGGAATTCGAAATTTAAGAAAGATTAGGTGACTCAGCGGACAATTAGTAGAGTCAAATAAGGTTACACCGTCCTATTTAGTTAGGTAAACCTAAAAGGGTGGAATTGGAAAGGCATTTGGACAACATTAATGGCACGTGGAAGACGAAAACTCGCATTTCTGATTTATTCCACCAACCCATTCAATCTTATTTTTCAATATCAATACAAAATATTTAACTTCTCGGACAAAATTAAATTATGATTAATGAAATATTTCAATTTGAATATCTTAAATTATAAATTTTTAATTTAATTTTCACGCTAATTTCTAAATTGAACTTAATTGGAAAAAAAAAAAAAAGAAAGACAGAACGTGAAAGCTACACCTATGCCATGGATTAACTTAACTCGAACAAATGACAAGACCATTGTTTCTACTACATTCCTCCACGTCTCATCACTCTCCTTTGTTCCTCAAAATGTGGGTAAGGAGGAGAAAAGAACAGAAAAAAAAAAAAAAAAGAGGAGGAGAAAGAAAGAAAAAAAAAAAAAAAATCTACATACGGTTACAGAAAACCACGTAAGAGCGTTAGAGTTTTATAACTGTGCAGCTCGCCCTTTGTTGTCTGTTATGGATAAGCATAAAACCATTATGCTATAATTTATCTCGCTTTCTGACTAATAATATGATAGTATATAGTATAAATATATAGTATATAATATGTTAAAGATAGATATTTTAAATCTGTTGAGCAACTTCCGCCCCACCTCATCTTATTTATTGCGATTTTTTTGCATAGAATTTGATTTTTTATTATTAGGGATTAAATCGATTTTTAGGATTTGTTTAGGTATAATTCATTGTAAGATCTATTACAGTAGCACTTTTTGATTTGTTTTATTATAATAAGTGTAAACATTTATATTCATCATAGCTTATGCATTTCCATTTTTTCTTCCAAATCAACAATATATATATAAATATGATATATATATATATAGTATATATATATGTAGATGTCTAGTTAATGGGTGTATCAGGTAGAGATTGGCTAAATGGTAAAGTTATATATGCTAGTTAATGGGTAATCGTAGAGATTGGCTAATAGGTAAAGTTATGTAACCGGTTTAAGCGAGTATAATTGGATAAATTGGAATTTGACTTTAAATAAAATATCTTATCCTGAATTATATTTGCTTAGACCGGATTCGACAACTCCATTTATAAACCAAAATAAGAATTTTTTATAAATTATTATTGTTTTATATTTTTTTTTTAGTCTATGGTTAGGAATATTATCTTTTAATAAAAATTTCTATTTGCATTGATTTGATCTATGAGTAGAGTTATGTATCCTTCTTATTTCTATTTTTATTTTTTCATTACAATATCTGAAAATAAAAATGATATTTTTCCTTACAAAATTAAAATGACATTTTATAAAGACAGTTTAATATACTTTCCGAAATTAATGTATAGAGTAACTAATTCAGTTAAACTTTATGAACTAAAGTAGTTTAGTAATGTTTGTTTTTAGAACAAATTAAATTGAAAAATTTCATTAAAAGGAAATCGTATACAGATATAGAGTATTGATAGTACTTTATTAATGTTAGTTAAGTTAATTTATAGCACTCTTGTGAGACCTATATTTTGTATTTTTTATATTTTTCAATTAAGCCACTTTTGAAATTAGAGTGAATTAAAATAAGATAATTCAAATTTTCTATGAGAGAAAATTCATTTTGAAGTGAAAAGGAAACAATTTCAAAAATTTAGAGTGAAAAATATAATTTAACAATTATTTAGTAAATTTCAAAAATTTTTATTTAAGAGACTATTAAATATAAGCATATACAAGCAACATGGATATATGAAAATCTTATAAAATATATAGATATATGGCATGTCCATTAAAATATATATCTTATATTTATTGGATATGATTTTTATTGTATTAATGACGTTTATATTACTCCAAATTATGAGAAAGAATTATATTATTTTTAAAGTTAATAATTTTTGATAATTTTGCACACTATCCCGCATAATATAATTTTTGATAATTTTATACATTTTTACGGTTCAATTCAATTTAATTAAATTGAAATATTTAATAAGGTAAGTCTACATTTATAAATTTTACTAAATTTATTGCAAATGGTTGAATTTATGTTTTTGGCCCATTTTACCCCTTCAATTGCCTTTCAGCAAATGGGAATCAAAAGAATACACGAGGGTATTAAGGTAACCCAGCTATGACTAACTCATAGCCAAATGTCACAAAAGTAATTTCACAGTCCAATTTGTCATTTCCGCACAAATATAAGAACCTCATTCCTTACAAGCAACTCTCTTCCATTACAGCATTACTTATTAAAACCCCTCCAAAATTCGCTCTCATTATTTCTCTCAAAACCTCAAGTAACCATTACTCACCATTTCGGTACCTCTCGTTAGAAAGTTTTTTCATTTACGTCCCTATAGTGATAGCCATCATAAGCTGCTTCAGCGACAACCACCATGTGTGGCGGTGCTATCATCTCCGACTTTATACCTCCCGCGGTCGCTGGGCGATCTTCTCGGCGGTTGACAGCTGATTTTCTTTGGCCTGATCTAAAGAAACCCATTGGAAAGCAGTACTCAAAACCTGTTGTTGATCTTGACAATGATTTCGAGGCTGATTTTCAGGAGTTCAAAGATGAATCTGATGCCGATGAGGAAGATGATGTCATGCTTGATGTCAAGCCTTTTGCTTTTTCTGCTACTGCCTCTCCTCCTGCTCGCAATCGCTCTTCCTCTCGTGGTAATGATTTTTACTTACCTATTTTCAATTTAAGATTTTTTTTTTCTTCCCCTGAATTTATTGCTTTTGTGTTGCAGCTGATTCTTTTTTTTTTTTTTTGAAAGTTTTCCGTTTTAATTACTTTTAGTTTTAGATCTTTATTTGAATGTTTGAGGTACTTGTGAGTTGTGGCTCACCATAGGGATTATCTTCTGTTTATATTTATGATTATTGCTCAGTTTGGTTCTTGAACTTTCATTATGTCAAGTTTGATCCAAAATCAACTTTTGGATTAAAAGCAGAAAACTCAATATTTTATTATTTTTGTCAAAAATGGAGTAAATTGATATTGATCATAAACTCAGTTTATGTTCTATGTTATTTCAAAAACTAATTTTGTAGAATTGAATATTCAATAAACAATTATAAAGGATAAATTGAGAGTTTATTCTTATACTTGTAGTATGATGGTGTTCTATCACTTTTAATTTTTTTTTTTTTTGGACTTTCTGGGGATTTGAGAGGAAAGTATTTATGAAATTTTTATGGTTTATGAGTTCTCTTATCATTTCCATTAGATCTTGTGTTCTGGGTTGAGGTAGACCTTATGGTAATAACCTTAAAAAAAAAAAAAAGAGATGAAGTAATTGTTGCTACTTTTTTAGGCTTTTGGGTATTAAATCTGGTTTTTTGATTTTTGAAATTGCTTCCAAGTTTTGTTTCTTAATTTGTCTATTATTATTTTTTCAGTTGTTAGATTTTGTTTCCCTTGTGCTAAAGGACATCTCATTTATCTTTTTATCCTATCTCCAAATTTAGTTATTTCTATGTCCTCTTTATCTCGGTATTTTTGCTTAGGAGCAACAGGAAAATAAACAAAATGGAGATACAAACTCATCCTTTTTTCATTGAGTGGGGGGAAGTCCATGCCATGTGGTGTTATGCTATTCCTTTTATCCATCCTTAGCTTTAAAGCTGGGATTTTTATGTGATAGTTTTAGTCTATATCAACCTTCAAACTGTTGGCAGTTAAAATTCTTTGTTGGCTGTGAATTTGCTCTTGCGTCAACATAAAATTTGTGTTTAATGATTTTAGTGCTGATCCTTGAAAAATTTTCCTCTAAATGGACATAAAAGAGAAAAATTTTCCTTTCTGCGAGAAGAAAATGAAAAGATGATATCTTCTCAGACAACAAGTTCTGTGTCAATCATTTAATATATGGTGCTTTTTAATTGCATTTTTCTTCTGAAAGCTTGTTTGTTTCAAAGGATTTCTTTTGGTTTTTGACCTTTGGTGGTTTCGTGAGAAAAAAAAGGAGTGTGTTGAATGATTTCATGATCTTTATAAAGAACCTAAGAATATTTTGCGTGTGTATGTTTATTTGGAATTTTTTTTTTTTTTTTTTTTGAGTTGGAATCCAGGAAGAGTTGAAAATAGGTGAGTAAGGTATTGGTAATTTTCGACGAGGCACTGATCGGAACAAACTTTTGTGTGCAACTGCGATCTAGTGGATGGTTAAGTATATGGTGGTTTTGTTTAATTGCAAATTTTCTTAGGAGAAAGCTTTGGTTTGTGTTTAAAGCAATTTGCCTGATTTTTGGTTTTGTACTGTTGGTGGTTTGTTCGTGAGAAGAAAAAAGGAGTTGTTGTTGAATGATTTCATGATCTTTATAAAGAACTAGAGAATTATTTTTGCGGTGTAGTAATGGTTTAGTTGAATTTTGTTTTTTTTTTTTTTTTGGGGGGGGGGGGGTTGTGGTTATTTGTTAGCACATTTTTTTTTTTTTTTGGGGGGGGGGGGTTGTGTGTTATTTTTGCACATTAATGATGGGATTTTGCTGGATTATGCCAAAGATGCAGTTTTGTTCTTTTATTCAGTGGAACTTTCTATGCTGGGCATTGTTCCTGTCTTTTGATGGCTTTATTTAGTGTCTAATATCTTTGCTTTATGATTTATTGAAGGATCTGCAGCTGTCAAATCTGTGGAATTCAATGGGCAGGCAGAAAAATCTGCAAAAAGAAAGAGAAAGAACCAGTATAGAGGAATCCGGCAGCGCCCATGGGGAAAATGGGCTGCTGAGATTCGTGATCCCCGGAAAGGGGTGCGTGTCTGGCTAGGAACATTCAATACTGCAGAAGAAGCTGCAAGAGCATATGACGCGGAGGCACGTAGAATTCGTGGCAAGAAAGCTAAAGTTAACTTCCCCGAGGAAGCTCCGCATGCTTCACCAAAACGTCCATCTAAGGCAAACTCTCAGAAATCACTTGGCAAAACAAACTTGGCTGAGAATTTGAATTACTTGGACAATCCAGAACAGGACTACTTCAATTCTATGGGCTTTGTTGAAGAGAAACCGCCAGTGAGCCAGTTTGGTATAATGGACTCTCTTCCTGTTAATGGAGATGCTGTAGTAAACTCCATTACTCCAAGTGACAATGTTCCCATGTATTTCAATTCTGATCAAGGGAGCAACTCTTTTGAGTGTTCTGACATTGGATGGGCAGAGCAGGCTGCAAAGACTCCTGAAATCTCATCTGTTCTCTCAGCTACTCCTGAAATTGACGAATCTCTATTTATAGAGGATGCTAACCCCAAAAAGAAGCTGAAATCTGACTCTGGCAATGAGGCGCCTGCAGAAGAAAACAATGGAAAATCTCTGTCTGATGAGCTGTTGGCCTTTGAAAACCAGATGAACTATCAGATGCCTTATCTCGAGGGGAGTTGGGAAGCTTCGCTTGATAGCTTCCTGAATGGAGACACAACTCAGGATGGCGGAAACCCAATGGACCTGTGGAGCTTTGATGACCTCGCTGGCATGGTTGGGGGTGTTTATTGATCAAAATCTTCATTACTCATTAGCTTCTGTAAATAAGTCTACATGTTAGTGAGTTTCTTTAGCCTCTTGTTTGGTTGATTGTTATCTATTTCATTGATAAAAAGTTCATTTTTGCTATTAGGTTTCTAAATTAATTTTCTTTGCTTTGTAGGGATGATTCTGTGTCTGATATGTAGTACAAGCAATCTGGACTTTGCTTAATCCTCTGTGGAGTAGGTGTTCTGAGGAGCTTTTGGTGCAAGAGTAGTACATAGGTATTTAGGTTCCCATTTACATTTTGAGACATTGGACTTGGCTTGTTGAATTTGATGCTTGTATTTGGCAATGCCAGTGTGATTTGTGTTGAAAACTAAGAAACTCATATGAAATTTAACTCTGCTGTTATTCTCTGACATTCGTCTTAGGTATTAAATTTTACATACGAGGCCATCATTTTTGAATCAGTTAATTCGTGCTTCATGATGACTACATTCAATGATAAATAGCTTTATTCCTTTAAGTGGTCTCTAGAAAGTTCAATTCCTTTCCCTAATTAGACTTTTCAATGTGCTTTCCTGTGATTTTGTGCCATTTACTGCAGATTCTGTCTCCAGTCTTCCTTGCACATCTTTGGCTCTAGACTCTCTTAAAAAAAAAAAGAATTAGGCTTTGGTGTGCTTTTTTTCTATTGTGTTAGATGAGAAATGGAAGCTGCACAGATTCAAATGTTGAAAAACACGGATTTTACTTATTTACTTTTCAAGGATGATGCATCGAGTCAAGTTAGACTCTATTTTCCAGTTATATGCGTGTTTTTATTTTTCTTTTCCGGTTTATGCGCGTATTCATAGCTTTAGAGCGAATGAATGATATTGAATTCCTGATTTTACAATTTGTGCTGCTATCTTTTTATTTTCTTTAATTAATAGAAAAGCAAAGTAGTTGAGTATAGTTGGATTAGGGGCATGATTTGTTGATTTGTGTAACACGTTTATTTGGTAGTTGACAGCATATGGATGGGCAGTGAAATGGGGGTGTTAATGGCCATTTCCTAACTTTTTTTCGTGTTTGTTAAGCACACACGTGATAATGAGGTATTAGTAGTCCGTAGTAGTGAGGTTGGAGTCGCACGTGTGAGGGATTGGTAAGAAAGAGCAAAATGACGGTGGTTGTGTCCATGTGTGTCGTACGTCGGACTCCAATCTTTAGGCCGAGTAGCTCCAAATTTGAGATGGTGGAAGTCAAATTGTGGGGTCCTTTTTCTCATATTTTGGGGGTCACAAAACCTCGAAATGCGAGCCCTGTTTGGCTTCTTTTTGTGCGTACGGTTATAATGGTATGGGCGACTGATGAATCAAACGCGGTGTTTGGATCTGAGAAGGAAGAAATTTAGGTTAGAATTATTTTTTAATTACAATTTACAAAAATATATTTCATACTATGTTTAGAAATCTAATTATTATTATTTTTATTAATTATAAAAAAATAAAAAAAATTTTGCTTCCTTCCTGCATCCTGCCCCGACATGAATAATATTGTCCTATTTGGTGTCGTTCAGAATAATATATAGGTGAGCTGTGATGTCACGAGTGGAGATAGGTTTGCTAGGCACTGACAGCTGACAACTGAAACTATTATTTTCATTAATGACATGGAAGTAACAAATTTATTTGTAATATGTTTTTAAAATAACATGGATGTATTTGTATGTCGTAGATCAAACTTCATTGAGAAATTAGTAATTTACTTGGGTTATTTAAAAATGTCAAAGAGGCTCTCATAATGGCCCATCACATTTAGCCCATCAATTGGCACATAAAGCCCATCAAGAAATTTGCAAGGAGTCAAAGAAATTATCAACTATGATCCTCCTCTGGGTACAAAAAGTGTTCATATTTTGTTTGAAGTCACATTAAAGAAAGGAATAAGAGAATTCAATACTTAAGAAGTAAACATCAAATTCCTCCTTTGGAATCAAAACCTATAATCTATCTTAAAATCACCTAATTCAGCTTTATCTTTTAATCTATTTTGGATTACCAAAACTACTCCAGAACAAGAATGAGGACATCTAATGGAACTCTGCAATTCTTTTTCATTCAAGAGCTTCTGTTTGTTTTTATTCACTCTCCTTCTTTTCATAGCCATAACCATTGGAATTATCACTTTGGTTGTTATCTTCATTTTGAGGCCTAAAGGACCAAGATTCTCTCTTTCAACAATAAAGGTAGATTCATATCAGTTAAATGTTTATTCCAGTTCAGATCTTCTTCTTTCCTCTGTTGTTTCTTTAACCCTAAATGCTCAAAATCATAACAAATTTGGTATAAAATTTAGCCCTTCATGGCTTAATCTTTACTACAATGGAATCCCAATTGGCCTAATCCAAGTTCCAGGATTTTACCAACCAGCTCAAAGTGACAATATTGAAGTGAAAACAAAGATTTCTCTCCATGGTGTTAATGTTACCAGAATTATTACAGAAAGTTCATTACAAGAAAAGAGAAAGAAGAAGGTTGTTCAGATGAAAATATTAGGTGATTTGAGAGTGAAACTAATATTATTTCGCCTAAGCTCGCCAAAGTTCAAGGTTTGTTCTGTTCTGTGTATTGAACTTAATTAATAAAGATAATCAGTTATTGTAATGATACATCTAATAATTACCAATTCTTGCAGGTTGCCTTGGAATGTGACATAGATTTGGATTATACAGAGCTTCCATTAAAGAATTATCAACTCTTCAATATGGATGTAATTCAAGATCATCTCGTACGTATTAGTTCATTTCTGTTGTTTTCTTCTCATTCTGATATATATATAATACATCAGTGATGTATCTTTTTTCAAAATGATTGCATTTCAGGCATCTTTTCCTGGTAACTCTGAATCTTTCTCCAAGAAATGTACATTAGCTTTCTACTTGTAATGGTGGTAAATTTCAAGGCTTGACATACGTATATTGATCATTTTCAGTTTGCTATAATTGTATTGAACTCGTAATGGACTCAGAAGCGATTGTGATCTTGAAATGGTTATCTACTTTTCTTTGTATATTTCTATTTTTAAGGAATTCAAAGCTAATGTAATCTTGTTTTAGTTTAGGTAATGCAAATAGGTTTGTCTGGAAAGCTTGTCAATGTTCATGAATGACAGGGGAGGAGATTTTTTTCTTGTCCTTTAACTGCAAGAAAAATTCCCAAACCGAACAGGGGGACAATTTTTTTCCTCGAATGACTACCGACAGGCCCTGATATATTAAGCCTAAGCCTACGAATGATTCCAAAACCTGAAAGAAATAAGGTCCTATCCAGCTGCAGGAATTTGGTTTCCTGTTGAACTCAAATGATAAAAATGTAAAAATGCCATTAGTAATTTTTCTAGTTATTACAATGCACTATAAAGATACAAGAAGGAAATAAAAGACTTGGTAAGACCCACAGGTGATAGTAGTCTATGGGGTTGTGCAAAACATCCGACCGAACCAAATCAAACTGATCCATTCGGTTCAGTCAGCATGCTCAAAAAGGATTCGTATTTATAAGTTTGAGCCAAATTATTGGTGGTTTGGCTCAATTTTATAGAAACTAATCATTAGAATTAAAACTGATCAAATAGTAAAAGCCTTTTGTAGGGTTTGAACCGAATTATTAGTGATTCGGCTCAAGTTTGCATAAAATAATCGTTAAGTTCAAAAATGACCCAAAATGATAAAAATGATTGAATCGACTGATACGATTCGAATCAATTCGATTTAAATAACAATTTCGATAAGAAAAATTTTAATTTTATATTTTTTAGAACCGAACCAACCGTTTGCTGGCCCCCAATTTCAAAATCAGTCTGTCGGCTTGATAATTGACATTGAAGGTAGGCAATAATACGAAAGGCAAACTGATATATATGAATTATGATATATTTGTTTGGTACATTTACACTTTCATTGGCTGAGAATTTTGACATGATCTTTACCTATCATTTTTATATTCAACCGCCATTATCATTCTTTCTAGCAAATTTATTTTTTCCGAAACAATAAGCAATTATTAATTTATTTGCAATTTTTATGGTTTAAGAGATGAAAAAAAAAATAATTCCATTTCATGTTACTTTAATTTTGTTTTAATTTCTGAAAATGCATAAATTCCATTTAAGATTTCGTTTTTCTTTTTTTTTTTTTGGGTTAATTAATTGATTTTGAGTCGAATTTTAACTTACAATTTCACAGTTTGAAGACCAGTGTAACATGATAAAATATAGGCTCATTATTGGTTCTAAGATTTTGTTATCTACATTTTTTTTTTGAAAGAGAAACTCATAGCCTTTTATTCATTATCATAAATCTCGTACAAACAATAAGGAATATAATTCCAGATACGTAGATGCGTAAAGCGAATAGAAGCTCGAGCCAGGGTATGAGCCTTTAAGTTCGCTTGCCTACGAATCCATCTAGACGAAACCAAAGGGAGTTCTAAAAATAAGTTCTTACAATCAGAAATAATACTCCCCACATCCGATCTGAATAAAATAGAGGAGCTCAAAGCAAAAAATAAAACCTGTGAGTCTATGAAAATAGTACCTCCACGCTCAACATAATTTTGCTTGAGAATCCCCAGCGATCCGATCTGAATAAAATAGAGGAGCTCAAAGCAAAAAAAAAACCTGTGAGTCTATGGAAAATAGTACCTCCACGCTTCAACATAATTTTGCTTGAGAAATAATAAAAAACTACGAAGACTAGAGCCTCAGCAATAAAAGTCTGACCACCTTAAAGTGGCCTGGCCTGAAACTGCTCGAATAAAAATGCCTTCCTTTGTCTCCATCACTGCTCCAAATCTTTGAATGCCTTCTTGCTCAAAAATAGAACCATCCACAAAAGCTTGCCATGATTGGTCTCCTCTGTTGCTAAGACGTCCGGGTGAAAAGACGTCCGGCTGGAAATATTGCAAGCCTCTGCCGACTTGTATTTGAGGATGCACTGGCCATGATTTTATCAACACATTTGGTAAAATGAAGTAGGTGTAGATCTATCTCGATCAATGACTTGTAATAAGGAAAAAAAAAATTATATTTGGTCCACAAATTTCTAATTATATTTTCCACTCCAAGATCGTCAGCAACAATTAAAACAAACCATAGACTTGGTCCAAAAATTGCAACTATTACAATTTACATCTTGCAAATATTCATGTTGACATAATATTCATGTCGACCAATAATTCAAAACTCCAAGTTGACAAAAAATAATTAAAGAAGACATTTCAGCACGTACGACTTTCACTCTACAAACCTTGCCATTAAAAATTTCAGCTGTACTCCTCCTTAATTGTTGGGTGGTGTTTCAGATGTCTATTAATCTTTTTTTTTTTTTTTTTTTTTTTTTTTTTTTTTTTGATTTTTTTTTTTTTTTTTTTTTTTTTTGATTTAGTAAAATAGCCGTTAAATTGAAATCCTTTTGGCCACAATTGTAATAATTTAGTACGTCTCTGATCTGGGTGGGTTCTTCTGTCATAAAATATGTCTCTCACATTATCCTGTCCTCCTAACATAAACCCATATAAAAAGCTTGTAACTTTTTTTTTGAACTTGTTGCCACAATAATAATAATTATATGTTGAATTTTTTTGAGCACAATATTGATAAATAGCCCCATTTGCCAATTTTTAGGGATCATACATTCAATTTTTCAAAGCAACTTAATATAGAAATACTTGAGTCTAAACAGAGACAATTACAAACCTGGAAATGATATTACTTGGAAATGATATTTAATTTCATATCATTATATACAGTTTTGAGATTGGATTGAAGTATTTTCAATAGTTTTTCCATTCACACAACATGACATAATAATAAAATTTCAGTATGACTTTCTTCTTTTCAAACATCACAAGCCTTTAATTGTTAAATCCCAAAAAGGCTTGAAATTGCAGTTAATTGATTTACATGATTTTTTTAATAGAAAGCAAATAATGACAAAGTTACTTTTATATTTATATTTATATATTCACGAGTTATATATGCACTAGAAAGATTTCTGTGATTAATGTAAAACAAAGTCAGCCATGGCAAAGCTGTTAAGCTCTCTCTTCTTTGCTTTCTTTCTTCTTCTTCATCATCTGTTTTTCCTTTCAACAACTTGCAAAGCAACAAAAATTACAAAACCCGACGGAAAACCAATCGGAAATGTTCCTTTCTTCATTTTTGGTGACTCATTTTTGGATACCGGAAACAACAATTACATCAACACCACAACTCTTGACCAAGCAAATTTCTGGCCTTATGGAGAGACATATTTCAACTTCCCCACAGGACGTTTCTCCGATGGCCGTTTGCTGGCGGACTTTATTGGTGAGATATCTGCAAATCTTTATGTTTATGTCTTTCTTGTTTGTACAAATCTCATGTTTGGTTAACCAACAAAATATTCTGTCTAAACCTTTTTTAATATTGGCTAATCTTGCTCATTCATTGCAGCTGAATATGCCAATCTTCCATTAATCCCACCATTTCTTCAACCTGGGATTGATCGATATTACTTGGGAGTGAATTTTGCATCTGGGGGAGCAGGTGCTTTGGTTGAAACTTTTGAAGGGGATGTAAGTTTACTGTTACAATGAAAATTATCTAACAGTACATAATTTTTAAATTTGGCACATATATATATATATATATATATATATAATATACTATCTCACATGTTACTGAGGAAACCTGTCCACTCAAAGATTGCTGAATGTACTTTTGTTCAATATGAACTTTCATTGCTCTGTTTCTTTTTTTTCTTTTTTCGACCTGCCTGCTATATCCCATGTGCGGCAGAACAGGGTTATATATATATATATATATATATACTATTTTCTACATGTTACTTAGGGAAACCTTTCCACTCAAAGATTGCTGAATGTAACTTTTTGTTCAATATGAACTCATTGTCTGTTCTTTTTTTTTCTTTTTTCGACTGCTTCTATATCCCATGTGGGCAAGAACAGGGTTTCTATGCTTTTCAAGAAAAATTTGGTTTTCAAAAGTAAAAACGGGAAAAGGTTAAAGATTAGGGATTGATCGAAAGCTTTTTATCGGTCTCAACTTGCATAGTTTAAAACCTGCATATTCTGTTGACCCAAATCTTGTGGATGATGTAAGCTTAATTTCAGACAGTTATGCTTTTTCTTGGTTGGATGCACCTAACACTAACATTTTGGGTCCACTGATTTTTGAATGGTATAAGATAGAATGCTTGATGTGTCAAACTCAAAAACTTAATGGCATGCTATCTTCCATTTTTTCACAATTTCAATCAAAGAAAAAGAGATGAAGCTAATCCTTTATTGTTTTTATTTGTTTGGTTTCCATATTAAAAATGAGTTTAAAATATCGAGATTTTTAATTTATATAATAATGAAAATGTTTAGAATTACATGCATTTCATATTTTAAAAAAACTATTGTTAAATATAAGAAAAAAATACATAAAAATGATAAATTGTGATAGTCATCGGAAACTGGGGACTAATGGTATTATATCGAATGATATATGTTTGTAAAATCATAATAAGTTTATCAAATGTCGAAAATGTTTTTCTCTTTCTGAAAATAAAATTTATTTTCTTTTAAAATGACTTGGATTCTTCTTCAATTAGGAAAACATCTTTTGTTAATTGATTTTCTGAGTAACTAAAAATAAAAAAAGCTGAAAAATATTTCTCAAATAAATTATTTTCCGTAAACAAATTTTAAATTTGAAAACGAAAGATTTCATTTAGTACTTAGAAGAATAATGGCACTAAATAGTGATGTTGGTGTTGTTAGGTGATTGATCTTAAAGCACAAATGAGAATGTATAAGAAGGTGGAGAATTGGTTGAGACAGAAATTGGGAAACAAAGAGGCAAAGATGAAAATATCAAAAGCAGTTCACTTGTTTAGCATTGGAAGCAATGATTATATGAGTCCTTTCTTGACCAATTCCACTCTCTTAAAGTCTTTCTCCAATCCTACATATGTTGCTATGGTCATTGGCAACTTGACCGCAGTAATTAAAGTAAGTCTTTCTTTTTTTACCTTTTTACTCTTTTTCTTCACGAATATTTTTATACCATTTGGGTATAAAACGAACAACATCTCCAAACACATACGTATACGAACTGTCTGTGTGTGTGAATTTCATAGAGTGATAGAGTAACCAAAATGCTTTTATTGTTTTTGAATGGGCAGGAAATTTATGAGCTAGGTGGCAGAAAATTTGCGTTCATGAATTTGCCAGCATTAGGCTGTGTTCCTGCTATTAGAGTACTTAAACCAGACAACAATGGCAGATGCTTAGAAGAAACTTCATTGCTGGCATCATTACATAATAAAGCTCTCTCCAACCTCCTTTTTAAACTTGAAAAGCAATTGAAGGGATTCAAATATTCATTCTTTGACTTCAGAACCGGTCTTCAACAGAGAATGGACCATCCTTCCAAATACGGTATGTGCATAAAAAATCTACTTTGTTTTATTGATAAATTACCACTTAGTTCCTATAATTTAATAATTTTACGACTCAAAACTTCTGTCTTCAAAATAATTATATTATTCCTCTATTTCCTTGTCATTAAATTGAGATGACAACAAAATAGAGTGACTATTTAATCAATTTTTGAAAATAAAGGCTTTGACTTGTAAATTTTACAAATCTTAAGGATCAAATAGTACATTTGATGCTGTTGGCAAATTTTGGACTCTAGCCCATTTTAGTGGGCTCCAATTTTGATTCTTATGCATGTCTTGCTAAAAGGCCTAGTATGGACTCTAGCCCATTATATTATATATATGCATTTTCTGAAAGTTTTATATTAAATGAAGATTATATTGGTAAAGTTGGATTTGGTGCTGAATTGGAAAATTGGGTAATGAAGGTTTCAAGGAGGGGAAGATAGCATGCTGTGGAACAGGGAAGTACAGAGGAGTTTATAGCTGTGGAGGAAAGAGAATTGTGAAGAAATTTGAATTGTGTGAAAACCCAAATGAATATTTGTTTTGGGATTCTTTCCATCTCACTGAAAAGGCTTACAGACAATTGGCAGATCAAATGTGGAGTGGGGATACCAATTCTCTTGCTCTTGGGCCTTATAATCTCAAGCAACTATTCCATAGTTGAAGATTTGCACAAAATTAAATTAAATTTATTTTTCAAGTACATATCTTCTACTTTGATTTATAAAATTTTGAAAAAGATGGGATACTTTAATTTTTTTTTGGTGTGTCTAAAGAATAAACTACTGTTCTTACAGTTTTGATTGGTACTTCTTGTGTAAAAATATTTTGTTTTAAATTGACTATATTTAAATATCAAATTCTTTAAAAATGGATTTAACTTGCAAAAATGAAAATTAAACTAGTAAGATAAGGAAATTTGATATGGAGTATAGATCACTCACACCATACAAAAGTACAGGATAAACTTGCTAGAAATGGAAAGAATTTCTCATTTTCCTTCCTACCACTCGAACTTTCCCTGAAAATGCCAAATAAGAAGAAAATAGCAAGAAAAGTTAAGAAATATTGTTCCATAGTACCTCAGCTTTTCCTTATATTTCTGAAACACAGTTGCATCAGGGTAGACAAACGTCAGTTTTTCTCACAATTGGATAAGGTTGTGATTAACTCATCCAATATGTACCATGTTCAAACTGATAAAAATAGCTAGAGAAGTTGACAACTTTAACTAAACATGGGAAATTTAAAGTTGGGTTTTTCTTTCTTGATTTTCTGTTCATGTCTGCTGATCTCAACCAGCTCTGCACAGAGTAATAATCTACCATCTCAAGATCATAAGAACTTTCCCTTATTCATCTTCGGTGATTCTATATTTGATGCTGGTAATAATAATTACTTGAAAACTGCTGTTGCTCGTGCAAATTTCTGGCCGTACGGAGAAACATTCTTTAAGTGTCCTACTGGGAGGGCCTCCGATGGTCGATTAATTCCAGATTTTATTGGTACCAAACTTAAACTTTATTTGTTCTTCTTAATTATAACAAAATCGATATATTTACTTACTTCTTTACGTTTACATTTTTTGTTTTTTTGTAGCTGAATATTTGAAATTACCATTCATCCGACCATACCTTGAGCCGAACAATCATCACTTTACAAATGGTGTGAATTTTGCATCAGGAGGAGCTGGTGCTCTGGTCGAAACTTTTCAAGGAAGAGTATGACACAATCAGGCTAACTATTTTTATTTAAATTACAGATTTTTTTTGTATTTTTCTTAATTTCTTGATTATTAAACAGGTTCTAGACCTTAAAACTCAGGTTACTTACTTCAAGAAAGTGGAGAAGCAGCTAGGGCAGAAACTGGGTAATACAGAAACAAAGGCATTATTAGCAAGAGCTATTTACTTATTCAACAATGGAGGCAATGATTATGCATCATCACCTTCACTAATAAACTCCAGTAGCGTGTTTAACCACTCAAGAAAAAAATATGTAGCTATGGTTATTGGCAACTTGACGACTGTGATCGAAGTAATTAATTTCATATTTAATTTAAATTTTCCTTTCTTTGATGTGGTTTTTGAGTTCATTTAACTGTTAATTTGGTTTATCAGGAAATATATGAGACTGGTGGAAGAAAATTTGGGGTTTTAAGCATTGGAGCATTGGGGCTTTTACCAGTTGTGAGAGCAATAGAAGAAAATGTTTCAAGTGGTTTTAGTGAACAAGTTACAATTCTTGCTAAATTGCACAATAACGCTCTTTCTAATGTGCTTAAGAAGCTACAGAGACGGCTACAAGACTTTAAATATTTATATTTCGATACCTACAGTTTCACGATATGTAGAATTAACAATCCTTCAAAGTATGGTAAGTTCTATCGAATTAATTTATTTCATTACTATTGTTTAGGAAAACTTAAGAGCACCAAGAACTATACTCAAGCCATGAGGCCTCTCAAAATTATTTTCTAGCAAGGAGGAGAGTTTTTTGATTGAAAACTTCCTTTTTTTTTTTTGGTTTTTGTGAATTTTGCAGGTTTTAAGGTGGCAAAAGCAGCATGTTGTGGAAGTGGACCCTATAGAGGATTGGGAACCTGTGGAGGCATTGGAAATAAAGAATATGAATTATGTACAAATCCAAGTGAATATTTGTTCTTTGATGGCATTCATCCCACAGAGAAATTCAATTATCAACTTGCAAAGCTGATGTGGAATGGAAGCCATAAGCTTACAAGGCCATACAATCTCAAAACACTAGTTGAATCATAGATAAAATGTACACTACCATTGTAAATTTATCTACACACGGCGATGGTGTACGAGACTAACGTTATAAATAGTGTTTTGTTTTAAACGAAAGTATTTGCAACTATAAACTCGAAGTTCTTTTGTTAAACTCTTCTTTTGATTAGTTTAGTGTATAAAATCGATTATCCATACACTAGATATAGATATAGACAACTCTGTCATTGACTGCCATTAGACGATTAAAAGTTAAAACGACAAAACGTCTACTTTGTGTTCATTCCGCGACCAAGCCAAACCACAACATTGTCAGTACCACAAATGAAAAGAATTTCTCGTGTTTCTAGATAAGGGAAATTTCTCATTTCCTTCCTATCACTCGATTATTCTCTAAAAATGCCAAATACAAAGAAAATAGCAAGAAAAAGTTGTTTTATATTATCTCATCTTTTCTATTTTTCTGCAAAATTGCATCCCGGAAAAGTCAGACGTATGTCTAGTTTTTCTTTCGGTTGGATAAAGTTGTTTAATTCATCCTGTGGACCGTGTCAAAACAAAAATCTAATCAAAATAGAAGTGTAAAGCCTCACTTCTATACTGATAAATACAGAAGAGTTACAACTTTAATCAACTAAAGATGGCAAATTCAAAGTTGGGTTTTTCTTTCTTGATTTTCTGTTCAACTCTGCTTATCTCAACGAAGAGCAATAATCTACCATCTCAAGATCATCAGAGAGTTGCCTTATTCATCTTTGGTGATTCTCTATTTGATGCTGGTAATAATAATTACCTGAAAACTGATATTGCGAAAGCAAATTTCTGGCCGTATGGAGAAACATTCTTTAAGCATCCTACTGGAAGGTACTCCGACGGTCGAATAATCCCAGATTTTATTGGTAAGAAAAAATTGAAGTACACTTTAATTTCTTCTGCTCAATAATAACAAATTTGATTTATTTATTCTTAAACTTTTTTTCTTTTAGCTGAATATTTGAAGTTACCGTTCATTCGACCATATCTTGAGCCCAATAATCATCACTACACAAAGGGAGTGAATTTTGCTTCAGGAGGAGCTGGTGCTCTATCTGAAACTTTTCCAGGACAAGTGTGATACAAATTCTTAATTAGGGTTCATACCTATATTTAAATTACATTTTTTTTTTGTATTTCGTTAATTTCTTTAATTATGAAACAGGTTTTAGACCTTAAAACTCAAGTTACTTACTTCAAGAAAGTGAAGAAGCAACTGAGGCAAGAATTGGGTGATTCAGAGACAAATGCATTATTGTCCAAAGCTATTTACTTATTCAGCATCGGAACCAACGATTATTTTTCATCTTTATTAACAAACTCTAGTACTGTGGTTAACGACAATTCAAGAAAAGAGTACGTAGCCATGGTTATCGGCAACCTGACAACTGCGATCAAAGTAATTAATTAATTAATTAATTGATTAAGTTTTTCTTTCTTTAATTTACTTTTTCAATTGATTAACAGTCAATTTGGTGTATCAGGAAATATATAGAAATGGTGGAAGAAAATTTGGGGTTTTAAGCATTGGGTCATTGGAATTTTTACCAGTAGTGAGAGCAATAGAACAGATCAATCGAGGTGGTTTTAGAGAACAACTTAGAACTTTTGCTAAATTACACAATAATGCACTTCCTCATGTGCTCAAGAAGCTACAAAGACAGCTACAAGGTTTTAAATATTCATATTTCGATACCTATACTTCTTCAATTTATAGAATTAACAATCCTTCAAAGTATGGTAAGTTTGTGAATTAATTATTTTCGTCCAATTATATTTAATTATGTTATATTGTGGTTTAATTGTTCAATTAATTCTGAAGGTTTTAAGGTAGCAAAATCAGCATGCTGTGGAAATGGACCTTATAGAGGAATTGAAAACTGTGGAGGTACTGAATTTGAGTTATGCAAAAATCCAAGTGAATATTTGTTCTTTGATGGCGGCCATCCCACAGAGAAATTCAATTATCAACTTGCAAAGCTAATGTGGAGCGGAAATTTTAGGGTTACAGAGCCTGACAACCTTAAAACACTAGTTGACTCATAGGTCAAATTAATAAGCTATGTTTGTAACCAAATATTAATTGTTTTCAAGATATAATTAAGGCTTATATAAATTTTTCTTTGCTGTTCAAATATTTTTATCTGACAATCATGGTGATGATGTAACTGTAATATTTTGCTTTCTACTTGCTTCTTATAGAGCACATCAGGAAGTGCCTCGTCAATTCGAATCCTGATAAGTCTTTGACAAGATAGGAAAAAAAAAATGGAATGAACATATTTGTTTGGCTTTTATATAAATTAGTGGGGACTGAGAAGTTTGGTTCGACAAACTTTTTTCTTTTTCTGTTGTCATTTCTCTTTCCGTTTACAATTCAAGGGAAAAAAAAAAAAAAAGAACAGAACAATAGCACGTAGGATCGATAATGCAAGGCTGCACTGAAATTCAGCATAAAACAAATCATGAAGTATGATTGATTGATCTCGAGTCATAATTGTAGCCATTCATCTACATTCTAACCTTTGAGTCTTATTTCAGTCTATTTAGTAAAATTAATTGTTATGGTAGTTGTTAGCTATTTTAATAATTTTTCATTGAACGTTAATAGCTAAAATGATCTAAAGTTTTATAAAACCCTAAACCATTAATCTCTAAAAGCTAATTCAAAAATTGTATTACCAAACATTATAAAAAAATAGCGTTTAGCGTTTTGATAAAGGCTTCTTAAAAAGCTGTTATTGAACGGTCTTCACCATATTTATTTATTATATACGAAAAATTCTTATATTATATATTTGGCTGAATAAGTATACATAGAGTAGTTTTTATCTAAACGGGATATTTCCAGACTTCTTTTTTCTAGTGGAAAATATCCGAAGCCCATTAGCTGGCTAATCCAAATTTATGTAAAATAGGACTATGAGGGGGTAAAGCACCCCCTGCGAAAGGGTACTTAATTCAGATGACATCATGATGTGGAGTAGATCACATATGGAAAATCATTAGTAGGAAGAAAAATATAATAATGTTAGTATTTTTAGTTTGAATCCCTTTGTAATCTTGTGCAGACATGTGAAAAAAATATGCCTAAATAAAACAATAAACATTTGTATTTTAACCCTTAATTCAAGGGACAATGTTGGATTTTTTTCGTATGAAGTTTTTGTATTTTTCTTCCTTTACAGGATAGACTTGCTGAGTTCACCTTTCTATAGAAAAAGAAAATTTCTAATTTTGCTTTCTATTACTCGAATACAGATAAGTAAATATTCTGTTGAAGGGCAAATTAAAAGAAAGAAGCTATCTTTCTTCAGATGGATATAAATTAAACCCTACAAATACATGAACGAGAATAATAACTAATTGGGGAATGGCCAAAGATAATAAGAGTAGCAGAGTGAAATAATTGAACTGAACATGGCGAATTTCGGATCCAATTTTCAATTATTGGTCTTCTGTGGAAGCCTTTTCATCTTAATTTGCAGCCTGAGACCAGCTCTATGTTCTTTAGAGAAGCATTTCGCATTGTTCATCTTTGGAGATTCACTATTTGATGCCGGAAACAATAACTACTTTGAAACTCCATACAAGGCGAATTTTTTTCCGTATGGAGAAACATTCTTCAGGCATCCGACTGGAAGATCATGTGATGGTCGGATTATTCCAGATTTTATTGGTACGTATCGAACTTCTTCCACTCTTAATTTCCTATATTCTCTAATAATTTCTTACACTAATTAATAATCTGTTGTAGCTGAGTACGCAAAATTACCATTTATTCCACCATATCTGGACCCCAATAATAATTATCTGCTGATGGATGGAATCAATTTTGCATCATCAGGAGCTGGTGTTCTTGTTGAAACTCATCAAGGCGATGTATGTCATATTCCCATCCCTAATAATAAATTTTACGTAACTAATATCTTTTGAGTTCAATTTTAATCTACTAATTTGATTTTCTTTGATAAATAAATAAACAGACGATAGATCTCAAAACTCAGCTTAAATATTTCAAGAAAGTGGAGAAGCAGCTAAGGAAGGAATTGGGTAAAATAAGAACCAAGAAATGGTTATCCGGCGCCGTTTTCTTATTTAGCGTTGGAACAAATGATTACGCATCAACTTTTCCTGTAATACCTAATCCACATCAAGTAGAGATGGTTATTGGCAACCTAACAAAAGTGATCAAAGTAATTAACTTCCCATTAATTTTAATTATTAAGAGATTGATTAATTAATTAGTTAATTATGATTAATCATATAATGCTTATTCAGGAAATATATAAGAAAGGGGGAAGGAAATTTGGATTTGTAAGCTTGGGAGCAATTGGTTGTCTTCCAAGCATGAGAGCGAAAAATTCAACAGGTGGTTGCCAGGAAAAAATTACAGTTCTTGTTAAACGACACAACAAAGCACTTTCAGAAGCCCTCAAAGAGCTACAGAGTCAGCTACATGGGTTTAAATATGCAAATTTTGATTTCTACAGCTCATTGAGAAAAAGAATTAACAATCCATCAAAATACGGTAAGTAAGCTGTATCTAATTCTAATTTAATTATTGTAATTAATTAGGTCCATTTTTGTTTTTTAAATTTATTTTCATTTGTTTATAATTAATATTGCGAAGGTTTTAAGGAGGTGAAAGCTGCATGTTGTGGGAGTGGACCTTACGGCGGAACAGGAAAGTGTGGGGGAGAAAGAAAAGAGTATAAATTATGTGATGATCCAAAAAAATATTTGTTCTTTGATGCCCATCCTTCAGAGAAGGCTAACAAGCAATTTGCCAAGCTGATGTGGGATGGAGGTCCTCATGTTACAAAACCTTACAACCTGAAACAACTATTTCAGGCAAAAGCACATGGTGATAGTGGCTCTGTTTGGTTTGGTTAAGAAATTTGAAAATTAAAATAATTATTACATAGAAAAAAAATAAAACTTTTGATGGTTATTGGATCATTGGGAGATAGAATCACTGCCATTGGATGTTTGCTTTTGAGGTGATAATATGGAATATGTATATATTTAATCTCACAGGGTGAGTATTAGAAGACCCTCTCTATATCCACCATATTGCTATCCCTGATAATTATAAATGATCTACACTTGAAAAAGTGTGTAGCATATCATTTTTTTTTTTTAAATTCATTAGGGATCGAATGAGTTAGAATAATACTATGGACTATAAATTAGTGAAGCTCCTACAATTAGAGAGACTCAAATTTGATAACATATTCAAATTATTTTTATAAAAAAATAGAAACTAATATTAGCTTTTTTTTTTTTTGTTTAGCAGAAATAAAATTTCATAAATTATATTAAAGAATTTATTTATTATAATTTCTTTGAAATTGGTTATATTTGACTTAAATCCTATCAGAATTGATTTATACAAAAAAATGAATTTTAATTAACATGATATATATTATTTATAAAGCATTCTACATTTATTTTCTTAGTAAATGAAATATGAAAATTCACCTTAAAATAAAAATTTTAAAATAGTAGTTTTAGTATATCTTTAGATTCGTTTCTATCTAAATTGGGTACATATAATTAAGTTTCCTTTTTGTTTTTGTGTGGAGTAGATCACATTGGACATATATTTTTAGTAATAAAAGATTTTGTTAGCTTTCAGAAAAAAAAATAAAATAAAAGGTATTGTTAAAGTTCAGATTTTGTAGATTGTATTTGATATGATTTTTTTTTTTTTTTGACTTAGATATGAAATTCATTATGTTTACTATTTTTCTTCTGCATGGTTTGCGATCGTGTGCTCACGCGTAACAAAAGTACGCTTGAATTTGGTTAATCCATGTTTTCTGTTGCATTTTTGTTTCTTGCTACAAATGTTTTAAAACAAGTTCACTTAAGCGATCATCTGCACACGAGTGATAAAAGTACACTTGAACTAGATTAACTCTTGAGTTTCTATTGCATTTTTGTTTCTTGCTATAAATATTTAGAGAAAAATTTTCACTTAAGCGATTATGGGCATACGTGTGATAAAAGTACGCTTGAATTAGGTTAACACTTGAATTTCCGTTGCATTTTTGTTTCTTGCTGCAAATGTTTCGAAACAAGTTCACTTTTAAGGAGAAAAAAAAATTCTACATTTATGCAGGAGTAATAAGTTTCAAGTTCAGAATCTCTTGACTATAAAATTTTTCTTACCAATTTAATGAGTAAAGGAAATAATTATTCATGTTTTGTAGCCCACGATATTCTTTCAACCCATTAAACTTTCCAATAATAATAATAATAATAATAAATCTCTCTTTACCTACCTACTCTAAACTCTTCCAAAAAAAAGAAAAAAACAACTAAACTCTTCTCCTTACCTACTCTAATAGGAATTAATATCATAAATGCCAAATCTTTTTATTGTATTTAAGCCATAGGAGAGATAACAAGAGCAGCAGAGTGATCACACAGCTGAGACATGGCCATTTCAAGGTCAAATCTTCAATTATTTCTTTTCGTATTAACTTGCAGCATAGATAATGTATTGTCTTTAGAGAATCATACCGCCTTGTTCTTCTTTGGAGATTCAATATTCGATGTTGGAAGCAACAACTACCTCAAAAATGGAATCAAGGCCAACTTTTTTCCATTTGGAGAAACATTCTTCAAGTATCCAACCGGAAGATTTTGTGATGGTCGAATTATTCCAGATTTTATTGGTATACATAAGTATTTTTCTTCGCATTTTTTTATTTTCCATTTTTCTTTAGCTGTTTAATATATGATATATACTTATATTTGTTGTAGCTGAGTACGCAAAATTACCATTCATTCCACCGTATTACTACTGTGAGCCCACCAATTTTCAAATGTTGATGAATGGAGTGAACTTTGCATCATCAGGATCTGGTGCTCTAGTTGAAACTCGTCGAGGCCGCGTACGACTTTCATATCTTTATTCATAATTCTTAATTAGTAAAATTCTTGAGTTTATGCTATTCATATAAGCTATGAAAACCTGATAGTTCGAGAACATATTCGCTGAGTTTTTCCTGGATTTATAATTAATAATATACATTGACAATAAAAAAACAGACACACCCGTAAAGACGATTTTAGTACCAGTAATTTAAAATTTATTCGTAAATTAATATCTAAATTTAAACTTGAGTTTGATTTGAGCACTCTCATTAATATGTTTCCTTGACAAATATACAGGCAATGGACCTTAAAACTCAGCTTAATGATTTCAAAAAAATGAAGGAGCAGCTAAGGCAGAAATTGGGTGATGAAGAGACCAACACATTAATTTCCAACGCAGTTTTCTCATTTAGCGTTGGAACCAACGATTATATAGCAGCAGCTTTTCCTCAATCCTTCGTCTCCAGAGACGAAGAGCTTGTAGAGATAGTTATCGGCAACATAACAGATGTTATCAAGGTAATCAATCAATTAATTAAATTAACACTTTATTAACCATTAACAGCTTAATTAATTATGATTGTATGTAATTAACTTGGTGTTTGTTTAGGAAATATATAAGGAAGGAGGAAGGAAATTTGCATATGTAAACGTCGGGCCATTTGATTGTGCTCCACCCGCAAGAGCAAGAAGTCCAGACGGTGGTTGCTTGGAACAACTCACAGCTGCATTTAAACTACACAATCAAAAAATTCCTACAGTTCTCCAAGATCTACAGAGTGAGCTACATGGGTTTAAATATGCAAATTTTGATTTCAACAAGGCATTCAGCGAAAGAATTAACAACCCCTCACAATATGGTAAGATTTTAATTAATTAGCGCAGTTTTTTAAATTAATTTTGATTGATTTATAATTAATATCGTGAAGGTTTCAAGGAAGGAAAAGCTGCATGTTGCGAGGACAGACCTTACAGAGGATTGGGAAATTGTGGAAAAAATAATGGAACGATAAGATTCTACGAATTATGCGATAATCCGAATGAATATGTGTTCTTCGACGTCCATCCTACGGAGAAGGCCAACGAGCAATTTGGGGAGTTGATTTGGAACGGAGGCGTTGATTACATTAGCCCTATAAATTTTAAAAAACTATTTGAGGCATAGATTATATTGCTGTGTTTTATCATATCAATCAGTGAAATATAAGTTATAAATTATCCTAAATTAGATTTTAGGACAATTATATTGTGAGATATTACTTCATGTTATTTTTGTTGTAATGAGGGATTAAACAGTAATTCACTAATATATATATATAGGGGATTATATAGTAATAATATATTAAATATGCAGAACCAAACAATCAAATATTAGAGGGCCTTTAATGATAAAAATAGCACTTTTTGGATGAAAATATTATATAGTTTAACAAAACAAAACTTTAGCGATTCAATCTCTAGACATTAGAGTTGAAATAGGAATTCGGATTAAACCCCAGAGACTTCATAATAATTTGTCCAATAATTAATTAACTTTTCTTAGTATGGAGTACATCACACCATATACATATTTTTAGTAATAAAAGATATTATTAGAGTTTAATTAGATTTTGCTAGATTGTATTTGATATGAAATTTATTAATGTTTCCTATTTTTAATTTGCATCCTTTGCAATAATGTGCTCACGTGTGACAAAAGTATGCCAGAATAAATTATATTTAAATTGGATAAAACTTGCTTACACCTGTTATATGAAACCATCCATATACTAAGCTAATTAGAAAATATTTGAATATGTAAATATTTTTGTAAACACAAAATCATAAAGTTGTTGGAAATTTTTTCCTTTGCACACACGAACATAATCACAAAGTTGTTATAACATAATTTTCAACATATGGCACAATTTTGTATATCACTGACTCGATCATTATTTATTTATTTATTGTTTCAAATTTAGTTTTTATTTATTTCTTATTTTGTTTTGGTATCATAATTTTCTTTCATACTTTTTTATATGGTAAAATTATCTATATTAAAATAAACTTGATATGGTTTTTAAATTTTATGTTATCTTAATGTAAGAATCGAGATTTCTACATAACACGTGACTATTAATTATTCGAATTAAAAATAAAGGATTCCATATATAAATTTGTTTTCTTTCATGAATATAAAGTACCATACAGTATGAGATTACTACAAAACGACATTAAAGACAATGTAAAACATAAACAAAAGAATTAAAAGATAGATTAAATGCTATCGTAAAACATAAACAAAAAGATAAACAAAAAGTAGTATATATGTTAGGATACCGGCAATAAAAATACGAGAATAATTAAGCAGCGGAAAAATTAAAATTGGGACACACAGAAATTTACGTGGTTCACAAGATAAACAAAAAGTAGTATATATGTTAATGGATACCGGCAATAAAAATACGACAACGAAATAATTAAAGGCAGCGGAAAAATTAAAATTGGGACACACAGAAATTTTACGTGGTTACCTCAAACTGGTTTAAGGGCCTACGTCAACTGGGAACAAACTCCGAATATTTTTTCTTCCACTATTAAAAAAAAATAGTAGATCCACAAATAGAAGTAATACAAAATAGGGCCACTCACAAGTGTTTTCCCAACAAACACCCTAAATTAATTTTCAACTATTTTCTAAAACCTTAGTTTTAAGAACCTCTAAAACTAAAAAACTCTCTAATGGTCTCTCTTGCGTTTTTGTTGGTTTACACAGCAACCTTTGCATGCTTCAGTAATCTTGATTGAGCCACGACACGGCTCCCCCTACAAATGTGATCTACAAATGTGATTGGATATCCTGAAAATCCATTTCACTGCAGTCCAATATTCCTTTCCAGCGATAATCTATTAGATCTGCCAACCATCTTGTACTGCCGCTACAACTCTGCTGGACAAGCTGCCCGACCTCCTCTTGTCGGGAAGACTTTCGATACAAGGCACCACCTGCAGATTTTTTTCCGGTCTTTAGCTACCACAAATGAACTTTTTGTGAGCTTCCACTGACCATTTCTGAAGGTGCTACATAAACCTTCATCATCAAATCTACAACCGAGATTTGGACGCATGCTCGAAAGCTCGAAAGCCCATTCCTAATCAGTCTTGTCTTCTAGTTTAGTTGAACTAAACACGGGTAAATGCATTTTGATTACCATAAGGAGATATCTCATTTCTCCATATATGGTAATTCCCGCCATTTAGACTGATCATTTTGCTTGTCCATTTGAATCATTTGGCTTTGTCCATTTTTGACTTGCGGCAGCAAAATCATCACCAAACAAAACCATATACGTGAACAGTAGTCATATGTGAATAGTGACCAATGAATAGTAACAGTATTACTCGAATAGTACTGTATGCATGAATAGTAACTGTACACCCGGTAAACTAGTACGTGCAAGCGAGGCAACAGTAACGCCATGTGAACTAATTCACAATCAACCGCGAGTTAACTATTTTACTATTCATCATAAGTTGATCTCAAAACATCTTCCAAGAAGAGGATTAACTTGCAAATCATTTACCTGCATTAAAGTGGAGTAGTACTCTTTAGTAATTGTCGACTTTCCTTTACGAAGCTTCATTCTCATCTTTCCCACATGAAGCACATGAATTGAGTCTGATTTATAATCTACACCATGTTAGGATACCGGCAATAAAATTACGAAAATAATTACGCAGCGGAAAAATTAAAAATTGGGACACACAGAAATTTACGCGGTTCACCCTTAACTGTTTAGGGCTACGTCCACGGGACCAACTCCGAATATTTCTTCCACTATTAAAAATAGTAGGCTTACAAAGAGAGTAATACAAAACAAAAAGAGTAATACAAAATAGTGGCACTCATAAGTATTTTTCAAAAACACCCTAATAATATATACTAGTTTTTTAATAAATATTTTTATTCTTTTCGGTACGAGACTATCGTCGTTTTAGAATTTATCGTTATTATGATTCATAAGTGTTGCATAACCAAGGGATAAGCATATATTGGAGCTAACCAAAAATTGAACCATATTGTTTGGTACAGTTCTTTAGGGTTTCAATTCTGATTTGATTTTTAACAGCTGTAACCGAACAGTTTTTGGCTCCAATTTGATTACATATAGTGGTTAACCGATTTTTTTTTTTAACTTAAAATAGTTAAAAGAAAACTTCAAATATGCTCAAATCATACCGTTTTAAATTCAATTTTAATTTGATTTGATTCGGGTTGTTTCAAAAACCGAATTGATTATTGCACATTCCTCACTGCAACAAACAAATCAACATGTGAAAAATATACAAGGGTTGTTTCAATCAAAATTGAAATTGGCAAGAGATGCCTATATTTGATATTTCTACCCTAGTGAAGATAAAAAAAAAAAAAAAAAAAAAAAAAAAAAAAAAAAAAAAAAAAAAAAAAAAAAAAAAAAAAAAAAAAAAAAGAAACAAAAAAAAAAAAAAAAAAAAAAAGACACATTTTTCAACCATTTGATCAAGCCAAGAGAAGAAAAGAAGAGAGAGAGATTGAAGTGAGGAATATTGAGTGATAAAAGTATGTATTATAACAAAATTTAAATTAAATCCTCTGAAAAAAAAAAAAAATAGATAAATGAAACATAAAAGCTTAATTATGCGCTAGTTATAAACTATATAGAAACCGAGTCCAAAGATTAAAGGCCTGCATTTGTTTCTCACGTTATGCACTTTGTAGTTTAGAGCATTTGAAAGAGATTGAAATATGGATCAATATAATATTCATCGTGGTGATATTTTCGGTTTAAATTTACAAATTAATTTTTGATAATTTTAAAATTAAATAATATAACTATTGAAATTTATTCGACTTAAATTAAAAAATCATGACACCTCTTAATCTTTCCATTTCATTAGCATTCCTGACAAAAAAAAAAAAAACAAAACAAAACAAAAGGAAAAGAATTTAAGCCGTTGGCCATGGTTTTTAAGCATGTAACAGACTGATTTTTTTTTAGTGTCGGTAATAGTGATTTACCGGTCTGTGAATAGTACCATCGGTCCGGAACTTGGTATTATTTTAGTCCGGTATTAAATTTTAGTCGCGGAAAAAATTACTATGCATAGTTAATGATTTTATTCAACTATTTTTTGGAAGCATGTTTGGCATGATTAGGGTGGGTAAGATTAATGAATATTTTTGGAGAGTTTATGTATTGAATGCATAATATTTCTAGTGTGGTATATTAAGAAATAAATGAGGAATTATTTTAGTGGAGTTGATTTAATTAATTGGTGGAATTAAATAATAAGTAGAAGAGAAGTATTTGAGGAATATTTAGAGCCATTGGATGAAATTACTTAGGACTTAATCTTAGCCACACATTTGGCATGAAATTTGGAAGTCAAATTTGACTTTGGCACTTAAAGTGACACCACAACATTGTTTTCTTTCTTCTCTTCTCTTCTCCACGCCATTTCCATCTTCTTCCTTCTTCTTTCATTTTCTTCATTTTCTTACCTCCAAATTTCATTTTCTTACCTCCAAATTTACCACCAAACTACCTAATTAAACCATAGATTTGTATTTAATTCTTAAGAATTAAGAAGTAGAAGTTGAGTTTGGTGATTAAAAGCAAAGAGAAGTGAAGTTACCATTGAAGCAAGTAAGTTGTGGTTTTTTTGAGTTTTTGTGAATTGGGTTTAAGTAGAAATTCATTGGTTTTAGACATGTTTTTTGCGATGCATTAAATCATGCTCCAACTAATTTCTTTGTTAAGTTTTTTGCTTGTAATGTTGATTTTTCATGCTTTGAATAGGTTGGAGAAGCCAGGGGAAAGAGAAAGCCAAGGAGTAAGGCTTTCCAAGCTTAATCAAGCTTGTTAATAAGGTTAGTGCAATCATAATTTCACTTGTTTAAGTTGTTTTAAATGGTTAGGGTTTTGAATATATTTTGGGAACTTTGTATGTTTTGTTGAAATTGCTGAATTTTAATGTGAGATGTGTTCTGCCGTGGGATTGGAGCTCATTTTTGACCCCTTTATACTTCCCATTTGTTTTTTACTTTTTCATGAAAGTTTTAGCTCTATTTCTCAGATTTCCAAAACATATTCTTATGAAAGTTGTAGATCTATTTCTCAGCTTTCCAAAACATATTCTTATGTCTAATTCCAATACTTTTAGCTCAACTTATGATTTAAATACCAAAACTGGTGCTGTTATGATGTCTTACCTATCTATCCAAAATGATTGTCCATTTTGACCACTCAAATGGCACAATAACATTTCATGTTCTTCATAAAAGTTATATATTTACTTCTTATCTTTCCAATCCATCCTCTGGTGTCCAAATTGGAGATACATAGCTCAACTTATGGCCGAAACACCCAAACTGACTCTGTTGTGTCGGGCCACATGCATTACTAAATTGAGTGCCCACCACATATAATTCGATAAGATTAGGTTTCTTGCGGTTCGTTCATAAAAGTTGTTTCCCATGTGTTCTTAGAATTCTCTCGTTTGGTTTGGTTTCACTTTGAGTGTTTGGTGAAGTTAGGAATTCAAGGAAACATTGGACTTTGGTTCTGCTAAATCAGGTCTGATCTGTTGGTCTTGTGTTTCCTGAGCTTTTGGTTTGTATCTTACTCTTATCTGGGCTGTGGTCCCTTCTGACAATTGGTTATCAGAGCCGACCCTCCGTTCCTTCTTGGTCCGGTGGTGGGCCAACCTCACGCGCAGGACGCTGAAGTCCCCAAGGGGGGTGTATGTGCAAGGCCAGGCACACCTTAGGCAAATCCCACATCAAGTTAAAGCTACGAGGGTGGTCTATACATAAGAGGGGTGGTGCCTGATGGCTAGGACGCGTTTTGGGTGGTGAAATGGGGCTGCTGAGAGTGGAAGAAACTCCAGGGTTAAGCGTGCTCGGCTTTAACGGAAATCCTAAGATGGGGTGGACCTCCTGGGAAGTTTCCCATTTCAAGTTTCCCATTTCCCCCAAGAACAAAACCGTGAGGGTGACCTCGTACGGAAGGGCCCAAAGCGGACAATATTCAACCATGTCAAGGGCCATGACAAAGCACGTGCAATTTTCTAACATACCATGTGAATTGGGGAATATTGTAAGTACGTACATATTCCTGACATCTAGGATTCTTGAAAGAGCTAATTACAAACCTGTTCCGATGGAGCTAATGTTCTTGAAGGAACTTCCGATTGAGTGGTTCGCGTTATATGATTAGAAACCTGTTCTGGTTTTCTTTCAATAACTTCGTCAAATGAAATGAAATGAAATAATAATAATAAGAATTACTTTATCACCCAGCTGGAAAATTGGGAAATAATAATAATAAGAATTACTTTATCACCCAGCTGGAAAATTGGAATTGATGATATATATTATCCATTTTTATTTTTTATCTTATTGGTTGCGTTATAAGAAATAGAAGATTAAAGTTATTCCTTTAAAAAAATTAGAATTATTGAGGGGCCAACGTCCAGAAAAAAATAAAATCAGAAAGACACGTGTATAAAACTAATTTCAACTGCCGTTCAACGACCAGTCAACTTGGTTTTTTGTTTGGTAAGTTCACACTGCGACGCACTTAATTGGTCGCTGCCTTAAATCAACCATTAACTCGTGATTAAAAAGACATTAAGAAATCAATACCTTTAATCTAGCCATTTCAAGATCCTTAAACTTGGGATGATAAAATGGCACTAGTTATAGATTAAAAAAAGCATTAAGAAATCATTTTGCATTATTTTAAGCCGTTGGCTATGGTTTCAACACATGCAATATTCAGTCATATAGTGACTATAAATATAGATGGTGAGATTGGGAGGAATCGCAGAGCAAAAAGCAAGAAAAAACTAGACAAATTCAAAGATCATGGCAATTAGTTTAAGGTTTTACCTTCTCTTGTTGACAATCTTATGTGCAGTCAATCTTAGTTGCTATGGTGAGCACCTGAAGAAAGAGAATCAAGAACACCATAAGCTGTTTTTTGTGTTTGGGGACTCACTTTTTGATGCAGGCAACAATCAGTATTTAAACGGCAGCAAAAGTCCACCATCAACCTCTTGGCCTTACGGAATGAACTTCAATAACCATTCTACAGGAAGATTATCTGATGGCCTTATCGTCCCTGATTTTATTGGTAAGATTTGCAGACTTGAACGCATGCATGTAGCTATCAGTCTGTCTGCATATTAATAAAGAATTAATCATTTGCTTCTGCAGCATTATTCGCAAAGATGAATCTGCTTCCACCATTTCTGAAACCACATGCTAAATTTAGCAATGGAGCTAATTTTGCTTCAGCTGGAGGAGGGGTTCTTGAAGGAACTGCTACTGGAGTGGTTAGTGTTAAATAATTAGGAACCTGTTTTTCTGGTTTTCAGAATAGCTTAATTTACTATTTGCTATGTTCTTTGCATGTTTCAGATGAATCTTAAAATACAAATAAGCAATTTCAAGAAGGTGGTAAGTTCATTGGTGCAGAAAGTGGGTAAGGAAGAAGCTAAGAAAGTTTTGAGGAGATCAGTTTTCTTGATTAGCCTCGGAGGAAATGATGGAAATGATTTAATTTTGGGTTTAACACATTACCACAATTGCTACTCAAATGAAAGAAGGGGAAATTCATGCACTATGGTCATTGGCAATTCTCACTAATGGACTCAAGGTAATAACATTTATTTGTCAGTAACTTGACAATATTGGATTTAACCAATTATTTGATGAAAATTATTGCACGGAATTGGAGTATGTTTTTGTTTTGCCCTTTCCCAAAGAATTTCTATTTTCGATAGTCAGGTTGAAATTATTTTTTCAAGAAAAGCAACTATTTAAATGTTGCTATAAACAACATTTTGGGAGGTGCAATTCAGCCTCGTTAGTTATTGCTTGAGTAAAGTTAAAAAAAGACAATCCACAAAAAGCTATTTGCTAGTTTCATTAACACTTTTCTACTTTTCCTCGTTTACTGATTACTCGCTGACGAGTCGAACCATATATGAAACTGCAGTCGATTGAAGGAAATAGCATTTTTCAGAATGTTGGACCCATGGGTTGCATATCCAACATTTAAAGCAATGCACCCAGAATTGAATGGCAGCTGTGTCAGGAACTTCTTTGATTACAATGCAAAACTACCACACAAAGCCTCTATCTAATACCCTGCAGAGTGTGCAGAACCAATTAACAGGCGATTCAAATATTTCAATTTTCCGATTTACTATCATTCACTTGCTGATAGAAATAATAATCCAAACAAAAATATGGTATGCTAATAATAGCAATTCCTCACTGTATTAATCAATCTTCCCCTTAAATTTTCTTTACTGAATGAGTCTGGACATATTTGATTTTGTTTGTTATGAAGGCTTCAAAGTAGGAGCAGTTGCCTGTTGGCGCGGAGTGGATTGTTATAAATGGTAGAAAATTGCGGAGGGAGAAGCAATGGCACAGAGCCATATAATTTGTGTAAAAACCCAACATTGGAATATGTACTTTTTGATGGTGGCCACCATACTTCAAACGAACCAAAACATATGTACTTTTTGATGGTGGCCACCATACTCAAAGAACAAACCAACAATTAGCTCAGCTGTTATGGAGTGGAGCACCAAATGTTACTGGACCATATAATGTGAAGCAATTGTTTGAATTTGCTTAGTTTTGACCTGTAATCTATTGACAGAATTTAGTTCTCTATCTTGATGTAGACTTATTTGAATAAATTAAGTTAAATATGATCTTTGGGTTTCTTGTTTTAGCATTTCTGTCTGTAAAAATCTTCCCTTTTCTTTCTTTCTTTCTGAGAAGACTACTTCAATACCAATGAGTCAAACCTGGTTGGTGTAAAACTGTAAATGACTGTTGAAACTATAGTTCACAAAACAAGCCCATGAACTTAACCTAACCCAGACTATGACCATTAATTCAATAAAATATGCTAAATTAAAGGACAAGGTGAAGACTTGAAATTTGAAAACACTACGAAATTAGAGAGAAATAAATTTTTTTTGTTCTACCACGTGAAGAACAGTAAAAGTACTTGTGTTATCCTCCAAGAAAGCAAAAGAACCAGAAAAAGTCTTCATCTTTGTTGCAAAACTAGTAAGACTGTTAGGTTATGGAGCCTGTAATGAGCTTTCTATTGTGTGTGATAAATTTATGTTTGAGCTTGCAGAATCCAAGTAGCTGCTATGATCAATATTCCAAGCTAGACGCAGAACGTAAGGCCTTGTTTGTTTTTGGAGACTCACTTTTTGACCCAGGAAACAATCAGTACCTTAATGGTAGTACTGATGAATGCATGTCTGCAACTTCTTGGCCATATGGCCAAACCTTCTTCGACCACCCTACTGGAAGGCTCTCCGATGGCCGGATAGTCCCCGACTTTATCGGTAAGAGACATTAGTTGATTAGGAGCTATGAATTCATTGCTGACAGCAAGTTCTAGACTTTGTTTCAATGTAATTTACACATTGTTTGATCGATTATTGTTTTTTGCAGCCCAATTCGCCAAGTTGCCTATACTCTCTCCCTATTTAGAGTCAGGTGTTTCTCATCGATTAACTGATGGAGCTAACCTAGCTTCAGCAGGTGCAGGTGTTCTTGATGGAACTCATCCTGGAACAGTAAATAGATCTAACTTTTTATTAAAATTCCCATTTTTGTTTTAATAAATCTCAATTCATTATAGTGGAATTGATCTTTTGTTGTTAATTTGAGCGTTAATGTATCTCTCTCTCTTTAATTCAAATTGGCATACTGTTTTGTATCTCTCTCTCTTTAATTCAAATTGGCATACTGTTTGTTTTCTAATTTAACCCACTTCTTGAACTTCATGCTGCGTTTCAGTTAGAATATATATATAGCTAATAAATCATGACACAATTAAGCTCAAGGGACACCACTACTGTCAAATTTTATTTTCACTTGCTTGCTAAAACTGAATTTGGCCTATTGAAGAAGATCTGATGCTGCAATTTTCTAGGGCCTGCTTGGCTTTTTCTCAGTACTAATTAATGGAAATATGGAATGGAAAACGAGTAGATTGATAAAATGGGAAAATTAGGCCATTATAATTCTTGTTATTTGATTTGTCCTTTCTTTTCCAGATACATCTAAGAGCTCAGCTAAGAATATAAAGAAGTCATTAAAGCAGCAGCTAAATGATGCAGAAGCTGAAAAGGTCTTGAGGAGGGCTGTTTACTTGTTTAGTATTGGAGGAAATGATTACTTTAGCTTTTATTCCTCAAACCCTACCGCTACTGAATCCAGCCAAAGAGCATACGTCGAAATGGTCATCGGCAACTTGACATCGGTGCTTCAAGCAAGAACATCTCATTAACAATAAATGTTATACATATATATATATAGATATATATATATATATTACATTTTCTCTTCTTTTTGCTTTGCAGGAACTGTATAGCTTAGGAGCAAGAAAAATTGCATTCCAGAATGCAGGGCCTTTAGGTTGCCTACCAGTAATGAAAACAATGAATCCTGAGCTTGGAAGCGACTGTGCCGAAGAACCATTAGCATTAGCGAGATTACACAACGATTATCTATCCACTGCTCTTAAGAACTTAAGCAGGAACTGTATAGCTTAGGAGCAAGAAAAATTGCATTCCAGAATGCAGGGCCTTTAGGTTGCCTACCAGTAATGAAAACAATGAATCCTGAGCTTGGAAGCGACTGTGCCGAAGAACCATTAGCATTAGCGAGATTACACAACGATTATCTATCCACTGCTCTTAAGAACTTAACGAGCCAACTACCAGGATTCAAATATGCAATATTTGATTACTACAATTCACTTGGCAACAGAGTGATGAATCCTTCAAAATATGGTAGGATATGACGACAATCTATGCAATGTCGAGATTGAATTTTGCCATTTAAGGTTTTCTAATGTACTAATTGATAATTTTTATCTTGCAAAAATCTGCATTCAGGCTTCAAGGAGGGGAAAGCTGCCTGTTGCGGGTGTGGGACATACAAGGGAAGTGGATGTGGAGATAGGAATGAATCATATGAATTATGCATTAAACCAAGTGAGTATATTTGGTTTGATGGTGCACATACTACTGAAATGGCCAACTGCCAATTAGCCAAGCTACTATGGAGTGGAAAACCCACTGTCACTGCACCTTATAATATGAAGCAGCTTTTTGGACAGTAATCTTGGACACCTATGGTGGTGTTCTCTTTGTTGTAGTAGAAATAATCGCGTTTTTCTAAACCAAAATTGGAACTATATTTTGCTTCTTCGAAGGGTGGGTAGTTGCAAGAGTCAATTCTGCAACAAAAGTAGTGATTAGTAACTAAGTAATTATTAACTAATTATAAAGTGAACGTTTTGTTGACCTGTTTCATGCAGCTGATATGATCGGTCATCAGCCACCATTTAATTTGACATCATGCCCAAATAGAAAACACATATCTAAGAGACCAAGTCCTAGCAAGGAGCCACTAAGGATTTTAACCACAAAAATGGTTTTAATAATGTCAAAGCAAAGTGATTAAGAGATGAGAATGGGGAATTTTGTTGAAGAAGTGAGTCATGTCATAGTAGAGTGCAAATAACAACTATATAATTACGAATAGCGTGTGGTCAAACAAGTCAAAATTTTGGTTCATTTATGATTAAAATTGTGAAGGTTTCAAGGAAGGGAAAGATGCATCTTGTGGGAGTGGGCCTTTCAGAGGAACGGGAAGCTGTGGGATGAAAAGGGGAGAAAAGCAATTGTATGAATTATGTAATAATCCAAATGATTATGTGTTCTTTGACGTTCATCCTACAGAGAAGGCTAATAAACAATTTGCTGAGCTGATGTTGAATGGAAGCCCTCAGTACATAAGCCCTATAAATTTTAAACAACTATTTCTGCCATAGCTTATATGTACAAGCAAATAATGCTGTTTTTTTTATTACAAATATAATTGTTTTGGTGTTTTCTTCAAATGAATACAATTGATACCAAAATGAATAAAACATTTCTTTTACAATATTTTGAAATATAAATTTCATTTTTATATATGGTTTCAGGAATTATTCCCATCTCAATTTTTTTTTTTTTATGAAAGTCACCGGTATTCAGACCGTATTACTGGAACTGTTTTGGAGATCAAACCCAAGAGCACTTCTATATGTTTAGTTTACGTTACTAACTGAGCCACAACTTATAGGTTTGCATCTCAATCTTAATCCAATTGAAGCCCAAGAAATTAACTAACAACAAACTCCAATGATTTTAAGTTAACTTAAGGGAAGGATTTATCTAAACCCGATGTATGAGCTTACATATACACCAAATCAATTACAAACAGTGTTTTGATTCAAACACATATATCGAAAAAAAGACAAAATAATAGCATTTTTTAAAAAAATATTGTTTTAATTTACCTCTTCGAATCTGAATTATGTGACTTAAACCAACCAATTATACTTGTCATTTTAAAATAATTAGTCTTTTTTTATGACGTGCGTTGCACGTTGACTATACTCATTTTTTATGTTCGTTTAATTTTTTATTTATATAATATTTAAACATAAGTTTTTATCTAGATTAAAATAAATACAATGACTAATTTACATTACATTTTGCCTTAAACACTACTTGTAATGCTATTTTATATATTTAATTTTATTTTATGTAATGAAGCAGTGTCAAAATAAAGTTCAATCAAACCCTCAAACCTATTTTCAGCTGTTAACTTATGCATGCAAATTCTTGAAACCCTAATAGGTGTCAAAAAAAAAAAAAATCATCACTCAATCTCCAACCTTCTGTCCCACAGCCCTAAATTAATATCTATATATATTTATAATGAAAAAGTAAAAAGTAAAAGAATAAAAAAATGAAAAGTGATTTGAATTATTTAAAAATAACAAGAGTCAAAATGATAATAGTAATCACTTTGACTATAGTGACAATATTACCTAATACATTGAAAAAAAAATAAATATATGTATATATACGAATTCTTGAAACTTCAAAAAGTGACACAAAACAGAAATATTTAGTTTCTTCAAGTCAAATAGATTTAGAATATAAGATAAAAAAATATCAAGAAATTAAAAGTTTATAATCATCAAGAGGGTCATTTATTTATTGAAAGAGAGATACAAACTTCTTACTAAAGTGACAGTAGTTACAACTCAATTCAATAACGAAAAAGAAAATAAATAATAAATCATAAATAATTATTATTAAAAATAAAACTCTTCAGAACTCGACATATAATAAGAAACAAATTACTTTAAATAAGGACATGTTAATTTATTTTAATTGCTGAGACAATTCATTTATGTAATTCTCCCTAAAATAAATTTATAAATCATTTGTTTATTATCAAAGTGAAATACTTACCAAGCACTGTGACACCTTAGGCAAATCTCATATCGGCTAAGCACAAGGTGGAAGTACTATACATAAAGGGTGGCAGTCTTGAACTTGTGTGAGGCCTTTTGGGCGGGTTGCAAAGTCTGTCTGAGAACAAAACCGTGAGGGGGACGGCGATACGTAACGCCCCAAAGCGGATAATATTACATAAGGGCTGGGCTGTTACAAGCACACATAGAGAATAGAGAATGATTTACAACACAAAGTTCGTGAATTTTATTTTTTACGATTAACAGTTGATAAAATCAAAAGAAAATAAAAATTTGCAAATGTTTTTATATTTTTTCCTTTTATTTATTTCTATATATGTTGTGATGTTCAATCGCTTAAATTTTTATTAAAAGTAAAGTTTTCCGAAGTTAATTATTTCAATTACATGAAGTTTCATTTTTTTTTTCCGCTATATTTATATATGTTGTAGATTAAAAAATGTTTAGTGGGCTAAAGTTATTTTAGGATAATCACATTTTATTAAGGGCACTATCGAAAATTTCATTATTCCGCATTCATATATATTATAGATATAAATTTGCAACTCCATAGCGATTTAAGCACTTAAGCTTTTAGCCTTCAGCCATGCCAAACTTGAATTTTTTTTGTTTTCCATTTTTACCTAGTTCTGATATTTCTGGCCTGCCTAATTAAAAATTCGGTATAGGTAAGTCAATCTCTTTCAATTATACGCCTTAAAAAATCCAAATCAAAACATAAAAAAGTAAATAAATAAAATATTAAATCATTCATCTACTTCTTTGAAATTGGTTATATCTAGATAAAATTCTATCAAAATAATTTAACTTGTAAAAAAATATTTTTTTTTCCAAATGTAAAAAAATAAATTTTAATTAATATGATATGTATATGAAGGCATTCTACATTGAATACACCAAACATGCATGGAAATTCACCAAAATAATAAATTTATGCTATATATTTTTACAGCAATTTATATGGAAATCGGGTTGACATAATTAATTAACCTTATTTTGTATGGAGAAGATCACACCATACACATATTGTTAGTAATAAAAGATTTAGTTTTATTAATGTTTACTATTTTTATTTTGTACTCTTAAATCAAAGGATTGTCTTTTGTGGACTTCTTGCATTGTATCCCTTTATTGGACAGAATTGCTACAAATGGATAAAAATAAATTTTTTTTTTCTTTACCTATTACTCGAATACAAGTTAATATTATATATAAACCCTATATATGAATGAGAATAATAACTAATTAGGAAGAGATCAAGAGATAATAATATAAACAAACTGATCATTTACAGTTGAGACATGTCCATTTCAAGGTCAAATCTTCAATTATTTCTTTTCATATTAACTTCCAGCATAAGTAATGTCTGTTCTATAGAGAAGCATTCTGCTTTGTTCATTTTTGGAGATTCATTATTTGATGCTGGAAGCAATATCTACCTCAGAAATGCGTTTAAGGCGAACTTTTATCCGTTTGGAGAAACATTCTTCAAGTTTCCTACTGGAAGACCTTGTGATGGTCGAATTATTCCAGATTTCATTGGTATATATTACTATTTTTCTTCCCAACCCTTAATTTTCCATTTCTCTTTAGGTGTTTGATATATACTTACTTATAATGCTTGTAGCTGAGTACGCAAAGTTACCATTTATTCCACCATATTACTACTCCCAGCCTGACAATAATAATCTGTTGGTGGTCGGAGTAAACTTTGCATCAGGAGGAGCCGGTGCTCTAGTTGAAACTCATAAAGGCCGTGTATGATATTCTTTATCCTTATTACTAAATTTTTATTACTGAAATTCTTGAGTTTATATTATTGTCTTTTGAGTTTGATTTCAACTCTCTGATCTTTTTAAATATATAGACGGTAGACCTTAAAGCTCAGGTTAATTATCTCAAGAAAGTGAACCAGGTGCTGAGGGAGAAATTTGGTGATGAAGAGACCAGGGCATTGTTGTCCAATGCAGTTTTCTTATTCAGCATTGGAACCAATGATTATCTAACAACTTTCACTGAACCTTCTAATCTCCCTCGATTCTTGAACTGCGGAGAAGAAGAGCTTGTAGAGATGGTTATCGGCAACCTGACGGATGTGATCAAAGTAACTAATTAGTTAATTAACTTAACAATTTATAAACTATTAAGTGATTAATTAATTATAATTATATGTAATTAATTTGATACTTGTTCAGGAAATTCACAAGGAAGGAGGAAGGAAATTTGCATTTGTAAGCGTGGGGGCAGTTGATTGTCTTCCATTCTTGAGAGCAAGAAATCCAACAGGTGGTTGCAATGAACAAATTACAACCCTAATTAAACTACACAACCATAAATTTCCTACCGCACTCCAACAGCTACAAAGGGAGCTATATGGGTTTAAATATGCAAATTTTGATTTCTACAAGGCATTAAGTGAAAGAATTAACAACGGCTCAAAGTATGGTAAGTATCTAATAATTCTACAGCAAATTCCTTTTTTTTTTTAATGTTAATGGTAAGAGCTACACCCAAGCCATCAGGCTTTTTCAGTACATCATATCCCGGTCTTGCTATTGTTAAGTTACAAAATCTGAACGATTATAGTTACAGATACTCCAATATAATCTCCAGTAATTTTGATTAATTTATAATTAATATTGTGAAGGTTTCAGCGAAGTGAAAGCTTCATGTTGTGGGAGAGGGCCATATAGAGGAATGGGAAGCTGTGGGATGACAAATGGAGAAAAAAAAGATTATGAATTATGTGAAAATCCGAATGAATATTTGTTCTTTGATGCTCATCCTACAGAGAAGGCTAATAAGCAATTTGCAGAGCTGATGTGGAATGGAAGTCCTCAAGACATAAGGCCACGTAATCTTAAACAACTGTTTGAGGCATAGATATATTAATTATGGTTCTTTTTTATCAGATCAATCGGTCATATATAAATTACAAGCATGTTATATTCAAATAAAATCAATAAAAAATTTCAAATCGAAAAAGATATATTATTTACATTTCACGACGTGTGTACGAATTATATATATATGGACTCGTCAATGAAATATTGAATAGCCCATTCTCATTACAAGACAAAGATGGCCTATCAGACCTTTTCATTGGGGCGGGGGAATGAAGGCCTATTATTCATATCTTGGAACCTTTTAAATGTAAGCATAACCTTACACTTCCTTTGGAAATGAGAGAAAATAAAACGGAAGAAGGATGATATTTTCTTTTACAAACAAATAATCAACCATTGATTTAAATCTTGGGTTTGGTACCTAGTGAGGACATTGGAGGAATGCTTTGTTGATTACTAAAAACATTGTCTGGATCAATGAGTGTCTTGGCTCTTACCAACCTATCATAATTTTTCAAGAAGTACTTTTCTCCCCAAACTCTGGCAGCTTCTACTTCATCCCCACATGGGACCCTCATTTTCAGATTATCCATTACTCCAAGATCAAAATCCATATAATTTATATAAGCAGCTCTTGGACCCGTTGACACAAAAGGACTCATCGATTTGTAAAATTTTCTTATCCAATTTATATATTTTTTGCTTTTATCATTATCCTTTTCTTTCCACTCCACCAGATACTGAATTGCAAAAATGTTACCATTTCTATGAGGAAAAGCAATTGCTTCACTGCTTGTATTATTCATAATCCCACCGTAAGGGTCTAATATAACATAGCCTTTGGGCTCCTTTTCAAGAATATCAAGTGCACCATTTATACCATCAAAAGAAATTTCAATTCTCACATAATCTGATTTAGCCTTGAAATAATTTCTCTCTTGTAGATACCGGTTTTTCAAGTCAGAAACAGAGCTTCCATTACTTAGACCGGAAAAAAATAGAATAGACTCAATCCAACTCATTTCTTTGCAATTTTCTTCTAAAATACCCAATTCAGGAAAAACCTTATTCAATATAGACAAAGCTTCATTTCTTGGACCTAAATAAAACCCTTTAAATGTAGCTGAAATTCCTTTTCTTTTACTCTCAGGCAAGCCAGCTCCTACAAAACATGACAAGTAAAAGTCATTGTTTAATTTAGGTGCAACATGTTGCCATTTGTTTACTAATTTAGCTACATGGCCTTTTGTGCCAGGTCTTGAAACAATAAAACCTGTGACTACTTCTGGAACTTTCAATAGCTTAATTTTCCAAGCATAAACAATACCCCAAACGCCACCGCCACCGCCTCTTATTGCCCAGAAAACATCTTCTCCCATAGCTTTTCTATCTAACAAGCGTCCATTAGCGTCGACAAGAAGTGCATCAACTACGTTATCAGCTGCGACTCCATATTTTCTAGATAATAGCCCAAATCCACCTCCACCAATGTGGCCACCAACGCCAACGGTAGGGCATGACCCAGCTGAGAATCCATAAACATTACTTTTCTCCGAAATGGCTGAATATGTTTCTCCAAGCGTTGCACCGCCTTCTACTACTGCTGTTTCAGCTTCTAAATCGACTGAAACCTTATTTAGATTCATCATGTCTATTATCACAAAAGATGATCCATCACTAGCGACTGATGAAGTTCCTTCATAGCTGTGACCGCCACACCTAACCCTAATTTCAAAGAATCCTTCTCTACAGCATATTACAGTCTTTGCTAGCTGGTCTGCAGTTTCTGGTAGAACAATGGCTACTGGCTTAGGAATAATAGGTTCTGAAAAACGAAGATTTTGAATGGAAAATTCAAGGAGATTATAGTAAGCTGTCGAGTTGAACACAGTGAAGTTGGTTATGTGGTTTTGAGTTAAGCAAGTAGTTAATTGGTTTGAAATAGCAGTTAATAAAGAAGGAGAAAGAAAAAATGAAAAAGAGACTAATAGAAGAAATAATGGGTTTGTAGCAAGGAAGTAAACCATGGTTCTCAATTTGAGGTTTTGACGTATTAAGCTGAATTGAAGAAGAAATGGGTTATATTGAAGAAGAAGAAGAAGAAGATTCGTGTCATACGCTGAAGACAAAAAAGATGGAGAAATCAAGGTTACAGAAAGCACGTACACTTGCCGGCCATTTTCTTTTAATATTTGCTAGTTTAGCTTAGTGGGACTCCTTATATATAATTTGAAAGGTGACAAAAATCCCACAACAGCACTCGCAATCCTACATGAAATTAAATTAAAGGTGAATTACCATAGTTTGACAAATTTGATTCAAAAATCTGGAATCATCAACGTTGAAAGGGTTTTACCAAATTTGATTTAAAAATCTAGAATCATCAACATTGAAACGGTTTTACCTGAATGTCATCCCGATATGAATATCATTCTGCAAAAATCTTGAAAGTGAATACATAGCAGGGCAATATAGAACCGGCCAATCAGAAAATCCAAGGCCTGCCAATGTTTGGCTGTTTGTTTTTGTTGATTGAAAGGGTGTTTATTATTATTTATTAATCATTATGGATCACATATGGAGTTACCCAAGTGAGCGTCTTTTATCTATATGGATTGATGGGGCCATCCTATTCAATATGCAACTAGCTAGGCTCAACGTGGAAGGTAGGAACAAAAATGCTTACTTGCTTTAGAAATTTGTTGACTTTGTGGCAGGAACATGTAAGAAATTGGAGGACGGAAATTTGAGTTTCAAAATGTTGATTCTATGAAACAAGCTACAACGGTAGGGGTGAGCAAAATTAACCAACGAACCGACTCATTAAAGGTTCGGTTTGAACTGAATTTTTTGCTCGGTTTAATTTGGTTACACTAAAATTCGGCAGTTGGACTTAGAACCGAACTGAAATGGTATAAACCGACAAAAATAGACTGGACTGACTATTTTGTTAGGTTGGTTCGATTCATATGCAAACTTTGGTTCGGTTTGATTTGTTGTAAAGAAATTTTGGTTTATATTTTGTGGCTTCGGTTCAGTTTGAACCTAACCGACCATTTGCTCAGCCCTATACAACGGTATTATTAGCTTGGAAATTTCTTATCTACATCTAGTATATGGATGGTGTCATACGCTAATCTAATAAAAAAAAAAATTTTAAAATGTTATTATTTTGTCTCCCTCAATATATGATCAGCAATACTCTCGTTTCGATCAAAATATTATTTATAATTAATTTGTTTTATAGATAAGCCAATACTTCGAATATAGATAAGTTGTTATTGTGATTTATGACATAAAGATAAAGATGAGATAACATCTACATATTACGACACAAACACTTTCAATTCAATAATTTTTTGAAGTTACAATTCAATAATTTAAATCAATGAGTCCAAGAAATGATTGCGTAAGAATGAAAGCAAAATTACACAATTTATGCTCCTAATTCTGAATCTCCAATTCTCAATATTGAAGTGGACAAACTTTTATTTGGTTCATCGAAAATTAGACAGACAAAAATTATTTGATGGACCATACGATATGATGTAGTCTTTCATTTTAATATAACACTTACCTAATTGAAAATGTCACTTAAAAATTTAAATTAAGCTAATTTTCTCTTGAAACTTAAAAATATTTACTAAACATAATCAGTCATGAAACATTTAAATACCTATAGAAAATATTAATATTTATATTCATCAATTTAAAATTTTTATTATTGTTTAATGCTTAAAATTTGAATTCAGCTCTTAAAGAAGGACGAGTGGATTTACATGAAAAAAAAAAAAGTCCAAAGACATAAAAAGGGTTGGGCTCCTAATACAAAAATAAATAAATAAATAACTTAGAAGCCCAACCACGTCAGCTATAAAATATAGAAACTGAGTGTAGGTACAGAGCCCAGTCCAGAGATTAAAGCCCAACTATACTTTTAACGTCAGAGTTTAGAGCATTGGGAAAAAGATTGAAACGTGGATCTAAATCTAATATCCAAATTCATCTCAAGAAAAAAAAAAAAAAAAAAATATGGTGGTGAATCATTACGCTAACTCAATAATAAAAAAAAAAAAATTTAAATAAAATGTTATACTATCTGTCCAATACCCTAATAATATGATGCAATCTCTAAACTGTTAATGATCAAAAATAACTTATTATAATTAAAATATCTGTTTTATCCAGATAAGCCAATACTAAATAACGAACTATAAGATAAGTGTAATATTGATGATTTCAATAATGAAATATAAAGAATAAAGATTGAAAAGAATAACATCTACATATTACCACACAACACTTTCAATTCAATAAAATTTTTTTGAGAGATTTACAATACAATAACTTAATTCAATGGAGTCCAAAAGACAATTAGAATTGCGTAAAGAATGAAAGCAAAACTTACACAACTCTGCTCCAATTCTGAAATCTCCAATTCTCAATATTGAGTAGGACAAAACTTTTATTGGGATTCATCAGCAAACATATAGACAGACAAAAAAATTATTTGCATGGCAATACGATATCGAATGTTAAGTCTTTCACAATAGTATAACTATAAACACTTACCTAATTCGAAAAAAACCTTGTCACTTAAAAATTTAAAAATTAAGACTAAATTTTCTCGTGAGAAATCTTAAAAAATAATATTAGCTAAACATAAATCAGTCATGAAACATATATAAAATAACTATCAAGAAAATCAATAAATATTTATTCTCAATTCAAAATTATTATAAATATTGTTTACACTGCTTAAAATAATTGATATGCAAGGCTCTTCAACAAAGAGAGCGAAGTGGATGAACATTGAAAAAAAAAAAAGCTCCGCAAAGGACATAAAAACAGGGTTATGAAGGTCCTCAATACAAAAATAAAAAATAAATACTAACATACTTAAGAAAGAACCACCACCAACGATACAAAGCAATCACTAAAAATATATGAACACTGAAAAAGATGATAGGTACAGAGCCCAGACCACGAAGATTAAAGCACCAACATATACTATTAACGTCACGAGTAATAGGAACATAATAAGCGGAAAAAAAATCTAGAAAACGTGGAATAACTAAAAACTAACATATCCAAATAATACATCTCAAGAAAAAAAAAAAAAAACAAATAAATCTATATCCAAATGGAAAAAAAAAAAAAAAAAAAATCTAATATCCAAATGGAATATCCATCATGGTGATATTTAGGTCAAATTAAAAAAAAAATTAAAATTTGATAATTTTGTAAACTAAATAATATGAATTTTGAAAATTTTAATTTTTAAAATTATTGAAATATCCAAATGATTTATTATTATTATTATTATTATTAGTAATTCAAAAACTTAATTAAGTTTTATGTTTAATAATACAAAGCAACACTTAAATTATAATTTTTGGGTTTATACCCGGGTGTCTCTGGCCAGTTGGGATAAACACTTATGAAGAAGTGAATTGATTGATTGTTTTCACATGCATAATTGTAAAGAAGCCAAAATTGAAATTGGCAAAGAGATGCCTATATTTCAACCCCAGCCAATAAAAGAAAAGAAAAGAAAAGAAAAGTTATATGAATGTTTAACATGCATAAGCAGACATAAAAATGGCACATTTTTCACCCATTTGATCAAACAAAGAGAACAAAAAAAAAAAAAAAGAAAAAAAAAAAGAGATAGAGATTTGAATCGCGGAGATTGGAATGAAAGAGTGATTTAAAAAAAAAAAAAAACTATTACTTTATTATAAAAAAAAAAAAAAAGAGATAGAGATTGAATCGCGGAGATTGGAATGAAAGAGTGATTTAAAAAAAAAAAAAAACTATTACTTTATTATTATTATTTTGTCCTTTTTTTTCTCTAATCTATACTCATGGTTGATATTAAATAATATTTTTTATTAAATTGGTTCAATGTACGAGGATTTAGACAAAAATAATGCTATTGTAAAAATTATTTACAAATGTAATGCAAAATTGAAATTATTTACAAATTTAATATTTGTTCCGTCACGGCGAGAGAATATTGTATTAAAACCATCAACTCAATTGATGATAAAAAGTAACTCGTACTAATCAGTTGTCAGCAAAAAGCAATTAAAGAAATAAACAATAATTTTTATTTTGCATTGAGACCACCAAATCAAGTGGTGATTTTATTAAAAAAATTATATAAATAATCTAATAGCTTATTCATTAAGACAAATAATTTATTTTGTTGTTTTATTGCAATATGGGTGTAGCCATTAATAAACGAAAAATATATAAGAGAATAATATTTTATTAAAAATCCATGAAATTAATTAATAATTTCAGTAAAAAAATACTTATTCACTCAAAATATGGTTTTTACCCAAACGCCCATCATTTGTGTTGAAATATTTATGCACCAAAATACTTATTTATTTATTGTTTCAAATTTAGTTTTTCTTATTTCTTATTTTGGTTTGGTATAATAATTTTCTTCATACTTTTTTATATGATAAAATTATCTATATTAAAATAAACTTAAATTTTATGTTATCTTAATGTAAGAATCGAGATATCTAAATGACACGTGACTATTTATTATTGAATTAAAAATAAATGATTCCATATATAAATTTGTTTTCTTTCATGAATATAAAGTACCATACAGTATGAGATTACTACAAAACGACATTAAAGACAAAGTAAAACATAAACAAAAGAATTAAAAGATAGATTAAATGCTGGCTTCGAGGATTTATTAAGAAGAAAACAAAAGCCAAAAGCCATTAATTAACTTCAAATTGGATAAGTGTCCACGTCAATGGTGATTAAAGAGGGGAAAACGTTAAACACCATGCATTAAAAAATAATAAATAACCAACAACCACAATTAGAGTTATCATAATTAACAACAAAACAAACGATACGGCAAATCACTCCACACCCAATAAAATAATTTATAAAAAACGTGAAGAAATAGTATATATATTAGTTTTAGTTTTTCAATAAATATTTTCATTTTTTTTTATACAAGACTATCATCGTTTTAGAATTTATCGCTATTGCATTTCATAAGTATTATGCCATAAGTATCCATAATAAAAAGTTGCAACCAAAGGATAAGCATACGTTGGAGCTAACCAAAAAATTGAACCACACTGTTTGGTTCAATTCTTTATGGATTCAATTTTGATTTGATTTTTAACAACTGTAACCGAACAGCGTTTTGGCTTCAATTTGATTTCATATAGTGGCTAAACGAATTTTTTTTAACCTAAAATAATTAAAAGAAAACTTTCAAAATGCTCAAATCATACCGTTTTGAATTCAGTTTTAATTTGATTTGATTCGGGTCGTTTCAAAAACCGAATTGATCATTGCACATTCCTCACTGCAACAAACAAATCAACACGTGAAAAACATACAATGACAGTCTACTAGACTATAGACTTTAATTATTATAAACTCAATTTTATACGAAAATAATTACATCAACAAGTTGAATATATTAACAATAATTAATATTTAATTCAATATAATTTTAAATCTTATTCACCTACCACACGTAGAACCATTATAAATAGCACGGGAAATTAGCACATTGAAGACCACGAGACAAAGGCAAGAGCTTGATAGTGAGCAATAATGGCAATTAGTGTATGTCGTTTACTTTGTGTGCTGAGTTTGTTCTTCAGTGTCACCCTTCTCAACCTTCTTGGCTGCTCTGCTCAATACTTCTTTATATTTGGAGATTCTCTGTGGGATCCCGGCAATAACCAGTATATAACTCCCGGAGAAAAGATCCCATCGTACTATCCACCTTATGGCACCACTTTTTTCAACCATTCCACTGGTAGATTTTCCGATGGCCGTGTGGTTCCTGATTTTATTGGTAATGAGATACATGTTTTGTTTGTTTCTTTCTAAGTAATTATTTTTAACATAATCATAAATAATCAATGTTCTATTTGGTTCATGCAGCCATCAAGTTGAAGCTGCCTTTTATTCCTCCAGTTCTAGAACCCAATGCAGATCTCACCAATGGCGCCAGCTTCGCTTCTGGTGGGGCAGGCGTTTTCGACAGTAACCCGAATGCAGTAAGCAATATTATATATCAGAAATGGATTTCTTTGTTTTTTTTTTTTCTGATTAATTTCGAACTCATTGGCTGAGAAATGAATATCTCTGTATAGTTCAAATCAGTAATCTTTGTATTACATTTCGTCAGATGAACCTTGAAAACCAGATAGGCAACTTTACAGCAGTTGCTAAAATGTGGAACGAAACACTGGGCGAAGCCGAAGCCAATAAGAGGTTGAAGGAAGCAGTCTACATGGTTGCCATGGGTGGTAACGATTATTTTTCCTTTACCTTTCAAAACCCTAACGCCACCTTCTTAGAACTCAAACAATATGTAAATGAAGTGGTTGGCAACATCACAATACAAGTCAAGGTATATTAATATCACAAACCACATTGTTCCATTTATAGATTTACAATTAAACAAGTAATTAATACTTTAAAATGTTACAGGAAATATACAATATAGGAGCAAGGAAATTTATGTTTCAGAATGTGGCACCCATTGGTTGCTTGCCAATGTTTAAACAACAATTCAACATTTCTGGTGATGGGTGTGCCCAGCTACCATTGACACTTTCAGTACTCCACAATGAAGCTCTAACTGAGATGGCTAATACACTGGCAAATGAATATCCTGATTTTACTTACTCAATCTTTGATTATTTCACTGCCATCGGACAAAGAATAAGTAATCCTAAAGACTTTGGTAAGCAGTAAATAATCAGATGATTCTTGTATCGAAACAAGAACGTGAAATACTCATGAGAAATCCTGAATATATAGTCTAAGAATTAATGTCTTTTGTCCGTGAAGGTTTTGAGGTGGGAAAAATTGCTTGTTGCGGCGATGGGAGTCACCGTGCTAGTAACTGTGGATCATTTCCTTACTGTGTCTGCAGTAATGCGTCCAATTATGTGTTCTTCGACGGTGGCCATAACTCTGAAGCTGCCAACAATCAGATGGCGGAGCTGATGTGGAGCGGAGGACCGGATGTTGTTTACCCTTATAACATGAAACAACTATTTGATTTTGATTCCACAGTCAAGACTTTCTCCAAAAAGTATAGTCTCTTGAAAATGCGGCTTGCTTAATCTGTAATTACTCCGCTAAATAAAGCAGAGAAACACCTCCGGCTGTAGCTCTTGGGGGAGTGGTGCTTCTGTACTAGTTGAAATAATAAATTTCGATCTTAGTGTTGAATAAAACAAAACAACACTTAAAAATTATAATTTTTAGTACTCATTAGCTGCAAGTTGTTTGATAACACTGATTTGAACATCTTCTCAAGTCTTAATTGAACAAATTATCCAAAATATTTTCAATAGTAGTACAATTTTCAAAAATTTAACATTTAGAATAATCTAGAGCTTTTAATTTTTCCCCAATCAAACACTTAGTTGATACTATAAATTTGAATGCTTAATAAAGAAATTGTTTTACATGCATAATTGCAAAGGAGCCAAAATTGAAATTGGCAAGAGATGCCTATATTTGATATTTCTACCCTAGTGAAGAAAAAAAAAAAGACACATTTTCCAACCATTTGATCAAGCCAAGAGAAGAAAAAAGAAACAAAAGACACATTTCATTAGCATTCCTGACAACAAAAATAAAAAATAAAAAAAAAATAAAAAAAAAAAAACAAAAGGAAAAGAATTTAAGCCGTTGGCCATGGTTTTTAAGCACATGCAATTTTCTAACATACCATGTGAATTGGAGGAATCTTGTAAGTACGTACATATTCCTGACATCTACGGTTCTTGAAAGAGCTAATTACAAACCTGTTCTGATGGAGCTAATGTTCTTGAAGGAACTTCCGATTGAGTGGTTCGCGTTATATGATTAGAAACCTGTTCTGGTTTTCTTCCAATAACTTCGTCAAATGAAATGAAATAATAGTAATTACTTTATCACCCAGCTGGAAAATTGGAATTGATGATATATATTATCCATTTTTATTTTTTATCTTATTGGTCGCGTTATAAGAAATAGAAGATTAAAATTATTCCTTTAAAAAAATTAGAATTATTGTGGGGCCAACTTTCAGAAAAAATAAAATCAGAAAGACACGTGGTTAAAACTAATTTTAACTCCCGGTCAGCTACCAGTCAACTTGGTTTTTTTTGTTTGGTCAGTTCACACTGCGACGGACTTAATTGGTCGCTGCCTTAAATCGTACTTAAATCAACCATTAACTCGTGATTAAAATTGGTCAGTTCACACTGCGACGGACTTAATTGGTCGCTGCCTTAAATCGTACTTAAATCAACCATTAACTCGTGATTAAAAGGAAATTAAGAAATCAATACCTTTAATCTAGCCATTTCAAGATCCTTAAACTTGGGATGACAAAATGGCACTAGTTATAGATTAAAAAAAGCATTAAGAAATCATTTTGCATTATTTTAAGCCGTTGGCTATGGTTTCAACAAATGCAATTTTCTTAATACCATGTGAATTTGAGAAAATCTGTACTCACAGGTTCACCGACATCTTTATTAAATGAAGAACAATTTTCATTTACGCGTATCAGAGTGTTCTTTTTCATATATTTATTCTGAGTTCAAACCATATGTAGTTCAAGCATAACTAATAAAAAATTCAGTCATATAGTGACTATAAATATAGATGGTGAGATTGGGAGGAATCGCAGAGCAAAAAGCAAGGAAAAAATAGAACAAATTCAAAGATCATGGCAATTAGTTTAAGGTTTTACCTTCTCTTGTTGACAATCTTATGTGTAGTCAATTTTAGTTGCTATGGTGAGCACCTGAAGAAAGAGAATCAAGAACACCATAAGCTGTTTTTTGTATTTGGGGACTCACTTTTTGATGCAGGCAACAATCAGTATTTAAATGGCAGCGAAGGACCACCATCAACCTCTTGGCCTTACGGAATGGACTTCAATAACCATTCTACAGGAAGATTATCTGATGGCCTTATCGTCCCTGATTTTATTGGTAAGATTTGCAGACTTGAACGCATGCATGTAGCTATCAGTACGTCTGCATATTAATAAAGAATTAATCATTTGCTTCTGCAGCATTATTCGCAAAGATGAATCTGCTTCCACCATTTCTGAAACCACATGCTAAATTTAGCAACCACATGCTAAATTTAGCAATGGAGCTAATTTTGCTTCAGCTGGAGGAGGGGTTCTTGAAGGAACTGCTACTGGAGTGGTTAGTGTTAAATAATTAGGAACCTGTTTTTCTGGTTTTCAGAATAGCTTAATTTACTATTTGCTATGTTCTTTGCATGTTTCAGATGAATCTTAAAATACAAATAAGCAATTTCAAGAAGGTGGTAAGTTCATTGGTGCAGAAAGTGGGTAAGGAAGAAGCTAAGAAAGTTTTGAGGAGATCAGTTTTCTTGATTAGCCTCGGAGGAAATGATAGCCTCGGAGGAAATGATTTATTTTGGGTTTTTTTAGTTTAAACACAAATTACCCCAAATGCTACTTCAAATTGAAAGAAGGGAATTCATTGCATATGGTCATTGGGCAATCTCGACTAATGGACTAAGTATAACATTTTTATTTGTCGAAGTAACTTAGACAATAGAATTACAATTATTTGATGAATAATTATTGCCACGGAATTGGGAGTGATGCTCAAAGATTCTATTTTCGCATAGTCAGGTTGGAAATCTATTTTTCAAGAAAAGCAAATATTTAAATGTTACTATAAAACAACATTTTGGGAGTGCAATCAGCCTCGTTTAGGTATTGCTGAGTAGAAGTTAAAAAGGACAATCGACCAAAAACTAATTGCTATTCATTTAACATTTTCTTTCTTATTTACTGTTCTGCTGACAGGAACTGATTATGAAAACTGGATTGAGGAAAATAGCATTTCAGCAATGTGGAACCATTTGGGTTGCATCCCAAACAATTAAAGCACATGCACCCAGAATTGAATGGCAGCTGTGTCAGGAACTTTTTGATTACATTGCAAAACTACACAACAAAAAGCTACTATCTAAATACCCTGCAGAAGTTGACAGAACCAATTACCGGATTCAATATATTCAATTTTCGATTACTATACATTCACTTAGCTGATAGAATAAAGAATCCAATAAAATTGGTGATGCTAATTAAAAGCAATTCGTCACTTGTATTAATAAATCTCCTTAAATTTTCTTTACTGAATGAGTCTGACATAATTTTGATTGTTTGTTATGAAGGCTTCAAAGTAGGAGCAGTTGCCTTGTTGCGCGGAGTGGATTGTATAATGGGAGAAAAATCGCGGAGGAGGAAGCAAATGGCACAGAGCCATTATAATTTGTGTAAAACCCAAAGACTATGTACCTTTTTGATGGTGGCCACCATTACTCCAAAGAACAAATATGTACTTTTTGATGGTGGCCACCATACTCAAAGAACAAACCAACAATTAGCTCAGCTGTTATGGAGTGGAGCACCAAATGTTACTGGACCATATAATGTGAAGCAATTGTTTGAATTTGCTTAGTTTTGACCTGTAATCTATTGACAGAATTTAGTTCTCTATCTTGATGTAGACTTATTTGGGTAAATTAAGTTAAATATGATCTTTGGGTTTCTTGTTTTAGCATTTCTGTCTGTAAAAATCTTCCTTTTTCTTTCTTTCTTTCTGAGAAGACTACTTCAATACCAATGAGTCAAACCTGGTCGGTGTAAAACTGTAAATGACCGTTGAAACTATAGTTCACACAACAAGCCCATGAACTTAACCCAAACTAGACTGTGACCATTAAGTCAATAAAATATGCTAAATTAAAGGACAAGGTGAAGACTTGAAATTTGAAAACACTTCGAAATTGGAGAGAAATAATTTTTTTTGTTCTACCACGTGAAGAACAGTACAAGTACTTGTGTTATCCTCCAAGAAAGCAAAAGAACCAGAAAAAAAGTCTTCATCTTTGTTGCAAAACTAGTAAGACCGTTAGGTTATGGAGCCTGTAATGAGCTTTCTATTGTGTGTGATAAATTTATGTTTGAGCTTGAAGAATCCAAGTAGCTGCTATGATCAATATTCCAAGCTAGACGCAGAACGTAAGGCCTTGTTTGTTTTTGGAGACTCACTTTTTGACCCAGGAAACAATCAGTACCTTAATGGTAGTACTGATGAAGGCATGTCAGCAACTTCTTGGCCATATGGTCAAACCTTCTTCGACCACCCTACTGGAAGGCTCTCCGATGGCCGGATTGTCCCCGACTTTATCGGTAAGAGACATTAGTTGATTATGAGCTATGAATTCATTGCTGACAGCAAGTTCTGGAATTTGTTTCAAGGTATTTTACAAATTGTTTGATCGATTATTGTTTTTTGCAGCCCAATTCGCCAAGTTGCCCATACTCTCTCCCTATTTAGAGTCAGGTGTTTCTCATCGATTAACTGATGGAGCTAACCTAGCTTCAGCAGGTGCAGGTGTTCTTGATGGAACTCATCCTGGAACAGTAAATAGATCTAACTTTTTATTAAAATTTCCATTTTTGTGTTAATAAATCTCAATTCATTATAGTGGAATTGATCTTTTGTTGTTAATTTGAGCATTAATGTATCTCTCTCTCTTTAATTCAAATCTTTTTATTAAAATTTCCATTTTTGTGTTAATAAATCTCAATTCATTATAGTGGAATTGATCTTTTGTTGTTAATTTGAGCATTAATGTATCTCTCTCTCTTTAATTCAAATTGGCATACTGTTTCATTTCTAATTTAACCCACTTCTTGAAACTTCATGTTGCGTTTCAGTTAGAATCAATAATATATATATATATATATATAGCTAATAAATCATGACACAATTAAGCTCTAGGGACACCACTACTGTCAAATTTTATTTTCACTTGCTTGCTAAAACTGAATTTGGCCTATTGAACAAGATCTGATGCTGCAATTTTCTAGGGCCTGCTTGGCTTTTTCTCAGTACTAATTAATGGAAATATGGAATGGAAAACGAATAGATTGATAAAATGGGAAAATTAGGCCATTATAATTCTTGTTATTTGATTTGTCCTTTCTTTTCCAGATACCTCTAAGAGCTCAGCTAGAGTATTTTAAGAATATAAAGAAGTCATTAAGGCAGCAGCTAAATGATGCAGAAGCTGAAAAGGTCTTGAGGAGGGCTGTTTACTTGTTTAGTATTGGAGGAAATGATTACTTTAGCTTTTATTCCTCAAACCCTACTGCTACTGAATCCAGCCAAAGAGCATACGTCGAAATGGTCATCGGGAACTTGACATCGGTGCTTCAAGTAAGAACATCTCATTAACAATAAACGTTATATATAAGCCCAAAGAGGCATACGCTCGACCCATGCGTTCCATCGGGAAACTTGACCATCGTGTGCTTCAAAGTCCAAGAGACATCTTCATTCAACAATAACACGATGATATATATATATATAATATTATATATATAATATATATATATATACATATATAGTATTAGTTATATACTATATCTATAGTATCATTACATTTTTCTCTTCTTTTGCTTTGCCAGAACTGTATAGCTTCAGATATATATATAGATATATATATATATATTACATTTTCTCTTCTTTTTGCTTTGCAGGAACTGTATAGCTTAGGAGCAAGAAAAATTGCATTCCAGAATGCAGGGCCTTTAGGTTGCCTACCAGTAATGAAAACAATGAATCCTGAGCTTGGAAGCGACTGTGCCGAAGAACCATTAGCATTAGCGAGATTACACAACGATTATCTATCCACTGCTCTTAAGAACTTAATGAGCCAACTACCAGGATTCAAATATGCAATATTTGATTACTACAATTCACTTGGCAACAGAGTGATGAATCCTTCAAAATATGGTATGATATGATGACTATGCAATGTCGAGATTGAATTTTGTCATTTAAGGTTTTCTGATGTACTAATTGATAATTTTTATTTTGCAAAAATCTGCATTCAGGCTTCAAGGAGGGGAAAGCTGCCTGTTGCGGGTGTGGGACATACAGGGGAAGTGGATGTGGAGATAGGAATGAATCATATGAATTATGCAGTAAACCAAGTGAGTATATTTGGTTTGATGGTGCACATACTACTGAAATGGCCAACAGCCAATTAGCCAAGCTACTTTGGAGTGGAAAACCCACTGTCACTGCACCTTACTACTGAAATGGCCAACAGCCAATTAGCCAAGCTACTTTGGAGTGGAAAACCCACTGTCACTGCACCTTATAATATGAAGCAGCTTTTTGGACAGTAATCTTGGACACCTATGGTGGTGTTCTCTTTGTTGTAGTAGAAATAATCGCGTTTTCTCTAAACCAAAAGGAACTATATTTTGCTTCTTCGAAGGGTGGGTAGTTGCAAGAGTCAATTCTGCAACAAAAGTAGTGATTATTAACTAATTATGAAGATAACGTTTGGTTCACCTGATTCATGCAGCTGATATCTGGTATGAACAGCTAAACCAATTGACCCTAAGTAGTGATTAATAACTAGATTTACATATTCTTCTTTGATTAGTACTGCTACAAATGAAATCATGATGATGGATAATGGATCCCCTTCAAAAATGATTTTTGGGCTCCTAATCCACATTAATTATCGAGAAATGGAAGGCTGAGCCCATTTTTTATGACCCAACTCAAAATAGTCTTTTTCTCTTTTTGAGAAAGAAGGAGAAAAAAAAAAAAAAAAACAAGCAAAAGAGGAAGGTTTTAATTTTGTAAGCTTTTTTAGGCTCCAATTATCGTCGGGAAAAAAGCATTTTTTTTTAAAAAAAAAAATATGTTCTTAGTTGAAAAATGATACTTTTGTTTGTAAAAAAAAAAAAAAAACAAGCAAAAGAGGAAGGTTTAATTTTGTACTTTTTTAGGCTCCAATTATGTGGGAAAAGCATTTTTTTTAAAAAAAAAAATATTTTTAGTTGAAAATGATATTTTGTTTGTGTATGTTAAAAAATAAATTTTTTATGCATCACTAATAATCACATGATCAAAAAGAGCTAAACATTCCTGAAAGCTTTCCAGTGATTCTGACAAAATTTAGGCCAAATCTAAAACGGCACAATGTCAGCTGTCTAGCTTTAATTTGACATCATGCCCAAATAGAAAAAACCTGTCCTACGGGATTATGTTATAGATTAGAGTTAAGGATTTTAACCACAAAAATGGTTTTAGTAATGTCAAATCAAAATGATTAAGAGATCAGAATGGGGAATTTTGTTGAAGAAGTGAGTCATGTAATAGTAAACTGAAAATAACAACTATATAATTACGCAATAGCGTGTGGGCAAACAAGTCCAAAACATATATATATCTATATATTCGTTTGTACGCGTTAGCTAACGGAGAGGGTCGGCTACACAATAGGATAGTATTTTTCTAAATTCACTAATTAGTGATTAAGATAATTTAAATTTAAGACCTCTCGCTCTTTTTATAAATGAAAATACTAATCAAATTACACACGGTTCGATGGAATTATTTTTGAAAGTAAGCTAAATTTAACATACGACAAGACCAATTTTGTTTGAATACAAATATCCACAATTCTTTTATGACAAATAAGATCAAACATTATGTATTTGTATTTTTTTGTCAACAAAGTTGAAAAAGGAGAAGCAAATAAAGGAAGAAAGGAGAGAGGAAAGAATCCAAGAAAGAAGAAGTAAAGAAGTTACCTATGATTAGATGAATAGAATCATTTGAAAAGCTTTCTTTGACAATTTCTCCAATGCCTTTTTTAACCTTATGTTCTCAATTATTGATCTCCTTCCTCACTAGGGACAAAGTCAGTATAATGTTATCTAATTGGACATGTGTCACTCTCCTATGTGTGTTCTAGGACCACGTACAAATACAACCTTTTATGCAAAGTATTGAGTCTTACTACCCAAATTAATTTTAAAATAAAAGAAAAATAATTTTAAAAAATCTTTTTTTTTTTTTCAATTAGTTGAGTCTATAAGTAGGACATTTGGACTCCGGCGTAGGAAAATTTATCTCCGTTTGTTTAGTGCAAATGGGGAAGCTAGACGGCAGCCCATGCTCGCGAGTAGATGCGCCGCCTCCGACAAATGTGAATACAGACCCATATCTCCTGTAGGATCCTCGAATACAATCCTTTTGTTTCTTTTAACCTATTAGAGACAAGACACGTGGCTTCTCTGATGGCTCAAGGAAATGTTTCATTTGACGTTTTCACGTGATTGCGGAGATGAGACGTGCACATTGCCACGTCGTCCTGCTAGCTTGCTCCAGCTAACCCCCAACATCTGGCCACGTTGAAAGTGTCATATATATTATTACTATTTTATTATTCTTATTATTACATATCTATAAAAATTCCCCCATTTTTATTTTTTATTTTTATGAAAATCGGCTTATTTCCATATAAGAGCGTGATAATTACTATATTCAAGATTTGAAACATTAATTAAAAGATAAAAAATCTCAACTATTCTGCTCCAATTAATATTAATTTCTATTTGCTATATTTTTTTTTCTTTTGAAAATAAACTTGCTATATTATTAAAAATGCTAAATGAAGTAATGAATAATAGGATGAAGTTATAAGCTCAACTGTAAACTTTATACATCAATTATTTCACACATTATCATGAGCTAGGCTCTAAATAAAACTAAACTATTATTCTTTTTTTTTAATAAAATAAAATATTTAATTTTTGTAAAATAAAGCTAACCACATGTTCAAAAATACACTTAAAAAACGAAAAACCTATAAAATATTTATTTTTTTTAATCAGAAATTGAATAACAATTCCTTATTAAAAAAAAAGGTTTACCCATGATAAAAAGTCATTCACAATAATGTGTTTGGTACGTGGGGTTGAAAGCGTTGCACCAATCCCTTCTACGTATGGATTGAGACTTTTTTTTTTTTTTTTTTTTTTTTATTTTGTTTAAAGATAATAAAGCTAACCACATTGTTCATCAAAAAATACACTTTACAAAAAACGAAAAACCATATAAAATTATTTTATTTTTTAATACACGGCAATTTGAAGGGATTAGACCACAATAAAACAATTAACAATTCTCCCCTTATATCATATAAAACAGAGTTGTTTTTATCCCCCCATTCGAAGGATATACGATTATAAAAAGTCATTTCAAATAATGTTGATTTCGGTAACGTGAACAAGGGTTGACGGAAGCGTGATTGCGCCCAATCCCTTACTACGTATGATTGAGGACTTTTTTTTTTTTTTTTTTTTATTTTTCTGAGATATTATATAATTTTAAAAAAAACAGTCAAAGATAAAATTTATTTATATTACAAACGTAAAGACTATAACTACTACAAAATATAAAACCCATAATACACAAGCTTGTAAGCAGCAAAAAGATGACATTTGAGAGTTTAATTATAGGCCTACTATAAAAAAGGTTAAAAGAAAAGATAAACTTTATTGCAATAACCTCCACTTCCATCATGACTATTTTTTTTTTTTTTTTTTTTTTTGAGAATTATATAATTTAAAAAAAAAACAGTCAAGAAAAATTATTTTAGACAAATAATATATAAAAATAAAACCCAAATACACAAGTGATAAGCAGCAAAAAGAATTGACATTGACGTTTAATTAGCCCTACTATAAAAAAGGTTAAAGAAAGATAAACTTTATGCAATAAACCTCACTTCCAACTCATGACTCAAAATCTTCTAAATCATCTTATAAATATAAAATTAACTTAAAATTTAGCCACTAATTTCAGAATTATTAACACGAGTTAACACAGAATCACGTGAAATTTGTGTTAGTGAGCAAATTATTGTTGCTTAAACCCTACTCTTTTCCTTTCTTCCATTCCTTTTTATTTTTCTTTTGCTTTAATGTGTGGCTATTAATTAATGACTCATGTGTTGTTTCCATGTTCAATTTAATGCAAAGTGATAATCTTCTCCTTCAAATCACTTTCATTCCAACGACATGGCATTGATTGACCACAAACACCTTATAGTATATTCACTTTCTTTGAAAGGAAAATATTTGTCACTTGTGAGTGAGTAGTTTTCTATTTGTAGATCAAGAGGAACTTTCAATGTTGATTTTTGAAAATATTGAAAAAATATTTAAGTGTATTCTAATGTTTGATCTATATATACACACATTAAAAAAAATAAAAGCTTGCTTAGTAAATTCATTAAATTTCTCATATGACAATACAACAATATATAAATTTAACCTTGAATTTCGGTTGATTATTCTTTTAATTTGATGAATTTTGCGAAATCCAATCATGACTTTACACTTTCACCATTCAGTAATAACAACTATGTCACCCACTAAAATGAAATGTGAAAGTACAAGGTCATGATTGAATCCCGCAAGGTTATTTCATTCTGGTCAGAGACGTAATTATTAATTAAAATATGAAATGAGTAAGTTTCCTTTAAAATGCTTCCTTTGTGATGGTTCGCATAGAGCAAGAAATCACCCCCCAAAAAGGGTAAGATGCATGCAGTATCATAATTGAATTCCTGTAATATTCAGAGAGTCAGAAGGAAAATCGACCAAAATTCAAGGCCAAATATATGTATGTCGCCCATTATTTTGAACTTTTCCATACAATGCATAAGAAGTGAAAAGCAAGTATAGGAGCAAACATTTTTCATTTATTTCTTTGAAGATGAGATTATATATATATATATAGTCTTGGTCCTTGATTTGCAAGTTCCATTTTGTAATATGTAATAATTGGCTATACATGCTTTTCAAACACAAAATAGGGATTTGGTGTTTTTTTCTAGAAAGTCATTTCAATGTAATTGAATGTCCCCACTCCTCCACCCATTGTATGAAATTTTAAGTTGCATTATGAGAAGAAAATTTTAACAAGTGTCCACACCTCTTCAACCACCTTGTATCCACCCATATGTTACATATCATATATATAAATATAGGAGTCAACTTGTATTATTACAATCACTTTCGTGGGTTTTTCTCCTTTTCCCTTTACATTTTATATGTTAATGCTAAATATATTTTACAACAAAATACCTAAAATTTGAAAAACACCATTTTCACCAACTATATATTTAAGAATGGATATTGGGTCAACCGATTTATATCTTATGTGGTTTTCTGATTTTTTTCTTTTTTTTGTAAAGTTGATATTTTGCTTTCGTGTTGCCTTATTTCAGAAATAATTTATTCTGAATGATTTTGTGTTCAAACCACTTTGAATCAAATAAAAGTTACACACGTTTTTATATTTTTATATTGTATGATGAAATATTCAAATGTTTTTATATTTAATCAATGATATTTTCATTTCAGTAAATATATATATATATTTCATTTAATCCATCAAGGAAAACGTTTATATATTATATGGTAATGGTAATGGTAATGGGGATTAGAATTCCAGCAAGGATATCACCTGTAAAGAGACAGTTGAATATTGGAATAATATATGATATGATAAAATATTATATGCTTATAATCAAGTTGAGAAAAAAAGAGAAGAAAAGCATATTCTTATTCTGTTATTCACCATGTCATCGCCAATAATAGCTGCTCCTGCTTTCTTTTTATTTTTTAAAATGGATCCTTTCAGTCTACTGTGGAAATAAAATATTTACTACAAGCCTTCTACAATATTAAGTTCATATTTTTTTAATTAAATAAAAACATGATAAATTTATTAAATGTTTGTTGCATCTCTAAATTAATTCAAGATTCAACCGAGTTGTATAACTTTTTTTTGTTTTTATAAACTTTTTGTAACTTAAATATTTTTTTTGGAACTTAAATATTTAACTTAAATATTTTTTTTTCCAAGGATAAAACTTAATTTTGGAACTCCATGGCTTTGTGTCATCACTTCAGTGGCTAAAGTCGTTATTACCGTTCCATGGCAGCGTTAACAAACAGAAAAAAGATTAAAAAAAAAAAAAAAAATTAAATATTTAAACTTAAATATTTTTTTTTCCAAGGGTATAAAACTTAATTTTTGGAACTCCAATGGCTTTAATGTCTCACGTCTCACAGTGGCTAAAAGTCGTTCATTACCGTTCCATTGGCAGCACATATAGGTTGTGAATCAAACAGGAAAAAAAAGATTAAAAAAAAAAAGACAAAGAGGGACAAAACTGAAACAACTTCATCCACGAATATAACAGGGCGCACGTGTTAGTTTAAGAGGTTACCGAAAGGAGGGAAAATTAAAAAAAAAAAAAAAAGAGACAAAACTGAAACAATTACCGAATTACGGCCACGTGTTAGTTTAAGAGGTTAACCGAAAGAGGAAATAAAGTAAGAGTCACGGCGACATATTCGTGTATAATTTAACAGACAAATCCAATTAATTTTTCTCAAAATGTAAAGTTATATCAAAAAATTTAATACCAAATTTCTGTTTTAATTTTTTTTATTTTGCTGCGTGTAGTATCTACAGCCTCTCATCTCCCTCTTAGTCTCTCTCGATCTCCAGACTCTGCTTCTTCCGTCGTCATCGATCTGCTCTCTCTTCCTTAAAACGCTCCGTTTTTGCTTGTTTTCCGGTTTGCTTTCCTTTCAAAAACTGTTTCTCCTCCGAGATCACAGCAGTTTCTATAGTTCTTATTGTTTTTACAGCTTTTTTCTGTGTACTGTCAATGGTGTGTTTATTTGTTTATGTACTTAATTATGAACACAGCTAAAGAGACATATATATATATATAGATACGTTTATTGTAGTGTGTGTATAGATTTGAGAAGTAGAGATTTGTTGCAGTAGAGAGTTGACCCCGGCCAAGGACAGCTCGGGGGAGAAATATAGATCCGCGTGGACATGGAAACTAATTTGAATGGCGTGGAACCGTACCCCAATTCCTGCTATTTGCAGAAATTCCGACTCTACGAGACTCGTTCGGTATGTACTATGTTGTTGCTTTACTTCATGAATCTGGTTGAAAATTGAGTATACAGAAAGAATGTTTCGATCCATATACTTGATTTATTTGTTTCACCGATTGGATTTTGGGTTCATATTCGAGCCTTTTTTATTTCTCAACTCATTTACCAAACCAGTTTACTGTATCATACGATTTTTTGAAGTTTTAATATTGTTTGCCTCTGCTTCATTGTTTGTTTTTGTTTTGTTTTTTAAAACTCACAGTATTCTTAGGCTGTATGTTTTGCGTAAGAGTTTGTTCCCGCAAAATATCTTTATTCTTTCTCAGTGTTTTTAATCCATTGTTCATTCTATTATGCAACAGAATTTTTATATGATAGGAAGAGATAAAAACAGAACCTTTTGGCGGGTTTTAAAGATTGATCGATTAGAGGCATCTGAATTGAATATTTTGGAAGATCCTGCAAAATACTCAGAGAATGAATGTTGTGAACTCATAAAGCGAATACATGAAGGGAACAAATCAACTGGCGGACTTAAATTTGTAACTATTTGTTATGGAATAATTGGTATGTATTTAGTTTTGCAAGCTCATCTTTCTAAGCTCTTTCATCCATTTCACCATATAATTTTCTTTCTTCTCTAAACCAGGTTTCATTAAATTTTTGGGACCTTACTACATGTTGTTAATAACAAAAAGAAGGAAAATTGGTGCTATTTGTGGCCACGCAATATATGCTATCAGCAAGAGCGAGATGATTCCAATTCCACATCCTTCTGTGCGGTCCAATATGACTAATTCTAAGAACGAGAACAGGTCTTTTGTCCATTCTGCATGTAAATGTAACATGTACTTGGTACTATTAAAGAGACCTATGAGATTAGTTATAAAAAACTGTGCATTTTTTATTTGTAATTAGAAGAGGATTTTGTTTATTATTGTTTTATTTCATTTCAATAATTTGCGGAACAAATAATTTGAGTTGGCATCGTCTATTAGAAGTAGACAAGTTCAACACTGTGGAGGTAACTTCTGTACTATTTTTGCCAATACACCCTTCAGTGTTAATTAATGATGTGGGCTTGTTTGATTTTATCTTCTGGTGGTATATTTTCTTTTCCTTTTCTTTTTTTAAGATTGAGCTAGTTGAGTATCTAACTCCAAGATATGCAATATTAAATGTTACTGTTGCATCATACTTAGTTGATAATATTGTGTAGTGGCTATTGCTAGTTCGTTTCCTGCATATTTACAGGGGGCAAACTTCATTGCTGTTGTGATGATGTTAATATAACATATTGAATGAGACAAGGTATCATCAGGGTTTGTGGGGCAGGAGTTACTTCCTTTTACTTTTTTTTTTTTTTTGCTCTTTATTTTTCCCTTTTAGCTTTATAGTTTAAATTTATTGAGCTAGTGCTTAACTCAGTAAAATTTCTTCCTTGATTATAATAAGAATGCACTGATCTTTTATTCTTAATAATGATGTAGATACAAGAAGCTCTTATGCACGGTGGATCTCACAAAGGACTTCTTTTTCAGCTATTCATATCATGTCATGCATTGCCTTCAAAAGAATTTATGTAACAACAAGACTGGGCAAGCTCATTATGAAACAATGTTTGTTTGGAATGAATTTTTAACACAAGGAATCCGGAATAACCTCAAGAATACTCTATGGACAGTGGCATTAGTATATGGCTTCTTTAAACAGGTGCAATTTATTTTAGTAGACTTGCCTGTATAAACAAGTTCAAAAACATTAGCTGCATAAAGAGAGTAATGCCTCTATGATTTCTTTAGTTGGAAATTAATAGGTTACTGATCTTGGATATCTGTTACAAATGGTGCAAATATGATATTTTTCTACTTTTTGTTCTCGTAAAGACCTTTTCACTTCCCATATCATTTGTCAATAATCCATGTTTTAACTTCAGCGCCACATTAATTAGTTCATGTGGCCTTTCAATTGTTCCTCAATTTTGGTAAAACTATGACGTAATTGTAAAGTGGACTTTGGACTTTCTGCAGCTTTAAATATGTATTTTATGTTATCCTGCTATGTTATCCAGGTCAACCTTTCAGCATCTGGTAGGGACTTTAAGTTGACTCTCATTGCCAGACGCTCACGCCATTATGCTGGCACAAGGTATGAATAGTCCTTCAAACTTTCTGAACAAATTTCCCAGTGGATTATGTAAATGGTTCAATCTGCATTTCTTTTTCCTCTTGAGTTCTTATTTTTTGCCCCCGAAGTGACGAACTTCCTATATATTGCATGAATTAAATTTGTAAATATCTTCTTTTTCACCGAACTTCATTATTGTTCTCAAATTAAACTTTAATCTTATTTTCCTACCTTTTCTTGTGTAGATATTTAAAACGGGGTGTGAATGAGAAGGGTAGAGTGGCTAATGATGTTGAAACGGAACAGATTGTGTTTGAAGATGTTCCTAATGGATACCCTGTGCAAATAAGTTCTGTTGTTCAGCATCGGGGTTCAATCCCACTGTTTTGGTCCCAGGAAACTTCGCGATTGAATATTAAACCTGACATTATATGTACGATTCAGGCACACTAAACTGTAATATTATCAGTGGTAACTTCTCCTAAATAATCTTATTTCTTGTTCTATTTACAGTATCAAGGAAGGACAAAAATTATGAGGCAACAAGACTTCATTTTGAAAATCTTGCAAAGAGATATGGAAATCCAATAATTATTTTGAATTTAATAAAGGTAGGCTCATGCAACTATCGAGGGAGAATTGATTATATATATACATGTCCATTTCTGTAATTTGCCTGTATGCAATCTGGTTAGTGATGTCTTTGTTGTTTTCATCTTTTGGCAATTATGTTGGTGATTGACAGACACATGAAAGGAGGCCTCGGGAAAGTATACTCCGTGCAGAATTTGCTAATGCCATCAGATTTATAAATAAAGGCTTACCTGAGGAAAATCAGCTCCGGTTCCTCCACTGGGATTTGCATAGAAATTCCAGAAAGTACTAAGCTTGCATCAGTCTCTCCTATTAATTTTTCCTCCAGTTATTTCTAATAATATTAATGAAAATATTATTCGGTTGTTTTGGAACAGAGCTACCAATGTGTTATCATTGCTGGGGAAAGTGGCGGCATATGCATTGGACTCGACTGGCATCTTTTATTGTAAACTTTCACCGAGTTTAAGACCCTTGGGATTGATCTCTCCCTACTCTGAGTAAGTAACATTTGGCTGCTAGCTCTTTTTTACCTTCCCCGTCACATCTCCTTACGGTAATGAGTGCACTGAGTACCTGCAGTCCTGCTTTCATCCAAGCTTTTGTTTGCTTTGTAGCCACTTTTAAGGTGCTTCATATGTGATTTATCGGACTTCTAATGGATTGAAAATTCTTCCCTAAGAGTAGTTCAAAGTTCAGCTTGTGAGATGCACATATTAGATGTTAATATTTTTAAAAGAACAAGAAGAAACTTAGAAACTACCATTCTATTGAGAAGTTGCTTATGAGAATTATTCTCTGTTAGCAGCTTCTCATTTTTAGCCAAATTGCTATGCTCTCTCTATTGTTTCTCTTAATTCCTCCTGGCTACTTACTCTGTTGGCATTGCAAATATTTTCCAGGGATAATGATGACAGGTCCTCTCTTGATTACTCTTCCAATGATAATGACTTGGAAAGAACTTCAGATTCAGAGATTGGGAACTTTGATTATGAAGCAAATGGAAATCAGAGTATCCCAGCCCCAAAGTTTCAAAAAGGGGTTCTAAGAACTAATTGCATAGACTGTTTAGATCGCACAAATGTTGCCCAATATGCCTATGGTTTGATGGCTCTTTGTCGTCAGTTGCATGCTCTTGGATTTATAGACGATCCATTTATTGATCTAGATAATCCATTGGCGGAAGATTTAATGGGCATTTATGAGACAATGGGTGACACGCTTGCACTGCAATATGGTGGTTCTGCTGCACATAACAAGGTAACCCTTTTAGATCAAGATGGAATTTAAAATTTCTGGACACAGGAGAAAATGTAAGTAGGAATGGACATTTTTCACTTTTTTTTTTTTTTAATGTAGGGACTAGAGATAGCTACCACCTAAGAACTTTTGATTGCCAAATCTTAATTCATTCCTTTGCACCAAGGTTGAGAACTTATGGGTACAGCAATCGCTCTTTAGTGGAGAGAGAGAGAGGGAGAGAGAGAGAGAGAGAGTGAACTATTCAAGGAAGAGCCAGACAAGAAGTGGTGTCTGCCTTAAATTTTATAGCAAATTTAACATCAAATCCAGTCTTCTGCTTGAATGTGATGAGAAAAGAACAAAGAACTCGTTTGGATTTGTACACCTGTATGCAGCCTAGGGAGAGAAAGTGAGCAAGCTAAGGAGTTTAAAAGTCATTTAAACACATGAAACAAATCATTATTAATATTATTACCTAATCAAATTGGAAGCAAACAGATTGCATAATTTTCCTACTTTTATTCTGCTTAAAATATTTGATTTGTCATCCCTAGGGGGTTATGAAAACTCTAATTTGTAGGTTTGAATGAGTAATTTTGTTGTGCCTTGTCAATGATGTATCATGTATTATGAAGTTAGAATGAGTCATATTTTGAGTGAAAATCTATATCAGACTGAGCTACAAGTTCCCCTTTGGCATGCCACATGAGTCTTTTATACTCTTTTTGGGGTTGGATGCTTTTCTTTTTCTTTTTTTTTTTTTTTTTTTTTCAAATTTTAACAATCAAATTTCCCAGTTTTCTTCTGCTTGAATTTTGTGATGAGAAAAGGAACACCAAAAGGAACTCGTTTGGGATTTTGTACCAACCTGTTATGCAGCCTTAGGGAGAGAAAAGTTGGAGCAAGCTAAGGAGTTTTAAAAATCATTTAAAACACATTGAAAACAAATTCTTATTAATATTATTACCTAATCAAAATTGGGAAAGCAAACAGATTGCATAATTTCCTATCTTTTTATTCTGCTTAAAATATTTGATTTGTTCATCCCTAGCGGGGTTATTGAAAACTCTTAATTTGTTAGTTTTGGATGGAGTAATTTGTGTGCTTTGTCAATGATTTGGTTATCATGTATTTATTGAAGTATAGGAATGAGTCCATATTTTTGACAGTGGGAAAATCTATATCAGGGAACTTGAGCTACCAAAGTTCCCCTTTGGCATGCCACCATCAGTTCTTTGTATACTCTTTTTTGGGTTGGATGCTTTTTTCTTTTTTTCTTTTTTTTTTTTTTTTTTTTTTTATTTTTTCTCTCTCTCTTAACTAGATTTTATCAATGCCCAATGTTTATCACGTTTTTTTCAAAAATGATTATTTTTTTTTTTTTTTTTTTTTTTTTTCTCTCTCTCTTACTAGAGTTTATCAATGCCCATGTATCACTTTTTTCAAATGATTAAACAGATATTTTCAGAAAGGAGAGGCCAGTGGAAACCTGCAACTCAGTCTCAAGAGTTCTTTAGAACTCTACAGCGTTATTACAGTAACGCATACATGGATGCTGAGAAACAAGATGCGATTAATGTGTAAGTGAATAGGATCTCTTTTTCTGAGCACCAGTTGTTTCTGAAATGAAGCGTCAAGGTGTTCTCACAATTGTATTTCTCGATAATTGGTGCACTGAAATGGGAAAGGTTGCTAATTTAATGTGATACCTGACTTAATTTGAGCAGGTTCCTGGGTCACTTTCAGCCACAACAGGGAAGGCCAGCCTTATGGGAATTGGATTCTGATCAGCATCATGATGTTGGAGGGCGTGAATGTGATTTAGTTGTTGAGGATACTAGGTACTGTATTCGTCATGATTACATATTTTTCTCTATTGTTTTGAGAAATTTTTTTTCAATGGAAAACCATCCCTTAGCACTACGTTGTGCTTTGCTTTTGAAAAACATAACGGTTCAGGAAACCTGGTTTAGATTAATCCAAAAATATTGCTTTATTAGACCATGACCAAAAGATGTATCAGACAAGCAAAAGAGATTATGAGGGCCAATTATTTTTTACACAAGAAAGAGTTGCTTATTTGGCAACTTTTGATATCATTCAACAATTTAACTTGAAAATTGGAATTATTCATTTCACATCTGGTGCAGTTGATTTTGTTTGAAACATGCTTTTATATATAGTAATATAAACTAATGACAATGTGAGATACAGTATTCATAGATTGATAAAAGAATATGATTTTACAAATCTACCCTCTAGCAACCCTTACAGATAAGCCTTAATAATAAAATGACGACAATCAATAAGGATAAAAATTATCAGTTTCTTCCAGGTCCTTTTTTTTTTTTTTTTTTTTTTTTATAAAATGACGACCCAATCAATAAGGAATAAAAATTATTCGTTTCTTTTCCAAGGTCCCTTTTTTTTTTTTTTTTTTTTTTTTTTTCTTTTTGTGCGGCGCGGAATTCCTGTTTGTTGAATTTTCTTTTTGGCAACTTGTATGAAGTTCACTTCAACCATTTTATCTTGGAAAACAGGAGTTTATTTTCATTATATCTCTTACGTGGCCCTTTTTTTTTTTTTTTTTTTCTTTTTGTGTGTGTTGAATTTTCTTGCAACTTGTGAAGTCATTCAACCATTTTATCTTGAAAACAGGAGTTATTCATTCATATCTCTAGTGCAGTTGATTTTGTGCAAAGCATGGGTTTGTTTGTGGCTCAGATATGATAGTTTAAACTGATATAAGAAATTGATGACTGCACTTGAGTGATATCCAGAAGCTCATAACATTAATATCTATTATCTTCAGGTCATTCTTTAAAAGATCACTATCAGAAGGCAATATTCTTCCTGAAAGTGACTCTCTTGTAGCATCTGCAAGTATTGGACATAATACGCCTTTTCCTGAAATGCAGCAAGGAGTTAATAAGGGTCTTTCAGGTTCAACGCCAGAGATCTCAACCTGTGAAAGTGACATATCATATTCAAGGTCTGCCTAAATCACATTACCGTACTTGTTACATCTTGATGCTGCTTTTTGTTTCTAGTGAATAGACGAGGGGAAAACTTTTGGTAAACCTGCATTTAAAGATGCTGCCACAGCGAAAAATTAAGTTGTTATAACTGTTCTTTTCACGTGCTGGGTGTAAATTCGAGCTTCTATGGCCTTGTATGAAAAGCCAATATGCTGATTAGTTGGTGGTTGTTATTTTAGGTGTACACCCTCAATGCCTCGAAGGCAGCTCTTTCATGGAAAAGACGAGTACTTCGAAACTGAACATATCTGCTACGATGAACATGGAGATGCATGTAACTGTTCAAATTTCGTCGACTTAGACTGGCTTTCTTCATCAGGGAATTCTTGCGAAGAAGATCCTTTTGACAGGTACTTTTTTTTATGGTTCTGTCGAGCAAGTTCTTCAACAAACTGTCTAGCAAAATATTTACATGACCCATTGATAATTAAATGGCTACAGATCAATAGCTGGCCAATCATCAGAATATCTTGTAAATGAATTGAAAAGCGAAACATCTGCCAGTGAATCTGGATCTAGCGTGAAGGTTAGTATCTAATAATTTAGTGCTTCTAGTGTTTCTTTTCCTGAAGTAGTCAAGATTCACCTTTCATATTACCTGATTCCTGCTTTTACTGCCATTTTATTTGTTCGTCATTTAGAAATGTTTAATTCTAACTTCTCTTTAACCTACAGGGAAGAAATCAAACTGCAACTGACCTTTCGTCGGAGGATCTCACGGGTGTATTTTCAGAGCGATTTCAGCACTGGGTAACACACGGGGAGACACTTTTCCAATCATAAGTTGATGTCCATCAGTATTTATTTGAGATATTACCTCGTGATCGTGATCCCATCCGAAGGATGTGGATTGCAGAACAGAGAATAAACGGGATAACACCCTACAAAAAATTCTGGCATTAAGCAACAGTGACTTGCGGTATTTGTTCAAATGTGTACCTCCAGAGTCCAGAAGGGTGATGATTGAGGCAGCACAAAAGCTAATTCACTTGGAGCTCTCGACGACTCCAATTTCTTGAGGCTCTAAAACCACATAATTAACCTTGTATATATTTTTCAAAATCGAGCTTAGTGTACAATATAGGCTAAACAAGCACCCCTTATCAGTCAGATGTTTTCATTTAATTACGTTCTAAGCAATAGCATTAAATTCAACGGCTAAATTTCTGTTAAAGGAAGCTGTATCCTATAAATGGCCGGTCGCACTTACATTCCTTTTTCAACGAAATAACACTCAATTAATTACTTTAAGCTCAACAAGTCTCTCCAGTAATCTTAGGGCGAGGTAATAAAATTTTCAATTATAAAAAATAAGAAAATCCATATTGCAACAATCAACAAAATCCCTCACTAAACATTAAAGGATAGCATTTTAAACTGCTAAAGATACGAAAAAATAACATTACTTGATTAAGATATAGCCAAAATTTTTAAAATACAATCTCTAAAACAAAACTATGCGCAAATTGACAATAAAATAAGTGTCCATTTCCCACTTTGATGTTCATAACTAATCCAGGAAGAAGCATTAAAACATAGTATTAAGTGTCCATTTCCCAGCCAGTAGCAGTAGCACCAGGTGCAGCAACGGGTGGAGCTGCACCAGCATATTGTGGTGGTGGAGCTGCAGCATCCCACTCTGAAGCAAATCCCCCTAAAGTTGAAACAAAAGGGTTGTCAGAGAATCAGCAAAGTAAATATTGGAGCAAAATGCAAAAAAAAAGTTTGATATGGTAGTACTGTGCATGTGCTGAATGAATCTCGCTAGCATGGTTATATAATGGTAAAAAGAAAAATGGCAAAAGAGTTTCAAAAGCACAAGGAGGTCACAAGGTATAATGAAATAAAGCAAGCACGCTTATTTGATAACTTCTTAGTTATTACCTTGCTCTGGAAACAAAGTAGCAGCAGGAGCAGCTGGAATAGGCTGTTGAGCTGCATCAGCAGTCCATTGACTATCAGGGATTTGGTTGCCCCAATCAGAAGCGAGCGAAAAATCAGCTGCAGGAAGTGCATAATCAGCAACTGGTACAGCTTCCTCCTCTTCCTGTTGCTTAGCTTCTTCAGGCTCCCTGTAGAAAAATAAGTCAACCTGCACAAAGAATATAAATGATTAGAGATGGAAAATAGAACTAGCTCCCTCTATCCCAAAATAATAGTCCATATTACTAATTAGGAAAAGTCCATATTAATTGTCCACTTACCTAAAAGGTCAATAAATCAAAAATTTATTTTGTCAACTATAAATTTAAATAATTCATGTCAATTTCTGAGCACAATAGAAGAATAAAATTGATAACCATTTTAACAAATCAACCTAAAGTAGAAATACCATATGATTTCTTCATATATATTACCATAAAATGCCAATATCCACTACAGGCAAATTAACTGTAGAAGTTGGAGGATGAGTGTTTACAGTATGAATCTATACCAAATGCAAAATCTGGAAGAGCACAACATATAATATTAAGCCATTAAACACAAAAAAGCATTATCTGATAAAATATAGGTACCATGACATCCCACTTGTGCCCTTGTGGAATAGTGCCACGCATCTGCAGAACCATTCTAGCCAACAACCAAAATAGACATCCAATACTGTGCTTCCCCTTGTTGTTAGCAGGAATGCCAATATCCACATACCGCATAGGAGAATCAGTGTCACAGAAAGCAATAGTTGGAATATTTCCAAGAGCTGCTTCCTTGATAGGCTGCATGATGTTATAAAATAAAAATAATTAATTAAAATTTGGGTTAAGGGTCATAAAGAAAACATAGTGTCTCCAAAAATGACATCACTAAGCTTAAGATCATCGGTAAGGCAAAATTCACCTGGTGATCAGTCCTTGGATCAGTAAGGATCAGGAGACGAGGCTCATTAAATGAGGTTTGAAGTTGATTGGTAAATGTACCGGGAGTGTGCCTTCCAGCTATGGCATGAGCACCAGTGTATTGGGCAAACTTGAGGACAGCTCTTTGACCATATGGCCTTGCAGACTGGACAATGATGTCCTGAGGGTTCTCAATAGCAACAATAACCCTAGCAGCCAACAGAAGTTTTTCCCAGGTCTTACCAAGGTTGATGATATAAATACCTGGGGTATGAACATCAAATAATTTAGCATCCTTAAACATCTTCATATATCATAAAGCTTTAGCATTTTAGCGCTCTGGCATCCATAAAAATAACAAACACAACCAATTGTACAACTAAATACTATCAAATATAAGAAATCATCTAACAAATAAAACATCACAGCATGTTTGAATCAAATTATAGTCCAAGATGATTAGGTGAAGATATTCTCTCACTCTGTACGCCGGAGATCTAAGATCTCACATCTCATATCAGATAACAACATAACAATCATACAACCAAAAGCACATAAAACCGCAAATGAGAATTCCTCGTAATTTAATTATACAGTTCTCAATCATCCAAAAACAATATATAGAAGATAGAGAGGATCTACCATCATTCCGCCGCTTGAAAACATAGCGTTCCATTTGGAAATCGCAGTTTTTGGTGCCGAGGTGGACTTCGGCTGCCAACATCATCTGTATATCCAACTCCTTCTGGGACAGAGCCCGTGTAGGTGCTGCTGTAGTACCAGTCGCCATGGCTTCGTCGAGAGAGACAGGCAGATACAGAGAGGTAGAAGAGAAAGAGATGAGCTAGGGTTTTCTTAAACTGAGTGCAGAGAGAAACTAGGGTTTTGAAGGCCCAAGGAAAGTTATGGATCGGGCTTGGGCTTAACTCCACAAAAGACCAGCCGTTTTCTCACAAACGATCCGCTGGTATAAAATTGTTTATCGAGCTACGGCACGTCGTATATTCGTGTTTAGATAAACGGGCGGTTAAATTTAAGATGAAATGATCATAGAATCTTCCTCCTAACGAGAAACCTCAAATTCCAATTCTGAATATGATGTAATCTTTGTCTGTGAAAGCATTTTTTAATATTAAAATTTCCCATATTGATGTCATGTTAAAAATGTAATCATGCTATTTTAGAGATATATAACTCTTCCCAAAAGATCAAGTATGGACAAACCTTATCATTCAGCAATAAATGATCAACCTGGACCAACCTTATTCTCTTCGCATTACCCAACAAAATATAAGTAAATATTAAGATAGACAATAATACATATTCTCTATCCAAAAACATAATGTATAAAATATAAATCATATATTTTCTTTATCTCAAAATATAATGTAAAAATATAAATCATTTAAAATTTACAGATATTTAAATTATTTTTTATTTCAAAATTAATAATTAAAAAAATAATCTTGAAAAAAAAAACATCATTTTCTCTTTAAAATATTTTAAAAAACTTAATTTTTAAGATAAAATAATCAAAAACCATTTAAATATAGAGATCCAAAAACGATTTTTATTTTAATATTTTGAAACAGAGACTTAAAAACTAACTTATATTTTTATATTTTGAGACAGAGACCCAAAATCAAACTTATATTTTGAAACAGAAATACTATTATTTTTGCCTTTCAAGAAAATTTTCACATTGAAGTGCACAAGCTCTGAAATTGAGAGGATGACCAAAACAACCACAAACCATGATAACTGAAGTGCATTGAAGTACATTTCAACTTCACAATTTTGCCATTTTGAAACCAGCCAAAAAGTTTTTACATTACAAATTTACAACTCCAACACTGAATCCCTAAATCCATCTACCAAAACAAGAAATTCAAAACCAGAGAAAGACTCTTCAATTAAGAGACAGTGACCTCAACTTTCTTAGGCTTGGGTGGTGGAGGAAGCTTCTCAACTACAACAGTCAAAACCCCATTTTCACACTTAGCACTAATAGCGGACACATTAGCATTTTCAGGCAACCGGAACTTCCTCATTAGCTTCTGCTGTGCTCTCCTCTCAAGCCTTATATACTTGCAGCCTTCTTCTTCCCCATCTTCGCGTTTCCTCTTCCCTCCACTTTTAATCACCAGCGTACTCTCATCTTCAACAGTCACCTATAAACAATTCACAACAAAATCAGTCACAGAGAATCATAGAATAAAAAATTCCAACAAATATAACAAAACAGAGGAATTTCAGTCTTCTACCTGAATATCAGTTTTAGACAGGCCAGGCACATCCATATAAAAAATGTACTCTTTAGAGGTATCCAAGATATCGGCTGGAATGGCACCTACGCCTTTGTTCTCATTAGCTTCATTAGATCGCGAATGGATCATGAATTTCTCGATGCTCTCCGGTATACTGAACAATTGACTCATTGCATCGAACACATTCGAATCTGCTACTCGGCTCATCTTCTTAACTTACCGTTAACGACGTGATTGTTTATCGGGAAAGTTGATGAGAAAATGAGAGAGAGGGTGGGAAATTCTGTTGTTGTGTGGAAGTTGGAATTCGGGTTTATTTTGCAAGAAAGTGGTGCGACCAATATAACGGCAGAGGAAGGAAAATTCCAGAGCGGTAAAAGAAGAGTCGGGAAGAATCGCAAGCTTTATGGAGTTTTCCGGTGCGTGCACGTGTGTGGTTTCCTCTGATCCTTTTCGGTTTGGAGTTGACGTGGAAGCATCTGCCAGAGCCACGATAGCATAGCCTGTAGTCTTTGGGCTCAGAGATTAATGGGCTCGACCTGGCTTTTTGCATACCCAATTAATATTCAATTGGACTCTCAATTATAGCCCAACGAGGATAATGAAGAAATTTACATTGTGGCTATGCAGGGGGCAAAAAATTAAGCTCAATAAATTGAAAATATACTTAATATTCTTAATACTGATTGCAATTATATGTTGGTATAATGAACTAAATACTTTTGATTTACTAGTTATTTTATTTAAATTAATATTGTAATTAAACATAAAATGACAATGATTAGTTAGTGCACATGGCATAATCACCCAAAGTCCACATGATCATAAATTTTTCTTCTAGCTAATTTGTGAAGCACATGCACACCATGTACCAAATTTTTGTTGTGTCAACTCCCCTAATCCTAAAGCACATGCCTTCGAGCCTACAAAACAAATCCTACTCTTCAAGATTTGGTGTGATTAATTTTAAGAAAAAAGTTAAAAATCTCCCATGGATTTGTATACATATAGCATGCCTGACCTTTTGGCAATAATTTTGCCAAAGATATGCACACACATGCAGGGACATGCTATATGTGATAAACACTCACAGCTAAATGCACATTGGATTTGATTGAAACTTCCCTTCGTTTTTGCTAAAATTGAGCCTCTTAACTTTCATCTATTAATACTAAACCTTATTTTTAATGTTGATACTAAAAATTGAAGAATTTAATAGGCAAAATACGATAAATTCAAGACTTAAATATGGGTTTCACCGACTATTTAAGCCAAAGTTTTAGAACAGAAGTGCCTTCTAACTATAATATAATAGTGCAAGGAACCAAATGGGACTGTGGAGGATCAAGTGGCCTTGTTACTCAAGCAACATTGTCACCACGCCTTAGAGGTGTGGTAAACTTTTAGGGCTAGACTCCTACTTTTGGTTGTTCTTAACCCCAGAGAGAAGGAGCAAACACGTTGTTTGTACAAGTTTAGGTGGTGGGTACCTATCTATTGCAGTAATTGATATTATGTTATAACTATATATGACCTTTGGACCACTACTGGACCTCTCTCGTCTTTAGCTAGGTTGGAATTGGAAACAACATGTCTAACCTCCATTCACCATAACAAAAGATTCAAACTTTATCAACGAGACAAAGAGTAAATTCAATTTATAACTATGTTAGAGTTAAGATTGAATTCATTGTTTAATTTTAAAGTACTGGTGAGCGTTAAAATAGTAAGTCAATGTATAAAATATCTCACTTTTTTAGCTTGAAAGAAAATGTCGGTGAGCATTGATTAAGAAAAAAAAAAATCTTAAAGGGCTTGTATGTTTAAAGTTGATGGAGGATTCCAAGTACAGATAGGTATGTGAAATGGACAATCTAAAGAGCTGTGTTTGGTAACAAAAAGCTCAAGAAAAGCACAGTATGTAAAGACAAATGATAAAGGAGTACTCTAATTGTAACGCACAAAGAAGATGCCCACCTTGTTGTTACCCTTGTTTGTTGGGTTGCTGTATGTTTTGAAACTGCACCAATTGGTGTTACAGATGGGAGCCACTGGCTCCTTACCCTCCAACAACTCTTGTTGCTGCCAATCATAGAAAAAACCAATTAAGCATCATACTAATCATCAATCTTTATTTCCTAATTACCCTTTTAGATTTTGATTATTTCAGTATCCAACATTTATACTCATTTCTACTTGATGGAAAAGAAAATATACCCTTTATCTGATGCTAATCTGTATATTTCTAGCAGCAATATTATGAGAAAAGGGCAATCTAGGTTATGATCTTGAGCCACTCAATAAGATTATTTATTCACGTGGGTTGCATCTGCCGTATGACCACCCATTGACAATTACTCATAGTTCTGCAAATTAATAGAGTTATAAATATTCTATTAAATATTTTGAATTTGAGTGATATTTTGGCAAATTTCGGATTTTCGAGTATATACTCGAATCGATATTCAAATCTCGTTTAGATTTTGAGTATGGGATGGATACATTTGATGATCCAAAATACTATCTTTAAAAATATATAAGAAATATTTGTGTTTCTACTATCCATTGTTGATACAGGTATGTATACTGTATACATACTAGTATATGCATAGGGGTTGGTATGTAATTAGACATGAAAAAAAACAAAAATACAGAAGCACCCACCAAGAATGCCAAACAAAGTAGCAACTGGTTTTGAAGCCTAAAATGTCTCTCTCTTAGCTGGTAATGATATATATCAAACAGTGGGCCATGCACGTATATGCTTCTCTCTCTCTCTCTCTCTCTCTCTCTCTCTCTCTCTCTCTCAAACACTGTCTCAATCTCTTATATAGGAACCTTCCTCCTCCTTTCTTCCCAAAAACTTGAACTCAGTTTCTAAAACTCTTTCTCTCTCTCTCTCTTGCGATTTCCATACACAGACAATAATAAAAGCCTCAATAACATACATAGACATGGCCAAGATTGGAAAGCTAACAAAGCTCAAGTCAGCAATAAAGAGATGGCCATCTTTCACTAAGCTGGGTCGTACAAACAGCTCCATTGCTGCTAGTACTGACGTGATCGAAGACAACATTTCAAGGGAACTCCAAGCAGTTTACGTCGGTAAATCAAGACGGCGATATCTTTTAAGCTCTGATGTCATTTGCCATCCTCTTTTTCAAGAATTGATAGAAAGATCAGGTGGGTTTGATGACGGACAAGTAGTCATTTCTTGTGAAGTTGTGTTGTTTGAGCATTTGTTATGGATGCTTGAAGGCGGTGGCTCTCAGTTAGGCTCCATGGAAGAGCTTGCTGACTTTTACTACACTCGCTAATAACTAATTAGCTAGTATTACTGCGAGTATCCCTATACCCAAAGGGTATGTGACTATCCTCATAATTGTTTTTTCTAGTAGAATTTGTATGGTGAGGATATTAACCCAGTAATTGATTTAATGGTGGATGTTGAATTTTAATTAGCTTCTTTTATTATTAATTTTTGTATTTTGGATTTGCTTCTAATTAGGGTTTCTAATTAATGTAGTTTTTTAGGATTGTTATTATTAACTAGTAAATGAAAATATTGTTAAATGCAAAAAAGTTTGTAGCTAGCTATACAAATTCCATTTTCATTGTTGTTCCTGTGCCTTTTTGGCTTTTCTTTTAATCATCCTTTCTTGTATTTTTGTTGTCTTGGTCAAGTCGCTTCAACCTTTCGTGCCAATAATTTACAGGTTGGCAATGAAATGAAATTACTTAGAATCTTCTTTGATTTAAACCTAAAAACCTTCGAATCAATCTGGCATTTAAATGTATATATACATATGAAAAGGAAAATTCAACCTGTAATAGAAATGGTTACAATAAGAACTTATAATAATAAAAATACTTTGTACACTTACCTGAAAATTACACTTCCTTACTTTACTTACGTACCGATTTGAACATACTCTACCTCTTCCAAAAAAACATGTTAAACAACGTTTGAAATTTATGGATTTTATATATATTTGTCTGAGTACCAAGCAACATGGCAAAGAAACTTTCTTGGTCCCCTTATTAATTTTGGTCTTATTCTCCAAAAAGAAAAAGAAATAAATTCTTTAGATTTTATCATTAAATTGGGTCCCAAAGACTTTAACTCTGTAATTTCCTTTTCTGAATCCAATTCATCACTATTAACTAGTAATGCAGTGCAGTAAACACAGCTGTAGCTAGTAAATTATCCAAGTACGACGTAGGACCTTAATTTCTCCTTTTCAGTTCGTCCTAAACAGTCCAATCAATCAAAATGCCCCTCCATCTCCACTCTGCAGATTCCATAATTAAGCTTCTGTTCTTCTGGGTACATATATATAAGTCTTGCTGCACTTTTTTTGTTTTTTTTTTCTTTTACCGTAGTTATTGGGGTGTGTGGGGTTAGCTAGGAGTACTGGAGTAGGAGACGAGATCAGTAAAAGACATAACATGCAAATTAATTAATCACTAAGCATGTGAGTAACTACTTTTAATTGTTGAGTAACTTATAAAATCAGTTGGGAAAATACATAAGTTAATTGCAAATGATTGGGTAGTTAGAGATGCTTCTTAGCATTTATACAAGCATTGACATTCATTATTATATGTTTTGATTTTGTTATTATATATGCGGTTGGTGATGCATATATATATATTTAACAAGCAGATTTGGCTTGCAGACAAAGACTATAACCAAGAATTCTATATTATTATAATTAAAGACAGAAAAAAGTGGGGAAATGAATTAACAACTATGAAAAACATAAAACCAACTACCTCCTCGGAAATTTATAAATTAAAATAAATTGTTAGATTTCATCAAATTTAAATAATTTATTCTCTATATTGTAAGACAAATCTTTAATTATTTAAATATTGATATGCTAATTAATATCCCATTTAATAAATTGATTCTTAGTAAAAAGTGACTCGAGAGATAAGACACGCTTGGATTGGAAGGAAAATTTCTACGAAATCCCAAAAAAAATTATAATAACGAAAAATCGCAAATCTTGAAATTAGGGTTCATGTTGTGAGCAGATTTGGCTTGCAGACAAAGACTATAACCAAGAATTCTATATTATTATAATTAAAGACAGAAAAAAGTGGGGAAATGAATTAACAACTATGAAAAACATAAAACCAACTACCTCCTCGGAAATTTATAAATTAAAATAAATTGTTAGATTTCATCAAATTTAAATAATTTATTCTCTATATTGTAAGACAAATCTTTAATTATTTAAATATTGATATGCTAATTAATATCCCATTTAATAAATTGATTCTTAGTAAAAAGTGACTCGAGAGATAAGACACGCTTGGATTGGAAGGAAAATTTCTACGAAATCCCAAAAAAAATTATAATAACGAAAAATCGCAAATCTTGAAATTAGGGTTCATGTTGTGATATCATGACTTTGCAACTTGGGAATTATATATTAATATATATGGGTAAGCTAATTATAAAATGGGCAGTATTAATATACATAAAAAGGAGGGAAAATCTAAGTCATGATTCCTAGTGCAATAGCTGACAAGTGTTGAAAATGACCATAAATTGAAAGGTACATGAATACAAATTAAGTTCAATAGAGATGGGGCTATGTTTTGGCTTAGCTACTAAAGAAAGAAAAACAAGTCAAGGGCTCAAAGCACCAAGATTTGGCAGTCAATAATCAATGTGCCCTTAGCCTGCAATAACTATGGGCGTTTTGCCCACACCACAGGGTCACTTTTTGCCTCCTACTTGGCAACAAAAATTTGTTTTAATTTGAGAATTGGCCAACTTGCTCAAATTATGATGGATTGGATCCTTTCTATATACTCTTTTTGTTCATCAACTTCTCCTTCATCTTCCATTTGACAACTAGTTATCTGCCAGCTGCAAGTATTGGGTAAGCTGTCAAATAGTGTCATTATTTTTATTTATTTTTGGCTCAATCCATCAGTTTGGCTCTATTACGCTAACTAAAATCATTGAACCTGAATGAGGTAGTTTATTAATAAAGAATACTTGCGGAGTTGATCATCATGACTTAGGTCATAGGTTTGATTTTTCGTAATACAAACTCCTCCAGCTTAGTCCCTTTACCTTCAAGAGCGAGCAGAAATTAATCCAGTGGACACGGGTCTAGATACCTCGTGCAAATATAAAAAAAAAAATATTGAAAAATGAAAAAAACGAAAAAAAGAAGACATATTAAGAAGATGTGGTCGGGTGTCAGATCACGAGAGTTTTTACTAATTTGGTTAGGGAAGGACTACCCATATTATATAGTCCATAATGTTTTTTCACTTTATTTGACCTCCTAATGAATAAAAAAAATAATATCTAAATTTGGTAATAAGATACCATTTGAATAAAAAACAACCTCAAAATCAATGTAAAAAAAAAAACCCTCAAAATTGTAAAATATATGGATTTAAAATATATATAAAAATGATATATATATATATTATATATAAGTAATAATATATATTTAATATTATAATATGTATTATAATATTAAAAAATAAGATAAACGACACATCTATTGATATAGATACATGAATATAAGGAGGATGCTACAGATATAAATAGATAAGAATTTCCTTGCTAATAAGGCTATTTACAAATTCATTAAGCATAACATTTATCTGCAATCAAATTATAAACAAAGCAAATGAAGACTAATTACGTTGATTTAACGCTACTAATCGTTTTCTTGCCTCTTCTAATCATCCACTCCTCGAAATCCTTGGCTTCGAATGGAATTCTTAAAACACCTTCATTACAAAATCCATATTCTTCAGCTGATTTGCAAAGAAGCTCCAAGAATTCTGCATCACCAAATGCTCTTCTATGAACAATAAATCTCTTACTACTATTCTCACTAACCCCTACACAAACTGGCACATAACCTCTAGGAGTTGATGGAGAACCAACTCCTATTCTCTTAATACCTTTAGCTCCATTAATGAACTTGCTCAACTTACTAGCTTTGACTCCCATTATCTTATCCCTCTTACTGGTTTCAAGCTATTGTTCATGGCAACTCATTAATGGGGATATATACTATACTTTTCACATTACGTGATAGTGATTTATTAATGGGAATTTCAATTCATGGGGTTATAATAATAATAATAATTAATAGCTAGATTGCCGTGACAAGAAGGTTACAGGGTAAGGTGGATTACTTATAGATTTGCTAATTTTTATTTATGATCCTATAATACTAGTTTATGATATAATTTTGTACTTATCAGGAATTTGCTAGTAAGATTTTGTCATCTGATTATGGAATTGAGTGCACGTAATTCACCAATCAATTGGGTTTTGTCTTCAAGGTAAATATTGAAAAGAGTACTGTTTTGGATTTTGCTTTAGATCCTCATAATACATATTTAGAGTACGAATTGTGTACATTTTTTCCTTGGAAGAACTAGTCTTAGAAAGGACATATTACCTTAATTTATTCATTTCAAGAAGACATTTTGTCCTTAATTATATATGGTGCTTCTTTCTACATTTAGGACAAATGAGGGTAATATTTTTTTTTTTTTTTTTTTTTTTTTTAATCCAATTGAGTGATAATTTTTTTTTTTTTTTTTTTTTTTATCCAATTGGTGATAAGCATTGTGGTGGAAACCAATGAAAGCAGTGAATTTAATGTTCTCATGGGCTTTATACAATCATACATTCGAATCTCGTGTAGGTTTTAGGAAACTTTCAAGTTCTGCTTCTAGCCCTGTAGCCCTTTAGCTCAATACGGGCCTCATTGTTAGCCCAATATAGGCCCAATGAAACCGCAATTTCTCTTGTTTCTTTCCCTTCGATTTCGTCAAGTGAAGCTCCTCCTCTTTGCCTTCAGCATCTCATCTTTATCCTCCAGCCAGCAGCGAATGTGGAAAGGCAAGGGACTGTTTGGAGGTCACGCTTTTCATATGGTTTTCAGCTCACGCGCTGACCCATCATAAAAATAGGCTAAATTGAGCATCTTTGTCTAAGTTCATGGGGAAATTGGAAAATAAAAGTATTTTTGGGTATCTTGTATATATTGGGCCCAAATTAATAAAAAATTGTCGATCGAAACGACACCGCATTGTGGTTGAGAATACTTGCGACGCCGTTTCTAAGAACTAAAAATCAACGAAGAAGAAGCACACTACTTTTTCATCATCTTCAGCCTTAAATTATCTCATTGCGGTGATGGCGAACGGCGATCGATGACTGACGTTACCACTAGGTACTACTGCAATGCAAATTGAAAGTGAAGTGAGTCTCTCTTTCTTTCTCAGTTAGCTTTTCTCTTTCTTTGTTCGTCTTGTGCTTTAATCAGCCGAATGAAAGGTTTTAATTACTCAATATTAAAACTTGTTTCCAGTTGCTAATTGTAAAAATCAAGTTAGTATTCTTCGCGTGGGTTCCCTATTTTTATCTATAACTCAGTAAATTAAATGATTTTTTGAGCTCTCATTGGTTTCCTTTTATCATTTGATGGTTTTTATTTTCGAATTTAATCATAGACATAATTGATCTGGAAATTTTCTTTTTTCGGATGTTTTGTGGAGGAAGTTTAAGGTGGAGTAGTGATGTCCAGGTTTCGCGCGCTTTGGCAAGCTTCTCTCAATGCAACAAAGAAGGGTAATGTTATGAACTTTTTGTTCTGAATTTGTGATATTTGATAACAAATGTAAAATAAAACCATGGATAGAGAGAAAACTCCTTAGTTTACTATTGTGGAAACTTAAGAAACAGAAGATGCTGCATTTCTGCTTCTGCTTTAACCCATAAGAGGCATAAAAGACTAAAAATGGAAAAAATAGGTTTCACGGTTTACATTCCTCATTTTCCCCCTTTCATTACCGTCAAAAGAATGCACCTTTTCAAGCTAGTTGAGTTTAAGAATACCTCTACACTCTAGATTACAGAGTAAAATGGTTATACTAATTTTTTTTTTCTTGACTCAAAAATATTTCTTCATTTCCATTTGTCTAATTATCTTTTAGTCTGATATATTCAATTCCTATGATGCATGATTCTTCTGTAGTTCTTTTGTATTACTTTTTTGTTATGCAATTTATGTTGTTCGTTACTTGACATTTTTACTCTTTACTGTAGCTCTCACTGGGAGTCTTGAAGATTTGATGCCTCCAAGTGAAAGGCTCATTTTTAATTTCAATTCAAAAGAAGAGCTAAAAAAATGGCATCTATATTCAGATTCTGAATACGGAGGTACATATATGCAATTTCAATATCTCTTTTGCATGTCTATCATCTGTCTGAAACAAACTTGATGTGAAAAAATTTGCCAGTATGTAGGACATGCAGAAATTCACGGTAATGGACAGTTTGATTTTCTGCAACCTTTCTCTGGTCAATTTTATGCTGGATGAGTATGGTTAATACAATGTCATGCATGCAATAAATTACCAAGGTTTTGATAAATGAAATCTTTAAATTTGTTAAAGCATATTTTCATTTGAAAGAAGAAATAAGTATTAAGCATACAGTGATCTGTTGAGGGACTAAAATGGTGATCAGTAGTTTTATTATTTCTTTATTCATTCAGGTTTATCATCAGCTTCCTTGGAGATCACAGATGCTGGAAATGGGCTAAAGGGTACTGGCCTATTCACTTTCTCACAACATACGATTACACCTGGAGAGCTTTTTCTTCAGATGACAGTTTTTTGTCTTTATATCAATGTGATGCTTTTAAGTAAGATTCATCATGTAAAAAAAAGGTCTTAAATGTTAAAATAGAAAGGAAAGTTGTGATGAAAAACTTTGATCCAAGAATTAGCATTCATAATCTTTGGCAATTATGCATAACAGGTTATACTACTCCGCAAAAAGGAAGCCATCCCTTCAAATTATATATTCTCTCTCCCTATACACACACACATATACATTCTTCCTGTCTTTTGTTCTCTATGGACCCAAAATCTCATGATATATTGGAGACTGTTGTAATGTGAAACATGGGTTCTTAGTCAAAACCTGAGATAGTTATAGATTCTTCTTTGGAATTCACTTTGGATATGATTACTTTAGCAAACTGTTTTGTTCTATTGTACATATAGTTCTTTGTCTGTTAGCAATGATGTTATGAAGCCAAACACCCATATTTCAGTGAAGCAATCTGTTAATTTTGGTTTCATATATTTTTTACCCTTCTATTTTTTTCGGTTATTATTGGTTTATACCAACTGGAGTTGGTTCAGAATCAGTTCATAAGAGTGAGAGAAGCCAGTTTTTTTGGGGCGCTGAGTTAAGACTATGATTGCATTTTGACATTTTAAACATAATAGTACCAACCTTGAACTCGTGATTTTGATCTCCTTATTCTGAAAATATTGTTTCTTTCCATTTCACATAATAGATATTACATTTTGCATAAGTTTTCAGTTTCTGTTAAATCTATTAGTAAGAATCCTAGCTCCATTTGGATTCTACCCTCTCTTGTCTTGAAGTTTGCCCTTTTAGATAAATTATTTTGAAGGTTTTCCTGTAGCAGAATCTTGTGCAACATCTTTTCTTTTCTTTCCTTTCTTTTGTTTACAGCTGCAACATTTGCACTACTTGATGAGAACATTGTGAATTGGTTTTCTTATTTTAAAAAAAAAGAACAATCTTTCTTAATATCTCTATTTATTCATTTCCAGTCTTTTCAACTCAAAATGTTTATCGCTTTTGATCTTCTTGATAGGGGTTTTCTCTGGGAATCTTTCATTGGATGTATCTGAGGGCTCAAAGTGGAATATAACTCGAAGCGGTTTCTGTGGAATGCGATCCAAGAAGGTATAGGAATCAAGTGTCTGATTGAGGAAAGAAATACATTGAAATTCATGAAGTATCAAATTGAAAGTAAAACAAATTTATTGGCGTTGCCCTGCAAACTATACATCCTTTAAACTTAGTTCATCAAAGTTCATTGTTATACAACCAGATTTAACTTCTCAATGTTTATCTTCTGCAGTTTGATGGTTTTATTGATTTAGATGCATATGATACAATTGCTCTAAAGCTTAAAGGTGATGGAAGATGCTACATATCCACTGTGAGTTTTTGTTTTCTTCATTCATGTAATTAAAGAAACACAGAGCTTGTATTGCAATTGCTGTGGCCTCTATTAATTATTAAATAAACAACTTAACTTTTGCTGTGAGTTTTAATGCTAAACCCTTTCTAAATTTGATGATACAGATATATACAGAGAATTGGGTAAATTCACCTGGACAAATGGAAGATAATTCATGGCAAGCTTTTGTTTTTGTACCTGAAGACAATTGGTATATTGCAAAGGCAAGTTATGTTTTCCTCATGATTATGTTTTGAGGCATTATGTCAGCATTAGCTGTTCTTTGTAACCCTGCATTTCAAGCACCAGTGGTGATCTTTATATTATTGACTGTATTTGATTGATATGTATTGTGATGAGTTACACACCAAGCTGATTCTTTTACAGTTATCATTAGTACACATAAATTCTCCTATATTTGTTTCTATTATGATGGGATAGAGAATGGGTTTGTGCATTATTATGAAGCTTCTGCTCGTTGAAGATGAAATTCACTGCTAATAGCAGTGCAACAGAAGATGAAATGAAATCAGTGTTTCCAAATGCTTGTAATGCACTTAACTATTAATGGCTAACATTGGAAATTAATTTCCAAGTTTATTGGTTAAACCATTTCCACCGGTTACTGACTTGGTATTGATATATTGTGGAGTACACATACTTTACCTCTGCTATTAAAGTGAAGGGTTGTATATGCCTGTTGTAATGGATGAGGCCATTCTTTAATCTATTAACGTTGTACAATAAGCTGGAGCTATTTGATGAAATCACTTTTCATAATACCAGCATTTATATGCTTAAAGAAAATAATGGTGAGTGAGTGAGCTTTGGTTGGTTAGAGTTTGTCAAATAAATTATTTGTCTGTCTTTTTTTTTTTTTTTTTTTTTTTTTGTTTGTCAATATAAATTATTTTCTGTCTTTTTTTTTTTTTTTTTTTTTTTGCTAGCTGTGTGTGTACTGATAAGAAGAGTGCTATTATCGCGATGGACAATAGAACACACACGTCTTGTGCATTATAAAGAGTATTTTTTTTTTTTTTTTTTTTTTTTTTTTTGCTACTTGTTCTGTACTGATAAAAGAGTGCTATTATCGGATGGACAATAGAACACCACACGTCTTGTGCATTTATAAAGAGGTTTTTGTTCTAGTGCATGTAAACAGTTTATCTTATTTCCTACTTTCCAATAACCTTTTTTCAGATTCCTCTTGCTCGATATTTGCCAACATGGAGAGGAAATGTTATAAATGAAAAGCTGGAAATGAATCAGTCCCGTATCCTCGGCATGTCTCTATCAGTTAATGCAGAAGGTGGCATCCCAGGTGCCAGATCCGGACCTGGTGATTTTAATGTTGAAATCGATTGGATCAAAGCCTTAAGAACACAGTGAGTCACTGTAAACTGCTTTTGACAATTTTTGAAATGACTATGCAGCCCTGTTTCTCCTTTTGGTTTTACCATGTATTCACAATATGTTGCACAAGATGATGCTGATGTCATAATTTTGCCTGCAAAAATATGTAGAATCTTCCGATCTAGCAAAAATGCAGAATTTATAGTTTGGTAAACTTGCATTTCACTTTCAGAATACTTTTTATTTTTCCTCTCATACCCTCCTGCAATCTGTACCTTTTCGAGCTTGGCATGATTGCTTTTATCACATTCGAGAAGTAAATTGACTGCAGTTTATTATAAGAGAACAACAGAAGAGATGCCAAGAACTAGGCCACATTCTTGTTCTTCTAAACTATACAGGTGAGAATTTAGTGAAAAAGGGAAAAAAAAAGAAAAAGAAACAATCAAAATCAGTGCTATTTTTGGAAAGATTTTCCCAAAGTGGGGTATATCATATAACAGCCAGCTTGTTATTGGACCTACAGAAGATTGTTGATTCCTAATGCTAAAAGATTGTGAAATGTATTTATACGGTGGTGAATGAAAACGACCTTTCAAGTTGTGCTACTAATCTTTCCTTATCAATTTCTTTATTTACAACCACTTGACAGTCACCATTAGCTACTTGTATTGGCTATTTTTTAGGTACTTATGTGCAAAATATTTATCTATATCCCCTCATCTTGCACCTTCTATTCATTCTACATTCATGTCAAAAAAACTGTAAGACAGCTGGATGCTGCAAAGCCCACTACCATAAATATCTTTCTAATTTGAGATAAATTGCATGCATTGAATTTTGTTATAATTACTTGAGTCTAATTCCTATGTCTCAATGAAATGTAAGTGGGTACAGACTTGCAGCTTTGAATCTGTCAAGAATCATTCAGCAATACATATTACATCCATGAAAGGATCAAAAAAACAAAAGCAGCAGCAACAAGTGCTAGAGTGGGACGTTATTGCTTTTGTTGTTCTTATTTAGATATGGGTTTTGATTTTGATGGTATGTTCACAAGTTGGGGAGTTTGGGGTCCACTAGAAAAGAAAAGGCCCACATACTTCTGGGTTTTGGAAATTGATGGCTGACTTGGACAAATAGTTTCCAAGCACACACTTCATCTATCTCTGTCATGGCATCATCTCTCCCTCTGTGTGTGTGTGTGTGTGTGTGTGTGTAAAGCAATTACTAACCATATGTGCCCCAAAAATCAGTGTTTCTAGAGAAGTTGCAGATCTACAGAGTTCTGATTGTTTGTTCATTGTTGATGATTGGTATGGTAGTTCTGGCTATTATGTCGCCACCGCCCTTATCTTGCTTTATAAACCACTTGTTGCCCATTGCATATCCATATTTCCCCTTTTGTGCTTCTTATTTTAGAGCAACATGTAAAACATCTCTTTTTGATTAATTCTTGCAATCTTTTCCAATAATTGAGCTTAATGCAATAATGGAGAATCATCCGTTGCAAGAAAGTGTATTTCTGTGTAAATTAATTCAAATCTCTCTTATGATGAGAGATTTAATCATAATTTTCGATGTTTCAGTTTTGAATTTATGTTACTTTTGGAAGGTGTGTAGTCGTAGCTAATAAAATAGGAGTCAAAGTGATGTATAGTTTCCATGATCTTCTACAATGGGAGATTCTGGTTATAACATATAAGAGGCATGTGCTTTCGAGCCCATTCTAATAAAATTGTGGCTGATAATTGATATTTCACATGGGCATTTCTAGTTTTTCTATGGACCCGTCGGTGCTTGTCAGGGATTGGCATTCACCATATCTACTATATTTGATAAAATTTGTAACAAATTGGACAGCGATAAAATGTATATGGACTACAATGGATATTACATAAATAGGTAGGTTGTAAACTAATCTAGCCGAGCTCCAAATCTGTCATAATTCAAAACTTAGCTTATTTCTCAAAACCTGTTAAATTGAGAGTTCGGTTCGATCTTAATTAGTTTGAAACTAAAATTTAGTTATTTTAAATGGGTGGGTTATTTTGAGATCGCATTTTGTTAATACTAAAGTAATGAATTTTTTTTAATATTAACATAACTGTATTATGCTTTTTAACCTAGAAATTTATCATTAAAAGAAGTATAAAAAATTATACGTTTGCCATAAATTAAAGACCCATGTTCTAAAAATTGAGATCCATCTTGACGCCAATTTTGTAGCATTTCAGTAACTCTGCTTTCCTTTCTTCCAGTGCAGAATGGTTCACCAATCAAAACAAATTTCATAATTTACATCCATTAATATAAAAAGGTCTACCATATATTAACTCAATCATATTTTTGGTCACAAAACACTAAAACCACTTCTAGTTCTTCACGAGAAATAAGAATCACCAAAAGACATGTAAATAAATGATCTACTGTCATTTTTTTTTTCATAAATACTGTGTAAAGAATCCATAAGGGTGTTAAAATATAAAAAAATTAATAAAAATGGGATAAAATTAATGGATAACCTTTTAGCTTCGTTGCATGATATTCCCTCAATTATGGATACTCAGTGGGAAAATCCTTTGATACAAATTTTCTAACTATTCATTTCGCCTTTTTCTACTTCTTTATCAAACACAAAGAAGAAAATACAGAAACGACTTTTAATGGTAGATCTATAGAAAATTTAAGCTTTTAACTATTTACAGTTTCTGTGCGTGATTAATTGGTTTTTACTGGAGAAATTTTTGTCCGATGAACAATACTGTGGCAACGTTCATGAAATAGACTAAATTCAAATTAATCATTAGCCCATTTGAAACCCCTATTTGTGATAGGGGCTTTGAACCCTGGTAATATTGCCAAAACGGAGTCTATTTCCAACCATGAACATAGAACAACATTAGACCTTCCACCCTCCAAATTCCATTCCCAACCCAATAAAACCTTAATTTACAATTCTATTCTACAATAAAATGTGGGACCATTGTTTTACATGTGCTGTCTAAAAAGGACCGATAATAATAAAAACAGAACCTTCTGGACACCTTAAATCTACCAAAATATCTACTGTCTTTGAATCTCTACCGTCCACAAGTACCCCTGACCTTATCAGAGATATTTGTTTAAAAATTATATTAGTATAAAAAATATTTTAAAATAAACAAATTAAATTTACTTATTTATACATTACCTAACAAACTATATAAATGGCCCAGCTTCTGGAGACTTCTTGAGCCTTAGCTCTTAGGAAGCAGAGGAGGAAATACTCTTTTTCTCTTTTATTTTCTCCTCTCTTCAATCTTTACCCCTACGAAATAAACTACGGCTAAGGTTCCGTGTTCTTCCTTCAATAAAGATGTAATCTTTTTCTGTGTTTGATATAGCATTTATATATATACATATATATATATAGATGGGCTTCTGTTTGATCTCTGTTTTAGGTTCTGGGTTAGTTTAATTTGTCGACAAGAAAAAATCTTTGTGGTTTTTGGTTTTGGTGTGGGTTTTGATTATTTGAGGAGAAGAAATGGCTAATGGAAAAGATGAAAGCAAAAGCAAAGACTTCTATCAAGTACTTGGGTTGAATAAGGAATGCACAGCAACAGAGCTGAAGAATGCTTATAGGAAACTTGCACTGGTTAGACCTTAACTTAAATTAAATTCCTCTCTTCTGCTCTGCCTCCCCCTTCTTGTTTGTTAATCTCCTGTTTATCCCCCCCCCCCAGTCAATAACTGGGTCTTTCTCCAATTCCTTAACAGTCTTACAGTCTCCTTTTCTTTCCCTCTGTTTTTGACAAAACAATATAGTTCCCTGTTTTTCTTAGAATAATGAAATGGATTTATGGGTTTTTGATGTTGTATTTTTGCTTTCTCTTTTAAAGAACAGAAAAAGAGGGGGGGGGTGTTTAGATTCAAATTGTGTTTTTGCTTTGATTTGGCAAGTTGGTTTGGTATCAATAAAAACAGATTTTCTGGGAAAAGTAAAATTTACCCGGAAAGAAAAGATTCTATTATATAGTAAAAAAGATTTATCTTTGTCTGGGATAGAGATGGCACCCAGATCGCTGTTCAGCTTCCGGAAATTCAAAGTTTGTAGAAGAAGCAAAACAAAATTTTCAGGCAATACAACAGGCCTACTCCGGTAATTTTTTTCAAAGCCCCTGTTTTTTTTACCTTTATTCTTCTTTTTAAGTAGTCTTCTCACTTCTGGCATGAGAGCAAGATTATTTTTCATCGGTTTCATAACCTATTTTTTTCTGTTGTGTTCTGTTTTATGTACAGTTCTATCTGACGCCAACAAGAGGTTTCTGTACGATGTAGGTGCTTATGACAGTGATGACGACGAAAATGTACGCTTCTTTTTTCGTTTCTTGGATTTTGTAATGATTCTCCTTTTCATTTTCTTCTTATATATATATATTAAAAAGAACAGTAGAACAATGGCAATGTGCTCAATTTTGATTTAGCTGACTTCTTTTTATGATGTTTTCTTTTATTATAAATAAATTTGGAATTTATTTTATTAATCAATTTTTTGTTGATTTGTTCCAAAACTTTATTTCATTGTTTTTTTTTTTTGTGGAAATTACTGATTTGGTGACTAAATCTATTCGAATGTAAACGAAACCAACCCTTAAAACGGTAATTTTTTGTTTTGAATTTTACATGCAGGGCATGGGTGATTTTCTGAATGAAATGGCAGTTATGATGAGCCAAACAAAGCCTAATGTGAGTTTTTTATTCCCTGTATTACTCTAGTCTAGAATTTTGATGTTCCTTCATTTATCTGAATGAAAATAAAACATTTTATTTAAAAAAAATCTTCTTTTTTTTTTTTGATAAACTAATATCAGATTTATTTGTTAAGTTAATTAGCAAATGGTGATTACCAAAATAAATAAATAAATAAATAATTTTCCATTGAAAACATTTGTTTCTTATTTGCTTTATATTCCTTTATCATTATGCATTTCTTTTTTTTTATTATTTAAAGTATTATCATTTCAATTATTAGATTCTTATGGGTGACTTTTTATTAATTAGATGTATTAATAAATTTTTTTTTTTGCTTTTTTGTAATCATATTCCTATATAGCTAAGCTAGCTTTTCTATCAGTGAATAACCCACCTAATCCGAACCCTAACTTTTGATTAGTGTAGAAATTAAGAATACGTGAGCCAATTGAAAGTCATAAATTAATTTTGATTTGACTCTTTTTAGTTTTTACCAGCTTCGAGTTTTAACCCCCAACTTTTTACGCAGTACACGTACTTTGTTAGAATCCTATGTTATCCAGTATTGGATATAAATGGGGCCCAACAAGAAAAATTGAGCAATCATCAACCATTCAGTTGTAGGAGGAATATAGTGTGTGCTGTAGATTCTAACAAATGAGCCCTTCAATGGACCCCATCGAAGTAGGCCTATTTATTTGGTTCCGTACTCTTTATTAAAAAAAAAATTTCTCTCAAATTTAAAAAATTTTCTCTCAGTTATTTAAATATTTTTAAAAAATATGAAATTAATATGTGAAAATTGTTCAAACGTGATTGAGCCGCTCTTTATGGCTTGTGTCTTTTTATCTTTTAATTCATTAGGAGGTATAATAAGCTGAAGGAATATCGTGGGAGTATATATCAGAACAACTCTCTCCTTTATTTAGAAAATTCGTGAAAACTATTGTAGCCGAGAGACTTCAAATTTGAAAATTATGAAACATTGAAAATTATGAAATGTGATATTAGGCGTTCCAAATTCTAATAGATGCAATTCTTTTTTTTAATTTTTTTTTTATGGGAAAGAATTAAAAATTAAGTGGTATTGATTGGGTGTCAATTTGACAGGAAAATGGAGAGGAGAGTTTTGAGGATTTACAAGTGTTATTTGAAGAAATGTTTCAAGAGGACATTGAGTCATTTGGGGTTGGCTATGAAGCTGCTGCTGCTGCTAATAACTCTTCTCCTTATATGTCAAAATTTAGTGAAAGTTCCAGCTCAAATCACAATCGAAATTCCTCTAAGATGAAGAATTTAGTTGAGTCTAAAGCAGAGGACTCTCTTGGCTTTGGTTCTCACTTTCAGAAATTTTGCGTCGGGGTAAGTACGATCCTCATTGTAATCAATTTTTTAACAGTAGTACTGAGATCATATTAAGAAAGAACCTAGGGTTATGATCATATTGATTGAGTTTTGATGTTATGAAGACAGGCGGAACACCAAAAAAATTTCAAGAAGCGGAAGGGAGCAAGAGGAGAAATTCAAGGAGAAGCCGGCGGTAGGAGATGGAGGAATAGTGGCAGGAAACAAAAAGTTCCTGACCATAGTATTTCTGCTTCATGATTAATGATGCACTATTAACTCTGCAAGTGTACCTAATTAATGTACCATATTTTGCTTCGTGACGGAAACGGAGATTAGATTAGATTAGAAAAGAAAAGGAAAAGCTCATTGGCAAAATGTTTGATCATCTCAAAAGGTTGAAGAAGGAAGCAAAAACATAATCATCAATTCCATGGAAGCTGAAAACCAACCTCAATCAGTCTTTATCTAGGGTTTCTTAGAAACAGCAAAATGCCATTCATTAACTGGTACCATTTGTGCCTGTAGTTGTCTTCTTGCTCCTAACTCTTTAGCCTCTTTGATGGTTCTTGTATGTGATTGAAGGGTAATGAAATATTTCTTTTAGTCTTTCTATTGCTGTTAAGACTTTTCTCAGTTATCTATGTCGGCATCGGAAGAGCATGTCGTGAAGAGCCACCGACTTACCGTTTCGGACATACGGTACCTAGAGCACGTGGGTAGTGGACCCCATAAAGGCGCAATGGGTTTCGCCACCGTAGAATTAAGACCCAAAAAAGCCTAATTCGTCTGCTTTTAGGTTTGATGGTGAGAAGTGGAGAATGACTGACCCCAAAGCATCTCTCAATTTTCGTCCACTGTACAACTTTTGGGTTTGAAATGGTAGAGTAAAGATCTGGGTCCCACTTTCCACTCAACTTGCCCAAAAAAAAATATTTGTCTGATCTGGGTCCCACATTTTCCAAGAGTGGGTGGGCCTTCTGTTTTCCACATTTTCCATCAAACCCAAGTTGTGCAACTAACTGGAGCAACTTGCACCTTTTCTTCCTAATTAATTAGTTAATGAACTTTATCTAGTCTTTTGGGCTTTTTATGTGTATACAATGAATCCTGAGGTTCAATAAAATATGCTTATGTTTAATGTAGAAAAGTCAGCAACTCAAATTCCTAGCCCCATCTATATTCTTAAGCTTCCAATATTAAACAAATAAAATAAAAAAAGACCAGCCAAATGCATAAAATTCTCCTTTTCATTTTAATCATTTGTCAATTGCAAATTTGCGGAAGCTTAATGTACCCCCTTAATTTTTAACTTTTATAACTATTATACCCCTTGCCAAGCTGTTAAGGTAAGACGTGAAATTAAATATGAAATGGAATATAATCATCTAATTAAAAATTCAGTATAACAAAAACGAAGTAATTTTTTTCTCTATTTTAAAGCGTTACTTTTCCTTTTCAATCTCTTTTTTGTTTTTCTCTCTCTACCATTCTCCTTTCAATCTCTTTCTTTGTTTTTCTTTCGCAATTTCTCTCATTTTCAATTTTTCAACAGATATCTCTTTAATTGTATGTTTCTTCTTCTTCTTTTCAATTTTCTCTTCTTCTCCTCCTTAATTTCTTTATAATAAAGTTTTTGAAATTTTGATTTTGGATCTTTAAAATCCCTAAAATCAATTTTTTGCAACTTAGCACATCCTACATTATTGCGCTACATAGGTTGAAAGTGGAGAGGGAGAAAATGACGAAGAGGCAATGGTTGCAGATTAAGGTCGATCGGAAAGTAGAGAGAAAGAGAAATTAGTGTTGGCCGGACACAAGCAGGTGATAAAATAAATAAATAAAAATGGAGAGGGATGACTGTGTGCACAATCGGGGAGAAGAGAGAAGATAGATTTAGGTTGGGGCTGGTTTGGGTTGATTAAGGTTCGGTTTGGCCAAAATCATGGACTTTTATTTGATTTTTTAATTGATTTGACTATTTCTAATGGGTTTAAATTGATTTACCACATATAAATGCCACGTGGAATAAAATATGCTGAAATGTTTGTAAAAAGTGTCACGTAAGAGCGATTATATTTCACGCTTAATTCTTTAACTGAACATGGGTGTAAAAGCAATAAAAAAAAAAAAATTTAAAGAGCACATTAGATCCCCGTAGAATTGAAGTTGACAAATAGTTAAAATAAAAAAGTTCAAGAGATTTTATGCATTCGGCAAAAAAAAAAACTACTTTATATTTATATTTAATTATCACATCATAGGTTTGTATTAGCTTAAAAAAAAAACTTTACTAATCTAACCAAATCAACATGCTTGCTTGATTGCTAGCTGTGAAATAATATGAATGTGTATTGCATTTTAGTGGACTAAAAGAATATTTACAATCAATCTAAATCAATTTGTCATCAAATGTCCGTACATTTAAAAGTCTTTTCAAAAACTTACAAATTTAACTATATAGATTTTTTTTTTTTTTCTCAGTTTTGACTTCCAATCACATTTAACCGTTATAAACATAAACAGTTCCATCATTAAGTTTGGTAGAATTCTTTAGTAATTTATCAAGTTGAAAGATTTTTACTATCAATGGCATAAATGGGGAAGTCCATGGGAGCTGGAGACCAGTTCTCAAAGTTGATAAATAGAATATTAAATTAATCTAACAATTTTTAGTAAAATAATGTGAATGACAACAACAATTATCAATTGCCTGCAAGTTTATCATGCTACGAAGAGTTCTGCCCATGACTAGTCTGAATTTGGAGTTATCATCTCTGAATGTAAACTACTCTTAGTCCAATTGCCTAGCGTTTCCTTGGCTTGGATTAGAAGACAAGCAAATGATATAGCTCATGTGTTGGTTAAATCAGTTTCTAGTGAGGCTTGTTTTCAAATTTGGGATAGTGCTCCGGCTTGTATTGCTCATTTCTTTCATTAATAATATAAATCATAATTCAAATGTCAAAAAAAATTATCAACTAATAGGAAATAATAGTACTTAGCATTTTACGTGTGTGGTTTTTTTTTTTTTTTATTGTAGGTGAAGATTCAAAGTCAAATCTATTGTCAAATCGTATATATATTTACCAATAAACTAAGTCTTGGTGTGCCGTACCTGGTTTGTTTATGTTCGTGTTTCAATCATATTGTCCTTATAAGCTTTCAACTTGCACCTCACACATGTAATATTGATGGATACATGAGCCAAAACAAGAAAAAGCTTCCCTAAGATAAGACAAGTCGATAAAAAGAGCAGCACAAGTTGAACTTATAGACTTTATGAACTTAGGCTAAGAGATGTTTAGAAGCAACTGACTCTCCTTCTTGCTTGGATTTGATTTTTACTATTGAGATTATGATATTTTATTTCAACTTTTCTTTTTTTTTTTTTTTTTTTTTATATTGATGGATAACATGAGCAAAAAGAAAAGGCTTCCCTAAGATAGACAAGTGAAAAAGAGAGCAACACAAGTTGAATTACGACTTTTATGACTTAGGCTAAGAATTGTTTAGAAGCAACTGACTCTCCTTCTTGCTTTGGAATTGATTTTTTGCTATTGAAGATGATTATTTTTTTCACTTTTTTTTTTTTTTTTTTTTCTTATTTTGGGAAGAGTTTTTAATATTGATTTATTGTTTACCGGGTCTTTTCATTTGAAATTACGAACTCGATTTAATATATTGAGGAGACTTGATGAACCGAATTTAAATACTTAATTGTGCTAAGTTTTTTCTGAATTTTAATAATAAAAAAAAGAAATTTGCAAACAAGTTGAACTTATAAACTATATTTGTAGAGGTTATACTTTATAATTAAGTTGCAAGCTGTGACTTTGAATAAGACATGTATGGTATCATTAGCAAGTTGCTAGTAGAATATAATCATATCCTTAGTCTTGGAAAAATCATCAAGACTCGACCTTTCCCCGTTGTATTTCTTTGCAAGTGGCTTGCTGCCAGCATCATCATCGTTATAATAATAGTTGATGATAATATTTTATTTTCACATAAATAATCGTTTAGATTAATTAAATATGAAATTAAATATTCAAAATTTAGAAAAATTACGTGAGGGGTCATTGAACCGCTGGAAAAGTCCAGACCCGCTTACGGAAAATGGTAAAATGGTAAAATGGAAATCATAATAGAATATATTATTAATTTCATAAGTTGTAACTTGTTTTTTCTAAACTAAAACAAATTGATTTGTTTAAGTTTTATGGCTCAAATTTATTGAAAGCCAAAATTGCGAACAAGTTACTTTCAATTTAATTGATTTTTCATCCTAATTATAAATATTTTTATTTCGATTGTATATTTATATTTTCTTTGTATATGAATTTTCATAGAATAATTTATATTTATATTATCCATATCTTATTGTTATTAATAATTTAATATATTACATGTCGATGCCTCATGACCCGAAATAGCGCATCTCACCCGTACATGCATATGAAGACGGAAGACTAAATAAAGTTTTCCTCTAAGGCCTAAACGCCAGTCCATCCAGCTGGGCCTTAATACAGCCTTCTTGTTTCCGAAAAGCCTGTTTTAAAGGCCACAACCCACGATTGTAATATATTTATTACAATTATAGGCTTGAATAAGCTAAATTGGTAATTGATCTCTGAGATTTAACAGCGTTAAATTATTTAATCATCTCATCCAAAAATGAAATTTTTATCATTGACTTTTTACTATTTAATTATTCCTCATTCAATAATAAAATTATAGTTTATAAAAGACTCAAACTCGAGATTCTTCACTCCTTCATCATCTTCAATAAGATATGGAAAAATCAACCAGACCATACCTGATTAACTATAGTTTATAAGGTTAAATCTTAACTACTAATCAATGATTTTATCGAATGATAAAGATAAATTAGTAATGAAAAATATAAATGCTTTCTATCACTGTCACAAACCTAACCCAATTGAATTATTGCATTCAACTATACGCAAGTATAAGGTCATGGCTCCTATATAAGTCCTTTTACATATTGAAAATCAACCTTTATTAATTTTTTGGGCCTTCACCAAATATGATGGACATGTACCACCAATATTGAAATTGATTTACGAGACTCTAATTTAATTTTATATTCTATTAAATAAAAAAATTTCTTTTTTTTTACCAACAAATTACACTCTCGAGTATTTAAAAAGACTTTATATTTACGAATTAAACTTGAGATTTTTATTTATTTATTTAGTAGAATTTAATTTAAAAATTGATCGGATGGAATAAAATGAGCATCACAGTGGCGCAGGTAGATATAATGACTGGATGAAGCACGTGACTAGGCAGGCAGGTGGGGTCAAGAACGATTTAACATTCCATCCCACTCGCTCCCTCACTCGCTGTTGATGGATCTGAGATTTAGTACAAAGTCCAATCTTATCCAGTTGACGTGTAAACACTCGAAAGTAAAATGTATGTGGGGTCCACTTGTCCATTGATTAGTCATCCAACCCTCCAATTATTTTGGGGCTGAATTTCTTCTTCTCCGTCCACTCGGCTTCACCAAATTAGTTGGCTATTTATTTATTTTCTTGTCGTCCAACTTTTATAATTTATTACTACTTGAATGCCTACCAAAGAATCATTTTGGTTTGTAAGTTCATTAAAATTTTAAATAATCTATTTAGCTCACTTGCTAATGTTTTAATATTTTAATTACTATAATTAATAAATTTAAATAAATTATTAACATGAAATTCGTTGATAGAATATTTTTATATGAATTTTATCTATAAAGTTAGGATTTAAAATTTAAAATAGTTATTATTCGGATTTAAATATCATTTTTTGTCCTAAATAGAGACATTTATATGACAAAAAAAAAAAGACTTGTTTACAAATCTAGTTTTAATTAATTAATTGGTTAATTTGCTATAATAAATTTATTTGCCCTTAATATATGCTATATATATATATATTTTTTTTTTTTTTTTTTTTTTTTTTTTTTTTTGAGAGGAGATTTGCTATATATTTTAATATTTTTTTTTTTTTTTTGAGAGGAGATTTGCTATATATTTAATAGTAATTTGTTTTATATTGATGAGGGAAATGGCTTTCATGCATTTTGTTTTCTTCAACGATCAGCATTCAATTCAACAGTCAAATAGTAATTATTAAAAAATAATAATAACTAAAAATAGCATTTCTAGTCAAATATTGGTTCGAAGAAAGAAAAAAAAAAAGTAAAAAAATCAACGGCTCCTAAGAAAGCCAAAGTAGCCGGAGCCATTGTATGATTAGAGCCATCAATATCTAAGTACCACCTTATCCCTTCTTCTTCTTCTTCTTCTACTTCTTCTTCTGTCTATAAAAAAACCCTAAATCACCATTTCCATCCCAGAATAATAATATATAGCAGTAATAATAAACACCTCTTTCAGCCTCCTCTCTTATCTTCTCTCTGCGTTTCGCCCCATCTCCTTTCTCAGTAACAGTCCTTTTAAAAACACAAAAAAGGAAACCTGTTCATTGAGATAAAAAATATATATATATTCGATATATAATTAATAAAAATGGGATTCCTCCATAAGCTGTGGGACGAAACGCTAGCAGGGCCAATGCCCGAATCAGGGCTGGGCAAACTGCGAAAGTATGATTCATTCTCAGGTGCAACAGGCGCACCGCGATCATCTCCAGAACCTGTTTTTCCTCATCATAATGAGGATCTGCCTATCACTCGAAGCATTACAATTCTTAGAACTAATTCCAATAATTTCAAGAACATTTCTCTTGATCCTGGTTCGGCTCCTGACTCGCCTTGCACTCCTCGCACCCCTTCCACTCCTCGCACCCCTTCCACTCCTCGCAACCCTTTTTCGCGTAAGTTTGAATAATTTAATAAATCAATCATCGGAGTTTTAAGTATTTCGTTTCGATTTTAATCTGAAATTTGCATGCAGCTGGAACACCAAGCGGGGAATTCAAGAGATTGACAAGGAGAAAATCATCTATGGATGCATTCGGACCGCGCTGACACTAGAAGTCTGTCTGAGCATTTCATATTCTTTTTCTCTTTATAAAAATCGCATTAGATCTTTCGTTAATGTCTTTGGGTATCTCTGTTTTTGTTGCAGGATTGTGACGAGTGTTTTGGATCGTTGAGAGAGGAAAAATTGACGATTTTGCTTTAAGAATCGGCAACAATTAATTATATTTTTAATTAAACTCTTGTAAATACAGAACTTCTCTGTTGTAATTATCATCATATAATATATATCTATATCTTAATTAATACCCAGAATAAGAACCAAACTGTTGCTTCCAGAAGTTCGTGAGAGAGGAATAATGGAGTAGGAAAACCGGCCGGCTCTCCTGATATGGATTTGAGCTACAGAGCTGTTACCTTCACCATATGTATATTTTTGTTGGGGTGTTTGTATTCTTTTTTTTTTCTTTTCTTTGTAATATGGTTTTGCTGTTCTTGTGCATAGCATTTGGACCGACCATGTATGTATTATATAGATTGTCCTCTTTCAATCAAACTTAATTGAAGATTATTATTATTTATTATTGCTATTTTCAACTCAATCTTCAATCAATAAAATCAATGCATGTAAGGAAGCACAAAAGTATAATATTGAGAAAGCTCGAACATAGAGTATTTAAGGACGAACACGATATAAAATTATAATAAATCAATTGGCTTACGACTTTAAAATACATATTTTTATATTTAGAGTGAAAATATTACTAGTATTCACGTAAAATTCTCTCCGTCTTATTAATGGCAACTCTAGTTGAATGAAAAAAAAAAAAAAAAACTTTTTCTTATTTACGACATATGAAAGCGGTTTTTAGTTTAATTTGGGAGTTAGGAAAAGAGCATTAAGAAAAAAAAAAAAGAAAAAGGCAATCATTCTATAAATACTTGGCATTTAGGTCATGACAAATGCACCTACCGAGAAATCAAGCCTAAATTGAACCGGCAACCCAACAAATACAAATATACAATTCAGACGATTTTGGATTACCGGCAATAACACGTCACCGTCAACCAATACCCATTTATTTCTTAGCTCCCTGCATTTTCTGACCAACTCACTTCACGACCCACGTGAACTCTAGTTTTCTTTCCTACTTATGCTCATTGCTCACCTACAACTGTCGGTTGCCGTCGGCGGCCTTACGTTAATCTCACCTGTTGGTCACTCTCAGTTACCACTGTTCATTCCTTCAGTCGACACGTTACCACTGCTTACCGGTTCTTGTAACCTCCGGAGTTAGTTCACAAGTTCTCAGTCTTCCTGGAAGTTTAATTTGACATGATGACCATATTACCCCCAACTAATTAAACAGTTGTTTTTAACTTTTTTTTTTTTTAAACAATTTAAAGTAAATTCATCTTTAATATTATCTTTGATTCATGATACTTATTACACTTGTCGCATTTATAGTTTCAAATAGTAATAAATATTTTTTTTCATATTTACCTTTGTATATGATAATCATAAATGAATCGAGCTCGAGTTCAAAATCTATTAACCAAAATGGCGTCGTTTTAATATAAATTTTAATAGATTTTGATTTATTGAATTAACTCGTGAGCACGGCTCGATAAGTTTATTGAACGAGTTCGAAAGAGTTTTTATTGAGTTAAGTCTCGAGCGGCTTGATTCGTTTACAACACTAAATAAATGTATTAATTTGAAAGATATTTAAAAACTAATTAAATATCTAAGTCCTTTAAATAAAAAAAAAAAAGGTAATTTCTCCTCAATTTAGTATTAATGCACTTTATTATACATGACATGAGTATTAATTTGTAAAATAAAAAAAAACAAACTTTAATTTTTTTTTTTTGAAAAGACTTATTTATTTAACAGTAAAACTAATTAAAAATATAAATTCTCTATATAGAAAATGAGTTAATTTCACCAATTATTACATAGCTTAGCATTAACATATTTTATTGTGCATAAATATTAATTCGTAATACAAAAGATTCAAATTTTAATTTATATAATAATAAGAGACATTTCAAGTTTCCATAAAGTGTAGCTCAAAATTTAATAAGAGTAGGTTTGGATAATTCTTTAATTAATTGACACCATAAAACGATTATTGTTTAAGTTAAAGTAGCACTGTAAAAGAAATTATTGTACTGGTTTTTAGTTTTTTAGCTTTACTTTTTACTACGAGAGGGTATTATAGGGAAACCCTGAGCACCGGGAACTGGTAAGCAGCTGCGAAAAGGCAGTCACTTTAATTCCACTTAAACACCATGGTGTTTTCCGTCAATTCCACACTCAGAAAACGATAACGCTCTTCAACTACCTAGCCGGCAACTCTCCCCATCACGCCGGTGACGGAAATCTCTACGCTTTTCCAATAATATTCCTCCACCTCACCACCTCCCCAACTCCAATTCTGTCCACGTGTCCCTCCCATTCCTATTTCCATACCCCACCTTCTCCTTCTCCGTCAATTCCCATTTTCCTCCGTCAACGTTTCTCGTATATATATATACACGCAAATTCATTTCCTTATATTCTCTTCCTTTCTCTCTTTTGTTGTTTGTTGTTTATCTGAGGTTATCAGATCTGAGCCGTTGATTGTTCCGAGTACTTTGCAATGGACGATGATGAGGAGATTCAGTCACACGCTTCAGCGGCCACCGGATCTCCGTCGCCGTCTCCGCCCAACGGAAGAATTACTGTGACAGTTGCTGCCGCACCGCCGTCTTCTCAACAGGAGCAGCAATCGCCGCAACGGATTAACAACAGTAGCTTAGCCATCATCCCGATCCAGCAACCAAAGACCAACGGCGGCGGTAGAGAAGACTGCTGGAGTGAGGGAGCGACAGCGGTTCTCATAGATGCTTGGGGAGAGAGATATTTAGAGCTGAGCAGAGGAAATCTAAAGCAAAAGCACTGGAAAGAAGTGGCAGATATCGTAAGTAGCAGAGAGGACTATTCAAAGGCGGCGAAGACTGATATTCAGTGCAAGAATCGGATTGATACGGTGAAGAAGAAGTATAAATTAGAGAAGGCGAAGATTGCTGCAGGTGGTGGACCGAGTAAATGGCCGTTTTTCGAACGGCTAGATCAATTAATTGGTCCAACTGCTAAAATTCCTGTTACTGCTACTGCTGCAGCTGCTTCTTTGTCTAACAAAGTTCCTGTAGGAATTCCTGTTGTTGGGATTCGCAGTGGGTCTAGTCAATATCAGTTTGGAAAGGCCCAAATGAAGAACAACCAAATTACAAAAAATCAGAATGCGAAAGCACAGTTTAGAAAACGAAATCAGGTGGAGAGAGAGTCATCTTCCGATGAAGAGGAGGAGAATTTTCCTGATTCAGATGATAGTTTACCACCGGAAAAGAAACCGAGGGTTGTTCAAAGAGGAGTAAATACAAAAATAGGGAAGGAAAAGAAGGGATGGGGCAATTCAATTAGAATGTTGACACAAGCGATATTGAAATTTGGTGAAGCGTATGAGCAGGCAGAGAGTGTTAAATTGCAACAAGTTGTGGAGATGGAAAAGGCTAGGATGAAATTTGCTAAAGAGCTTGAGTTGCAGAGGATGCAATTTTTCATGAAGACCCAAATGGAGATTTCGCAGTTGAAGCGTGGAAGAAAAGGAGGAAATGGAAGTAATCACCTCCACAGTGGTAACAATCTTATTCATAATCATAACGCTAATAACAACAATAGTGATAGTGATAACTAAGAATGGTAGATTTTTGGGTTATAGTTGAAGTTTAGATTTTTTTTTTTTTTTATAACATTACAGATTGTTAGATTTTCTCTGTGTTATGTGGGTAAAAGAAAAATAACCCATTGAATTATATGGAGAAACTTTGTACTGCTGGGAACTCGTAGTGTTGGATGTATCCTGCTTAGTGATTATGAAGCTTAATTTATGACAGTTCTTTTAACTTTTGTAGCATGTGTAGGGATAAGAGAATTGATTAATATTTGCTTCTTTTCTTCCAAAATGTTGGCAACTTCTAGATTACTCTTGAAGTGAATGAATGTCAATATAACCCTCTTGTGTACAATTTAATAGCATCTGCAGTTCCTATTGGTAAGAATTTCAGGAATTTTTTACTACTTTATAACAGTTGGAATTGGAATTATGAAGTAAATTTTTTTGCTGGATGCTTTAGTTCCATGTGCCTGGGATTTATCGATTTTGGTTGTCATTGTGTAAAAGATTTCTGCTTTTACTGCCACTGCATGGAATAGCTCATATGATTGTGTGACACTACTTCGAAAATGTACATGGAGATGAAGACTCAAATGCAGCTCGTGGTGGAAGTGCCAATAAAACCAATTCTCAAGGAGAGACTTAATTTACCCCCAGCTATCACTAGCTTGAAAAACTGAAAAGCCAATTTGCTTGGAGCAAGTTGATCATATGTGGCACTTCTAGAACGACTTGCATGGAGTTATTGCTGATCTCTACTTCTTTATCAACAGGTTTTTCTCTTGAACTTGGAATGTATTGTATTTTTCACTCATTGAAGGGTATTTATAGGTGCAATATATAACTCTCATGAAGTAACTTAAATGACATGAATGCAAGTCAATGAACTGAATTAAATGACAAATATACTAACTGTAATTAAATGCTAATTTACTTGCACTAGCATAAATGAAACCACACGTTAATTTAGACATTAAAATTCAAATTTTCTTTAACAATAACATGTAAAGATAGAGACAAACGCATGTTATCTTTGCATTACTATGTATATTTTGCTTGTTGGAAAAGATAGGTGCCAACTGGTATGGTTGATATTCTCACCTATAAGGATAGAGAGGTTTTGACCACATGAATTTTCATTAATTTAATGAGTAAAAATGGAGGAGGACTGTGTAGCTCATAGCTCACGATATTCTTTTGGCTCGTATTAACTTCAATTTACTATGACTAAATAGACAAATATGCTCGAACAAGGGGCAGCTATCAATAAGTTCCCTAAATAAATGATTCTCTGTGCAAACATTCCTAATACAGAGGATTAATAAGCGAGTGCACTTTATACATAAGACGCCTCAAGCTTCATATTGCAGCCATATAATATCAAGACAGTTTATTTATGCAGCAGCAAAAATTTCGTTAGTCAAAATATATTTTTGTCTGGTGTTACCTCCAAAAACCATCAAGTAAAACAAGAAGAAAATCAAAATCTTTAACGCCATCCTGTATGGCAAGTTGTACCCATTTCTGTCCAAAACAGAAGCCTAGTCAAAAGATCCAAGTGGATTTGCTTCAGCCTTTGACCAGCAATGATTCCATTAACTGCTTCCTTGACCATTGGAGTATATTTTAAATGGAGGACTCAGTTATGCTGCTAAGAAAACACATACTCATCAAGCATGGCACCAGAATTGCTTAATTATTGCAACTACACAAGACACATCTATTAAGATTTGCTCGATATCTATCTCGGAAGACATGACTTTTGCATAACAGTTAATTCTTGAAATCTCTCAGAATCATATTCTCAAACACACACAGGGTCGGAAAATGTGGCTTAAATCTTCCGAGGGAAATGAAATCTGAATTGATTGAATCCTCTACTGAGCTCCAGAAGTCCAAAATTTTGTACCTTTTCTATGCCCCAACATTGACATAGAAAAATATCATCAATCAAAGAACAGCTAGTGATGAGTTTCATAAATAAATGATCCTCTATGCAAACATAGTATAAAGAAGGAAACTTTGCACAGAAGGAATCCCCCAGCTTCAAATTGCAGAAATATAATCTCAGAATAGTTATTGATGTAGCAGCAAAAATTGCTCCTAGGTAAACTATAGAGTTTATATTCAACATAATGAACCCAAAATCAAACTCTTCGACGCCATTCTGTATGACCATTCCGACCCATTCAAAAATTTCAAGAAGTTTGAAACTTTCAAGTAGATTTGGCATATATATATAGTCACAAATAGAAAATCTAAAAAGGATAAGAGTCCACAAAAAGTTGAAGAAGAACTGCACCTGTAGCTTATTGACGAGAGCACTGAGTAGGTTAACAAGCATGCTAGGCACGCTAGATTTTGATTCTGTCGTTACCCTGCTTAACAATAAACGACCGCAGAAATCTTTGAAGGCCACCGTCGTTCTAAGGAGTACTGGGCTGTTGGCACTTGAAGTTATGGACGCAAATCTCATGTTTTGAAAATCCAGCCCATGTTATACATAATTATGAAATTGTTCAATTATATATTTATTTATTTATTTATTTTGTCCCTTACGATGCTATATAAAATTGGCATTAAAATTTTTATTTTATTATTTATTAATATAGATAAATTTTGAATTACTGTATAAATGGATCATATAATGGAATTTCTTCATAATGTATTAAATTATAGGTATACACGCAGATATATAGATATTAATGTTGATTAAAAAATTGAAAAACTAAATTAACTATGAAAATGTAAAAATCCAAAAAACCAAAAAAAAAAATCTAAATTATTGGGTAATTTTTCTACTCCAGTATGCTTTTTTATTAATTTTTTGAGTGGGAATCTTTTTAATTAATTTTATTGTTTTTTGTATTTGTATGTGTTTCTATATATATATATATATATATATTTTAGCTGGAGCTATTAAATTATTATTTGATACCAACTAGCAAAAAACCGATAGAAACCTTCATATACATTGTCTTTTTAATAATGAAAAGAAAATGGATATATCAAAAAGAAAAAAAAAAAGTGAAGAAAAAGCATAAAGATAATTATTTTTGGTATCCCAATGAGAAATTTTTGCCATTTTAAATTCTATGAATGGAGCCATCAAAATGTTATACGCACACCTAATAATGTATTTTGTATTGTATAATAAATTTAATTTACATTTTCAACGAATAAACTCTTTCTAACTCATATTTACAATATTAGGACTATATCCACAAAGATATTTTAAATTTTGGCATCAATGTAATATAGTCTCTAATATCAATTTATACACTAATTGAATTCAATTGAAATCAATCAATCAATTGCTTATCTCCATATATATCAAAATGCAAAGCATATGACTGAATCAAATCAAATTGATTCATTTCAATTTGGTTAGCCTACCTAAAAGGGATCAATCTTGTTAGTTTGAACTGAAATTATTAGTAGTTTGATTTGATTTTATAAAAACTAATCAATTATAATCAAAATTGATCTGAAATAATAAAAAATGATTAAAACCAACAGAATCGACTGATTCAATTTGAGTATTATATGACTCATATAGAGAATAACTATTTTAAAATAATAATTTTTATATCGAAACTCGAATTTAAATTTTTTAATTAAGAGAAAACGAGCCTCGAAGGATCTATTTTAACCACCTTTGATTTGGTCTTTGTGAAAAGGAACAGAGAAATTTATCGTATATTGTGCTACATCTAGAAAGTACTTCCTTTTCCAAGAGAATTTTCCAAGAGCAAATCCAAATGCTATCGCTGTTGATCACTAACGGTGCAAAATTGACCGTTTGTTGCATTGCGGCCAAAGGCAATTCTACTCTACACATCAGCCTCGCCGACCATACAATTAGTGGGCCCAATTCCGAATTCAAAATCTGAGGTAGTTGTAGAAAATTAGAAATACATTCATCACGGAATCGGGACCGTTGGATATCTAATGATTTTAAGTGAACCAACCATCAGCAAAAATTGATAGGTGGTCCAGGCCCCACACAAACCACATTCTGCCAATCCGGCGATCTTAATGGTGGGGTCCAGCCACATGTGTATCAGAACCGTCAATTGGTTTAATCATGGGAAAAGAAAGATTAACAGTCATAGGTTAACCTCAAAATCATGTAAAAAGATCTTTGTTTATGTAAATTTTTTGCTTCGGTAACTAATCTCAATCAGATGATAATAATTGTATCATAATCACATAAACTTGGTAAAAGTGTAAATATAGGACTTTTAATGGCCAAATTAGAGCTAGTCATATTTTTTATTCCACGTGTCAGTCAATCACGTTATACAAAAACCCACAAATGATTTACAATGATTTTTTAATTTTTTTTATGTTTTTTTTTTACCACTTTTTAGTCTTTCTCGAAGTTTTTGGTTAAACGACACAGCATACAGGTGACTTATTGTCTGACACCTGGATTGACGGAAAAATTGTCAAAACGGATACGAACAAACCAATCATTTTTCTTTTTCTTTTTCTTTTTTTTTCTGAAAAAAAATCAGTTTTTAATTTATAAATACTTGCTACGTTTGGCAAAGCACAGCCAACATAAAATTAATCAAGCACACGTTATATATTAGGGGCATAAGAAAAGATTAATTCCTTAGCAAATCAACTTATTCTTCATATTATTTATTAAAATTTAATTTTTTAAATTAACATAAAAAATATTATAAAATTATATCGATTAAATATTTACTAAATAGTTAAAAATATAAAATTATTGTAATAAAAATTGTGTTAACCACACACCAATTAATATTTGTAATTGATAATTTTTGCATATAAGAACCCATTTTGGAACAAATGAATTTCATTAAATTTTGTGGATTCATTTGGAAATCCAAAAAGTTTGTGTTTAGAATGAAAAAAATATGAATTTAAATTCTAAGAATTGAATTCCATAAAACTGGGTTAACTTAGTTCAGATTCTATCAAAATTGTTAGAATTTACAAATGAATTCCACGTATTAATCCAATAACATTTATATTAACTAAATTGACTTCTTACCTCAAATATTATTGACTAAACTGGCCCCATTTATTTTTTCTTGTATTTTTTTTTAAGAGTATGAAATTGCTATTGTGTATGACTATGATTATATATTGAATCAAATGAATTTTTAATTTTAAATATATTTAATCTATTAATAAAAATAAATGTAAACATTTGCAATGATTAAAAATATGAAATTTAAAATTTAATTAATTAATTATGGTGGAATATGAGTTTATTTATTTATATTAGTATTTTTGTTAAATTATTATGTTAAGGTTATTTTAGAAAATAAAGACAAATAAATTTTCATTTAAGAATTGTTCTAAATATAATTTATAGAATTCAATTGAAGTCCTCATTTTAAATTGTAGTATACCAAACATTGCAAATTCTCGTAGAATTTATTTTGCAGATGAATTTTACAATTATGATTCACTTGTTTCAACCGGTACCTAATTAATGTCCAAACCACTAAAAAATTTGAAATTACTATCAAGAAAGTTAAGAATTACCTTAAATGCGTTAACTAAATGCTAGAATAAACCGTTTTAATTTCAAATTGCATAACAATTTTATTTATTAATATATTCCAAACATTCAATATTAAATTTAAAATGTTTCCTTCTCAAAAAATGGGAGAGATAATTTACCATTTATTATTAAGAAAGTCAATAATTTTTTTAATTGCATTTGAAATTCTTCATCTCCCTAACTTCCTTAGATACATTGGAATTTAAATAAATTGCATTGATATATTTATTATTATAATAAAATACTAAAATAAACCGTTTTAATTTCAAATTATTTTAAATTTATCTATTATTGTTTTTTTTTTTTTTTTTTTATTATTTTAAATTTACTATTATTGTTTTTTTTTTTTTTTTTTTGGAGGTTTATTCAACATAAAATTTAACACATTAATGGTGAAAGGTTTATTCTGTTGTCAGGGCCAAATTGTTGGCTATGTCAAGGAAAGTTCCTCCACGTTTGCTGCAATTTCCTACTCCCATGTTCGACAATCTGCAAATTTGTGTAGATCATGAACATGTAACAACAATACACTTGCTAATGCTTTTATTTCTATGAAACAATAAAAAGTACTTCTATCTATCCAAAATAATAAATAATGAAAATCATTGTCTTAAATTCCAACCACTTGAGTATATTTTCATATCTCATCCTTTCTTTTTTTTTTACAACTATTATAAATCACCCAAATAATGGAAAATACTTACTTAATCTAAACATATATATCTAACCCTTATACATTGAGCAAATAGCTAATTATTATTATTTTTTAAATTATATCATTATTGGTGATTTTATATTTTAACAGCCAAAATTTTATCAAACGCCAACATTGATAAGCTAACAGCTATCAGCGGCCAATTATAGAACACACTGAGAAAATAAAAATAATTAGCAAAATACCAAATTAATAACTTTTTTTTTTCAACTACCATGTGAAAAACAAGACTATTTTTATTATAGAAAAAATTATTATTATTAGAAGAAACACCAAATATGTAAATATAGACTATGTCTGACAACAGCTTTTCATATAGCATTTTAATATTTTAATTTATTTCTATTATAATAATATTCGGTGGTATAACATTGCTCTAATGTTTAAAATTTGAGGGAATAAATTATAAAAGCAAAAGAATGTCAAAACACAAACTCTGATATTGCCACGTTGGTCCTACCATGTGAAAAGTAACCAAGCAATTTCGCTTACTCATTTATATGTATTTTCTTTTTGTCAACAAAGGGAGCATGTGACAAAGAGTTTTTGGTCATTTTATAAAAAGAAAAAAAAAAATCCAAATTTTGGAAAATTTTGAATGGTTGAGATTTCATTGCAAAAAAAGTTTTTGCTTGCTTTTTTTTCTTGATGAGTTTATATGGTAAAGGCTTTTTTAAGGCAGGGATACTTCACTTTCAATTTTCCCAATCCCAAAAATGGATGAATTTCTTTTATTAATAATAAAAAAATGTTCAATTTATTAATTATGATGCATTTAATTCAACTATTTTATTCAGATAAGAGATTGTACAATAATTAGCTTTAGCAATTGAGGATTTTAATGAACAAGCTACTAATAATTTGTATTTAAATTATATTTTAATATATTTACATGATAAAAATTAATGAAATTATTTTTCCGCAATTAACAATATATAATCATTTTATTATAACAATTATCTAAAACAAATTTCAAAAAAATTATTTAAAATAATAAATATTACTAAATATTGTCACTAAAAAGTTTATTTTATATTTTTATGAATAATATTACTAATATTGTTCACCAAAAAAGTTTATTTTTATATTTTTATGAAATCATATACATAGATATATACATATATATAACTATATATTTAATGATAATTTTATATTTTAATAATAACAATCATTATTAAAAGTTTTTATATTAAGGTCAAAGAAAAAAGTATTAATGAAAAAAATTTATATTAATGATAAGCAAAAAGAAAAAAAGTAAAATATTTTTATTTTATTTTTCATTATGCATTATTTATAATATTAAGGTCAAAGCATATTATTAATTTGTATTAATTAATAGAATATAATCCCAAACAAAACTTAAAAATGAAATCTCTAACCCGTGACTTTTTATACTCTTTAAGTAATTATATTCATTGACATATATTAAAATTCCTCAACAGAAATGGTGATGTTTATGAAGCTCTTAACTCATTGACTCAGTCGTTTGATATCTCAACCTAAAATTAATTAATTAGTTTTATTAAAGTCATTTTAATTTTAAAAAATAAATTCAAAATAATTTGCTTGTTAGTCCGAGTATGAAAACATATATATACATTTAAAAAAAAAAAAATAAATATCACAATATAAATATTTTTTTAATTTATACAATAACTTAATCATTTCCACCTAAATTAACTTCCGATTGATATACAATTAATAATATTAATATTTCTTTTAACTTATTTTTTAAAATTTTTGGCGGCAATTGAAGATGATACTATCTTAATAATTAATTAGTGTTGACGCAAACGCGAGTGACGGATGTCAATGTGTGAGTGGACAATAGCATATGAAGTGCGTGGTGGTGAGTCTTGGAAGGGGGGCAATTCGGTAAAACTATAATTTATTTATGAGAAATAAAAACCAAACACTGCTTGAATTACACGATTTGCCCTTCTCTTTCAAAACTTTATTCTAAAGAACCGTTAAATTTTAGAATCTGATATTAGCAGAGAATGTAGATAGTTGACCTCACCTTGATTTTTCTATGGAATTACCGAAATAACCCTTATTCTGATTGCAGCTCTGTTCCATTTAGGCTGTGGCTGTGTAGTTGCCGGACAAATATGCCCTTGACTAATGGCTAGGGCTTTTTCTTTTTCTTTCTCTCTTTTTTTTTTTTTTTTTTTTCTTTTCTTTCTCTCCTTTTTTTTTTTTTTTGAAAACTTCCATTATCTATTTTACCATCCCTTGATGGTTATAGTTGCTTCATTGAGACGTAAGACGAAAAAAAGACGAAAAAAAAAATTTACTAAAGCAAAAATGTATTTTCCAGGCAAGAGCCCCTTTTCAAAAATTTACACAATTTTATTTCCTATACTTTCTAGTATTTATTACAATTTGAATATAAAATTTCACAATCTAAATATTTGGTCATAGTAAATGCTAATTTATAAATTTAATATTATATTAATTCAAGTATTTACAACCTAATGCTAAACATAAAATATAATTATGTTGGAAAATATTTTCAATTGTTTTTTGGTAAATATAGTTTATTTTATAGAAAGCAATACATTGACATTATATTCCCAAAATAATAAAAGCAATTTCATCAAAAAAAAAAAAAAAAAAGAAAAAAACAAACAAACAAAACAACTTAAAACTATCAAAATATTTTATTTGGTCAAAGAGTAAATTTAAATAAATACATATTCATAACTATTGATTTATTTAAATTTATATCTATATCTATCTGTACTATATATAAAAATGAAAACAAATGGAATAATGAGATTTTTTTTAAATTAATTAATATATATTAAAATTGTTATATATATATTCATTTTTATTTATCATGATATTCGTCTTTTGCTTGCTTGAAAATAAATAAAAAGCTAAAATCTAACTTATAATTAATTTTTTAAAATAAAATCTTAGATGTTAATTAAGCTAATATTATAATTAATAATAATTTTTTTTATTTTTATAGTCTATAATTATTTTATTTTATTAAATATAATTTGACTTTTATCTATCATATACAAAATAGGGTTTAAGAATAATATTATTCACGTAATTTTATAGTCTATAATTATTTTATTTTATTAAATATATTTGACTTTTATCTATCATATACAAAATAGTTTAAGAATAATATTATTCACGTAAAATATAAAATATTATTATTTAAATAGAGATAAATTTTAGTTTAAAATTATTACATGTGAAATCGTGTTTTAATATTATAAGAATTTAGATGATATAAGAGAAAAATTATAACCTCCTTGATATTATATGAGAATAAAATTTAATGAGTATAGTCAATAAGTAATATGCAATGCACATTAATAAAAAAAATTAATATTTATAAAACCAAATAATAATGTTTTATTTATACCTTTTTATTTAAAAAAAAGAAGATAATTTTATTAATTTTAATAAATATGTTTTACCACGGGCACAAATAGAAACTCTAATTTTCAAATTTAAAGGATTTAATCTTTTTTTTGTCATTTTGTAGCTAAGCAGACAACATTAATTCAAATGATGACACCACACACCATTAAAAATAAAAAGACGAAGAACGGTGTGGACAGGATAGTATTTTCCTTCAAATCCACTCAAAGAGGCTTTTGGTAATTTAGAACAGTAGCTAAGAGTCTTTGTCTTTCAATTGTTGATAAAATTACTCAAATTACAATCACTGACTTGTTTTGTCTGAAACAGAACACGGTCTTCATCACTTTCTCTCTCTACTGTATAGTGTAGAGAGAGAAAGCAAGCAAAGCCAAAGAGAGTGAGAAGGGGGTTTTTTTTTTTAAAAAAAGAAAAAGATTGGCATTTGAGAAATGAGTAAAGCAAAAACTACCTCGTCATTGTTCAAGTTTTCTTAGAGCTAAAAAAACCCAAAAAGATAATCTCTTAGAGGACACAAAAATAGAATATAAAGGAGTGTAGATAAAACCCTAATGCTGGTACCCATTTGAAGAACCCAAAACATAGAATCCTATTCATCAATCCGAGATCTTACTGATTGGTTTCGAAGGTATGATCTAGCCCGCATTTCTCTCAAATTCTGGGTTTAAATGGTCGGGTGTTTGGATTCTTGACAGCAATTTTGGTGCATTCTTGTGCAAAAATGTGCTATTATGTGTGTTTATCTGAATGGGTTTTGTTTTTTTTGGCATTTGAATTTGGTTTTTTTAGTGTTTTGTTAGTGGTTTGGTTTGGTTTGGTTGTGTATTTGGGGTTAGATTTTAACGGAATCAGATCTGGGGTTTGTTTGGTTATTCCGTGGGTGCTACTGGTTTCTGTTTTGAAATTGCAGTTAATTTCAGGTGCATTTTTGATTTCGAGTTGGGTGTTAGGATAAAGATCGGTTGATATCTTTCGGGGAGTCTTTTGGTATAAAAACTAGTAGATTTTGACCATCAGCTACTTTTTCAAGTATTTATTTATTTTCTACTTATTTTTCATTTGGATTTGCAATGTGGATTAATAAAGTATGGTTTCACTGTGGATTTACATATATGGAGTTTAACTCGTATTTAGGAAACTTTATTCAATTGCCATATTGGTAATTCGTTTGTTTTTTTCCTTTCTTTTACCAGAGGTTGCATGGTAGGCTTGGGTTTTTCTGGATTGATGTGCTGCTGCTTCTGGGATTTGATTAGTCAAGAATTGGAGGATCTGGGATCCATCCATATAGAACATCTGATTATATGAGGAGGTTAGAGAACAGGGACATACTGTAAATACAATAGAGAGAAAATGAAATCCGACACACCACTTGACTATGCTGTGTTTCAACTGTCACCAAAGCATTCAAGGTGAGGATGTCTATTTATTGAGTTCAATGTTTTGGTTGTGTTTCTAGATGCAGCTTCTGGCATTTATCTTTTCCTTTTTGGCAGATGTGAATTGTTTGTGTCAAGGAGTGGAAATACTGAGAAGCTTGCATCAGGATTAGTCAAGCCATTTGTGACTCATTTGAAGGTTGCTGAAGAGCAGGTAGCACAAGCAGTTCATTCAATCAAGCTTGAAGTTGAGAGACATAAAAATGCTGACACTTGGTTCACAAAAGGAACCCTTGAGAGGTTAATGGCTGTGCCCACACCATTGTTGTAGAAGAAATCGTTTATTTTCAGTTTAATTTTTGATATGATTAGAAATTATTGTTTTCAGGTTTGTGCGATTTGTCAGTACACCAGAGGTTTTGGAGATGGTCAATACATTTGATGCAGAGATGTCTCAGCTGGAAGGAGCACGGAAAATCTACTCTCAGGTAATACTGCCATTTTATCTAGCAAAGAATACTGGATTTAGAATATAAAAAGCCATTGCTAAATTTAGGAGCTCTTTTATTCAGGGGACCAGTGATCAGCTTTCTAGCGCTTTAGGTATGCAACTCTTTGCTTTTGTTTTTTTTCCCCTATCTTTCTTCCCTTAACGAGCAGTTCAGTTTACTTTATGTAATGAATTTCGTCCTCCATAGTTACGTGGTACTTATATGTAAAGAAAGTAAAATACTACAACCCTCAATCTGGATACATACTTTGTCCTCTATAACAGTTAATGAATTTTGAGAGGTTTCAGAATCTTTCGGAGCATATATCATTTCCTTGAAAAGAAAACACATGAATAGAATGGACATCACTGCATGGAAGTTAGACATTTATGGTTGAAATTATCTGAATCAATTACAGGTGTAAAAGGTACTTGCAATATGCCAATATGTTATATTCATTATCAGTAACAGATTTCTATTTTTGTTAATTTTTTAATGAATTTTTGGTTACTTATATCGAAGGTATTAATACCGATTACAGAAGCAATTAAGAAACTGAAAACAATGTTTTTTTGGTTCCGTCTTTGTAGTTATGAATACTTAGACTCCTGGTAGTGGTTTGGCCAATTCAGAGGAGGTCAAAACGGACCGCAACACTGCAAGCCATATTCCTCCTTCAGAAATGCAACAATTTCAAAAGTCCCTCCTATTTTTCTGTATTAATTAGAAGTCGTTCATATTTGTTCTTAGATGTGTGGCGTTTCAGTGCTTGCGTGTCTTTACCTCTACATTCCTAAGGAGTTTCCATAAGTATTTTCTTGGATCCTTGTTTTTGCTTTGTCCTTTAACAGGAATATGAAAGAGAACATTACTGAAATGCAAAATAAAAATAAGAAGATGCTCTTTGTATCCAGGAAAAAGAAACACAGAAGATTCTTTAGATCTTGCCATCTGCGTTTTGCAATCTTTAGCTATAAAGATAATTATGTGGCAACTGCCGACTTATTGATGATTATACTTTATATTCCTTGGTTTAACAAGTAAAATATCTCATATGCTGCCAGTTTTCATATTGATAAAATAGATTGAAGGTGAGGAGGAAGGACTGGTGTTTTGAAATGTATGTGGGTAAATAATGAATTGGGTGGTGCTATTCTGTTATAATTTGGAAAAGTTACCAAGAGAGCTTGTCAAAATACTAATTCATTTAAAAAGCTTTGAGGAATGTTTTATAGAATTATGGGACACATTTTGTAGTTAATCTTGATCTCTTTTTATCTGCATCAACAGTATTTGGACAAAAGCAAAAATTTTGTGAGCAAAATGCTTTTTTAGCGAGGGGATGTAACATTGTGGATGTTCTCAAGTGTAGAGTACATGGTTGTCGAAGATAAGGAAATGGGGAGAGACAGAGATGGGGAGGGATGTTGTAGCAGGGATAATGGTTATGGGCTAGGTAGCCAACTATTTGCAATATTTATGTTGTTAGCAAGTAACATCCAATGATTGGAAAAAATTGTAATGAAGTGGTCAATGAAAATTTTATAGGACTGGTCCATATTATTTTGATTCATAAAACATTTGTTGGAGAGGAAAGCATGCATCTAAGCCTGAGTTTTTCCAAAATTGAGACATGATGTTGGGTTTCTTTTTTATTGGTACATTTGGCTTTGAATTCATGTGTTTACCACCATTAATTTGCAAATGAGATTGAGTAGAAAGTGGGGTCATGGTGAGTTTGTAGTTAGTTTCTATCGGAAATGAAATTGTAGGAAGATGGAAGCTGCACTCACGGAGGAAAAGTTAGAAGGTAGAGTGAGTTGGTTTAGACCAAGAAATGCATTATGGGGGAAGGTTGAGCATATTGAAGCTCTAGGTGATAAGCAAGTGGGAGATAAACCAAGTATGACGTGGGTTGAAGTTGTGAGGAAGGATTTAGTAGCCTAGAACCTAGGTCTCCTGAAGATTTATTGTAAAACAGATAAAATGGAGGAAAATAATCCATAAATGATCCAACTAGTTTATGATTAAGGTTTGGATCAATTGTTTGTGTTAGTGAATATATGACATATGCGACACATTGCAAACAGCTACTGGAAGTTTAACTGCCCTGAAACTGCATGAAAAAATGTTTGCACTCCACCCGCCCTCAGAGGCACACAAAAGAAAGAGAAAAAAAGAAAAAGAATAAAGAAAAAGGAATTTCATCCATTCTAGAACTACTAATGAGCAAAATTCTATAATATCAATCCTCATTTTTCTCGGAAAATATTGTGAACTCATACTCTATATGCTAACAAATACCTGAAATTTGATGGCATGTTAAATTTGATCTCTCTGTGCAAACCTAATAAAGTACATATTGCTTATATACTGACTCAGGTTTTGGTAACTTGCTCCAGGTGGAGATGAAACAGGAACAGTGGCAGCAGCCGATGCAACAAAGTAAAGTTCCGTTTTTAGTTTTTATTTATCTTTTTGAGTGGCAGATGTGGTAGTTGGTGGTTCACCTTATTAGAAGCTTTGAAAAACTTTGTAACTATTGGAACTGTTGATTTCATCTTCTGTTGGAAATTTGGGATTTCTAGCCACATTTCTTTTGAAAGTAAAATGTTTTTTTTTTTTTTTTTTTTTTTCTGTTTGGAATTTGGATTGTTCTAGCCACATTTCTTTTTGAAAGTAAAATGTTTTTTTTTTCTTTTTTTTTTTTTTTTTGGGGTGGGGGGGGGGGGGGCTTTTTGTTGTCAAGATATAATAGGGGGGGGGGGCTTTTGTTGTCAGATTATAATATTTATTAGAAATGGGAGGTGGCAACATGCAATTTGGTAATCTATGAACTTAGCAAGTGTTGAACTCCATTTCTTTTCTTGTTTGATCTGTGATATTTAAATGGACATGGTGATTCCCTGCTAGCATTTACTAGATTGGAAAAATATTATCTTACAATTTTGAAATTTAAGACCTTGAAGCATGAGTTTCGGAGGATGAGATAGCATATTTCAATTGTTCTGAAAATGTGGAAATGCACTAGACTATGGCTTCTGATGAAAGTGGAATGCTTAGATGATAACAGCAGTTAAATGGTAATGACAAAATAAGCCATTATTTTGTTGCTACTGCATCGATCAACATGCTTGAATGGATTTTTTGCTATGGTCTCTCACTCTCCCCTCAAATTTATTTTCTGATTTATTGTTGTTTTGCTGTACAGGAAGGAGCTTCTGCGGGCCATTGATGTACGGCTTGCTGCAGTAAGGCAGGATTTAACCACAGCCTGTGCTCGTGCATCGGCTGCTGGTTTTAACCCTGAGACTGTGTCAGAGCTTCATCTCTTTTCAGATTGCTTTGGCGCCCGTCGCTTGAAGTAAACACACTGGCAAAACCTTCATTTCATGCTTGTGTTTTTAAATGTAGACATGCTTGTGTGTCGCATCCATTTCATGTGGATTTGTTTACTTTTTTATTTATAGTAACACCAATGGCTTGTCTGGGGGCCATCTCCCAGCAAGTTATTGAATATCTGACAAGCAATTCGAGGTCAAAAAGAAGGGTGGATTGAATTTAATAGCAAATAAAGAATGTTAACTCTACTTCCTTGCACATTTCATCACTTGATCTTTGTTATATGGATAATTTATTTTTAGTTAATACTTAGTCGTAATTCGTAACATTTGAACTTATTTTATTGAAACACTTCTCATGCATTTTTGTCCAGTGGTGTTAATAGAGGTTAAATAGGGACAACTTTAGAACTGTTTGCATCTTTTTTGCTTCTCCAAAAATAAAAGACCCCAGTTATGTTTCAGTATATAAGAAGTCTGTTAAGAGACTCCTAAGGAAACTATTTTGACTCACCAAAGCTGCATCAAGTGCTGATAAGTTAGAGCTACAGGATCCTAGACTTTACCTAAGATGTTACAATGGAATTCATTGTTTGATTGCCTAACTCTTCAGAAAATGAAACTTCCCGTGTGTTTTAAGAGTTTTTAGCACTAACATGAATTCTTGGTGTGTTGCCTTGACAAAGATGGAGTATCTGGCATTCATTGTTAGAGATTATGCCTGGGAAAATGGCAACCATAAAATTTGATGTTTTTCTGCGGATGTTGTTGGTTGGTGCTACAGTAAAGTTTCCTTTGATGTAGAAAAGCCATCTTCTTCAAGCATGTGAAAACGATCCCTCAGACTCTGTGTGGCAGTAAATATTTGTATTTGCTGTTATTACCTTTTTCATTGGTGGAGGGGGTTCATATTAAGTTTGATTATCCATAGCCTCATGAGGCCTTATCTAGGGTATGCTGAAGACTTCTTTAGGAATATGAATATACAATGATTACTGATCTCTCTTGAGCTCAAATTTACATGCTAAAAATTTACTGCGATCAGATCAACAGTTGGGATTTTATTTATATCCTCAAGCAGTAGAATTTCTCTTTTTTATTTATGATCTTAAAGGTTTTTGGTTGCTGCATTGGAGTCCCTGCATATAGGTTAAAATGGTCAACTAGAAAATATCACAGACACTTGAAGATTTCTTCATGATTGTGCTGAGGGTCCTTATTAACATTTGGTCTGGCAATGCATTTGCTTTCTGAGTACGCTTTTTGACCTCACCATTTAGCATAAAGTAGGAATCTTTCCGGAACAAAATTAGCAAGGGAGAAGTTTTGTCCCATAGCAGAATCTTAGAGTAAATCTGAGCAGAAATAATTGATATCAGATCTTAATGAGATGGTGAAGGGGATAATTGTCCCTGTCAGAAGAATATGGCAGGATTAGTAGTTAAAGCGTTGTTTTCTCCTTTGTCCACTTGCTAACTTCCTTGTGCTTCTTACCTTTTTTTTTACCTTATATATATAAAGCGTTGTTTTTCTTTCCTTTGTCCACTTGCTAACTCCTTGTGCTTTTACCTTTTTTTACCTTATATATATATATATATATATATATATATTACACCATCAAACGCTGTTTAGTTTTTCTTTTTTCACCAAAAAAGGTTGCAAAACTTTAATTCAAGCGTTATTTAATTTTCTGCAAGTGAAGCTTGTTACCAAATTCTATTCTCGGTTGTGCGGAGAGAAGGCCAGACCTTGGTCAATTGACATGGAAGACCGCGTGTTGAAGATCAAGGTGTATATATATATATATATATATATACACCATCAACGCTGTTTAGTTTTCTTTTTTCACCAAAAAGGTGCAAACTTTAATTCAAGCGTTATTAATTTTCTGCAGTGAAGCTTGTACCAAATTTATCTCGGTGTGCGAGAGAAGGCCAGACCTGGTCAATACATGGAAGACGCGTGTTGAAGATCAAGTGCTCCGGGCTTCATGCGGATCTGATATGTCAATTGACGATCCCACAGAAGACCCAAATGGGCCCCATGATGTCAAGCCCCACCAATCCTCATTCCAAAATAAACAGCAAAATCAGCAGGCCGGCCAAGAACAGAAACAACCCAATTTAACGCAAACTCTACAGCACCTTAACCAATCCAAACCATCTACTTTTCATTCCAGTTCCTCTGTCTCTACGCAAAACGAAAACAAGGAAGGGTATAAAAAAGAGGAGTCCACGACCGAGTCATTACCTAGTCAACCAAGCCAGCCTGCAAGGCGGCTCAGTGTGCAGGACAGGATCAACCTTTTTGAGAATAAGCAGAAGGAGAACTCAGGTGGCAAACCAGCAGTAGTTGGGAAATCTGTAGAACTGAGGAGACTTTCCTCTGACGTGTCTTCTGCACCTGAAAAGGCTGTATTGAGGAGATGGAGTGGAGCAAGTGATATGAGCATTGACTTGGGAAATGACAAGAAGGATTTTAACAGTGCAGATAGCCCTATATGTACACCCTCTTCATCTTCTGTATCCCAAAGCAAAAGCGACGTGTTTCCTAGCTCATCTGCAGATTATAAGGATCATAAGGGGCTGAATGACACAGTGAGTTCTGTTAAAGTGGAGGCTAAGAATGTTTCTGGGTTCAAAGATCAGGATGAGTTGCAGACTCCACCTGGTGGATTTATAGGGAAGGATGAGGAGGTGGGGTTGAAGGGGAAAGTGAACTGGAAAGACCAAGTTGGGTCTCAGCCCCAGTTGAGAGCATTTGCAGGTAGAGGTGAACAGGTTGGAGTAGATCAGGGGGTTAGAGATGAAAAGTTTAAGAGCTTCTTGGGAAGGGATGAGAAGATTACTGGAATAAAATTTCAAGGGGGTTTTGATGGAAAGTTGAGAGATTATTCAGATAGAGAGGAGACCGCTGGAGTGAACGACCAGTCTGAATTGCAAACTGAGGTTGGAAATTTTGTAGGCAAGTTAGGTGAGGTTGAATCTGGGAATAGAGTTGAGGATGTTAAAGTAAGGGATCAGCCACAGAGTCATTCACGGTTCAGAGGTTCCCACATTCATACTAGATCTCTTTCAGGACAGTTTGAAGGTGGGTTTGGAGGGAAAGTTAAGGAAGTAGGATATAAAGAGACTGAAAGTGATCAGTCAACTTCTCAGCCTCAGTGGAAATCATCTGCTGGAGAAGTCGGGGAAGTGGGAAAGAAGTTTGAAGATCTTGAAGGTCCAAGAATGAAAATCCAGAAACCTCATTCTGCTGGTGCAGAACAGGTTGTGAAGCTGCAAGGTAGAAGAGATGAGAGTGGCTCTAATTATGGAAGTACCAAGTTTCCTAGTAAAAAGGTTTTTGAGAGTCAAGAGAGCTTTAGCACTGTACCCATACCATCAATCGAACAAGCTCAGAGGATAAGGCAGTCTAAGGGGAATCAGGAGCTCAATGATGAGCTGAAAATGAAGGCAAATGAACTTGAAAAGCTTTTTGCAGAGCATAAGCTTCGGGTTCCTGGGGATCAATCTGGTTCAACAAGGAGAAGCAAGCATACTGAATTACAGGTTGAACAAGCAATAAGTTCACAGCATGGAAAACCAGCAGCACCGGAGATATTTCCTGTGCATGTTCAGGATAAAAAGATGGAGGTTGAACCCATTTTGAGTGCTGGTGATGACACGAAGTTTAGCACTCCACCACCAATGAAGATGATAGATCATCAGGACTATGGCAGTTCTTTGAGACAGAATTTCTCTGAGCTCAAATTTTCAGATGATTCTAGAGGAAAATTCTATGAGAGATACATGCAGAAAAGAGATGCAAAACTGAGGGAAGAGTGGGGCACAAAAAGAGCAGAGAAGGAAGCCAAGTTGAAGACCATGCAAGATAGCCTTGAGAGGAGTAGAGCAGAAATGAAGGCCAAATTTTCTGGGTCTGCAGATAGACTGGATTCGGTGTCTTATGCTCGTCGACGCGAAGAAAAGCTCAGAACATTCCATTCTCGGTCAAATATCAAGAGAGAGCAGGTATTCAATTGACTTGGAGAATTAATTGCTGATTTTGTACTCAAATTTTTTCTTTCATTTTTATTCATTGGAATTTCAGAGTTTCCTCATTTTGTAAGGTTCTATTTTTACAGAATCTTGTGGATTCCTTTCAGAGTGAAGAGGAGGAGGATACTTCTGATATTTTGGAACAGAAATATTATAGACAAGATAGATCATTAGGTGATGCAGCTTTAATGGATAGTGCTTCCAGAAGCTCCCAAAACAGGAAGTCTTTTAACAGGAATTTGTCTTCATCCACTCCTCGTACATCTATAGCACCAGTTCCACGGTCATCATCCAAAATGTCCAACCCCAGTTCTGGGAGGCGGAGAGTGCAGTCAGAAAATCCTCTTGCTCAATCAGTACCAAACTTCTCTGATTTCAGAAAAGAGAACACAAAGCCCTCTTCTGGAGTCAGCAAAACAGCAAACCGCATGCAGGTGAGAAATTTTGCCCGCAGCAAGAGTACAACTGAAGAGATACCTCTTGTGAAGGAAGAAAAGCCCCGACGTTCTCAGTCCGTAAGGAAAAGCTCTGCTAGTCCTGCTGAATTCAAGGATTTGCCAACTCTGAACTCTGATGATGTTGTTTTGGCACCATTGAAGTTTGATAAAGACCAGACTGAACAGGGCATGTCTGAAAAATTCTCAAAGAATGTGGAATCAAAGACTTTTCTCCGGAAGGGTAATGGAATAGGTCCTGGTGCTGGAACTAGCATTGCCAAATCGAAAGCTTCAGTGGCATCTGAGGCTCTTAAAAATGAAGATTTTGAAGACTCTCCCTTTGAGACAGAAGATCCAGTCAATGTCACAAAGGAGGAAGAAGAAGAGGAGGAGGAGGAGCCTGAACTTGAAACAACAGAGGTTGAAGATTGTGCTAACATTGAAAATGGAAAACCGAGGCTAAGCCAAGAATCTGACAAAATGTCTGAATCTGAGAATGGTGATTCTCTAAGGTCTCTTTCTCAAATTGATCCTTCTTCAGTTGCCGAACTGCCTGCCTCGGTTCCTTCAACATTCCATGCTGTAGGGTCCTTGCAGGATTCACCTGGGGAAAGCCCAGTTTCATGGAATTCTCGCATGCATAATCCGTTTTCCTATCCACATGAGATTTCAGATATTGATGCTTCTGTGGACTCTCCAATTGGGAGCCCAGCTTCCTGGAATCCTCACTCTCTTACTCAAACTGAGGCTGATGCTGCTCGAATGAGGAAGAAGTGGGGAAGTGCTCAGAAACCTATTCTTGTTGCTAATTCATCCCATAATCTGGCACGTAAGGATGTCACAAAAGGGTTCAAACGTTTGTTAAAGTTTGGAAGGAAGAGTCGTGGGACAGAGAGTTTGGTTGACTGGATATCTGCAACGACTTCTGAGGGAGATGATGACACAGAGGATGGACGAGATCCTGCCAATCGGTCATCAGAAGACTTGAGGAAGTCAAGAATGGGATTCTCACAAAATCATCCTTCTGATGACGGCTTCAATGAAAGTGAGTTGTTCAATGATCAGGGTAAGCTATATATCTCCTTGCAGGAATTTAAATTATGTTGTTTTTGTTTATTGAGAATCAAATATATGCCTGCTTATATCAAACTAAATTCTTACCGCAGTTTAGTTTTCATTGAAAAGTATCACCGCATGTAACAGTAGCATGTCAACTTCATTAAAATGTCCGCTTGTACAAGATTCTAAAGAGGAATAATTGTGTAGATAATTTGAAGCCCAACTATTTCCCTAATGTCTTTTTCTGGTTATTCTTCTTCAACTGATTTTTTCTCCTGTTGTGTTTCCAAGAGTTACAATGACTTGAAAACGATTATCTGAGTTGGTTTCATAACTAAAGGACCAGAGGCCTTTATAGCACACTGACCACCCATTTTGTCTTTTCCTACTTTTGGGCGCTTGAAATTGATTCCTCTTTTTTAACCTGTTTGGTCAATTGGGTTGAATAGTTTGGCCCATGTGAGTAATGATCCTTTGATATTCATATCCTAAAAGTTACTGAAGTAGCATAATTGGGGCAGGATTATGGAGCACACTGAAACTTCTCTGCTTTATAATTATTTTTTTTATACAAGCAGTGGTAGATATTGAATCCATCTCTTCAGCAAACGGCAGGGCTTTTTCGTTTTAAAATAATATTCTCTCTTTTTTCTTTGGCTTACATCGTTGGTTATACAGCTGAATTCTTGAGTAGATGATGATGCGCCTCTTTTCTTACAGTTGCTATTCATAGCTCCATACCTGCACCTCCAGAAAATTTCAAATTGAGGGATGATCATATGTCTGGAAGCTCTATTAAAGGTGAGTTTTATTTATTTATTTATTTCTTCCAAATGTTAATTTAACTTATACTTACGCTATTTTTGTTGGCTGGAAAATCTTATGACTGCGTTAGGTTGTATTAATAGCCTCTGAAAATAAATTTGAAGGATTTTCTTAAATGTGTCCAATGTGTTTCCATATGATTTGGTCTTGTTCATGTGGGGCCATACTTGGCAAATGTTTTTCTTCCTAGCAAAACTCTAATGGAAGTCTTTTATTTCTTTTGGAGATTGGTAGTTTATGATGATATATTTAAGCATGTCCAAATTTTTTACAGCACCACGATCATTCTTCTCTCTTTCATCATTCCGAAGCAAGGGAAGTGACTCGAAGCTCAGATAATTACTTCAGAGAAATGTTTAGAGCTACTGCTTGGAATCTCAAGTGATAGGGTGTAAAGGATTATATATAGGATACAAATGCTTGTGCTGAAATATGTTGTATATTGTATTGAACAAAATTCGCCTATTGGCGTTCTTGTGATTTTGGTAGTCTAGGAGCATTCTTTTCTTTTTTTTTCCCACCTTCTCTTTATTTGCTCTAGCATTGTGTGATGCATGGTAATCAGACTTTTGACAGAAATAGAGTTGGTCACAGTTTTAAGCGGAGTGATATGATTATCCGGAGTACTAGCATGCAAGCAATGACTACTTTATTTTATCATCTCCTTTACTAGCAACACACACTCTCTCTCTCTGTCCAATGCATGTGTAAATTTTACTTTTTAAACCTCAGATTTCTTTTTCTTTCTCTTTCTCCCCATAGGAAACCTCAATGTCTGAAAGAGTGAGATGGTGTAATGAGTTTTTATACCAAGGCTCCGTTATCGAATGCATATGTACTCCATAAATTCTTGGAATTGCAAGGAGACTGAACCTGTGATCAATTTTTATAATGTAAAGTGGTATAATTTTTAAAGCACATAATGTGAAATGTCTTGTATTACATTGAAGCTTTATCAAATTTGTAATTCCGGATACTCCAAATATTGTATTGGTCTTGTATACAGCTGCTAACAGTTCCAGGTTACATGAAATCTTCAAATGTTGAACCTTTTCTTTTGTTACTGTTGTTTGTTGTGATGACATCTGTTAACGGCTACTTCTTAGTTTGAGCTTGACAAGATCAATTTTTATTAATTATATCAGAAGACTGGATATAAAGAGTCAATGGCCGGTCTTATCTTATGGCCTTGTATGATGTCCACATGCCATTCTCCAAGAGTCAGGTAGACCAAGCAATGCATTTAATACACTATGTAACCGGCTAATTCTTCTTCTTCTTTTTGATTGTATGGATATATATAGTTTGACATTTTCTTGATAGTTTTGCGTTTATATATCTGTTTATTTAGTTAAAATAATGCTTTAAAACTCAATTAATTGCCATTTAGCAGATGATTCTCTTTCTTTATTATATCTTTGTCGAATGTGTAGCTTTGAACAATTAATCAAAGCTCAGCTTGGTCATAAGCTGTATCATGATTGTTAACACTAAGAGACAAATAGAATGGTCTTGGTTTAAACGATAGCTAATTTATTGCTAATTGTGAGTTATTGTAAATAGAGAAGAAATGGCTAGAAAGTAACGAAAGCTTGGGGATAATAACAACATTTATTTATTTTGGTTCATACACCGTCTCTATGTTGAAGTTGGGAATGAGACCGACAAAATTCTTCTAATTTCTGACTTTACCGGTAAAATTTATCTATAAATATAATTCACTTTTGCTCATTTTGCTCATTCAACTGTCTGCAGTTTGCTGATAAATTTATTTAACTTTTTCTATATATTCTTATGGGCCTTGGTATGGTTGGATTTCGATACCAACACCCTAAGAATAGCCTTCATCTCCAAAGGAGTCAGGAGAGAGGCCAATTAGTTAGCCAAGCAATAATGCTTGGTAAATGTGAAAGCATCACCATCTATGTAAACGGCTAATCAATTTTCTACTACTATGCTATCTTTATTGATATGAGGAGATATAAACATAATAATGATTAACATAATTATATCTTGATTTGAGTGGTGTTCGACGTTTATGAATATATCTGTGAGATAGTTAGGATTTAGTATCATGAGCAGAGATCTGGCAAGTAGACGTTTTAATAAAAGACTCTATATCATATGTTATAATTGCCTAGATTAGACGGATGATTCTTCTTTCTTTATTGGGTGAGTGGAGGTCTTTGTCTGAATGTGTAAGTGACTCACAGATTGAACAATCATAAGATCCAATGAGCGTACAGCTTGAGTCTATGAGAGCTAGTGTATCTCATGATTGTTAAACACTGAAGTAGTACAAGAATACTAGTATACATGGTTCTTGGCGGTTTAAACGATAGCTAATTTATTGCTAATTGTGAAGTTATGGTGTGTGACACTCACAGGAAGAAGATAATGCAACATCACAGGAAAGATAACGAAAAGCAATATGTTTGCGAGGGGATAATACGACGATTTATTTTTGGTTTTAGGTTTGTCAGATGACACTTTTCTTTATGTGTGTATATTGGAGTTTGGGAATGAGACCGACCAAAATTTCTTCTAATTTCTGACTTTATGTCCATGGATGGGGTGTGTGCTTGAATGCCAGTGTGGATAGTCTAGCTCATATAGGCATTTCTAGCGTTTTGTTGCTTTACATCAATTGCTCAATTAACATGTCTGCAGAATTATATGTGCTGTTCCTAAATTTGATATTAATCTTTTTTCTTTTTTTATTAAATTAAAGTATATATATATATATATATAATTAGTTTACTCAGATATTCGTGAGTCCTATTCTTCCATTAATTCTTTTTTTCTTATCGATAGTACATTAGTTTCAACTATGATACGCTGTAATAAATGCTTTCATTTAGTAGAATATACAAATTTTTCGAGTGTGAGAAATATACCTAATAGGGTTAGAGCAAAATAACAAAACCAAACGCAAATTGACAGTGTTTAGGAAATGAGTTCATTTTTGTTTTGTTTAATATCAAGCTTAATTGATCATTCGAGAGAAGTAATATAAATATAGATGAGTGAGAGAAGCAGAAGTCTTACTATATATATTTTATATCGAGCAAGCCATCGAATAGACTTGTTTCATGAACCTTAAACTCATTAATACACATTTTCATGAAACCATATGGCACGACCACGCACATTTGGAAGTATCATTTGCTTGTTAATATCAAGCTTAAGTCATTAAGAAGTAATTAAATATGTGATGAGCATCTTCAATGTACTACAAAACAGGTGGCAGAATCAAAGTTCATTAACTCATAATCAACGTCTTTGTACTTTGAACAGCCAAATAACAAAGCAAAACCTGCTTGTTCTTTTCTTTCTTCGCATGGCTTACTTTTAATTTCTCTCTAACACTCTCCAAACCATTTTCCTCACCGTCAAACACTTCCATCAATGGCTGATTCCTCCTTTGATATTGACAACTATCCTCACTCCGATAGCTCAAGAGACCATAACCACCGCAGGCAACGCCGACATACAACACCTGTTGGCTCAATATATGCTTCACCTTCATTTACACAGTTCAGCTCTATTGAAACATTCCGTAGTTTCACTTCAAGAAGGCCTCCCCGTGGTCTTCTACCTACGCCTTTTGCTTCAGACAACGATAACTCATGGCAAGGTCAGCTTTCATGGCAGTTTGAGCCCTCAGGTTGGCAAGATAACCGTTACTTAGGTGCAGTCTTTACTCCATTGACAACTATTGCATCCTCAATCTCAAATAGTCGAGTTTTTCGAAGATCTGCTAATCATTATTACCTTTCACGCACTTATGGCCCGTTTAGAACCTTTGAGAATTCATATTATGATCACTATTATTCTAGCTATAGTGCAGTTCCTTCTGGTAGGCTTGAGCTACAAAGTCATGCTGCTACAGATAATGATCAAAGTTTAGTAGTTCATGTAAAGGATTATAGTTCAGGAGGTCATAGCAGGAAAGAAGCTAAAAGGAAACAACCAATTGGACAATTAAATCCTTTGGCTACATTGGATGAACTTAGTGTGACTGACTATGACACAGCTGATGATGTTGAAAAAGAAAGAAGCCTATCTGAGGCTGAATCTAATCGCCATAGAGGTAAAGATTCTCGCTGGCATTCTGTTTCGCATGCTTACATGGATCTTGAACATGATAGTATTAGTCGTATGAGTCATGGGATTTCACACGATGGACCTCATGAACATCATCAGTCTAGGCAACACCATATGAGGCATCATCATGTTCAAGAGGGTTATACATCTGGTAATGGATATGATGACATTGATCGATATTCAAGGTATGATGATGATGGTGATGAGTATGATGAAGAAGATGATGAGCCACCACCAAAGCAAGTTAGTTTGTTTGGTCTGTTCAAGTATTCAACAAAATGGGATATTGTCCTTGTGATTTTGGGTTGTTTAGGAGCTCTCATAAATGGGGGTGCCCTTCCATGGTATTCTTTTCTTTTTGGGGATTTTGTAAACAAGATTGCTAAAGAAGCAGATGACAAAACCAAAATGATGAAGGATGTACAGAAGGTAAAAAAAAAAAAAAAAATCACTTTGTGTTAGCAAATTGTTTTAAATTGTCTTTATTTTGAGAGCCTTGATTTTTTTTTTTTTTTTTTTTTAAAAATTGCTTTATTTGAGAGCCCTTTTGATTTTTTTTTTTTTTTTTTTTTTTTTTTTAAAAAACTATAAGTTAATGGTCGATGGTAATATAAGCACTTTGTTTTCTTTTTTTTTTTTTTTTTTTTTAAAAACTATAAGTTAATGGTGGTAATATAAGCACTTTGTTTTCTTGTGATTGCAGATTTGTCTAGAAATGACTATACTGTCAGCAATAGTTGTGATTGGAGCATATTTAGGTGAGGCAGATTAGACTACGTTCATTGAACAATTTTTTTATTTTTTCTTTAAGCCTCTGCATAATATAGGTGCTAAATTTTACTGCAGTTTTCTGACTACTGAATTGATATAAATCACTTTCCTCTTAAAACAAATGCATGATATGAAACAGAGATCACTTGTTGGAGATTGGTAGGGGAGAGATCAGCCCATCGAATACGAACCATGTACTTAAGAGCAGTTCTGAGGCAAGATATCAGTTTTTATGATACTGAAGTAAGCACCGGTGATATTATGCATGGAATTTCAAGTGATGTTGCTCAAATCCAAGAAGTTATGGGAGAAAAGGTCAATTTTTATTCTCTATAAAATGTTTTTTCCCAACTTATACTGGAGCCTAATATTTGCACTTTCAACACTTATATAATATATATTATCTAATTGTGATTAAAACCTGCAATGTGTTTTCCTGATTTACATGCATTAACTTCTGTTAGCTAATTGCAGATGGCACATTTCGTCCATCAGATATGCACCTTCATCTGCGGATATACTGTTGGATTCTTAAGGTCATGGAAGGTATCACTAGTAGTCTTCTCAATCACTCCATTGATGATGTCCTGTGGAATGGCTTATAAGGCCATTTATGTTGGATTAGCTACAAAAGAACAAGTATGATACCAACTAAAAAAGATTCTGGTGTTCATTTTCTGCAGTTGCTCAGATAAAATTGTTTAACCTTTTTTCATTTATTGAAGATTTCATATAGGAAAGCTGGTGGTGTTGCTGAACAGGCTATCAGTTCGATTCGAACTGTATTTTCTTTTGTTGCTGAAGATAATTTGGCTGAAAAGTATTCTGATTTTTTGGTTAAGTCAGTGCCCATCGGGGCAAAGATTGGATTTGCTAAGGGTGCAGGAATGGGAGTTATCTACTTGGTTACATATGCGACATGGGCATTGGCCTTCTGGTATGGATCTATCCTGGTTGCAAGGGGTGAGATCAATGGAGGCGCTGCAATTGCTTGTTTCTTTGGTGTAAATGTGGGGGGAAGGTAATGAGCTCTCTTTTTTCTTTTTCTCTTTCCAAGTATCAGCTCTTTATTGGAAGACAAGATAATAAGCTCTTTTTTTTTTTTTTACAGAGGCTTGGCATTGGCACTTACATATTTTGCTCAATTCGCGCAAGGCACTGTAGCAGCAAGCAGGGTGTATGAAATAATAGACAGAATTCCTGATATAGATCCTTACAGTACCCATGGAAGGACATTATCAAATGTTCGCGGAAGGATTGAGTTTCGAAGTGTTATCTTTGCTTACCCTTCTCGCCCTGATAATCTAATTCTTAACTCTCTCAATTTAGTCATTCCATCTTCAAAGACGCTTGCATTGGTTGGTGCTAGTGGAGGTGGCAAGTCCACCATCTTTGCTCTGATAGAGAGATTCTATGATCCCATTAAAGGTAATTCCTAACATTCAACACCAGTTCTATGAGTTAAATTCTATTGAATTTCTAAGGAGATTTAAGTTTTTGACGTTATTGCAGGAGTTATTACCTTAGATGGTCATGACTTGAGGACACTGCAGGTGAAATGGCTAAGAGATCAAATAGGTATGGTTGGGCAAGAGCCAATTCTTTTTGCCACTAGCATACTAGAAAATATAATGATGGGGAAAGAAAATGCCACCAAAAAAGAAGCAATTAATGCTTGCATTGCTGCTAATGCCCACAGCTTTATCTCTGGCCTTCCATATGGCTATGACACTCAGGTAGAACAACACAATGCTCTTACAATCAACTGCAGGAATAATAAGATATACACACTGCACATAGGATAACTCTTGGTACTTATTTGCAGGTTGGAGATAGAGGAACTCAACTCTCAGGTGGGCAAAAGCAGAGAATTGCGCTAGCACGAGCTATAATCAAGGACCCACAAATACTTCTTTTAGATGAACCCACCAGTGCCTTAGATGCAGAATCTGAGTCTATTGTGCAGCAAGCCATTGATAAGATCTCCTCTAGCAGGACAACCATTGTCATTGCTCATAGACTAGCAACAGTAAGAAATGCCAACATCATTGTTGTTCTTGATCAAGGCTCTGTTGTAGAAATCGGCAACCATCGCCAGCTAATGGAAAATGCTGGTGCTTACTACGACCTTGTCAAGCTTGCATCTGAAGCAGTTTCAAAATCTACAGGGCAAGAAATGGATACTTACAAGGAGACGGAATATTCTATGCATGGAAAATCAGTAAATGTGGAGGAGACAACAAGATCGAGGCATATAAACTATAAGCGCATAGAGAACCACGAAGAAGTGGAAATGCAAGAAATACCAAAAGAAAGAAAGTATCAACTCTCAGAGATATGGAACCTACAAAGACCAGAAATTTTCATGCTTCTCTTAGGGTTCCTTTTGGGTATGCATGCAGGCGCTATTCTTTCAGTCTTTCCTTACCTCCTAGGCCTGGCCCTTCAAATCTACTTTGATAAAGACTCATCAAAACTAAAGAGAGATGTTGGAAATATCTGTTTAGCACTTGTAGGTCTTGGAATAGGGTGCATTCTTGCCATGACAGGCCAGCAAGGTTTATGTGGATGGGCAGGAACCAAACTAACAATGAGAGTAAGAAACCTTTTATTTCGATCTATATTAAAACAAGAACCTGCTTGGTTTGATTTTGAAGATAATTCTACTGGGGTACTTGTTTCAAGGCTATCAACTAATACAGTCAGTTTTCGATCAGTTCTTGGTGATAGATTCTCAGTCTTGTTAATGGGTTTAAGTTCAGCTGCTGTTGGTCTTGGTGTGTCATTTTACTTGGAATGGAGACTTGCCCTTTTGGCTACTGCACTAACTCCTTTCACTCTTGGTGCTAGCTACTTAAGTTTGATCATAAATGTTGGACCAAAGTTGGATAATAGCTCTTACGCTAAAGCTAGCAACATTGCTGCTGGTGCTGTTTCAAATATAAGAACAGTAACAACCTTTTCTGCTCAAGAACAAATTATCAGGTCCTTTGATGGAGCTCTAGATGAACCCAAGAAGAAATCAGTGAAAAGATCACAGATTCTAGGCTTAACAATTGGTTTCTCTCAAGGAGCAATGTATTGTGCATATACCTTAACTCTATGGTTTGGTGCTTACCTCGTAAAACAAGACAAGACTAATTTTGGTGAGGTATATAAAATTTTTCTCATTCTCGTTTTAAGTTCATTTTCTGTTGGACAACTAGCTGGGCTAGCTCCAGACACTACCATGGCCAGGACAGCAGTTCCTGCAATTTTTGATATCATTTATCGCAAGCCACTGATAGGTAATGATAATGAAATGGGCAGAAAAATTGACAGATCAAAATCATGGGATATTGAACTTAGGATGGTCACATTTGCATACCCTTCTAGGCCTGAGATTGTTGTGTTGAGAGATTTTTGTTTGAAGGTCAAAGGTGGCAGCATGGTGGCACTGGTGGGCGGTAGTGGTTCAGGTAAATCAACAGTTATATGGTTGATACAAAGGTTTTATGATCCTAATCAAGGGAAGGTGACAATGGGAGGGGTGGATTTGAGGGTTCTTAATGTGAAGTGGTTGAGGAAGCAAATAGCTTTGGTGGGTCAAGAACCTGCTCTGTTCTCTGGAAGTATAAGAGAAAATATTGCATTTGGAAATCCCCAAGCTTCTTGGGCTGAGATTGAAGAGGCTGCAATGGAAGCTTATATTCACAAGTTCATCAGCAGCCTCCCTCAAGGCTATGAAACCCAGGTATGCTCTTAGACAATCCTGTCCTAAATTATACATTTTTAACAAGAAAACTTTGGGTTAGCTCAGATGGCAAGTAAGTTTGTTTTTTCCTAGTAATGTTAATATAATTTATTGTTTTTCCTGTGTTTTAGGTTGGTGAGAGTGGGGCCCAACTATCAGGTGGGCAGAAACAGAGAATAGCAATAGCAAGGGCAATACTGAAGAAATCAAGAGTACTATTATTAGATGAAGCAAGTAGTGCATTGGACTTGGAATCAGAGAAACATGTTCAAGAGGCTCTAAGGAATGTCTCTAAGCAAGCCACTGCTATTGTAGTAGCCCACAGGCTGTCGACAATTAGAGAAGCTAATATGATTGCAGTAGTGAAAGATGGTGCAGTTGTGGAATATGGCAGTCATAATGCTCTCTTGAACTCCCATCTTAATGGTGTATATGCAAGCTTGGTTAGAGCTGAAACTGAAGCTACTGCTTTTGCTTGAGTAATTGATGATATAACTTGTATTGGTTTCCAAATGTCACCCCATTTTTCAAGGCACAGTAAAACCTATATAGCAAGTATTATTTTTTCACACATCTAATTGTCTGTTTAGCACCGTAGTTAGAACAGAATTTAAATGGGTCCATAAGATCTTGAATCTTGAACCTTTCAAGAATTTACTTCTTGAGTAAATTTAAAGAAAAAGGTTGGGGATAAGGTGGGGGTTGGATCAAATAATAATTGATGAGTAAAGTTTACTTCTTGATAATTTCAAATCAAGGAGTAGTATTCCAAAGGTTATCCAATCTAAACAGCTACAACCAAGAATATGCATGCTTAATTCTAATTTTAGCGTGCAAGAACAGGACATGTTAAAAGAATTAGACATCAAAATATCCGTCACCTTTCCAAAAACTCCACCTCCTCTAACTTCAAAAGGGAAATGCGACCAGAGAAGAGATCCACAACAAACAGACCAAAATACCCTCAGAATATATACCAATAATGCTATAAAACATAAGGCCACATTTGTAATTTACTGTCCAACAAAAAATGAGCAGGAATTTCTCTGACGTAATGACTAGTAACCATATCATCTCTTGGCTTGAAAGCCAAGACAAGTTGATGATTACGTGCCAGGCATGCAAAGTTATAGAGATTTTAGGCCTTGCCAATTGATTATACCAGTAAAACATCTTTCTCTTCACTTGTAATTTTTATCATCTCTGTACTTTTCCTTCACACAAGAGCCCTTCAATCTTTCTCTTGTGCATTCTTTCTTGAAGTTTTGTATTAAGTGTTTCTTTTCTGAGGTATTCCTTCCTTTCAACATCTCTCAATCTTTGTATCAACTTTATGCATTTGTCTATACTTTATTATAGATTAGCTCTTACATATAACTATCTGAATCATGTTTTAGCAGTAGCACCATCAAGATTTAGCTTGTAGGATTTGGACAAACAAAGGAATTTGGAAAGGAGTTCATATTTTGAAATAAAGAGAAAAATTCATGGCATCTCTTACACCAGGAGTACTACTAAAGCTTCTTCAAAGTATGAATTCAAATGTGAAAGTACGGGGAGAGTATCGGTCAGTTCTGCTACAAGTCATTAGTATTGTGCCTGCCTTGACTGGCTCAGAACTCTGGCCTAACCATGGTTTCTTTGTTAAAGTATCTGATTCCTCGCATTCGACTTATGTATCATTGTCAAAGGAAGACAATGAGCTAATTTTGAATAACAAGTTACAACTTGGTCAATTTTTCTATGTTGATAGAATGGAAGCAGGAACTCCAGTTCCAATCCTAGTTGGTGTTAGACCAATTCCAGGAAGGAACCCTTTTGTGGGAAATCCTAAAGATTTGATGCAAATGTTGGTTCCATCTGAGGGTCCAGTACCAGTTGATAGTGAAGGAGTTAATTCTTCAAAATTGAAGGAGTTATTGGAAGGGAAAGAAGAGAATTCAAGACAGAAAATTGTAATAAAGGAAGAAAAAGCTGCTGTTGCTTCTAGGTATATGCAGGGTGTTGTGACTGCAAGTCCAAAAGCAGGCGGACTGAATTTGAATGGAGATGGGAAGAACATTGAGACAGAGAATAATGGAGCAGGTAATAAGAAATCAGGATTAGTTAAAGGCAAGCAGCAAGAAAATAAAGGTCAGGTATGTAAATCTTGCAAATATAGATAACTACTGGCAATATCAACTAGGTATGTCCTAAACTATTGATGTTCTTGTCCAGAAAGGACAACTAGAGGTGGTAAAACTTTTTTAACATATTAAAAAGTAATCTTTGTGCATATACATATATATGTATATCTTTTAATCAATTGACAGTTATAGGAATTAGCATTGCAGACATGTCCAACTAGTCCTACTTTCAGAAATCGACCAGAGTCAGTTTCATCAAAGCCAGAGGTTGCTATATCCAATGCGAAAAAGACTCCAGAGCTTTCCAGGAGCATGTCTGCAAAATCCTCATTGAATAAACTGGAAAGCACAAACTTAATCTCTTTGTCAAATAGTTCAGATAAAAACTTTGCTTCCGAGTCAACATCATGGACTTCTCTGCCTGCAGGCCTCTCAAAGCTTGGAAAGGTGATTTCCTGTTTTCTCTGCTTTGAGAATGAGTAAAACCAACAATTATCTATGCAGCAAACTTTCAAAATTCTTGATTCAATTGAACTAAATAATTCTTTTTTTTTTCTTATTGCTTGTTATCGTTTTCTAAGGGAATGCTTAGAAGGAGATATCTTGCTTCTCTGGTTGCAGCAGAAGCTCAGAAAGAAGCATCAACTGCTGCATCTTTAATCAAGTGCCTCAAGTAAGTACTTATCTGCTATGCTAAAAATGTTCTTTCTTTTTCTAACCTCAGTTTCAATATCGTATCTGGTAAATACTTCTTACTTTCATCTTTTCTTTTAGTATGTTCGCTGATCTTCGCTCTTCAGCCTCACCAGAGAACCCCCATCTCTCTCTGACCAAGTTCTTCACACTGCAGCAGCTCATCGACCAACTGAACACAACCACCCCATTAAAAGATAAGTCAGATAAATCAGTTCAAATATTCACCCACTTTTCATTTCAAGAAACTCAAAAAACTAGCAAAAAGATAGGTCTAAGTCATGCTAAAAGTATATTGAAGACTCGGAAGTCATCAATGGAGGTAAACACGACTGAAAGGCTGGAGTGGGCTAAAGGTGACTGTGCGAAAGACATCAAAGAACTAAGAGAGTCTCTCCTAAATGATACAAGAACTTGGTTTTTGAAATTCTTGGAAGGAGCCTTGGACACTGGGTTCCGTGTTGCTACACAGGATAAGAAGGGTAAAGAGAGTGCAGGGCGGCGAATGGAGCCAGAGAACAACCACATTGCTGTCACATTGTCGCAGCTCAAGCATGCAAATGTATGGTTAGATAAATTAAGAAACAACTTGAGCTCTGAAACCAATGATGGATTATTGGAGATTGTTGATCGGCTGAAGCAAAAGGTTTATTCTTGTTTGCTAGCGCATGTAGGTTCAGCTGCATCAGCACTAGAAAATCGAACTGATAGAGGTTGATGCGTATAAAAGGGGGTTGAAGGTCAACTTTTATTTATCTCCATTGTCCAAAGATAAATTATTTAGTGATCTTGATTACAATCAAGGATAAATAGAGCCATACAATGCCATCGCAAGTTTGGTCAATCATATTTATGAATGAAAAGTATGTATGAATTTATATGTTCATGTAATAAGGCCATTTACAGGCTAACAGAGTGAAATTTGTGAAGCTTCCCGAATAGATCCTCTCTCTCTGTCTCTCTCATGTACAGATAATCTAACAGCAATCATATTGATATGGTAGCAAAAACAATTTTAATGTCAATTTTAGATCCTTTCCATAAGCATTAATTAAAATGCTTACCTTGCAGCTCTAACCATGAGATACTTGAGCTCCTTTTTATGAACTTCATACTCGTAAGAGATGTTGTCCAAGCTGGAGGACCAAGGCACATGCAAAATATCAGATTTTCTTGCTGATTGATTTAGCACGTGCCCTGCTTCTCCAGCGTGGCTGAATCCCTCCTTGCTTGCACGCTGTTAAAGTCGCATTTTTAAAATGAGAGTTGTGCTTTTATTCTTATGGTTATTATAGGTGTTGGTGAACGCTGAAATGGCTGGCTCGGATCCCACAAATGTGTTTAAGAAGCGTTGTGTTTTTGTGAGAGAATGATTGATTTTGTGGCTTTACTTATAGAATAAGCATTTAATAGCTTTTGATGCAAAGAGAATCTGTTTTTGATTGTTGGAAGTTAGGCTGCCAGAAATGGTTGTCAATCAGAAGTTACCATTTCCGGCAGATGTGCCTACCAGATGCCAACAGAAAGTTGCCTTTCCCGATGTAGGGCAGCCTACCAACCTGGTCTAGTAGGAGATCTGAAATAACCATAAGTGACAAGAGAAGCTATTCCCAAAGAGGGCTTTAAATAAGGGTAGATTAGAATAGGGTGTACATCCTCTTTACTAGATCATGTTAAGCAAAAATTAAAATTAAAGTATCTTAATAAACTACTGGATTTTATTGTAGTCTTGAAAACAAGAACTTGAAATAACTTTCTTCTTCCTGAGATCCCAGAAATCGACTGTGTAATCACATGCTAAAGATCCTAGTAAAGTTTACAAAATTAATACAGAAGCTTTGTCTGCGATCAAGGAAATAATAACCTCCATTAAATCACATAGTATACAGCAGCTAACATCAGTCACTTAACTTCATGTCATTAATATATCATGCTACTCTTGTATATACTAGACAAAAAGTGCATTGCATCTTCAGTCACTATCCATGAGTATTACATGCTTTGCAGCAAAAGTGGGGAGAAAATCCATAAGCATGCATTTACAATCACTCGAAACAACTTGAAGTACATCTAAGATTTTCAATACTTTCTGAAGGTCAGATTTAGACGTCCTGGGCGAAGATTGGTTGCTTCAAGCAGAGACTTGGGCGCTGTGTTTTGTTTGACAGAATGTACTCCATGAAATATATGTCTAGACTTCCCACCAAATATCAGAACATCTCCTGATTCCAGTAGAACTTTTGCAGCATTCTTTTCATCCCTATTGTCAGAATACAAGAATTCCCCTGCATCTCCAATAGAAAAAGAAACCACAGGCAATCCTTTATTTAGACTTTCTTCACTTTCATCTTTGTCCTGCATGGGTAAGAAATCACGAGTTTTAAACACTCCTTATCAAAAGGAACAAAATTTTTTAAAATTTGTCAATGCCAACCTGATGTAGACCAAGCCGCCCACTTGATGAGTAAAAATTCACAATACATAAATCTGGGACCATCCACGGAATATCTTCCTTACTGCTGGTTTTAGAATTTTTTTCCATGGGAGCATGGGAGTGTTTCAGAACTTTCTCAACCAACCGATGAAACTCAGGAGGAATATCTGGTGGTTTAGAATCATCAATTGGGCGTCGCTCACCATACATACTTTTATCAGGATCCCAATTTTTACCAAGGCACATCATTTTCAAATGCAGTTTTGCACCATCACGGTAACCAGGTTCGTAGAAACCTCCAGGCCCTAGCCCAAGGTCCGCGCAACGCTTTACAATTTTAACCTTACAAAAACATCAGAACAAAAAATAAATAAAACCAACAACAAAAGAAATTTTTGAAATAGGAAAAGTAAACAAAAATTACAGAAAGGCCATGGGACCACTCTGATAATTTCATCAAGCAACCGGGCAAGAAGTCAACAAATTTGCTTAAGACAGATATTAAAAAAGCATCAAGCTAAACCTGATCATCTGTGGATAAGAATCCCTTCAGAAGAACCATCCCTGGTTTTAATATCTGTTCCTGTCCTTCTAAAGCACAAATGCTCTCGTTCCTCTTTTTTCTATTCATATCAAACAAAGAAGATTTTAGCATTACAGGACCTCCAGTCTTGGGCAGGCAAATGTCAAAAGGCTCAATCACTGGAAAATGCTCTGCGTGCCCTGAACCACTGGCAGATTCAGTAATCTTAGCTTGCTGCTCTTGGAACGGCTGGATTATGGCACCAGACTGCAAGGATAGCTGAGACTGAGCAGTATTTGCTTTGCCTTTGATATCAAAGGGTAACATACTCCCATTCGTAGCTCGCTCTGATTTTGATACATCAAACTTTATATTGCCAGGACTAGAAAAGGCAGACAAAGAAGAGGCAGAATCTGAAGCCACAAAAGGTTCCAGTTGTTGTGGTTTTGGCTCAGAATCACTAACATTAAAAGCATTTTGATCCTGCTGGAGACTTTCTGAATAGGAAAGGCCATCCTCTGAAAGCTTCTTTTGCCGATACTCAAAAACCTGGGTAGTTCTATGATTAGAACGCCTAGGAAAACTACCAGGTGAAATAGGATGCACATTTCCCCATCTGCCTCTTGACATTCCATCCCTTCTGCTAGAGGTGTCAACAGAAAAGGCCCCATCTGCATCATTCGTCTGGTTGGCACAAAAAATGACATTAAGGAACTTCTCCATCAAATACTAGCCTCACTACCATATATACAATTCATTAATTTTATAATTAACAAACTGAAGACCAATAATAGGCAAAACAATAAACAAGGTCATTAACAAAACAAAATATGCTTAAAGCAAGCTTTAAACTTTATATAAAAGAGAATAATGTAATCAAACAAATTAAAAATCATTCTACCCAGGCATATTTTTATTTTTCTGTTTTCAAATTTAAATAATTATTCACTATTTAGACAAATTTCTGTTTCCCAATCACAGTACTCCTAACACACATTATTAAAGATGTAATCTTTAAATTATTTGAACAAAAGACGAGCGAGCATATGAAAAATTAAGTAAAGCCCACAACATCAATTTTTCACGGAGAGAAATTATCAACTAAAATAAAAACAATTCAACCAAATTTAAATAAAATAACTCAAAATGCGAGAGAGGCAAAATGGAGTTACATGGCGGTTGCGATGAGAATGATGATGAGCGAACCGTGACGATCGCCCTCCTCGACTCGAAGAACCGTCGCTGTCTCGACCACGGCCGCGATTCATGATCGATGTGGCGCAGAATAGAAGTTAAATTTGGCGGGGAAAATAGAAAAGGTTAATAACTTGAACTTGGAATTACAAAGGAAACGAAAAGAGAGCCAGACGATTCAAAGATTTGAAGGTCGTACAATGAGATTGAGACGAAGAGTTAAAGTGAGAGTTCTAAAGAACGAGAAGGGAAAGGAAGAGTCTTTGTGGGCTTTTCAAGTACCTCATCACTGGTTCTTCATCTTTTAGATTCCCAATGAACAAGGCAAACACAAAAATGTCATGTCGTTTCGATACGAGTTGAACTTTTCTATTTCACCGTTTCCCTGTTTAGAAGTCGTGTACACATCACGTGATTGTGGCTACACCACCTGTAATTGTGATGCCGTGGCAGCAAGTGGCTATGTGACCTGGTAATTTTGATAACGTGGCAGAAGGTCGAGTACACATCACGTAATGACATGGCATGTTCGCTGACATGTTCACTTGAGTGACCTTGCTTTCTCACATAACATCTCAACCTGGGAACCTCTGAAAACGTGGATTAGCTTACCTGGCATTATGTGGTGACGTGAAACAATGTGATGACATGGCACCAAGAGCGTGAGCGTGTCCTTGTCATACATTGACGTGGCACTAGCTTAAGTGGCATGTCATATAGATGACGTGGCAACACGTGGCGTGTCCATATCACGTGGTGACATGGCAATTTTGCTGACACTAAAAATTTCTATCACGGGATGGACTCTATTTGTATGCTTCAATTATTTTAGCCCGGCCCAGGAGAAAAGATATTTACATGTTTTACCTTTGAAATTTCCGGTGGCAGTTTCATTTTCAGAGTACAACACCTAAACAGCATAGTTAATTTCCATTTTTCATTTTTTTTTTTTTTTAAAGCTGAAATCAGTAATCAGTAAAATGTAATAAAGAAACCCTTTTATATTTTCTCCTCGGCAAGCCCGATCTCTGTTTTGCTCATTGATTTCGCCATCAACATCTCTCTTCTCCAGATCTTTGACGCCATCATAGTCGAGAACCCAGATGCTATAATCAGGTAATTCTCAGTATAATTTTGTCTAATTGTATAATTCTGTTTCTATATGCAAATTGATTCTGATTTCATGGGTTTTTTTTTTTGGCTAAATAAGTAATTAATTGATTGCATCGGGTTAGTATTTCATGTTTGGAGATAGATCGTAGAGATCTTGTTTTCGTGGTTTGTTTCATATTGATTTAGTCATGGGTTTAATTCGATAATTTCGCCAAAAATGAACTGGTTATCTCTCTTTTGGGTTAATTTAGGAATCGATTTTGATATGCAGAGAAAGAGAAAGCTTGACATTTCATTTAATGGTAAATGACAGGACACCTGGGGTTCTTTATTCTGTTTTGATGGTTTTTCTTAAGAGGAAAAAAAAGGAAAGTTGTGTGTTTGTTTTGTGCTATATTTTGTTTTTGCAAATGGGATGTTTGCTTGATAAATTGAGGTCAATTTCAGACTAAGTTCCTGCATGGATTTTAGTGGGTGGGATATTGTTGTAAAATTAGGTAGATAATTTAGTCTTTCAATTAGCTATTTTCGATCAATGTAGTCAAAATGTGGCATCTTGTCGCAATTAAATGCTTTACCAATTATAAAGTGAATTTTAATGAATTTTAATGCTACAAAGTTGTAGAGAAAGCTTAAGCATTAACCACAGTCTTCTTGTTCTTGCTAAACTGTTTCAAAGAGTTAGATTGAATTAAAAATCAGCTTGTCTGCTTTCTCATATATATGGGGTTTGTATGGCCAACACAATGCAGTTATTTGAATATCGGGAAGAAAGAAGGTAAAAATGGTGAAGCTGACAATGATTGCCCGTGTCACTGATGGCCTTCCCCTAGCTGAGGGACTGGATGATGGTCGTGATGTGAGAGACATTGAACTGTACAAGCAGCAAGTGAAGGCACTGTTTAAGAATCTTGCTACAGGCCAGAATGAACCTTCAAGAATGTCCATTGAAACTGGCCCTTATGTCTTTCAGTATCCTGCTTGTGTTTAGATTTATTCATGGCACCATCTTTTAAAATTTGGCCTCGATAAGTATAATTTATTCTCAGCAATTGCATCTTGGAACCATGTTTGTGTGCTAGTAAAGATCAATTGTGCACTGCATTTTACATTACTTAATGAGTTAACTTAATACTTAGTTATGCTACTTAATTCATTCAACTATCATGGTCAGTTCCTTGCCTTAAGCTTTTTATATTTTGTTTTGTGTGTCTGCATTGTGTGTAGTATCCCATGGTTGGTGTGAACTCATTAAAATCCATGTATGAAAGTTCATCTGTTTCAACAATTTTCCTTGACTTGAGAACTTAGTTATATCATTGAAGGGCGTGTGTGTTACCTCACAATGTGTGATCGTTCTTACCCTAAGAAGCTTGCCTTTCAATACTTAGAAGATCTCAAAAATGAATTTGAGCGTGTCAATGGGGCTCAAATTGAAACTGCTGCTAGACCATATGCCTTCATTAAATTTGGTAGGTCTTTTTATTTTGTTGAACTTCTTCTTCAAATACCTATTCTGTTGATATGATTTTCAAAAATTCTTCTAGGCTTGATTTTTTTTTTTTTTCATGTTTATGTTTTAAAGATACATTCATACAGAAAACAAAGAAATTGTACCAGGACACCCGTACTCAGCGGAATATTGCAAAGTTGAATGATGAACTTTATGAAGTGCACCAAATAATGACCCGCAATGTGCAGGAAGTACTTGGCGTTGGTGAAAAACTAGACCGTAAGATGCCCCCTCTCCCCCCCCCCCCGCGGAATATTGGGCAAAGTTGAATATGATGAACTTTATGAGTGCACCATCAATGAACCCGCAATGTTGCAGAGAAGAGTACTTGGCGTTGGTGAAAACCTAGAACCGTAAGATGCCCCCTCTCAACCCCCCTTTTTATTTTTCAAGTACCACTTAATTTTCGGTGTATTGGTGTGTCTTTATACACTTGAATGAATCTCACTATATATCACAATTAGGATAATAGATTCTCTACTTCAGTTAAGTATATTTGGTGATATTCTTAAAATATACACCTTGTAGTTTGAGATTGGCCCCCCCCCCCCCTTTTTATTTTCAGTACCACTTAATTTTCGGTGTATTGTGTTCTTCTTTCACTTGAATGAATCTCACTATATATCACAATTAGGATAAAGGTAGATCTCTACTTCAGTTAAGTATAATTTGGTGATATTCTAAAAATATAAACTTGATAGTGAGATTGAAGAATGCAATGACGTGATCAGGCTGTTAACTTGGCTTTTCATATTATGGTAAAAGAATTTAAACCCCAAGCTTGTTGGGGATATTGTTGAGGACATGTGTTTTCTAGTTTTAAAGGTTACTTGTAATTGATATTGCACTTATGGCATGCTTAATGGACAGAAGCCCAAAACTGCCTCCTTTTAGTTCCAGTCTAACTATCTTTTGAAAGAATATATTTGATGCAAGCATATTCCTTTGGCAAATTCTGGAATTCGTTGGTCTTGCTATAGTAAATATTAGAAAGCTGAGGTATTATAATATTGCATACTCTGTTCAACTTTCATGTCTTTGCCGTAGTCAATTCTTGTGTAAGAGAGAATGCCATGTGTATCACTTCTTGCGGTTATTCTCATTTGAAATCCTTTTTTACTCTGATTTCACTTAGAAATTTTGACTTAAGCTGGGGAGTAGATGTTTCTTTTTCTTTTTCTCTTTCTCTTTTTTATTTTTGACTTTTGTTATATGGTTTTGGTTGCTGCTGTTTTCTTATATATTTGTCATAACATTAAAAAAAGCACATCTTGTTGATTTATTCTTCATTATTTTTGTAACTAATGGTTTCAAGACTCTCTCTCTCTTCTCTCTCTTCTTTCTATTAAAAATGTCTTTCATTTCCCATCCAATTTATACTGAACAAAATTAAATTTTCATTTTTGGTGATAATGCAGAGGTCAGTGAAATGTCCAGCAGATTAACATCAGAATCTCGCATATATGCTGACAAGGCAAGAGATTTGAATCGGCAGGTTGGTTCCATTGGACTAGTAGTTATATCACGAGTCTAATCCAAATGGCACTTATGAAACTTGCTATCTTTTATGACTGACATGACTGCTACTGAAGTTAGAAATTGTTTCCCATCAAAGGGAAAAAGAAACAGTTGATGTTGATCACATGCTTAAAATTTCAGTTAGATTCCTTGGCTATTGCAGTGGGATGGACTAAAATCAAGCTCTTATGCAACCTAACTTGTTTTTCAACCCTCTGCAAATGGAAAATAGTTTCAAGTCTTGTTGTCTTCTGCAGAATGCAAACTAAATGTTTGATTGAAATTTAATTATCATCTGACTTCTACCCTCTGAATGCAGGCCTTGATTAGAAAGTGGGCTCCTGTTGCTATCGTGTTAGGAATTGTCTTCCTCCTTTTTTGGGTTAAGAGAAAGCTCTGGTGATCTAAATGCCTAAGAATTGTTGCATCATTTTACTGGGTTTCTCTTTGTTGCTGCCATTTACTTGCGTTCATCGGGGATACGTACTAAAGGGAACTTTTGAGTGGGACCTAGATGCACAGGAAGACCTAAGTCATGTTTCAAGCTGGACTGTAGATTTTGTTCGTGGGAAAGTGCCTTACGACGACCATGTGGAAATGTGAAAGAGAGACCCCTTACTTTACAAGTTAATGATAGAAAAACACATTAGATACTAGCAACTTTCGAAACTATCAGTACTTGATTGAGGCTTTATTGATTACATGATTATGGCAGTCCAATATGTGATCTAACGCTTACTACAATTTTTAGATTGCCTTATTATTTGGGTGACCGTTGTCTTTTTAATTTATTTATTAGTTTTCTGATATTATTCTGGCCGCAAGTGTTGTTTGGAAGCTATGATGTCACAATATGCTTTAGCTTTTGCCATGAACTCTGGTGCACATGAAATTGCTATGTTCTCCTCACAAATAATGAGTGCGGCCCTGGCCCCTGGGTGTTGGCTGCTGGTGGGCTTCGCTCAATAGCCTATAAATCTGTTTGTGCTTATCAGTCTGCGTTCCATATCTTTATACTCTTTGTAATCTTGGTTTCAAGTCTTGTGTAATCTTGGTAGGGAAAAAAGTGATGCAATTGTAATCCATGACATGACTTCGTTATCACAGTTGGTGGCAATAGATATGCCCTGTTTGTTAATTTGAAGCGATAATAGTTTGTTGCTCTCTAGTTTCCATTATAATTTATATTTAGTGTTTGGATTCATATATTTGATTTAAAATATTGAAGTGTGGAATATATTTTAAATGACTCATTGAAGTAATTTGAAAATTTTCGTATTTGAACTTTTGAAACTTAATATGAATTTCGCTTGTGTTTGATCATTCAAATACTGAATTCAATTTAATTATATCCAAATTTAAACATTCAAAAAATATTAATCTGAAATACCATTATGCAAATTGAAGTTGAATTTTATTTTATATTTTTATGTTTTTTTTTTTATTATTTTGGTGGCAATTTCATACGGCTGAGCATAATCACCTTATTAATCTTACTATATTTTGAACAACCGTTTAAAAGATTGATTTTTTTTTTTTTTAAAAAAAAAGAAAAGAAAAAAACACTTTGAATTCTCTAACGGTTACTTTTTAAATTCCTCTCCGAGACTCCAACCTTTTCTTAATCAAGCTTCTTAGTACATGTTTTAACTCTTTAATCTGAAGGGAAGCAGAAACTCAGATCAAAGCAATAACCTAACCAAACCTATCAATGGCATTCCTGAAACAAGAACAATTAGTAATTGAAGAACAAGAAGATTTCAGTGACAGCGGAGGGTCTGACCCAGGATACGAATCGGATATGGATCCAAGTTATTGCATTCTTGAGGAGACTCAGGGCCAACTCTCAATCCTCTCTATCCAGAAGAAATCAAAATCTAGGTGAAGTTTCAAACTTTCAATGAAACATTTAAAAAAAAGTTTCGGACTTTCCATAAAAATTCAATATCTTGAGATAAAAAGAATAATAATAATGATCGTTGTTATTATTTTTTCCAGTATTTTTGATATGGGGGTAGAAATTATAGACCAAAAAGAGATTGAGCAAGTTCAAGAGATAATAGAAGGTCAGTGTACTAAGACGCGGGTTCTTTTCTGTTTGATTGTTAAAAATGAAGAAACGATGTCTTTAATCTCACGGTCGTAGGTTGTATGATTATAATTTATAGGTGCTTGAAATGTGTAATTTTTATGGGTCATAATTTGGTGGCAGCTGGGAAGACAGAGAAGCTGAAAGTGGAGCAATGTAAAGATTATTTGAGGAAGAATGGGTTGAGATTGACTGGCAATAAAGAGACACTGATTCAGCGCATAAAGGAGCATCAAGAGTAAATTGCATTTACTTCAGTGATGGTGGCTATTTTTAAAAAATTAGATTTCTTTCTTCTCCATGCCGATTTTGTTTTATGCAATTTTAGGATTTTGAATGGTGGAGGGGAGAAAAAGTACCCAGTATCTAGCTTTGTTTTCGATTGTAAAGGTAAACTAATTATCATTGTGATAGGCTAGTGATTTAGTGTATGATCATTAGTTGATATGCTTGCAGTGTGTATGGCCTTTAATCAGCTTCTGGTATTCTATCTATATCTTCACTTTCTTCACTTTCCTTGCATGCAAAACTGATGGATTTGTTTTTTTTGCAGGGGATGCATGTATGGGTGATCTTGTCATGTTTGAACAGAATGTTTATGAAATGTAGGGCTTTGGACTATTTTCTATATACTGCAACTATTCTGACTGGTCCTTAGAACAAATTTCTCTAATTTGAACAAATTTTACTTGCATGTTTCTCGTTTTTGTAGGTATAATATAGCATCACGAAGTGCCAGTGGTCCTCCTTGTGGCACAAGGATAGTTGCAGGTCGAATTGTGAAGGAAAGCTATGGTGCTTCCAAACGACAGCACACATTTACGGTGAGTCATAATCATATAAACATAAATTATTATGATGGATTAAGGCAATGAACACACGCTTTCCAATTCCCAGATCTTACATTTTCAATGCTGATTTTGTTGCTTATGTGATCAGATAGAGGTCCTTTGGAGCAAAGGGGAGAAGCCACTCCCTCCACTTCACCCTCTCCTAATAAAGGGTCGAAATCTATACAGATTTAAGACTTTGAGACAGGTTCTTGATGGGTAGAAGATGTTTGTTTTCCTATGCAATCTACATGTTCATTTAATCATGTTGTGATAACTTGCCCTTGTATCACTTCAGAGATGGGAAGATGAAGAGGAGAGGCGTAAGGTTTTGATGGAAAAGCATTCAAGGGGTTCTTTAGCTAGATGTGCCAGAGAAAGCCGAATCCAGGAGAAGGAAAGAAGGAATATGCTACGGGAAAATAGGTATTTAAACTTTCGTTTAATTTCACACCAGAATTTGGTGGTAAAAATTAGGCATGCTGCTCGTAAATTTATAGCTTTTATATTCACATGTTTAAGTTGTCTGTAATTTTAGAGTCTTGACAAAGGAGGAGGGAAACAGGAAGCAGTCTCAGTTAAAAGCAAATCAGGGAATTCAAGCTAAACAATCAGGTTCATCTGTTAATTTGGGAAAAGCGTTTCCTAAACCTTTACGGTCAACACAAGCATCTGAAGCTCAAATATCAGGGAAACTGGCATTAAAGCCTGAACTACAAAAAAACCAGAGAGTAAATAAAAATTGCAATCATGTTCCTTACAATTTGGTTTATTATCATACTCGCATTCAGGAAGTACTGCTACAAAACAATGATAATTTTGGTTCACGGTTATCTTACTTAAATATAAATGATCCTCCTTTCAACAAGAACCCCATTACAACTTGGAAATCAGAGAGGTACCATCACAGACAGCCATTGACAAGCATGAATCATGACCATCAAATTACCGTTCTGAATAGGCAAGGCTACCAACAACAGAAGCTCTGTGAATTTTATGCTCAAGGAAGATGCATGTATGGAGGCAATTGCAAATTTTTGCACGAATTGAAAGTGATTCGTGGCCAAAGAAGGGAGAATGGGAGACTTTAGAGCCAGAGCAGTTTGGAAAGATGGCTTCTTTGACGTTCTCAATAGTTTGTATTGATTAAGCAAATTGGGTTAGGATTTTTATGCATGCTGGGTTGGTATTGCTGTTACTCCCAAGAATTGGTCCTTATTTGTTACTGTGATCTGATCAGTAATTGTCCATTTAATGGACTAAATTTTGTTACTTCAGGTCAGCTTTGGATATAAATACAATATAGATGTTGTTTTCTTTGTTATTCTAAGTTTTGATCCTCCAGTAATGCATAAAGAGGGGAGAGAACCAGAAAGATGATTGCTGAGTGTGAATTTAATAAAGTGGCGAATAGAAAAACAAAAGAAATTGGAAAAGAGGGGAAAAGACAATTACAACCTCCACTTCCGAGCAGACATCAATAGATCGTAAAAAACTTCATCTTTTCTACCCCATCCCCAACCAGGAAAAAGAACAAAAGAAAAAACTAGAAAATCCTCCTTTTGAATGTATTTATGGATGGTTTTGATCATTGTTGGATAATTTCTGTTAGAAATTGAAACTACCATGCATTTGGCTAAACAGCAATTGAAATGACATTTGAAACCTCAGAATGCAGTGCGGTTGCATTGTTGCAACTTGTTGACAGAGACAACCGCCCCAGCCAAAAAGTCAGTAGATAAGGACAACAGATGGCAATCAAATAGCATATGCGATAGTGTAATTTCAATGTCTTTTTCATCTGCGGTTCACAAAAGAGAGAAAGATAGAAAGGAACAGATAAAAAAAGCTATCTTTTTCCTCCTCTCTAATATTTGATTTTTAGGCACATGAAAGGAAGCCAAAAAGGAACAGATTAAAAAAAGATCTCTTTTTCCTCCTCACTGGCTACTGCTTAAACTGTGTGGGCATCATTTCTCCTCTCATAGGTAGGTTTGATTTTGGTGATCTTTGTCTGCTCGGATGCAGTTAATTTCTCGATGGTTTAGCCTTTTTTTATGGATGGAGTGATTAATTCACTTTTTGGTGCTTGTAATGCTATCATACGGGGCATTATTATGCGCAATTTTTTAATTCTTTACTGTTTAAATCATATGGAAGCAAAAAACAGATTTGTGCTTGGGATATAACTCGATTCACAGATTCACACACATTCAACCACATATAAATGATATCATTTCCTTACCAAAGTTTGCCTGAATTTTTGTCAAGTATTCTGATAATAAACTTGTTTACATATTAGTTATAGCTATTACTTCCTTTACAGGAAACATTAGTCTGCATGGATTTAGCTACCAAAAATATCAATTGAACACCTGAAGGAAAAGCAATACCTTTGATAAAACATTTCTATAACTTTTAAAGTATGTATAGCTCTCTTTGGAAACAAAATATAAATGGAAATGGAAATGGACATCTTCTTTTCCAAACTCTTTCTATTTCCTGGAATTTCATTACTTTTCCAGTTTTGAAAGAAAATTAAATGTGGCCTTAAGGACTTCTGCAAGTTGACTTTCTGTTTTCAATAGTCTGTTTTCTCCTCTGTACTTGTTTTTTGAATCAAAGCTCCTGCAGATGAAATTTTGGCGTATTAAATAGGGTATTGCTGTGTCTCATAATTTTCTGGAGCTTTTGCTTTTCCTTGAGGTTGACATTCATTTACCATATGTACTAGAAATATATATAATGAATACGTTTGCAGGTTAGATGGCAGCTGAACCAGTTAATGTGAATGAGTTCCAAATTTTGGCTAAGCAAGTACTCCCAAAAATGTACTAGACTTCTACACTGGGGGAGCAGAGGACCAGTATACTCTACAAGATAATGTGGAAGCATTTCAAAAAATCTTGTAATGTCTTAAAACTTATATGGTTCATGTAGAAATTAATACACTGCCTTCACTAAACAGTTTATTTGGCATCTCAGGATTCGACCTAGAGTCCTTGTGGATGTTAGCAGGATAGAAATGTCTACTACTATTTTGGGTTACACTATCTCAGCACCTATTATGGTCGCTCCAACTGCAATGCATAAGCTAGCACACCCTGAAGGTCTGAACTTCGTATCCAAGAGATATTAATTGCATATATATTTCACATCCTGATATCATCAGCTTTTGTGATTGCTGCAGGAGAAATTGCTACTGCCAGAGCAGCAGCTGCCTGCAATACCATAATGGTATTAACATGATAGAGGTTGAACTAGTTTCTTACAGTAGGTGCCTTGAATGCTGGCTTATCTTTATATTTTAGGTTTTATCCTTCTCTGCTACCTGCAGTCTGGAGGAGGTTGCTGCCTGCTGCAACGCTGTTCGGTTCTTCCAATTATATGTACGTGTACTTAGCTTTTTCATTACTTGTTCATTTTCTTTTCGGAAGTGATATTCTTATCTCTCAAACTAAGTCAAATGGTAAAGGTTTATAATTGAAAGGACTAAGCATGATTCATCGTTTAGGTGTATAAAAGACGCGATATAGCTGCTAACTTAGTGCAGAGAGCTGAAAGGAAAGGATATAAGGCTATTGTCCTAACAGTAGACACTCCAAGACTAGGTCGAAGGGAAGCTGATATAAAGAATAAGTAGACATCATTTCATTATCTCACATTCTATCTGCACTCATTTTTGTTACGGTTTGGTTGAATTGCTTTACCAATCAAGGATGTAACATTAATCTGTAATCTAATCAGAAAGTGAGATTTCTGTGCAGAATGATTTCACCTCAGTTGAAGAATCTGGAGGGTCTAATATCAACTCAAGTTGTATCTGTGAGTAGTGAGCACTAAGCATGCTAACTCTATTTTCAAGGCATATGCCTGTTTTAAAGAATTTGCTGCACCTTAAGAAATGAACCAAAAAATCAATCTAAATTAAAAATGTCAGCCTTTTATCATATTTTCGTTCAAATCCATGCATTATTAGTATGCAATAAACATCACTTGCTCAATTAGTAACCTGCTTAAGGAGTACTATTTTTATATAATGAGTTTTCAGGACAAAGGTTCGAGCTTGGAAGCTTATGCCAATCAAATCCTTGATGCTTCATTGAGTTGGAAGGTAGCTGTAGCTGTTCCCTTCTTGGAGTGACATTCACACACAGAAGAATCACCATCTCAGTTAGCTGTTGCTCATTTTCCTTTTCATTTCAGGATGTAAGATGGTTAAAGTCTATTACAAACTTGCCAATTCTGATCAAAGGGGTACTCACTCGTGAAGATGGTACAACAAAAGCACAGTTTCTCATAATATTTGCATCTCTCCATTTCTTTCCCTGTAGTCTAAAACAAATGTCAATTTTAGAGGCTTGGAAGAATTTGGGTTATTCATTGGAAACATCTGAGCTGAGTCCTTTTGTTAATGAAAACAAACTGTATCTGTTCAATGGTCATATAGTGTGGCACTTACTGTAGGCATTATTAAATTATGGCAGCCACGAAAGCCATGGAAGTTGGTGTTGATGGAATTATTGTCTCCAATCATGGAGCACGACAGCTAGATTATACTCCTGCAACTATTTCTGCTTTAGAAGAGGTATCTCTAAATATGCTCGAAAAATTAATTTATCAAGGAAAATATAAATTGAATTAGTACATCAGTTTAAATCCTGGTTATTGCAGGTTGTTGATGCTGTTAGAGGAAAATTTCCGGTTCTTCTTGATGGGGGAGTGCGACGGGGAACTGATGTTTTCAAGGCATTGGCACTTGGTGCACAAGCAGTCCTTGTAAGTCCTCATTATCCAGATATTACCTCATCTAAATGAATAATCAAGCCACTAAGTTCAGAGTCAATTTCATGCATCTACTGACAGTAACTGATATAAATTTAAATTACTACAGGTTGGAAGGCCTGTTATTTATGGACTGGCAGTGAAGGGAGAACATGGAGCAAGACGGGTGATTGAAATGTTGAAGGATGAGCTCGAGCTGACTATGGCCCTTTCTGGCTGTCCTAGTTTGACAGATATTACTAGGACTCATGTAAGGACTAAGCATGACATTGGCAAACTCCAATCCATGCTCTAATGCTGCAACAAAAAGCAACAAGTACCTTTCTTTTTGTTACTTCAGCTGATGTCTCTCTTAGACACCATCTAATTTTCTATGATTTAATAATGGTGATGATTGTTCTCCATTTTTTTTTTTTTATTATTATTAAGAACAGGTTTAGTTGAAGCTTACTAAGTTTGGTTGGTAATGCATGTTCTGTGAAATTTGTTCTTGTAAAATGGACTGTATTGGGTTAAGTATTGACTAATAGTCAAGAAAACTTTTGTAACATGTATTATATGTTTGTGATTCTCAGTCTTAATCTCTTATCAATCCATAAAGAATTATTTGTTTCATTATTCATGAATCGAAATCGTAATTTTTTTTTTAATTCTCATTCCAAACATAAAATTTTAGATTTGCAATTTGCAAATAAATTTCATAAAATTTAGTATTAGGCCCAAGCTAAGATAGCAAGATCGACTTTTTCGTCTCAGCCTAGCCCACCGCAAATAAAGTACATAAAAACGACAATGTTACTAACATGTACTCACACTAAGCCCTTGTTTGGATTGATGGAAAATATATTGAGGAAAGAAAATAAAAATTATTAGCCCTTTCTTTATTTGGAAAAGGAATAAAAATTAGAGAGAAAAAGCAAATATAGATGGGAAGGATATTCTGGGTTTCACTATCAACTTCCCTTCCAATTTAAAAAGGGCAATGAAGAAAAAATCTATAAAATTATTAATCTGTCCCTTTCAGACACACATTTCAAAATTAAAAAGAAATAAGAACAAAAATGAATTTTTTTTTTTATAAAATAATTTTCTTTCCCTTCCTTTAAAAGATTTTTTTACAGACAATAAAAAGAAAGGAAATACAGCAATGTTTTTCCTATTTATTTTCTTTCCTCCGCTAAAAAAGTATGCGCGATCATGACAGGACCCGTGTAAGAAAATGACAAAAGACCTTGTCTTGCCAAGTCAATATTATTGTATTGATTTGATTTCTGAGTATTGAGGTCAATATCTCAGCTGGGCCAATCAAATCATCAACAGCTTGTCATCAGTTTTTTAGCTTTGATGTATTGTAATAATTTATAATCTTCATTGAGGCAAGGCAATTCATTCAGGTTTAGTCTTTTAACTCTTTCCTGTTGCTGGATTTGTTGCATATGTGTGATTCGTGGATTCTTGTCTTCTCGGCTCAATCATACGATACGATGAGCATGCTTTTCATGATCAATTTTTCTTGTATTTATTTATTTTGCGAATTGTGATCTTGTGAGCTTGAATAAATGTAAAAATTGCAAGTGCATGTATTATTGTTTATGCTGGTTTTGATGGTTTTGAAGTCTGCTTTGTCTTGGATCTGTTTGTCAAGTTTCATGATCAATTTTTCTTGTATTTATTTATTTTGCGAATTGTGATCTTGTGAGCTTGAATAAATGTAAAAATTGCAAGTGCATGTATTATTGTTTATGCTGGTTTTGATGGTTTTGAAGTCTGCTTTGTCTTGGATCTGTTTGTCAAGTTTCATGATCAATTTTTCTTGTATTTATTTATTTTGCGAATTGTGATCTTGTGAGCTTGAATAAATGTAAAAATTGCAAGTGCATGTATTATTGTTTATGCTGGTTTTGATGGTTTTGAAGTCTGCTTTGTCTTGGATCTGTTTGTCAAGTTTCATGATCAATTTTTCTTGTATTTATTTATTTTGCGAATTGTGATCTTGTGAGCTTGAATAAATGTAAAAATTGCAAGTGCATGTATTATTGTTTATGCTGGTTTTGATGGTTTTGAAGTCTGCTTTGTCTTGGATCTGTTTGTCAAGTTTCATGATCAATTTTTCTTGTATTTATTTATTTTGCGAATTGTGATCTTGTGAGCTTGAATAAATGTAAAAATTGCAAGTGCATGTATTATTGTTTATGCTGGTTTTGATGGTTTTGAAGTCTGCTTTGTCTTGGAACCATATTCATAATACAACAGCTGCTGTAGCCAGGAATTTATGCTATTATAGCCTAATTAAATTGCCTTGGATTATTATAGACCTTATATTCCTGTTCACTATCAAAATTTTTGTATCATGATTGGAGTTTGTTTATGGGTTTGGTGTTAGTTGATTGATATTGATGATTCAGGACAAATGGAGAGTGAACCAGTGAATGTGAATGAGTTTCAAGAGTTGGCCAAGCAAGCCCTTCCAAAAATGTACTATGATTACTATGCTGGAGGAGCTGAGGACCAGCATACGTTGAAGGAGAATGTGGAAGCATTTTGTAGGATCACGTAAGCTGTTAAACCTTTGAATTCTTAACGCAATAAAGAGAATTTTACTTTTTTGCTGATCAGTTTCTTGGTTTCTTAGGTTTCGACCTAGAATCCTTGTCGATGTGAGTCAAATTGACATGTCAACTACTGTATTGGGTTACAGAATATCTGCACCCATTATGATTGCTCCAACTGCTTATCATAAGTTTGCAAACCCTGAAGGTCTAAAATGATTTGAACGATTTCTCAACCAATATATTTTACAACTCTTATTTTTAACTTGTCATCTTGTGTTCATTTTAGGTGAGGTTGCCACAGCCAGAGCTGCAGCTGCATGTAACAGTATTATGGTATTGAAATATGAATAAAACATTGAAACTCATTAGCTTACTTTATGAGTGTAAATACTAAACCACTTGTTTGATGTAGATTTTATCATACATGTCTTCCTGCACAGTGGAGGAGGTTGCTTCCAGCTGCAATGCCATTCGGTTCTATCAATTATATGTATTCCTCCTCTTCTTCTGATCTTTCTGTTTATTTGCAGAATCTAGGTGTCTCTAGTGGCAACAGTGTTCTTTACTTTTCATTTTCTCATCACATTCTAGCTATCCTTATATACAGGTGTACAAGAGACGAGATATATCAGCTCATCTAGTGCAGAGAGCTGAAAGAAATGGATATAAGGCTATTGTCTTGACTGTGGATGCTCCTAGACTTGGTAGAAGAGAGGCAGACATTAAGAACAAGTGAAAACATCATCTTTTTTTTTTTTTTTTTTTTAAGAAACAATGAAACCTTTTTTTTTTTTTTTTTTTTTTAATGTTCCTATACTCGGTATGCTAATATGCTTTCAATTTTATTAGAGCTGCACCACATAATTGGGACATACAAGTTCTGGTTTCTAACATCAAAGAAATTTTATTATGTCTTCTAAACCGTACTTGTAATAACTTTTGCAGGATGGTGGCACCGATTTTAAAGAATTTTGAAGGTCTAATATCAACTTGTAAATTTAAGGTGGAAAAAATATTTTCTGCACATTGATTCATCAATAGGGACACATATATATATACATACAAGATACTATAAACATATTGGGAATCTAACTCCTAATAGAGTTCTATTTACAACTATCCTTAACATTCCCCCCTCAAGTTGGAGCATAGATGTTAATCATGCCCAACTTGTTACAAAGATAGTTAACCCGAGGTCCATTTAGAGCTTTTATAAAGATATTTCCTAACTAGTCACTTGTTTTAACGTGCCCTGTAGAGATAACACCCTGTTGTATCTTTTCACGAATGAAATGACAATCAATCTTGATATGTTTTGTTCGTTCATGGCATACTGGATTTGATGCAATGTGAAGAGCAGTGGCATACTGGATTTGATGCAATGTGAAGAGCAGCTTGATTATCACACCATAACTTTGCAGGCAAGAATGACTTGAAGCCAATTTCATCTAATAACTGACGAATCCAAATTAATTCACAAGCAGATTGTGCCATAGCTCGATATTTTGATTTAGCACTCGATCGGTGAGACTACATTTTGTTTCTTACTGTTCCACGATATCAGGTTTCCACCCATAAAGACACAATATCCTGAAGTTGATCTTCTATCAACCTTCAAACCTGCCCATCCGCATCTGAAAAACACTCAATGTCCAAATGCCCATGATTACTGTAAAGGAGGCCACGACCTGGATTACATTTCAAGTAGCACAAAATTTGTCCTAAAGCTTCCCAATGGATAACAGTAGTCAATGAGAATAACAGTAGAAGAAGACATAAACTGGCTTAAGGACGCTCACGAGTAAACGCAATATCGTGGACCGTGTTACTTAAAGATAATTTCAGTTAATGGCCACTAAGCCTTCTGATACATCTCGAGGATCAATCACAAATAGGCGTCACACGCACCAATATTGAGAATTGCAAATTTAGGAGTCATATGGAGCACTGGCATGTGCTGGACCCAAGCTTTCCCAGGTTTCCTCGGTAAGTCGAAGGACTCGCTTTCTTTTTGAGATACAGAAAGAGATGCCTTCTCTTACACCTTAGACACTTCAATACCCAAAAAAAAATCTTCAATAATCCTAAGTCTTTGGTTCTGGAACTGATGAGTCTGGAGAAATGACTTGAGTGATGTAATGCCGACTGAATCACTCCCTGTAATAACAATATCATCAACATAAACCACAAGTAGAATGAAACCAGTGTTAGTACTTCTGAAAAATACGGAATGATCAGAAGTACTCTTCTGCATGCCAAATTGCTGTACCACATTGCAAAATCTACCAAACCAGACTAGGGTTACTTGTCATGTGATCAGCATACTCCGCAGCAGAAATTGTTACATTGTTGTCGGAAGAAGTAATTGCATAATCTTGAGTTGCCATATTTACCCTTGGTGGCTTATTCATAATCTTGAGTGTATGTCATATTTGTACTGAGTTGCCATATTTACCCTTGGTGGCTTATTTATCAGTTTCTTGCAATACCGTTTAGTGTGACCAGGTTCATGGCAATAATGGCAGATAAGAATGGTTGCCTCCTGAGTGATTGGTCCATTACTACGGTTATTTCCTTCTCTTCCTCTGTTTCCTAGCTGCCTAGCTACCTGATTACGACTCACAAGGACACTATTATCAGAAGGGGAAGGTACGTAGCAATCTAGCGAATGTCTCCTGAAGAGAAGTAACATCATTGCCTGAAACTGGAGCAAGACCTGCGAGAAAACTCATTACAGCCATTTGTTCTCGCTGCGTCTGTTGAACCTTAACATCGAGACTAAAAGGCAATAAAACATTAAGTTCCTCATAAATCTTCTTATTAAAGTGCGAGACTAACGGCAATAAACATTAACGTTCCTCCTAAATCCTTCTTAAATTCCATGCAAATACAGCTGTAAGAGGCTTATCTGCTGGTCGAATTGCCCGATAAAATCCTTTTGTGCAGACTCAATACTATGAGTACAGATCTAACGCTTTTCCCGAGTACAAGAACTTCAAAGATATCCATTAATTTCCTTTAACAATTCACAATGACTTGAATTCAAATCCAACCACTTCACTGTCAATAGATTGCTGTAATCAGTAGAAAATAACTTAGCATCTTTCCTAATAAGAGCAACGTTGCCGGTAGTGTCATCAGTTGGTGGATCATCAATTAGATGATCATCTATTTCAACGCGCCGCAAATAAATTCGCATTGTTTTTACTCCAATCTAAATAATTAGTCCCTTTTGCGAATCAGTAGAAATAACTTAGCATCTTCCCTGAGCCAACGTTGCCTAGTGTCATCAGTTGGTGGATCATCAATTAGATGATCATCTATTTCAACAGCCCGCAAATAAATTCGAATTGTTTTACTCCAATCTAAATAATTAGTCCCTTTCAATTTATGTTCTTTGATTTTATTCATTGCTGGGATCAATTCAGTAATAGTAGTTTTAGAATCTGTGGGCGTAGGATCCATTATTAATAAAAACTAAACACCCTACTAGCAACACAGAAAGAGACACAAAAAAAAATAGCCTTTCAATGCAAACAAGAGCGAAAAGTAACCTAAAACGCCAAATTGACAGAACTGAGAATGCCTTTACCAAAACTTCGCCGAGTCAGAAAAACAATCACCTGAGTAGACTGTGGGCAAAGAATCGAAGCCAGAAAGTGAATTCCGATAGCCGGAAACAGCCGGACGCTCCACCACTCGCTAGCGCGTGGTACTATATCAGAAAACTCAATCAGCGCGTGAAGCCCATGCGCAGGGAATCCGGCGACCAGATTTTGGGGGAACGCTGTCAGCAGCTGGAGCAGCTCTTGGAGTAGGCGGTGAGACAAAACAATGACCTAGAGTGGTGACCAACACTGACAGCCACCACGCGCAGGGAATCCAGTGACCGGATTTTGAGGGAATGCCGGAATTTGCAACACAAACGGGAAAAATCAAGTTTAAAGAGCCACAGGCTCTGATACCATGTAAATTTAAGGTGGAAAAAAAATATTTTCTACACATTGATTCATCAATAGGGACACATATATATACACATACAGGATACTATAAACCTATTAGGAATCTAACTCCTAATAGAGTTTTATTTACAACTATCCTTAACACAACTGATGTTGCTTCTGTGAGTGGATTGGTTCAATTCTATTATTTATTTTATTAATTATATCACATAATGAACTGTTAAACCATGTGCATTTTGTTTGGTTTAACTGATAAAAACAAGAGGCATATTTAGAACTTCTAATACAAGCAATGAATAGATAAAGCAGAGGCGATTCAGATTTATCGAATGGGTGCCTTCAAAATTATGAGAACTTTTGTTGTCAAATTCTACTGTTGCTTCACCTTTTCCCTTGCTCATTTATAAGTCATATAAAGTGGTTATGCCATGTGTCAGTACTAGTTATTTAGGTGGATACAATGCCGGTATTCACTTGATTATGTTTCTAATTTATGAGATGGTGCAAATCATTTTTCCCTTTCCACTGACTGATAGGGCATTAAATTTTATTTCCAAGTTTGTAGTGCATTGTTTTAAATCTGACCAAGAGGTTAATCACTAGAATAAAGTTAAATTTACTCAATAATTGGACTTTGGCAGGATAAAGGTTCAAAGCTAGAACTTTTTGCCAAAGAGACATTCGATGCTTCTTTGTCTTGGAAGGTATGAATTATTACATTTGCTTTATCAACTTTCAGTTAGCTTTGTAAAATTTGTGTGGGAGGAAACATTAAAAGGCTATATATCTCCCTTGAATTTGAACATCATTTTAAAAATGTCTAAATCAAAAGCGTTCTTCTTATAGAACTTCTTAGAATGATTATGTGGCTTTGCTGGTTATTTTCTTGCATCTTGATTTTAGGGCCGAGGCTAGAACATAACACTGGAATAGCCTGCAATCTCTAATCAGTTTGTGTGAAAATGCTCTCTCTTCGCCTCCTTCCTTTTGTTCTGCGTTTCATATGATGCAAGAATCTTGTTTCTTATTATTGTAATAATTTTAATAGCACCTGACAACATCTGCAGGACATAGACTGGTTAAGGTCAATTACAAACTTGCCAATTCTCATTAAGGGTGTACTTACTCGTGAAGATGGTAATGTCAAGTCTCTATCTTATGGTTGTACCTCTTCATTTTCTATTTGGATTATAAAGTAACATAGACTGGTTAAGGTCAATTACAAACTTGCCAATTCTTGTTAAGGGTGTTCTTTACTCATGAAGAGGGTAAGGTGAAGTCTCCATCTTATAGTTGTATCTCTTCATTTTCTATTTGAAGTATAAAGTAGAAACCAAAACGTACCAATCTACCATCTCTATTATTTAACAGTTCAAAAATTGAAATTTGAACTTAGTCTCTTATATTTATTTATTTATTTTCTTGAATAAAAACTGCATCACAGGAAATTTCTGAAATCTTATTTGGAAGTTCAAGACATGAATTCCTTTTCATTACACATTCCATTGTTATCTTTTTCTTTGGATAATGGTTACATTTTTCTTATATGTACTCATCACTGGATCTTTTAATTTTGGGTTCCTCACCTGATAGTAATTATGTTCTACTAGGGTCTGGAGACCCCCCTAAGTGGATATGTTTAAGAGTTTACTGGATAACATAGGGTCTTAATTTTGAAAAGCAGAGTATCATCCACCTCTTGTACTTTCAGTTTCTTACAGAGCGTATTAACTATGATGTTTCACTATTAGCAGCAATAAAGGCTGTGGAAGTTGGCGTTTCTGGGATTGTGGTCTCTAATCATGGAGGTCGCCAGCTAAACTACAGTCCAGCTACCATCACTGTTCTGGAGGAGGTAACGTTTCATGGTTTTTAGTTAAATAATTTCATAGTTTTCTTGAATTTGTAAATGAGAACTTGGGGTTCTGAATTTTGCAACCAATTTTCATGGTTTTATAGTTTAACAATTTAATAAAAGACACATTCAGCTTCATGAGCATGCAATTTAGTTGAATAAATGCATTACTGAAATACACCCAGTCAGACAATCATATCAGAAAGACTTCTATTTTCTTCCTGGAAAAATTAGTTGTTACCATTCTCTTTGGCAGATCATTTCAGAAAACAATGATGGAATGCTTCTTTTCAAAAATTATAATGTTTTCCATACTGGGGTTACAGGTGGTACGTGCTGTAGGAGGGAAAATTCCAGTTCTATTTGATGGAGGAGTACGGCGGGGAACAGATGTTTTCAAGGCCTTAGCCCTTGGTGCACAAGCTGTTCTTGTGAGCTTTCCTGATCCAAATATTTAGTATATGAACTCAGTGGTTGAATTTATGCTCATGTAGCTTATTCTCATGTATGTGGTTTCTTGTTATGCTATTAATTGGGATATATTAATGCAGATTGGAAGGCCAGTTGTCTTTGGACTAGCAGCGAAGGGAGAATATGGAGTGAGAAGGATTGTTGAAATGTTGAAGGATGAGCTTGAGCTAACCATGGCCCTTTGTGGCTGTCCTACTCTGAAAGATATTACAAGGAGTCATGTGAGAACAGAGCGCGAGGGACTCCGATCCATGCTTTGATATTCTTTTGTAGCCTATAAAAATACATCCTTGATTTTTTAGAAGAAGAATTATGCTTACAATTCTGAGATAGAGCCTTCTCTGGATAACAATATATCAAAAACGTGAATTTCATGTAGAGAATTTAGTCTTACAAGCTATTCTAAACTGTGAAACCACCTACCATTTCTGTGTCAACGTCAAATGAAGCGAGTTCTTTCACTTGGCTGCATATTTATGAAAAGGGCCTTGTGAATTCATTATTTTGAGTATTAAATACTTTGGCTAGTTATAAGTTGCAACTCTGTTTACTTGCTTTTTTTTTTTTTTTTTTTTTTTTTTGAATTCATTATTGTTGAGTATTATTACTTATGGCTAGTTATAAAGTTGTCAACCTCTGTTTTACTTGCTTTTTTTTTTTTTTTTTTTTTTTTGAAGTTCTTGCTGAGTTCTGGAGACGAGTAAAAATAAATGTTTGATCAGAGGACAAAAAGTAATTTTTGAAGAACACAGGAATGAATATGAAAGCGCGAAATTACATATTTCTTGTCGTGATTAACTTATCCTTTTCATCTCTTTGACGTCAATATAAATCAAAATTCTTATATAAGTACAATAACGCTACATTATTAATGTCTATTTGTCTATTACACGCAAAAAATCCAAATTGTTGTGAGCTCCTTTAGGATCTAGGATCGCAAATTTGTTCATGGTCAAGTTTCTTAATTATTCTACATTGATTTTATGATAAAAAACAAAGCAGTTAGGACTAGGAAAACAAAAACTTAACTGATAAACTGAATCAATCAGACAGAACTTCATAGATCAGTTGAACCCTTCCATCAACTTCATATGGTTTCCTTACTCGCTTTTTTTTTTTTTTTTTTTTTTTTTGAAGTTCTTGCTGTTCTGGAGACGAGTAAAATAAAATGTTTGATCAGACAAAAAGTAATTTTGAGGAACACAGGAATGAATATGAAAGGCGAAATACATATTCTTGTCGTGATTAACTTTTCCTTTTCTCTTTTCTCATATAAAATCAAATTCTTATATATATCAAACATCATTATTATTCTATTTGTTTTACAGCAAAATCCAAATTGTTGTGAGCTCTTTAGGATCTAGGATGCAAATTGTTCATGTACAGTTTCTAATTATTCTATTGATTTTATGATAAAAACCAAGCAGTTAAGGACTAGGAAACAAAAACTTAACTGATCAAACTAATAATAACAAACTTCATAATCAGTTGACCCTTCCATCACACTTCATATGGTTTCCTTACTCCTACATGACCCTTAGCAGGTTTGAATATGTTACTGCAACTTAGATATGAAAATCTCATGCATGGATGCTCCACTCTCTTAGAACTCACATTATTCTAAGTAACAACTATACATGCAAATAATACTCTTCCTGCTAGCTTCGATGAAATATTCTGGCTATGAAGCTCTTTGTTTTTGTGAAAGAGTAGCTCAGAGAGGATGTAGCTTTGAACTAGGTATATGAACTTTACTATCCATTACTAACAGAGTTGCTTTTGTTTACCCCTTGGAGCTCCATTGGAGAATTTGTTATACTTCCAACTGAGCCTAGGGTTTGAGAACTCAACTGTGGACTGGCAGGACAAGCTTCTGGATTACCAGCACTCATTGCATGAATCGCTCCTGAACTCAACTGTGGACTCATGGGTGTTCGCTGGCTCATTTGCTGTGGACTAGGCTGTTGCTGGGGCTGCTGTTGTGCTTGTTGATTCAGTTGTGGAATAACCATGGTTGATGGTGAACCTACTTGTGGAGGTGAAACAACAGCCTGCAGTGATGAGGATGGATCTTGCTGCTGTTGCAGTTGCTGTTGCTGCTGCTGCTGTAACTGTAACTGCTGCTGTTGTAGTTGCTGTAATTGCTGCTGCTGCTGCTGTTGTTGCTGCTGCTGCTGCTGGAACTGTTGTTGCTGTTGTAAGTGCAGTTGCTGCTGCTGCTGCTGCTGGTTCACATAAAGGTTCACCCCTGCCATCAATTTTGGTGGACCCATTGGGCCTATTGCACTTCGTTGCATTGGATTCATGTTAGCTCGGTTCAGAGATTGGCCCAGCATGGAAAGACTAGCAGAACCTGGTTGGATCTGTCTGGCTCCTGACATCCCAGCTATGCCAGACTGAGAGGGCCCCAAAATGCTTGGCCTCATCCTAAGTTTAGATGTCAGAAAAGCAGCTTGTGCCTGAGACATTTGTCCGGCACGGATCTGCTGACTTATTACATTGGTAATACTTGAAGCTTGACCAAGATTCATTGAGTTTTGACCCACATTATTCATTCCAGAAATAGATGACATTGGCCCCGAGATTCCAGGTCCCATTCCCCTTGCACCACCAAGGCCCATGGTATTACTGTGGCCTCCTAGACCAACCATATTGTTGGCCATATTTCCCATGCCCATTGCTGTTCCAAGCCCCATCATCATTTTCTTCTGTTGCATTTGTGGTTGTTGTTGCTGCTGCTGCTGCTGTAGCAGCTGATGCTGAAGGTGCGAAGGCTTATTGACCATGTGATTGCCCAGCTGCATATTAGAATTCTGCCCAAGAGCATTCAAGTGAGAGAGTGAATTAGAAGGAAGCATCATTGCTGACCTCTGGAACTGTGAATGCTGTTGTTGAATCATGGAATGTTGATTTTGCTGCTGCTGCTGCTGTGGTTGCTGCTGCAACTGTGGTGGTTGTTGCTGCTGCTGTTGAAGAGATGACTGAGGGTCTAGCTGTTGTGATCTTGCAGCCATTGAAACTGCAGACACAAGACCTTGAGACATTGGTAAGGCTTTTGGGTTTCCAGGAGGCAGCATCCTAGCATTCGCTAATAGATTCTGAGAGGGATTAATGGAAGCATTCCCGCTCAGACTTGGTTTTATGTCATTGGGAGCCTGAGCCGAAACTGCTTCATTGTATTTTTGCACCTCAGCTGCTGAGTTATTAGGAGGGATTCCAACAGCAATTGGTTGACTAGTCGATGCAATATTCATCTGGGTAGGCTTTGGTTGAATATTATCTTCCACAAGATAACCTTCACGTATCATCTACACAAGCAAATAGCATCACTCAAGGTCAATTGCACAACAAATCCATAAATCCAAATCAAAATTATTATAAAGAAATATTTTTCCCCATCAAAACGTACCAGTGAACAAAATTGCGCTGCAAGCAAATCTGCAAAATGCTGTAATAGAAGGCAGTCAGATATATAAAACAGAACATAAGGAATAAACTTGACAGGATAAGCAAATTTCAATACCATGACTTGACTTTTGTGAACACAATGCCAATTTAGAGTTTCCACCCCATGCAAATGTTAACACCAAGTGTCCACTCTAAAGATCTCAACAGTCACTGTTGTGATCCATGCAGCTCTACTTTATAAACAAAGAAATGAAATCTAATTTGCATAAGAGTTAAAATTTTTAAAGATCAACAACCTACAGGGAATCAATGAATAAAAGTACTAGTAGACTTGCTATAACAGAACACTGAAGGAAAGAATTAAGATGAAAAGCCCAAACCAAATCATAGTGTTTGTTACAGAAATTTATGGTTATGGAAGCTAGAGATTTGTACTAGAAGCCAATATTCTTCATATGCAACTGCCAAGCAGACCTCACAGATATACACACTTGCAAAACAAAATAATGGGGATCACGTAGCATCAAATCAAATCTAGAGGAAAATTCCTCTTAGACTAACATGCCCTTATGTCAAGCACTCTAATCAGCATAACGAACTCACAGTATTGGGCAATGATGGGAGATAATCCTCTACAGACAGAGGATCACCGTCTTCTGGTTCTCCATAATGCATTGCTACAGTACCATCATTTGGTTTCTCTGACAAAATCATTCTAGTGCGTGACCTAGGAACAAAAGAAACAGCATTCCCTGTACAAATAAAAAAAATTTTAGGAAGGAAAGGTAATTCAGTTAAAATTTACAACAGGCAGATCTTATAATTCTATTGATAACATGTCTAACCTTGAATTACTCGATCAGCCAGCAAAAAATTTATAATTCTTATCTTCAAGACATTCATGCTGCCACCTACGACTGACTTGAACAATTGTCTTGCACTGGCATCATCTTTCAAATCCTCATTGTTGGGTAAATTGGAAAGACAAGCCATCACATTTTGATGTGAATATGTATTGGGTTTCCTGACAGGGAAATCATCAACCTTGTTTTTCTTGCTGTTGAGTTGATGCCTGGAAAAGCAGCCAACAGAACAAGAAAAACAATAAAGCACATATTTCAATCACAAGAGAAACTAATGAAGAAGAATTAAACGTAAAAGAATAGTTTATAGACAATCTGTACCTCAACTTGCTCATGCTCCAATGAAAAGGAACATAAAAGACTACAATCTTGAACGATCATGTTAATGCTTGTCCAGAAAGAAAAAATGATTGTCTTATCCAGTATATTGCTATGGTCCCAATTTGGATTTAGTTATGGTTCTATTTGATTGAATCTAAAGATAGAATCAGGGGCTCGTTAAGGGAGAACCCTACGATCTCTTAGAGCTTACTTTCAGAGAACTCTCAGTCTCTTTAAGGAACTCAGACCTTTATTTTAAAATTTTGCTTACATCTTTCATCATTCCCCAACCTTTTAAGACTAACAATTACCCACGACAATAAAGAACTAGTTTAACCACCATCCACTAATAAAGAAACTGACTTGGACCTTCTTAGCTACACATGAGAAGAAAAGGAGCAAAGGAATACTAGATAAAAATACCCTAAATACAGCAGCTCCATAACATAGATAAATTTTCCATCTAAAGTTAGGGGAGGAAAGAAGGGATGAAGGACATCATACCTTATAGTCACCATCTCAATCTTTGATAACCTTTCAAGCATGGTTTGATCAGCCATAGGTGGGGTTCCAACTGAAGGACTATTTGCGTTTAACGGAACACTTATATTACTAACACTAGCAGGGGAACCAACGCCGCTCATTACTGGGGTTTTGGGGAGAGAATTAGATCTTCTCTTTTGGGCAACCTGGGATTGGTGTTGTCGTTGCAAGGAATCATTAGCACTTGAAGTCAAAGATGGGGTTCCACCAACAGCAAGAACTGAGGTGACGGCTGACTTCTCCTTTTGTGATGATCCAATTGCAGCATTTGCTGCAACTGCTCCAAAGTGAGGCCCAGCAGAACCACTAGAAAATTCCCCAGATTTTGAAGATAATGGTGATTGAGGAAAAGTTCCAGCAGATAACCTAGGACTTTGCACTGTTTTCCTCTTTCCTTGAATTTGTTCCTCCTTCCTTGAATCTTGGCTTAGATTGTTCCAGGCTGTCTGAGAGAAATTAGATCTCATGAGATGAGGTGGTAATCTTTGTTGTAACCGTGATGGCTGTTGGTCCAGATGGCCCATTTCTGTATCCATCATATCATTTTTACCCTGATTGAGCTCTGAGACATCTAACTTTTCTGTTTCAAACTGCTCTTCCTTTGGACCAAATCTTACACCTTGCTGTGGAGCAGAAAATGATGTTGGCATAGCATTTTGATTCATAACCCCTTCAAACACCTGCTGGGGATACTTCTGAATGCCTGTATTAGCATAGTGAATCCCTCTTGCTGTTGCTTGGTGCGGTAATAAAGAATTCTTCCAGTTCATATCTGATGCATGGAGACCATCGATATGTGGTCCTAATTGCTGCTGTTGCATTCCATCAGGACCTACTGAGGTGACCCTTGCCCTCTTATTAAAACTAGATAAGGGTGACATTTGCCCATCTTGATTCTCCCTCTTACCATGAAGAGAAGCACCAGAATTAATATGGTCACCATATGTGATCATCATGTCCTGCCCAGCAGGGGAAGCTCCTGGAATGTTAACAAGAGACCCTGACCCCTGATCCTGCATACTTCTTGGGGTTCCTAACCCCAACTGATACCTTGATTGCTGTGATACCAAAGGGAGTGCTGAAACATTGCCATCAGATACAAAGCTTCTTGCTCGTAAGGGTAACATGTTTGGAACAAGGTTTTGAGTGGTCAGATTCTCCTGGACACTCTGCGGCATCATATTGCCAGAGATCATTCCTGAATCTCCTAACCTGCTGTTGGAGCTTTCTAGCACTCGATCTATGCAAACTTTCTTCCCATGGATTCTGCTGCTAGACGTGACCGTAACTTCAGGCATCTGCCTCAATCTTTTTCGTCGCAAGCTGCTCAGACCTAAATTGAGCTGCAAATGATGCTCAAAACAGTTAAAAAACGTAAAATTAATTCTTCCAGCCAAAAAAATTCGAACCAGTATCCAAATTTCTTACGTTTGTGGCAGTTGGGTTATTACAAAGCCTATCCAATTTGGGAGTAGGATCTAGAAAAAGACGTGGTTGCAAGGCTTTCAATATCCGGGATTCCACTTCCTACAGTGAACAGTGAATAAAACTATCTGACTATAGACAACTACAAATGACAAAAATATTCCAAGGATCAAATGAATTAAGTGATACTTACCATCAAATCACCATAAGTCCAAGAATTATCTGAGATCAATGGGATATCCTTCACTACATTCTCCAATGACATTCTGAGGCGCACTCTATTTACAATAGGGAGCCAGCCTACAGATGGAATACAAGAACCTTGCTCAGGAGGACATTTTCGATAATCTCGTACCTGCAAGAGTTTTGATATTGGTAATTGAAACCTGTGAATATATTTCAGCTCCAATGGATTTGCTTCTCTCCATACATACACAAGCTCATGTGAATGCTTACATACATGTAAGATAATTACTCAAATGCTTATTATTTATTTACTCATTCAAAGAAAATCTGCGTCATGGTAACGTTGTTTGGTTGGTAGACAAAAAGATGCATGCTTCAAGAACTCACCTCACAAATGAGTGTCCCATTAACATATTTGCGAGGTATATCATCCAGAATATCTCCAGGCAACCGGCCAGATTCAATTGCCTTCAAAAACATATACAAATATATGGACAAGAAAGTCAGTTGAAAAAAGTAAGAGAAACAGATAGTGAAATCTAAGTGTCATTACGATGCGGATCACAAGATATTTTAAGGATACAACGCACTGGCCTCATCATTTAATTTAAAATACTGAGATGAAGATTTTATTTGACAATAAAAGATGCTTTTGAAGACAGGCCATCTTCTGTTGCCTCCACATCAAATAGGTTATGCTGATAAAAAAGACTACAAAACGTGAAGTTAACTAAACCATTAAACATGGCAATTACTACTCTTTTCCATATTGTGCCATTAATAAGCTCCAATATGTGGATATGTACATATGTCCACCCAAGGTGAAGCAAATATAGAATATATCTCATTTCTACATAGAACTATTCTAAGGATTAATCAGAATAAACTACTAGCAAGTACTGAAGAAAAGAAAAATAGTCAATGTTTACCAAAAAGAGAGTTTCAGATGTCTTATCATATGGATGTAACAACTTTGAAGCATCTTGAAGTATAGCTTGATGGACAGCCTCATTCTGGATATCCCAAAACAACATAGTTATGAAAATCAAACATAAAAATTGCACTGAAAGGCATTAACAACACCTCCCCCCCTCTCTCTCTCTCTCTCTCTTCTTCTCTTCTTTTCTATTCTCTCAAACACTTTCTATTGACTTCATTTCTCTCCAGAAAATAACAAACCTCTGAAGGATTTCCAATAGAATATCCATCTGGGTAGAGATTCAACGTGAATGAAACTTCACCGTCTAGCAAAAGAGAAGATAGAAAAAAAAAAAAGTAAAGAGCCTGAACTTGAAAGACAACTACCAAAAAAAAAAAAAAAAAAAAAATAACAACTTTGGAGGCATCTGAAAGCTATACGCTTGATGGACACCTCATTCTGGAAATATCCAAAACAACATGTTTATGAAAATCAAACATAAAAATGCACTGAAGGCATTTAACAACACTCCGCCCCTCTCTCTCATCATCCTCTACTTTCTTCATCTTCTTTTACTAATTACTCGCCATCAACATGATCTTTCTATTGAGCTATCATTTCTCTCCAGAAAATAACAACCTCTGAAGGAATTTATTCCAATAGAAATACGTCCATCTGGGTAGAGATTCCAACGTGAAAAATGAAAACTTTCCACGTCTAGCAAAAGAGAAGAATAGAAAAAAAAAAGGTAAAAGAGCTGAACTTGAAGACAATACAAAAAAAAAAAAAAAAAAAAAAAGGTTAGTCCAACATGATTATAAACCATATGCTTTACCAGAGATGGCTGAACTTGAAACTCCAGAGACATCCTCACTGCCCTCAACAACATCAACCTAATGCCAAAAAATATTCCAAAATATCATATATTTAAAACAGAACAGAGTATATAGCATGAACACTGACTCTTAGATCCACATACAAATCAGACAAGGGCTCCCAATCTGAAAATAATAATAAAAAAAGGATAAAAAATAAAATAAGAACCTTTGCCATAAAACGGAAAGCAAAATGGACAATAATTTAAGGTAAAATTTGGTATGCATCTACCAAACTCTCGGGAAAAACCGAAAAAAAAAATGAATTTAATTTTCAAGGACCAGCTTTTAAAAAATGAGTACAAAAAAGTAGTATTACCACCATGTCTAGTGAAAATCTACCTTCACCATGTGGAATGACAAATTACAGAAGTTAAGTTCAGGTGTTAATCAAATTCTGCATTTTGTGAAAAATCTCATGCTCCATTTGGTAAGTAACAAACATGATCGAGATGAGGAAGGATCTTTTCTTTTGCATCACTGACTTTACAACCAAAACGGAGTAAGCACTCTTCTTCACATACAGGCAGCATAGCAACAAAATCAATAGAAGTACCACATTTAACACATTCAGTGGGAAAGACTACTCAAAATCAACAAACCAAGTGAGCAATACTACCAGAACGCAAAGTTCCAAATAAGTTTCAAAATTGGATCTCTCTTCCCTACTTTCTTAAACAACTAAAAAGAATCCAATGAATCACAACAAAAGCTAAGTCAACAATTAGTTCTCATTTCAGTTGAGAAATGCCATAAAAACAATAGTGCCTTCTATTGGACTAAGCAATTTGATCGGAAATGCTTAGCTAAGAATCACTTCATCAAATCAGTTCCGTTTTTTTTTTTATTATTATTTCCTCCCTTTTCTTTTAGTTTCCACTTAATCCATGTCTGCAGTTAACACAGACTGATTGAATTTCAATAATTACCTGGAGCTTTCTCGAAGAAGATTCATTCTTCGAGCCAATCACTGAGCTTTCCTTAGAATTCCCTGAAACCTCATCCAGAGCAGGCTCTGGTGGAATAACAGGCTTTGCACGGAACCTAGTACCAGTTTTTGAGATTTTAAAGGAGACGCCCATGTAAAAAGTCCTCCTTTATTATTTTTTCTTATTGCTGGAGAAGCAAAGTCTTATATTGGTGTTTGAATAATAAGAAATTGAACGAATATACAGGCAGGGCGTAATGAAAGGAAAAGCATTTATAAATGAATTTGACTATTTGAGAGATGTAATGGAACACCCAGGTTGAGCTCTTTGAGAATTTGAGGCTTTAAAGATCCTAATTGAACTTCTCTGCTAAATTCAGGTTTTCAAAGTTGTTTGGATGCCAAAAAAATGAAGGAAAATAAGAGAAACTAAAATAACAACAATCTCAGAAAGCTCAATTCAGATACGAAAATTGGGTTTTAGAGTTGTTTGGGTGCCAAGAAAATGAAAGAAAACAAGAGAAACTAAAATAACACCAATCTCAGAAAGCTCAATTCAGATACGAAATTGGGTTTTAGAGAAATTTTGAGGTTATATGTTCATGAGTGGATCTCAATACAGCAAAAGAATGTGCGCCTGGTCATGAAAACCACAGTGATAAAAGGTTTCATTCGAAAAGATGTAGATTTTGATTTAGTGTCTGGACGCTGAGAAAGTGAAGGATTGTGGTTCGGGAAAATCTGAGCTTGGGAAGGGAAAATAAGATTTTGCTACATCGAGACATAGAGAGGGAAGGACACGCGGGTACTACAGTGAAGGTTTTGCAGGAAAAAGAGAGATTCTGTGTTGGGCTTGAAGCTTAGAGCCCTTTCAAGATGTTTTTTTCTTTTTCTTTTTCTTTTGGGTTTTAGAGTTGTTTGGGTGCCAAGAAAATGAAAGAAAACAAGAGAAACTAAAATAACACCAATCTCAGAAAGCTCAATTCAGATACGAAATTGGGTTTTAGAGAAATTTTGAGGTTATATGTTCATGAGTGGATCTCAATACAGCAAAAGAATGTGCGCCTGGTCATGAAAACCACAGTGATAAAAGGTTTCATTCGAAAAGATGTAGATTTTGATTTAGTGTCTGGACGCTGAGAAAGTGAAGGATTGTGGTTCGGGAAAATCTGAGCTTGGGAAGGGAAAATAAGATTTTGCTACATCGAGACATAGAGAGGGAAGGACACGCGGGTACTACAGTGAAGGTTTTGCAGGAAAAAGAGAGATTCTGTGTTGGGCTTGAAGCTTAGAGCCCTTTCAAGATGTTTTTTTCTTTTTCTTTTTCTTTTGGCTGCGGAGCCTCTCTTAACTCTTTAATATATATTTTTTACCTTAATGTTGGAAGTCCCTTCCAATCATTTATTAATTTATATTTATATTCAGAATTAAAATTGCTTTAAAATATCAATCAAATGATATAAATTTTGAAAATAATAGTTGAGCCTCGTAATAAAAATTATGCATAAAATCATTCCATAATCTTTTTTTTTTTCTTAGAAATTATTTCCATTAATAAAGATTAGAGGAACAATCTGTTGATAGCATTATATTTTTCTCTAAACATTGTGTTGTATTTTAAACTAAACAATTTTAATTCAGCAAAAAATATTTTCCATGAAAATTCTGAATTTGATTCTCCAAATTGCATTAGAGAGAAATTCCTTTCACACTACTTCTATACCATTTTCATTCAAAATTTGTACTTAATTAAACCTTGAACGACAAACTTATTAACTGATTTTGGTTTTCTATACCAATTAATGGCATCTCTATTAGATTGGAGTAACTGATTTCTTATGTTGTACCATTTTAACGGACAATTAAAAGATTACAGGAATAAGTAATGGTCAGTGCATAGACCAGAGGGCAGATGCTATTTATAAAAAAAAATACAAAAATACAAAAATTGCTCACACAACAGCTACAAAATATGCCTCGACGTCAAGAAAACTGGGAAGTAGAGCTAAGTGGACCGTCGCTGAACTAAAATGTGATGGCACCAAAAGAAACCCAGCTATTCGGCAACTCAGAAGATTTTGCACGGGAATGGCCAGTGAAATTTGAGGTGTTCCATCTGCAAATGCTGTGCAACATAGAGAGAAAAATCCTATTGAACTCATCTTGTTGTAAGCACAAAAGTACTGCTCCAATGAAGAATTTCACGGTGCAAATGATCAAAATGAGAGTCCCTCTTCAAGCTCCATTTTGCATATTGAATATTCTCTCTCAAACAATAGAAATTCCTGAACATGAGACACAATTGGACGTCAGTTGCAGCACTATTAATTATATTAACGTTTGAATCCTTCTCATCTATTCAGTCCAAATTAGTAACTACAAAATCTTGGTAAGAAGTAAGAAGTTGGAGGCAAGTCATAAAGTTATAAATCCTTAAAATTGACAGTCGTATGCCTTCTTCACAATGCTAGGTGAATGCCATAATTAACGCTTCCGATAAGTGGCATTGATGGGTGTACAAGATAGAAAACCCTCAAAAAGAAACATTGCCACATTTATAAGCCTATGTAATTAGTGTTTCTTTTCTTTTTCACATATGAGCAAACTAGTCATTCACTTACCTGCAGTTGTTGCTGACTAAACAAATGGAGAAACCCAGTATCTGGGCAAGCAACAAGTTCAATCAACTCATCATGTTTTTCTGGTGGATTGCCCGACTCCATTAGTGAAACAGATACCTGAGGAATAGCATTACTGTTAATTGCATGATAGAAAATTGAGTTACTGCAATGGTCACCACAGAAATGGCAACACAGTTAGTGGTGGATTGTGATATAAAGGTTATTTTTGACACAATTTTATTACATTATAGGTGTAGTCTGTCCCTACACTTTCTATATAAATGTGCAGAGTAAGAGGTCTCAGGTTTAAATACTCTTGCTTACAAGATTTTTCACCAATTCGGTCAGCCTAGGGGAGGTTTACCCCTTATTGTATAGCTCACAACATTATTCTGCCAATGAATTATACATATGTGTGTGTGTGTATGTGTGTCTGATGGAACATAACACAAGATAATAGAAGCCTTAGCTGTTCCACTATAAGTTGTAGTAGTAACTATTGCATTAAAGAGGTAGGCAAAGCATGAATGAAAATAATGCAAGTCAATAAAATTTCTAAAACTTATTTTTAAAAGGAAATCATTAGGATATAACAAGGAGACTTGTTATTCAATTAAATGAAAATACCACTCGCCATAATATATTAACTACAATTTGTTACTCATTAAAAAATAATAATGATAAAAATAAATCAACCAACAAACAAAGTAAATAAGTAAGATAACATGTTATCTGATACCAATAGGTGCAAATAACAACTATGAGTTGCTATAGTCAGGAGGAGATTTCAACTTAATTCGTCAAATCAAGAACACAACATCGAAGTACATTAATATGCCAGCTCCACAACCAAAAGAATGAGCATAATTTCAATTCTTGGTGTTGCACTCCTTGTCTTGTACATTATTCACTCCATTCAATTCCAGAATGCTATAAGAAAACCTGGCCTAGGGCCAAGGGGCTTGAAACAGTCCTATAAAGCAACGAATACAAACAAAACAGATCCAGCTCTTCCAAAGAATAAAATTACCTGCATACACCGAAGAATGACTTCAGGGAGGCAACACCTGCGACAAAGACCCCGTACAATATAAGTTGCTGGGTCTTCCAAAGAACCATCTGCACTTGAATACCAAGCATCTAATCTGGATATTTCCATTGTAACTCCCGCTTGAAACCGAACAAGCTCCCCTGCATTAGATAATTTTAAATCCAGTTAAGCACCAATGCCCCTACCGGCAACTTTTCTCTGGCTTTAAAGTTCCCGTTGTAGCGATGCATATGTATGTAACTGTGTATATATATAAATATTTGGTTCCATTGCCAACAGCTCCTTCACCTATCCCTATAGTTTGCAGAGAATATTTGCTTTTGCTTCTTATTTTCCATCATCAACAATATATGAGATATTCATGGTGTCATTATTCTTCACACCTTATGACCATATCCTAAAGGTTGAGAAATTAAATGATGGCATGACCCAATTATAAGATGTTACAATAGTTTAAATTTCCTTCCTCATCTTCTTCAACCCCCTTCCCCGAGAATACCAATCCATAAAGACCACCCAATCAAATATACATCAATAATTCCAAAGCATAGGAAACATTTGAAATAATGAGGTGCCACACGGCATTAAAGATTTCCTCCATTGTTTGAATTGATTCAATTTGGTTGAGTCTCTCCATGGTTTTAAATTGATGATATGTTCTTTGTTTCCTTTACAGATAACAAGTAATCAAACAAATTATCTTCAGAAACAATCAAATGAAAGGTAACTAAACAGCACAAGAAGAATAAACATGTGCAGAATGCAGCTTAACGTCTAAGTTATTTATTAAAGTACTTTATTTTAAGTTCGGCTAGTCAGAATATCCCAGTACACCAAAAAAAGCTACAACAGAATATTCTACAAATTCAATAATCAACTTACAGGCTTTAGAGAACAGTGTAAGCACATATTAGGCCAGAACTAGATGCAATATTGTCTTTTACCTTTAAATCCAGCTGCCATGACGGTACCAAGAATACCACCATCATTAGCTTGGTGTGACCCAAGGCCATCACCATCTACTGCCAAACAGCGAAGAACAACTTCAATGCAGTAATTATCCCTTGGTGAAAGGGCAACATTCACCTGCTCAATAAAATTCAGGTCATGAACAATAGTATGACAAAGAATTATCTGACAGATTGATTTCCTCTATACAAGCTAGATTAAACTATCATTAATTCATTATAGCGTCTTCACTCCTGATTTAATTACATTTTTGCATGCTTTCACACTCCTCATAAAGACCTGAACTTCATAGCAACCCATTCTTGATCTAGAAGACATACATGTTTGAATACTATAAAAACACAATAATGTTGTAAGTGAGCCCACAACAACCCAACTATCTCCCCACCATAAAACCAAGCACTAGCATTGCCCCAAGAAACAATCCTAACTCAGGCATTCAAGTCCAATAGATATAATTTAACCAAAGAACTTCACAGTTCTAAGTTTATGACAGAAAAACCAAGTCTCTTTTTAGCCCCAGGACTTGGTTATAAGTTGAGCTACAATTTTACCCTGCAAGATAATCTAAGATGCTCAAATTTTATTCTGCAAGTTACAACCTCTAAGAATGTACCATTAATTGAATCTGAAAAATCAGCTATCCATATGACCCAAGCCACTAGTTCAATGGACCAGCAAAACGAGTTTTAAATTTTAACTTAATTAAGGTTTAGGATTTTGATGCGTGACATTGATCATAATCACATACCCTGCATTCAAAATGTGAGGAAAACCATTCTCAATCCTTTTCAGTTTTAACTCGTAAAGAAAACAAAATATTCATCTAAACATACCATTAATTGGCGGTGTAACACAATCTCTTCACTCACTGAAGAGTACAGGGCACTCATTAATGCAGTACAAATGGTGGCATCTGGGCACATACATTCACCAGAAGGCAGGCAGAGCATAGCAGTAGCATGCAGTTCGAGAAATGTAGGTGCTGCTGACTCATATGCTTGATCTTCAACAGGAGTCAACCAAGGGTTTTCTTTCCCTATGGGAAGCGTTTGAAGCACATATATTAAAACATTACTAACTCCCCAAATAGTTCATGAATGAAAGAGAATGGCAGGCAGCATCAATCTGCCACCCTCAATGAAAACAATGGTATGAGGCCACATATTTCCCCTGTCCATGCGTTCTTGTCATGCATTAATAAAAGAGATGGCCATATTAACTTACTTAATAGCAATGACAAAGATGAATTCAATGTTTCCTTGGCTGCTGTAATGGCTTTTTTTTTTCCTCCATGGAGAGTTCAAAGGGTGGAACCTCTGCGTTCTCTAATTCAATTTTGAGCCAGTTGCGATATGTTGCATCACAGGAGTAGTACTCGCTCTAAATTAATATCAGAGAAACCGATTCCGATGTAACAATTACAATGCAAAAGCAAATAAAATTGTCAGAGGATACAAGATAGAGAAAGAACTAAATGGAGATATTAACAGACTGCATACCCAATCTTGAAACTCTTTCAGATTTTCAGAAAAATAATCCTCAAGGGTATCAGGTATTTCTGAAAGCTGCTTCAATGGCTCAGCAAGTAAACTAAGCAATGTATGTGCGCCTATTGGCATTGCCGGTATTCTCCACATAGAAATCAGCGAAAATTCTCTGAACAGTATGTTGCTATAGAAAAGAACAAAATATAAATTTCAGAACGGACGCTAGAAATACAAAGATGGAGAGACAAAGCTAGTATTAACAATGACAGCTCTTATTGTTTTGGACAGAAGTTGAATACTTGACAACAAGCCTTGGCACGTGGTAAGGTTGCTCATAGGTTCCAGCAACAGAACAACCTATTTCAAAAATCAAGGAGTAGGGTTGCAAGCACTAGAAAACCCTTCCCAACCTTATCAAATCAAGGAGTCTTGTACATTGAACAACTTAATAACACGTCTCCAAAAATCAAAGCACCCACTACAACAGTCATGGAAATTTATTTCTCAACAGTCAAAGAAGTTCAAATGCCATAATTACAGCTTGAAAATCCTTGCTAGTGGCAAGAAATTAGTCTATTGTCAGGTAAAGTAATCATTGTGAAGAAATCTGATATTCCACTTCAAAATGATGTCAACCAATTACCTATGCATTAAGGCCCGCAGAAGAAGTTTGACACTGACATCTTTAACATTAGTAATTGTGGAGGGTGGTGTGAAGCAAAGCCATTGGATCACCATAGCTTTCTGAAGACTCTGCAAACGGAACTGCTCTGCAACATCTGATGACTTGTCATATTTTCCAACTCTGATTTCCCGCGATCTTGATAGAACCCTGTTGTAGTACATGGTAATTCAATTGCTGACCAGACAATTGTAACCATATAGTTGCACTTGTTCTCAGAAATTGAAGAAAAAAAAGTATGGTTTGCCAACTGTCAAGTACCTCTCAATGATTTCTTCAAAACTGCCTTTTGAATCAACCTCCGAAGAAAATGGCAAATACTCCATAGCAGAAAGAAAAATTTTATACTTGATATGCACACTGTTTATCAGATAAAAGGGCAAAATTTACCGCATCAATATTATAAACAAGTACATACTCTGATCATGATGACAAATCGAGATATTTTCCTTCCTGTTCAAAATGCAACCCATAAAATAAGGATATAATACAAAACACTGAAGGGATGCTATTGGGATCTCATCACATAAGGCTATGCTTCCACATAAGGTTTGGACAAACAGATAGAGTTTCAGCATTATAAATTCTTTAGCAAGACTGTTAATAACAAGTTGCAAAACAGAACTACATACCATCACCTTCCACAGCATATGTAAGATGCCCAGGCATTAAATACCCAATGATCTAGTTTTGCCAATAATACGTGACCAATTTGAATATCAATGTTCTAAATAACTGTGATGAAGCAGAAGGATGCAAATGAAGACTTACACAAAATAAAAGAAAAAAGGTTTCTCTCTCTCTCTCTCTCTCTCTCTCTCTCTCATGCCTTCTTTACATAAACATAATCACCAGTCAACACTACCTGCTATTTAGCCGCAGTTCCATCATGTGCACAAAAAGGTCAATGCAGCGGTGACGTGCCAGCTGAGAAGCATAAATTCCAACTAATTCTTCATGTTGCTTTGAGAAAAGAAACATCACATACCTGAAATTTGGATTTGCAAATAAGAGATTATGCATAAAGCAACTTTGAATTCTCACTAAAATAGGCCTCAATTTCCAACACAAAACAAACACATGGATAAACAACAAACGGTCCTCAAAATCACTACCATGGTCTATCAGATATGCATATAGTCTAATATCAGGGTGAGTGCCTGTGTGCCAGAGCACATGTGCCCATCTTTCCTCTCTGTCCTATTCTATTGAAATTTTTACTGAAAAGTAGGTAATCGATTTGAATCTAGTTAGAATAAGCAAATTTCACTGAATAGAGACCAGCACAGCATAATGCGTAAAATCATAACTAGTAAGTACTTACATATGTAGAATAAGGTCTCCAACATTCATAAGCTTCTCCCTAAAAGAATCCTTCATTTCCTCAGCAAGTAAATATCTAAGTACAAGCACTAGGTGAGCACCAAAGCGGATCATTTGAGGATCACCATGAGGCCTGGCAGCAAACAAAATTCACATTGGTCAACAAATCAACTTAGAAATAGTTAACCACAAACTTAAAATGGATAAAGACGGAAGAAAATATTCAGGACCACACTTTCCACCTAGAGCTTCACTAATGAACGAGCAAGGTAGTAAAAGATATGTTGCCACAAGAAATCAACTTGACCAATCCTAATAAATTACCTGAAGACATTTTGATCATCCTCTGAAGGTGTGATCCATGCCCAGATCATATCCAGCAGGTGCGGTATGTTACCCAACATAAGATCCATCTGCAATGGATTAGAAAATAGTTTAAAGAAAATGAGGAGAAGCTATTCCCTATTGAACAAGTAATAGAAATAAAATAGCATGCATTTACAAATAAAGAAATTCAATAATTCTTTTTTTCTTTTATGGAGGGGGCACCTTTTCTATGCATAATTTTTAAATTGTGAAATTATATTTCACTATCCAATGCCATGAATTAATAAATCTAAAGTGCCAAAAGAAAAATCCATATGCGAGTGTACTAAATTCTTCATAGGGAGAGAAACCTCAATTTGCCGTTGCTGTTCCTTGCACCCTCGAGCAACAGCTTCATTTATCGTTTCTCTAAATCATGCAGAAAGGGTAGACATATCACATATTAGAGCATAACAAAGAGACTACAAAAGAATGAAATAGAAATGGCAAATCATAAGCATACCCTGAGTGAAGTTTCTGAAGAAGAGCAGAAAAGTCTCGTGGTTGCTGATTCAGAACGTGGAGTGGCCAACCTTCTGGTCCAATGGAAGGGTGAGATGCACTATCAATTTGTCCAGGGCTTCCATCAATATCATCTCCATAGCTTTTAAGCTGTTCTATTCTCCCAGGTTGTGAGCGAGCTAGCTCTAAATCCACCTGAACATCAAGCCAAGACTTTGCCATTGCCCAGCATGCTGACTGCAAACACATTGAATGTAAGATTTCAACCTATTTTCTAAATGGCAACAGAAAAAAATAAAAAGGAATAGCAAAGGAATTTAAAATTAGCAAAAAGAGAGAAAGCAAGAATCAAGCAGTATCAAAATTTGATGCAAACCAACTAAGGCATCAGAGAACCCTAAAGTGGTCAATGAAAATTCAAATGAAGTTTTTTTTAATTCAATGACTACTACGCTTAGTTTGACCAAAACTGATTAGAGAATAAGCAATGTAAGAGTTAAGCAATAAGTTGCGAAGCAAATCTGGAACAGATCCTCACCATCTCTGTGCAAGGTATGCAACCAGAGACAGTATATCAACAAATGATCCCAAAGCAAAACACCTGTAGGACCAAAGTATTTTGAAAAAAACCACCATCATCTATAAAACTCATTATACATACAAGACAAATACAATAAATATGTAAAGATCATTTCCACGATTTGTATCAACATTCAATAGTAGAAAATATACCTCCCAGTCTGTGCAGATTGGAAGCATGCGCTTTAAATCACTGCATTGTGATGCATACACAGCGACTTCATATTTTCCACCATTTTGCTCTGCAATTTTCTTCAAAGCAACAATGAAGAGGAAAAAGGAGTCAACTATAAGAAAATAATTGAACCATTTGCTTCAACAATTAAAGAAAAGATACCAACTTTCAATAGATTATTCTATTAAGGTAATGGGGTCATGAATCTCTAGAGGGCGAAGAGCTTCTGGTATAAAAACAAGAATAGGAAAAATGCAAAACGAGCATTTTGGAAATCCTCAGCGAAGAGCTCTGGAACTTGGAAGTTTTCCCAATAGAATAAAGTAGTGAACATATTATCACAGAATAACCAAGAGAAATAATTACGGAACAAGTTAGCTTTGAAAGTTAAGGTAAATGAAAATTTTTATCTTCTCTCTTGAACCTTACCTCTGATGCACAAAAGGAAGCCCATTTCCATAGACGCCATTGCTGACCAATGCCACTTTCTAATTCAATGGCTTGCAGGGTTCTATTCTTCCCATTCTTCACCAGGGCTTCAATGGAAGGAGCTAGGTCCAACCCACCAAAGGGACACAATGTTGCAGCTCTCCACGGCTGAGGAAGCACATAACAAGAATGGGTCACATAAAAATAAACTGAAACCAATGACCTTAAACCTCTAAACATTGAATACCTGTCCAGCAGAGCGGCAAAGGTCACATGCCTCCTCCAGTCTTCCTGCCCTTAAAAGAGTCCAGACATCCTCCAGAAGAGACTCATCTTGCTTCTGCAAACACAAAATGCTAAAGTATTATGTTTTAGGTATTTATAGAGGACACTCACGCAGCAACAAACAAATTATGTTTATTATGGTTCATTATCTCTCACATTCCATTTTTAAGTCAATAACATAATAATATAACCAAATTAACATCCACTGACAGAAACTCAAGCAACAGATGCTTGAATTTAACAGTACAAAACTAAAACAAGTATCCCAGCATTTATAGATTGCTTAAGGAATGCAAGAGTACTTTATCATCCGGTAGCTGATGAGCATGCTCGCGTGTTGGGGCATCAAAATCCAAGTGGTGAACGGTATTTGTATTGGAGGCACCTTTCTTCAGAAGTCTTTGAGTATGGTGCCAAATTCCGGAATTGGGAAGATAAGTACCAACATGAGATCCTCGCACCTGCAACATTAATAAAAACATATGTCATAGACAACTAATGAACTCCCAGAATTTCCTATTCCATTTTAGGATGATGCTTTAATTCAAATCACAGGTTGCTCATCAAAATAAATAATTTAAGAATAAATTCCACCAATATAATCTAAAAGATGTATCTGTTCAGTTGAAGGAAAAGGGAAACCAGATATATTTCCGTACCTTAATCGCTTTATAGAAGTTTAAATGTTGCAGTTATTAAATACATAAATGAATATGTTCAAACAACAATCCACGAAGCTTGTGTGATGCTGCAAACCAATTTAGGAACTAGGATGATTTGCAAGCAAAACATTCTTTTTATCTTTTATCTTTTATTTGTTTATTTATTGTGGTGGTGACAAATGAAATCACTCAAAGCACCAGCCCTTCCTAAATAAGCACAATCTTGGCAATTTTCCCATAGAATTCTTATAAATTTACAGGGATAAAATTCTCGAGAACAAATTCCTTATGGGTAAGAGATAGCTTTGCTAATCATCCAAAATCATGAAACTAAAACAGAAATAAAGCTCCATGTATTAGTTAGCACCAATGAAATAAAGAAAATTGAAAACTGATCACCTTGCTTTCCAAATCAAGGGCTTTTGAGGCTAAACCTTCAAGCCACTGAACTATCCGGAGGCATAACTGTGCTTTATGATCATTCACAACAAACTGGCAAGCCTCCAAATGTGATGTTGAAGGTGACTGACATAATCCAAATAGATCTAAATGAGAATAAACTCTTTGAATTATATAGAAAGTCAAAGTGCATAACATTTTTAGAAGAGAGGAGATATTCTTTTCCCTATTAAATAACACATGGAAAAAGAGGAGAAAATACCACAATAAGCTCTTCAGGGGGTTCCTCTGTCACTGCAAGAAGAATAAAAAAATCACCATTGATAAAACCAAAAGCTCAAATAGATAAGATTCGGTAGAAACACAAACCCCAAAACCAGGGAAAAGGATAAAAGATGATGATTTAAAGCTTAAAATAAGAGAAACAATTATACTGCATTATAGGCATCAGAATCAAAGTGTAATTGACAGAAAAAAATCCGATGTTTTCTGATGTAGGGATACATCAATCCAGCAATAATAAATAAATTTGTATAAATATCACGAAGATTGGAGCAGTCAAAACTAATTTCACTGCTTTACATTATCATTAATCTTCAGTTGCCCTTAAAGGCACCTTAACATAGGTGAGGATAGACTTCTACTAAAATGTTTTCCTTCTGAAAGCAGTAAATGCGCATTAAGTTTGTGAAAAATATTAAATATCTTAGCACTGAAGTAGACCTTACCACTTCCCGTCCATTTTTTCATTAACAGCTGAAAAAGATGGATGGAGAGGAGAAGAAAATCAAGACTATAAAATATGCACATTAAATCTGGAGCCACCCATCCATACATGCGTCTAGGGTGAGCATTCAGTCAATTTGACCAGTTCAGTTTGAATTTTCACGAAATCAAAATAACTGAATCTTTTTAAAAGGAAAACCAAACAAACCAGGAAAATTAACCAAAAAAACTAGACCAAATTAACCGAAATTCAAAAAAATATATGTAAAATATATATATTTAGTAAAATGAATCTTATATACATTAAAATAATATACAAGTATATTTTTATACATAAATATATGTATTCGGTTCGATTTAGTCATTTTGGTTGTTTGTTATCAAAATCAAATGGCACCAAAATAACCATAAGTTAACAGAACTCAAAACCAAACCAAACTGAATTATAAAAAAAATTAAACCAAACTACTGAAATTGAATCAGTTTGGTTTGGTTTTTGGTTAACTGAACAATTTGCCCACCCTATATGTGTGTTCAATACCAAAAGAGAGTACATATAAATTCAAGATCCAAATATACTAACTCTTCTTTCCTTTGTGTGTTTTTGTGTGTGTGCGCATTCACATCAAAGAATATCCATGAAGAACATTTACGGTGATGTTCTTACTATTAAACTGCAGCTTTCTAAGGCAATGATCCACCCATAAAACAATTACATAAATTCTGATAGAAGTAAACAGCAGAGGATAAAGATTGATTGCCTTTCCCATATAAATACCAAAGAAGAGACCAGGAAGCAGCCTCATCGAGCAGAAGCTGAGCCTTCTGCCTCATCAATTTGTCCTCTACAACTCGATGTCGTATTTTGGGCCCATACCTAGAGAAATAATGCACAATATTGCAGTCATACAACCACTTAAGATGCTGATATTACATATTTCGTGAAGAAATTATCATTCCTCCACAATCCAAATACCTTGAGAAAGATCAATCATAACTTGCATGACACAGCTTAATCTTTTAAAGAAATATGGTCACTGAAAGTAATCATTGGCAACATGAGAAAGCCATAGTTCTAATACCACAGGTCTCAGATCATACGAGGAAATTAAAGGATAACAATTATAGACTGGACAAAAGTAAAAAGATTCATTCATAAATACAAAACTCTGTGTCAAACTAGAGTCTTTCCAGGTAAATAAATTTAGAGCACATATTTACATGATAAAAACTTGTACAATCCTTCATAGTATGAGACAAACCTAATAGACTCCGAAACGTCCCTGCATGATTTCTCAAATCTTAAAATCAAATCAGGAATAGGCATCAACCCTGCAAAAAGAAATTACCATGGAAATGAATAAGTGAATAATCAGAATGCTTCTTCAAGATATTTGCAGGTTAAGATAAAATAATCATGATAAACTAAGAGTGTGAACAGAAGAAATATTTATCTAAACCATTTAATCCTCGAGAATAAAAAACACATTCGTATGACAGCCTTATTCCCAGCCCTAACAGACCAAGGATTGGAGTTTACAAACCTAAATGAACATATCTAAAATCTAGTATAGGCTAGGGAATTTTTTTTCCTTTAGCACTGTACTTCTGGAGCTCTTAGAGAAATTTCCGCACTAATATCTAGCAGCATCGACAAATATTATTCTGTTATTCAATTTCTAGCTTATAGCTGCTTTTTACATCATCTTAGGACCTAATACCATTCTACACTCGATCTTCCATACCTCTTAAGAGGATAAGAAAAAATAAAAAGTTAGCTCAGAAATTGCATTTAGTTATATTGAGACCCTTAACATCACCTCCCACAGTAAAAAGGCAGTTACCATGGCAAATAATTCCTAATTCCAGCAAAATTAACATATTAGATTTGAATATTAAAATTTTGAAATATCATGAAATTGCTCCAAATAAAAGTAGGAAACTTGCATGTTCACTAGTTGTATAACAAGTATACAGATCAAGAGATTGAGTAACACAGCATAAGAAAGAGCTAACTGATCTTATATATGAAGCTTTGCACTATCACGTTCTTCTATTTATATTCACAAACAAAACAACTCCAAATAAGAAACAAACAAGAGAGAAAAATAGTTAGTTTTCGAACACCTTTTCACCTCCCTCTTCCCTGTTACCAGTCTAACCTGTCCTAAATTAGTCTCATTTTTTGCTATTGTAATATAAAGTACCAAAATCATTTATTTCATCAGTTTCACCTTTGCAAGTTTTAGATTAAAGCAAACACTAAAAGTGGGTATTTCAAGCACCTTGAATAGCTGAATCAAGAAGAGAAGCAAATAGACCAAAAATTGTCTCTCCAATATCTGTCAATGAATCATCCTCAATTTTGCAAGCCTTAAGTGATTCACTTCCATGTCTTCTTACGGAATCAGCACCCAGATCAACCTCTGAAATTCCGTAACTATCAATGGACGATCTCCTTTTAAAAGTAGAATGTGTCCTTGCAGGTGTACCCCCAAAGTGATCAGTATACCCAATGCTATCAGTCTCTTGTTTGATATTCTCAAGAAGAAGTGCAGCATTTGTCGGACTGTGGATACTCTGCCCCTCGTATAGTAGTCTAGACTCCTTGAACTTGGACACTGAAATGTCTTTATGGGGCGATACACTTGAAGTTGAGTGCCTTTTCCTGCATATAACATTGAGAATACTAAAGGAAACGCAATTGCCATAAAATATTCCAGTTAATCTAATTGCTCAATGTCGAAGATAAGGTTCAATCGGTGATTATGAAATGTGCAACGCATTCTCTCTCTTTTCCAAAAATAAAATCGTAATATAGGTTCTCAACAATTTAGATAACGCAAGACCTAAAAAATACGAAAGTGATAAATCAATAGGAAGAGAAACAGAGAGAATAGGAGAATTAGGGATTGTACCCATAACGGCGAAACTGTTCTCTGGAAGTGAGATCTTCGGGATCGAAATAGCTAGGAGAAGTCTCCATTTCAACTTCCATTTTGAGTGCAAAAACGGCGTAGTTTCTGCACCGCAGAATCGCTGTATAATCAGAGTAAACTGGAGCTTAAACCTCTTGATGCTTGAGCGCGGGAATATAAACGGAAAAAGGTTTTGAAGCCACAAAACCCTATACCCACTCACGCATGGAACTCAATTTTGAACCAGAAACGAGTTAGCCAGCCAGCGACGGATTTTGTAAAACGCGTCGACGACATGGAAATTTTCTGTTCGTGTCAATTCTCACAAACACTTCATATTGTCGTTTCCTTCAATAGCAGAACGGTGCGTTTTGATATCAAGAGAAGAAACCTTATCTACTTTAAAAACCAGCCTACCGAAAAGGTTTATCGTATTGAACCAGAATGGCAGTCGTTATTCGTTGCTCTTGCTTCCTAGCTCGCCCATACTCCATCCCTTCTCCGCCGTCCGACCTCCTCCAATCCGGCAATCTCTATCTTCATGGTAAATACACGATTCCCTCACTCACTGCATCGCTCATTTTCTTACTTTTTGAATATTGAATTGTTTCTGGAGTCTGGAATTATAGGATGTGCATTTTGATTTTGACTATTTTTTGCTTGAATTAGAAAGTTGGTAGAATTGTACAATTTTGCTTTTTCTTTTAAGTTTCTATAATTTGTTAGAATTAGTTAATGGGTAAGGTTGGAATCCTCGTGTGATCAATCAGTTTTAGTATTTCCATGATCTTTATAGTGACGTTGGTTTGAACTTGAAAGGATAGAAGTATTTTCTCAGAAATCTTATCAAAGGAAATTTTTTATTCTGTTGAAGCAGGTAAGTTTGATTCATTTATGTTTAAAGTAGAAAACTTTTCGTCATCATATGGAGATTGTTCCAGTGTACCATCTCTTTTTCGCCGCAAGTTTATTGGGAGGCATAGTGTACATCTTAGGCCTGCAATGGAAGGACCCCCAAACTTCATTCAAGCGCCACCTTTTTATGAGAAATTCTTCCAACAAATTTCAGTTCATCAGGTATGATGGTGAGTCCTCTATTTTCTTTTCTTTTTTTTTTCTTTTCTTTTTTTTTTTTTTTTTTTTTTTTTTTTTTCTTTTCTTTTTTTTTGGTTTTTTTTTGTGGTGTGTGTGTGGTTTGTTTTTTTGTAAGAACAAAATGTCTGGATCTTTTTACAGAGAACTTTTGTCCAACCATTTTTATCACATAAGAACCTGTATCTAGATAATATTTACTTAGCAAAGTAGCTTTTTTTTTTTTTTTTTTTTTTTTGTGTGTGTGTGTGTTTTGTTTTTTTGTAAGAACATAAATGTCTGGATCTTTTACAGAGAACTGTTTGTCCAACCATTTTTAGACATAAGAACCTGTTGTATAATATTTACTAGCAAGTAGCAGTCCCACTAAACCCATCATACTATTTTCCCGACCTCTGCATCATTGTTTGGAATCAAGTCCGTTAGTAGGAAAGTAGTATAATCAGCTTCTGTCTGTCATATGAGATGGTAATGGTGCAAGCAACGTGATAAAAATCCATGACTTGTGAAATATTTGGAATTCAATTACATATATTCTTGCTCCATGTTGCCTTTGCATGCCTCTGTTCCTCGCATGAAGATGTTTTTAGTTTCACCGTAGCAGCAATTAGTTTTACAACAGGAACTAAGTCTTTTTCTCTCATTCGAAATCACAATCCACTGCCTGACTTAATAATATATCCTTCCCTTTTGCAGCCCAATTTTAAATTAAGATCCTCAGCAATGGCATTTCTTGTTACAAATGCCCTAATGTGGACTATACCTTTTGAAGCTGTAGCTGAAACATGTGAGGCTGATAACTCCATTTACAACATGCCCTTGTTGCTAGTCGTGGCTCTCATCGGCGCCACTGTTGGAGGTATGCCTTTGTTGCGAGAGGAGGTGTTATATATGTGAGGATTTTGCATCAATGCATCTAGATAAAATATCAGTGTGGAAGCCTCCTAAGTCCTTCAATACTTGTTTCCTGAAAAATATCAATGTACTCTTGTGGTGTTCACTTGAAGCTGTAGAGATGTACTATATTTATGCTTTAGTAACTCATTGCTTGTACAACAGGGTTGCTTGCACGACAAAGGAGAGGAGAATTGGCACGGCTGAACGAACAATTACGCCAAATCAATGCAGCTCTAAGAAGGCAAGCTAAGATCGAGTCTTATGCCCCCAGCTTGAGTTATGCTCCTGTTGGTAGTAGAATACAAGATAATGAAGTAATTGTTGATCCAAGAAAACAGCAATTAATTGCTCGATTAAAAACTGGAAAGAACTTTTTGAGGAATCAAGATCCAGAGAAGGCATTAGCAGAATTTAAGGCAGCTCTTGATCTTGCTCAGAGCATGAAGGATCCGATAGAGGAGAAGAAAGCTGCGAGAGGCTTAGGTATGTTTCATTCCTTTCCCATATTTATTTATTATATGAAATCAAGTAACAAAAGAAACAGTGCTCTGGATATTGGTAAAATAGTTGGGCAGGGACACATCGGTTTTTGTTATTCCTTTGATGGCTCTTGAGATGAATATTTTTCTAGCCTTGTATGTATTGAATAACGGATTTTAAATTTCTGATCTTTCTTACGTTTGAATCTGCTTTGTTCAGGAGCCTCACTGCAAAGGCAGGGCAAGTATCAGGAAGCCATTAAATATCACTCGATGGTCCTTGCAATCTCCCAACGAGTAGGAGAGGACTCTGGAAACACAGAAGCTTATGGTGCAATAGCTGATTGTTATACTGAAATTGGAGATCTTGAGCGAGCTGGAAAATTCTATGATCAGTACATTGCAAGGTTGGAAAAAGACTGATCAGTTTGCACAACCCAGTAGTTTTACCTTCGCCAGCACAGTAGACATCTGCTGGAGGATGTGTATGGATTACCCATGACTTCATTTTCTTTGCTTTTTTTTTTTAAGAAATAAAAAACTCTGCCAGTCACCTAATGAAAGATTTGTTGCCTGAAATAATTTAATCCGGCTATTATTTGTTTTTCATCCCGTTTTGTTGATCTACCATTTGGTTTTCATCTTGTGACTCACCGATATTTATCTTTGGACTGATTTGGCAACTTCTCAACCATAGATTTCTACCACTCTAAACTTGATGTGCTATCTTGATCAGCCATGGATATGCAACCACCTAGAAGTGGGAAAATTACAAGGTACCCTTAGCCCTTAGGCCATCAATCCTTTGGTGCCCACATTACACATTCCTCATAGTACCTTGCTGCATGATGTGATGTTTATCATAAAGAATGAAGAATGGAAGAAAATAAGCCACATATTTGGGACCCACAACCACATAATGGGAAACAACTCTTAATAAAATTCGCGTACAACAGAGAAATATCAAAATAGTCAAAGCTATTAAAGCAAACTCGTGTTCTTGCTAGAAATCCCATTCCCTCACCACAATCACTCGTCCTACTTGATACCACTCATCCCTACATGATAGAAAACAGGGGAAAAAAACAGCATACATATCATGTATACATCCATACAAATGGCAACCATATGATATAAATATGCGGATGACAACCTCACCGCATGATATAGAGAAACAGAAGAGAGTTCCTAATGGTTTAAAACTTGAATATAACCTGCAAAGGCAGGAAAAGAAGGTATTGCGTTAACTTGTGTCGTTACTGGTAGTACATGAGTTGCTGGGCAGCAGCTACACTCTGGAACCCACCATCATATATTGCCTGGCTTGCTCCAGCAGCACCCATACCCATTGCTGCTTGTTTAAGAGCATGCTGCCCCTGAGGGTGCATCAAAGCATGGACACCACCCATCTTGCCCATTGCTAGTTGCCGCTCATATGTCAGAAGGTCAGTAGCAGAGAGGCCTGGCAAAGGTGCAGCTGCAGGCGGTGGAAGCGGATTTGAACTCGTCCCTGGTGGAGTGGGCTTGCTACCCCAAGAGCACTACAAGCATGAGACCAATATTTGAAAATCAGTTTCCACTTAAAACACAATAATAGTCCTTCAGCTCTCTGACATGAAAATATCTCCTCTCCTGGGACAAATCAAAAATTAAACCAAGAAAAGATCAAGATAAAAATCACAATAGCTCATTACCTTTATTTGTTTGCCACAAAGAATTGACTGGGTATTTCCCATCTGAATTGCTAGAGCAGCCTCAGCATGAGTACTGTATCTCACGAAACCAAATCCTTTATCCCGCTGAACCCGGACCTCCTCAATAACTCCAGCACCAAGAGCATGGAAGTGGCGATGGAGATCAAGCTGCGTAACCTGCCAAATAGAAGAAAAACAAACCTCTAGCTTTTAGACTTTTTTTTTTTACTCGCACATACATTAGAAAGATCTAGGCATTTTAAAAATATGATCATTTTCCTTCTGAGACACACACGTTAAAAAACAACCCCAAACCAAACACACCACACACTGCACAAGTATCATAGAACCCACAGACACGAAGTAAAATTTCTTGCCTCTGGAGCAAGATTTCCCACATAAACAGTTGTATACTGAGGATTGTTTTCAGGAGCCTCATTAGTGGCCGTGTCTTTGCCCTCTTCTGCACAAGCAATGGAAAAGATATAAATCAAACTTCCATAAGCTTAATCTGGCTGGAGAATGAAATAAACAAAGACCAAAAAAGAAATTATAGCAGAAGGTAAAAATAAAAACGAGTTACTCTCACAAATAAAGTGTCAGGCACCATGCATAAAAACAAAAAATAGCAATGACCAAATTCACGAACAAAAGTAATAATGATCCAAAACCAACTCAGAGATAGAAGCCTTAATATGCTTATAGAAATACACAATTAATTATCATCATCCAAGTCCAGCACAACCAACCTGATGTGCCATTTGTTAGTTCCACCACACTTTTTGAATCAGAGCTTTGTTTGTCATCATTGGAACCAGCGCCTTTTGTGGCCCAATTACAACGAATCTGTCTGCTCCCAAGCCACTTACCTAATAAAAACAAACGAAAGAAGAAACCATTATTTTCATGTGAAAGAGTGCAAAAAAAATATCTAACACAAGGATAGCATGTGACATTGGTAAACTCCACCAGTTCACATAATCAGTTTGGAGTTACACCCAGTAACTTTTTACAAAAATAGTTGCCCTTTTCCAATGTGGAGAAAGGACTAAATTGGTATATTGCAATATTGCTGGCATTGAAATGTTGCGTTTTCTGTGTGAGCATCACCATTGCAGACGTATTATAGATGACTTTCAAAAATTTGATAGCAACTCACAAACACATATGTCAGAATAACATAGTGCCTCTTTCCTATCTAAACCAGTGATTTGTTAGAACATAAATTTAAAAACATGGCCAAGCAGAAAAAGAGTTCTCTCCTTTGGATAATGTTTGGGGCAGTTGCATTAAGAATTTTAATCTAAAGGAATAATCCTGAAGCTACAAAGCAATTTCAGTAATCCCCGTCAGCCATACCTGTTAAGTCATTTATTGCACTTTGGGCATCCTGAACAGAGAGCAAAAGTGTTAAAATCATGATAAAGTCTAATTGAGTATTGAGAAGAGACGCAAAAAATAAAAACAACACCTGTTGATTTCTGAAAGAAACAAATCCAAAACCTCTTGAACGCCCAGTCTTCTGATCCCACATAACCCTTGCATCTCTGAAACAAGTACCAAGTCAGGGAAGGCCATCCAAATTCATAAATCATAACATCAATTAGAATCATATAAAATCATCAAACATACAGTATTTCATTTTTTATTTTTTTCATATTTTCACAATTTCATAAGTTGGAAGTGCTAAAAGAATAACCCTATCAATCATAGAAATATAAAAGGAAAGGATTACACTTACGAACAACTGGGATAAACTGAAAAGCAGGCAAACAGTGTTGCATCAGTAACCTCAGGACTAAGATCTCCAACAAAAATGTTGAAGTGACCTGCATAGCATAATGAGGTCAGACATCAAAGCTTACAAATAACTAACAAAAACTAACAGCAAGATAACTAAAGCCTGAATAATTCAAACTCAATCAAGAACCAACCTGATGTATCTTCTCGCTGACCACTAGCATATGCCCAATTAACTTTGATTGGCTGCCCAAATCTGGAAATCACATAATAACAAGATGTAAGGTTAAAACTGGGCAATAGAAGCAATGAGAGAAAAGATAACAAATACTGAAAGAAAGCTTCTTACAGATGCCTTCCATTAAGAGATAATATAGCAAGAGCAGCTGATCTACGATCATAGTAGTGAATAAATCCATAGGACGACTGCATAAGCAGATGCAACAGGGACATTAAAAACATTGGAAAAGATTGGTATATAGTCAGAGTAACAATTAATTCTTGCACATCAATACACATCAATAAAACAGTAAACCTACTGAAGCAATTGTCAGCCTTACCTTTTCCTTTCTAATAAGTTTACAGCCCTCAACAAGACCAGTACTTGAAAAAACTTCTTGAAGAAGAGGTTCAGTCACCTGTGTATGGATATTTCCAACATACCTGCATTTTTTCAAAAATGAAGAAACTAGAAGTTTTAAAAAGAAAAAGAAAAAAAGAAAATAAATGAACTTATAAGTAACCTTTGTCAATTATCAAAAACAAGAGAAATCACAAAAGTAGCTATCAAAATTTTATGTAGTATGAGGTATTGTTGAAAATCAAGCATAGATAGCCACCAGTAATAGCACTATAACAATAGCTATCTTTACAAAACACCAAATTCAATGAAGAAAATGCCACTTCATATATAAGAAAGATTGGAGCCGCATGGGCAGTTAGATAAGCGTATAGGTGAGGTGGCGAACACACAAGGAAACAAAAAGAAACAAAAAAAATAAAATAAAAGGGACAAATGTCTGGACAAACACTCACACACTGCGGCAAGTGCTTGGATCAAAACCAGGAGGCAGATTTCCACTGGGAATTGGCTCAATCTGCAAAATGAAAATGTAAAAACGAAAAGAAAATAAAAGAAAGAAAATGAAGTAAATACAAGAAAATTGCCCTCCTTAATTTATCCAAATTTAAAGCATTTTAACCTGATATAGACTAACATGGGGAATTAATTAGCCACACTCTAAAATACAAAGAAAAAAAAAAAATGAAAGAAATGAGTCTTCAATAGAAAATTATGCAACTGAAACAAAACTAAAAAGGAGAAGAAAGCACAGTTCTCAAAATAGATATATACAGTCGCCCGAATGACTCATAAATATCAAGAAAACAAAAACATCTATAATTAAATTATTATCATTTGGACTTCGTTATCGCATTTCTATTCCAATAATATTATTTCTATTCCAATAATATTATACTAATCAATCAGCCCAAGTTAAGGGGACAAACTTGAAGCTTCATATACTTAGCAACATTTTCTTGGGATTTTCCAAATGAATTTTCAGAAGGCAAATTGTGTTTTTGGTAGTGGATAATATTAGAAAACAATTTTGATGTTTGTCTCCTTATCAAAACAAGAAAATATGGGTAAATGTAGTACCATTTTTAATGGCGACTTGTAAATTATGGTAGGATTATGCTCCTACCACGTAATCACACACAGCAAACAGATTTCTGTGCTAGAAGAGGAATGGAAGAAAAGAATCCAAGCATTGTAATTTTATAAAAGGAAAATGAAACAGCAGAGCTATTCAAAACAGATTGTGCATGTCAAGTTAACTTGCAGCATTCAAGCATGACAAAAAAAAAATTGTGGTGTACTAATGAACATTATCACTGGCGAAGTAAACTTCCAATTTATTTATACAAATCCACCACCACCACCACCACCACCCCCCCCCCCCCCCCCCCCATCACCCCCTCCCCCTCCCCCCCCCTCCCCCCTCCCAAAAAAAAGAAAAAAAAATGATAAAATACATAATATGTACTGAAAAAAAGCAAGGATACTAAATTCAAAACCCTAACATTTCAATGAGGAACAAAAAACAACCCTAACCCCAGGAACTGAAAAACCCAAATGCTCGACTCAACAACATTCAGAATCTCTTAGACTCTAAAACCTAACCCTAGCTCCAGCAACACAATTGAATACATACACAAAAGAAAATATCCAAACCAATTGAAATCAAGCAAATAAAATTCGAATAAAGAAACACACGCAATCGCATCAATGATTCGAAAAGCAGAGAAATTGAGTAAGAAACAGAAAGAGAGAGAGAGCTTGAACCTGAGGAGGAGCGAGAAGACCAGCTGGATGATAGAGAGACTGTTGTTGAAGAAGAGCTTGTTGCATCAGAGCTTGCTGCTGCTGTTTAAGCCTCTGGTGCTGCATTTTTTTGTTTCTTTTTCTAGAATGGGAAATCGGTGTGTTTGTTTCCCGAGAAAACTTTGATACTTTCTTCTTCTTTTTTTTTTTCCTTTTTTTTTTTTTTTTTTTTTTTTTTTTTTAGGGTTTCGAAGTTTTTTTTTTTCCTTTTTTTTTTTTTAGGGTTCGAAGTGATGGGGCCTCAATAGAAAAGAAAAAAAAGAAAAAAACAGAGAGAGAAAACGAAAAAGAAAGAACGAGACAGGGGGAGAGAGAGGCCTCTGAGAAGGAGAGAAATGAGTGGCTCCAAGTACAGTATTTATACCTTGATCGTTTTTTGCAATTTTTAACCAGAGAATGATAAAGTCGCTTCGCTTTTGTGAAAGTCTCATGAAGTTCCCAATATAATAGTGACGCGTGTCATCTCACTGAGATTATTGGTGGTCATATAAGAAAAGCAGATGAATTTGAAGACGTCCGGACCTATTTGGTTCAATCGAGTGACTTCACTGACTGAAAATATTTGGGAGGGCAATGAAAAACCAAAATTAAAAAAAGCACTTCCGTATTTCAAATAGTGATTTTGAATTTACAGTTAACGGACATTTTTCTAAAATTTCTTACTACATTAATTTCATATATTATAAGTTAATTTTAAAGAAAAAGTATAAAAGCCAAAAGTTTATTTTTCATTAGTATTTGAATTGAATTCAATAAAATTTATTTCTAAAATTTTAACTTTGTAACAATATGGTTAACTTTTCTTTTTTTAAGAATTTTGAATGATTTATATTTATGCATAAACGAACTATTTTTTTTAAAAAAACAATTTAAATTTTAAGAAGAATGTTTCAAAGAAAGTGAATTATTATACTATTGAGCAAATTTTATCTTATTAAGAGTTTAAAATTTGGAGTTTTTGTCGTTGAAAAAACTTTATTTGAATACAATATTAGAATATATGAATCAGAAATAAATTAAATTTTATTTTAATGTACTAAACTTACCTAACACTTAAAAATATAAAGTTTCCCTCAAATCACTAGTGTAAAATATAAATTACTGTATTATTATTTTTCCTTATAAAAATTCAAAACAGTTAATACTGTTAAACAAAGTCTAGGTAAATTCATCTCAATAATTCAAAAGTTGACAATATCTTGCCATTTATAAGTTTGTATTCTTATGAGAGATTAAAAAATTACCCTTTCCATTTTTCTTTTCTTTTTTTTTTTTTTTTACAGGCATATCTAATTAACCAGAAAAATAATTTACTATTTACGGTGAGAAGCATAATCATAAATTATGGCTGGTACGACATCTGCTCTAGTGAACTAAGGCCTCAGGGGCAAGTAATGGGCCGAGACTTAAAAACATGGGCTTTGAACTAACTTCTCGCAAATATGGATTCCTACTATGAGATTGGGCTTCAGACTTCTGATAATAGAAAAAGATGAGACCCAGAGCTCGAACTTGGGTCGGGTCATCAGGCCACTAACATCCAAGCTAAAGACAAGTGCAAAGAAAAAATATCTGAAGTGGGACAAACAGATGAGAATAATAGAATATTTATGTATTGAAGGAAACTTCGTTATAGTGGAAAAAATATAAGAAATCAGAAAAAAAAATTATATAATTAAAAAGTTATTTGTATGAATATTACTTAGCAGCCAATGATTGAAATGTGGTAGCAAATACAAGGTGAGTAGTCAAAAGATGGGCGGAAGCCAAATTTAGACTAACCTTGACCTGCCTAACGATAAAGGATTCGTTTAGAAGTGAACAAATTTTGGTTAAAAAGTAAAAACTAAATCGATTTGATTCGATTCGATAATAATTAGTTTGGTTTGATTTTTAATAAAATTACTAATTTTTTTTCGGAACTATTTGTTTTCCATAAACCCCAAAATTGGTTTTATTTCGATTTTGATAAATAAAATCAAATTAAATCAATTGATTCAATTTATTTAGCTATGTGATTATACACAATCAAGTTCAATTCAATTTTCACTAATAAAAAATTTCAATATATTTAGTAAGGGGTGACTCGATTCAATCGAACCAAGCCACCATTTTTAGATTTATCACTTGGGTAGTCGGGTAAATTTTTATTTGATTGATTTGCTAGTCTATCTATATTATTTAAAAATATATATTTAGTTTTTAAATTTTGAGAAAATATTTACTTTAATGGATCTCTCTTTTCCTTTTAGTGTAATAACTAATTAAACAGCAAAAGATGTTTCTTTGGTGTAATTAAGTAGCAAAAGTTAATAGATATACGCACCAAACAGCTAATATTATGGCATAGAAACAGTATAATATTCGAACCATTTAAATTTATCAAATCATTGGATTTCGAATATGCACTCCATGAAGATGATTTCAGTTAATTGCGACGGCCAAAAATCACGATGACCATTTGAATATCCCCATATAGTGCACATGGCCACGTTTTTTTTTTTTTTTTTTTTTTCCATTTGAATATCCCCATATAGTGGCACATGGCCAACGTTTTTTTTTTTTTTTTTTTTTTTCCCTAGAAATTATTAAGATGCAAGATTATTCCTCCATCTAAAATTTATAATTTCAATTTCCCTTTTTTTATTTTTTTTTTTTTTTTTTTTTTCCCTAGAAATTATTAGATGCAAAAGAATTATTCCCTCCATCTAAAATTTATAATTTCAATTTCCCTTTTTTAATTTTTTAAAATAATGGTATCATTTATATTTTTTATATATTTTTACATAATACCCTTATATAATAATTTTGTAATTTGAAAATGAAAACCCGGAAATGCAAAAGTAAATATGGAAAAATGACATTTTGCGTGAAAAAGCGTACAGAAAAAAAAAAGTCAGTTAATCAAATTTCTAAGTGAGCAGTTTCATAATTTGTAATGGGTCAATAAACTATCAGCAAAGAAAAATTTATCCGTTCAAAAATCATCAAGAAAATTCTTCAGTGTACATTCATGGAATCAATCAATAGAAATAAGTTAATATACGTACAAGCAAAGTAGTATAAAAACCTAACAAGAATAGTTAGGATTTTAAACTAAGTAATTAATCGCTACAAAACCCTAATTAATAAATCTGTATAATTAATCAAATACGCTATAAACAAATGATCAAACTACAAGTTAAGATCAAACTGTTTCGATGATTGACCTTCTTCTTTTTCTTCATCGGGTTTTGGATGCCGGGGAGGAGATGAGGGTTTGTGCATTTGATATGGTGCTTTTGATGAAGCCCTGAAAGGAAAAAAATAAATCAAGAATTAATATTAACTAACACTTCATTTAATATTACAACAAGAACCAAATCCATAACAGTAAAGTGTATTTCCAAGCGAATTTTATGAACTTATTTTACCTTTCTTTCCTCTTTTCTAAGAACCGATGAAGCGATGCTCTTCTAGCAATTGGTAAATCAGAACCATTAGTATCTTGAGGTCTTAATTGAAGTCCTTCTCCTCCAGCATCATTTGAAACAGAAGGAGTTCTACTTTTATCCATTGCAGAAGCAGTAGGAAGAGAAGTTAGAAAGCCATTTGTAGTATTAGAGCTTCCTTTTGCAGCTAAAGCAAATATTTCCTTCGCCTTATCAGCCGGAAAATCATCAAATACCATCACCCGACCGCCGTAAAATATAGTCATTTGTGCTGGTACTGGATCTGCTGGTATTGAGGAAGGGGGTTTCCTATAATAAATGAACGGAACTATAATTAAGAAATTCATTCGAAAATTTTAATTAGCATTTATTTTACAATAATGTATATCTACAGTAGACATGTTACGCACGTGCATGTATTCATTCCTCTTGATACCCTTAAGATTTAGGTTAAAGAATTTATTTAAAGCACATACACGAGGGGGTTTTAAGTAATTTAGCATTCGAGAATCAAAGAACGTGAAAGAATACAATGGTCCTGTCACATTGTTAGAAATTACCGGTGCAGAAAATTCTTATTTATCTTTTTTTAAAAAATTAAAAAAAAATCTTGTACGATATCTCAATCTTATAATTAAACACAATTAATTATTAAAAAATAAAAGAAAATAAAATAAGAGAAGCCCACCTCAAATCTGCAGACTTGTTAGCGGAGTCTTCAACGGGATATGGAGATCCAGAACCCACAAATTTTGGAAAAAAATCTGCAGTTTTTATCTCTGCAGATAATGATGGTCTAGATGGATTCTCTGCAGATGAATTTTGCTCAATATCAGGCAGTAGATTCAGTGTTGTTTTAGGTAGTCTAGATGATTCAGAACCTGGAAAAACATTGTTTACCCAATCAATATCAAGAAAGAATCACAAATCTCGAAATTGTTTCAAGAAAATGGCAAAAAAAACCAGTACCTTTAGCTTCAATCTTTCCATTAATCCCGAGATTAATATCTCCAAATCTGCCTCTTTCCTTCAGATACTGACTCAAAAGGTTACAAGTCTGAGTAAAGTTTGGTTTCTCCGGCGCTGCCTTGCCGGACTTGTTGACAAGGTTTGCCATAATTTTGGTTCTCTGATTTAAAAAAAAAAAAACAAAAAAGAAAAACCCTTCCAATAATTGGTATATATGTATTTCCGCTTTGAATTTAAGTTTCTGTTGTGTTTGATTGCTACTGAGAATTAGGGTAGGAAAGGAGGAAGAGGATATATAAGGAGAGTTGGGTTTGTTATGAGCTGTACCGTGTTTCTTTATCTTTGGAATTATTATTTTATTTTGTAATTAATTAATTAATTAATTTTGAGCACGTTTTATTTGCATGTCAAAAAAGTAAAGGGGTGAGGCAGTGGTTGAGATAAAAAAAAAAACATAGAATAAGCTTATCATTGTGGAAAAGGTCGAGTTGGAAGGAGCTATTCTTGAGTGCAAGAATTTTCTTTGCAATTGTAATTGCATTGGGTGGTTAGTCTTTATTTATTTATTGTGAATTTGTGATACGTCAAACTCAACTGCAAAAAAATATTTTTAGACTGTAAATTTTATTACTTTAAAAATTAATTTTTCTTTACAGCATTGAAATTTGAATTGGGCCGGGCTAACAACGGATTTATTTAGTACATTGACAATTGTGGCCCTCAAACTACTTCAAATTCAATTTTTGACTTTGCAAATTATATTTATATTTTTAAAGATATATATTTTTCCCTAAAAATTTTCATTTTACTTTTCACCTACAAAAATTTAGGCCAATAATTCCGTAGTGTTTTGCATTTTTATTATGTTTATTTTTTTTCTTTTTTTTAACTGGGTGCATACCAATCTTATAATTTAAAATTGACAAATGAATAATAAAATTTTACAAAGAACATATGAATTGATATTTACTCATAAGATTCTAATTATCGGTTATTCATTATATGTTCTTATAATATTAAGTCAGATTTAGCAAAATTGAAATGTATTCTTTTCTAATTTATCGAAAGATTTAACAAGCCAAAATAACATGATAAACTACACAATTTGAATAGTCATTCACTTGACTCACCAAATGATTTTTTGAGTGATTAATTAATTAAAATAAAATGAAAAATTACAAAAACCATTTCATCTCAAACTTATGTATTACCAAGTTTTATAAAAATGAATTTCTCAAGATGAGAGAGATTATTATATGGACCATGTGCATATAAATTTAAATAATTTACTCAAACTAATTCACAAAATTGTTTATATGATATGGCTATGGGAGCCGTGAATGAAAATAATTATATTATGTTTTTAATTTTTTGGAGGGCAGATTTGTCATTATGAGGGAGCATTGTATTCTTTTAAGTCATTTTAGCCGCTGACGGAAAACGTTACTTGACACAGTTGGTTTAGGTTAGACGCCGACAAGGACCGACATGCGCGTGGGACCTACGTGAGTGTAAATCAAGGCAAAAGGTTTCTCTCCCCATATATTATATATAGTGGGACCTACGTGAGTTGTAAATCAAGGCAAAAGGTTCTCCTCCACCATAATATTAATATATATATATATATATTTATATATATATATTTTGTTTTTTTTTTTTTTTTTTTTTTTTTTTTTGAAAAGGTCCTCTTCCCCATATGGTGTATTATATATAGATTTTTTTGAAAGGTCTCTCCCCATATGGTGTATGTATATATAGATTCCGCCTTTTTTGACTAATTTATTTTTAGGTAACTAAATAACTAATAGAACACGTGATAAACAATTCCTCATGGCGCGGGTTAATTTCGTCATTCTAAACTTTTATCGATTAAAACGTGTCAAGGTCTTATGGGTTTTAGCTGTGTGGTATAAACCAACTTTCAATTTAGCAGGTGACCAATGCAAATGTGCGCCGGTGCGATAAGATTCTCATTAAAATTAAAAAGAAATATATATTATTTTACATATGTAAATGTAAAACTAGAATAAATAAATAAAGTAGGATACAGTTATCAATATATTAATGAAATTCTTAAATTTACCCATAGATATCTAATTTTTCTTAAATTCTTAAATTATTTCTAGCAAAAATAAAAGAAATTTTCATGAGTAATTTTCAAATAATTTATTAAAAATTAAATTTATCACACATATTATTGTGTTTAAAATAAAATTATCTTAAAAAATATTTTTAATATACAGTTTATATAAATAAATTAAATATTTTATTGTGATTTATAGGTAGAGATCTTTACTTAAAATCACATAGTGATTAGTGTGGTCGAAATATTATGTATTGCATAATATTCTAAAAGGATGCCTTAATTTTGTATCTATATAACAAAAATCAACGGATAAATTTGATTTATTCCTTTTAATTGAGAAAATTAAAATTGTATAGAATAAATTACTATCAAATAATTAAAAATGCAAAATTTATTGTCTAAAAATTAATACTAAAAAATTACATAATAACTTGAGCTTATTAAATATTTATTGAGTGTCGAATGGTAAGTACATATATAATTTGACAATAAATTTATATTCGAATCTCTTTTGCTCAATGCTCAAAAAAGTACTTCTCAATTCTAATTTAAAATTAAACATGAAATTCACATCGAATATATATAGCGTTATTAATTAAAGTATTTAATGAATATAGTTTTATAAATTAAACTATTTAACAAGTTAAATTAAAAATTGAAAATAGTACTAAATTTTTTAAAATTTTTGATTACTAATTGATATATTCCACCAACTAATTTGTACTTTCTATTCCCTTTGAATAAAATATTGATTGAAAGTGGGACTTAAATCGCGTTCACAATTTAGATAAATGGGCATTTAATAATTTGCCGACTGCATAGACACGGGCAAGGCCTTTAAATCATGGGAATACAGCCAAACGCGCAATTGGACTTCCCCCTCTAAAACCGGTTGTCTGTGAATTTTCAACCATGTGCTAAGAAAAGACCATCGAGGAGAGAACACATCAATTTGACTATGTACCATCGTATTTTTGTTGAATATACATTTGGATGCAACCACAAATTAAAATAAAAATACATGACTTTATTTATTTATTTATTTCTTTTTTTATCGGAATTGAATTACATGATTTTTTAAATATTTGTATTTGAAAATTCTTACAATCTCAACTACCAAAAAAAAAAAATCAAATGCTGTGATCATTCACGTTTTAAATGAAATAACTATCTTCTACTCTTCCAATTTTCAGATTTGTATTTTTCTCTTAAAATTTAAAAAGTCTTGATAGCTAGGGCTGTATGGTAAGTGGCAGCCAGCAACATCACCGTGTTTCAGTCGCTATCGTAGTAATGGTGGCGTCCTGGTGTGGATGCAACTGAAACACGTTTTTGGAATAATTTTCTTTTCCAGTCCAAAAATATTCGATTTTTTTTTTTTGAATGTTTTTGTAAATTTTATAAAATTAGGGATGAGTGGAACTAATCAAAAGTTATATAAACTGATCGGTTCAGTTTTGATTCGTTTTTAATAAGGGTAACCCAACTGTTATTGATTCTAATTTTTGTTTCATAAAGTGGTTAATTGAAATTTTTTCCATTTAGAATAGTTTAAATTCTCAATCCAATCGAATCAAACTGAATCAAGATTGTTTTTGATTATTCTGCTAATCGGTTCGATTTCAATTTTTGTTTTCTCTTCGCTTCAATTAGTGCCGCTGGAAAAAATGAAATTGTAACATCTAAATAATTTTAAATTTGTTGCAAATATGAAATTTCTCAATTATATATATATATATATATACATACGGTCAAATGCATAAATTTAATTATAAATTTATTTAATTATCTTTGTGAACCAGTGAATTTTTTAAAATTTCAATTATAATAATATACTTTCATAATTTGGTAAATTTATATATTGTTTAGAGACTTAATAAAATGAAGAATATAAAATATAAAATTTAATTCATTATATTTTAATTTTATCATGTGATTAATTTGTGTACATAAATGAAAGATGTATCCACTAGGAGATGTTTTATTTTTCTGTTGACCGAGGGACAGCACAGAACTCGATTTGATAAAACAATTATTTTCTTCACCTGCAGAAAGCAACCACATAAAAAACGTGATGTATTCAATAATTTGTATAAATAAATTGGTTGGGTGGAACCCTACGCAAACTTCCAAATTGACCAATTGAACATTTTTTTAAAAAAAAAAAAAAAAACTACGCAAACTTCCCAAATTGACCAATTGAAAACATTTTATTTTTTAAAAAAAAAAAAAAAAAAGAAAATCACTTTTTAGTCTTTGTAATTTAATGAAATTAACTATTTAATCTTTATTTTTAGAAAAATAATTTTAGAAAACTACAGGAACTAAATAGTAATTTATCCAAAAAGAAAAACTCATTTTTGAAGGCATTTTTTTATCCGTGTTAGAGTTGAAAAGGAAATCGAATCAAGAACGACCAAAGCAAGAGAAAATGGGGAATTATCAAATATTTTATTGGTTTGGAAGTATTTATTAGTTCAGCCACTCCATGTGTCCATCACCACCAAAGTGATTACTGGTCCAACGACTATCTTCATTGATGCTAAGACACCTATATATATATATATATATATATAAATATATAATATGGACCTATTACATTGCTTTGACCACGGCTTTCTTGTGTTGATTATGACTTTCACGTTGACCTTCAAACTATGTACAACAAGCTAAATTACTCGATATTTCTTCTATTAAACGTCAATTTTCAGTTTTCTTTTTACGAAATGAAAAATGATTAATTTACCTAATTTTATAATTTATTTCAGCCTGAAATAATTCAATTAAATAGAAAATCCAGTTTTGCTGGGAAAGGCCAGTCGGCTTTTAATTTTAGCACTTAATGTATGATTCGTATATTGTCGTGTGTGTTTGGATTGGAAATTTAACAATGCCTAGTCTTCCACGCAATTCTCATGTACATACCCTATATATATATATATATATATATATGACCTATTACATTGCTTTGACCACGGCTTCTGTGTTGATTATTGACTTTCAAGTTGGACTTCAACTATGTACAACAAGCTAATTACTCGATTTCTTCTATTTAAACCGTCAATTTTCAGTTTCTTTTTACGAAATGAAAAATGATTAATTTACCCTAATTTTATAAATTTATTTCAGCCTGAAATAATTCAATTAATAGAAAATCCAGTTTGCTGGAAGGGCCAGTCGGCTTTTATTTTCTTGTACAGTCTCTGTCTTTAAATACGAAAAGCGTTGGTTTTGGATTGGAAATTTCCAATGCCTAAGTCTTCCACGCAATTCTCAATGTACAATCCCCATCAAACAGGAAAAATAATAATAATATTATTATTAAATTATGATACGTTACTACATTAGCAAGAAGGCCCACAAGGACTTTCAGTTTGCTATGGCCCAAAAGCAATAAAACCTATCCTTGGTTTCAAAAACAGTATGGGGCCCCAAGATCTCTATGCCTATGATGATTTGCTATTTTGTTGGGTTGAAATTTAGAGAAGATGAATTTGATCTAGTTTGGGTTTGGACTAAAACAGGGATTTGGGCCATAAATAAATGTAGCACTCAACTTTTATTGTTCTGATAACGGAGTCCGGTAATACCATATTCAAATTATAAATATTTCAAGAGACTAATTAGATCACAATTGATTGACCGAGAATTAGGTTTAATAAGTTTGGAAACGAGTAAAGTTATATAAAATTTTATTTTGTATTTGAAATTAAAAAAGGACCAATTATTACCTGAAAAATCCAACTCCCACTAAAACTATATCCGAACAAAATATTTTAATTGTTTTTATTTTTAATTTCTCAATTTATAATTACTCGTTAATGAGTTGCCATTTTCCTTTTTTTTTTTTTTAAAAAAAAATATTGATTTATTAACAAATTTCAAGAAACCTGTCTTGTAGTTTCCCCTAAAAAAAGAGAGAATTCCTATGCTGTAATTAGTTAACAGTAACAAATATACAAATGATGCAGAATAATTTCAAATTTATTTTGAGTTAACAAAAATACCCTTGAAAAAATTTGTTTTACTTGAACAATGACCTCGTAATGTAGCCAGGTCCTTTTAGCAAATATCAATACCAACGGTTATAACGGCTTTTCAGGCCGGCCGTTTCTAACCAGAAAAAGAAAAAAAGAAAAACAAAAAAAGAACTTTTTTCCTTATAGCCAAAGCTCTTATGCCTTCTTAGAATTGCTCTTGCTCGAAACAAACACCATGAACAAACCAACAGATTTCGAGGCAAGAAGCGAGAAATCAGCGAAAACTATAATCAGCCACAAAAATTTTCACAACGAAAATCAGATTGGTAATATCTCTCATTTCTTTAATTCTTTCTACCTAAATTATGGCCTTGAATCGTCTTCTCCGACCCATTTTTCTTTTGTTCATCGTCGTTTTCATACTCCAATTTGACTTTACATCTTCGATAACGCAATCAGAAGCCTTGATTCAGTTCAAGGATTCTTTGACCAATAAAACTGCTCTTAGTTCTTGGACTCCTGGTTCATTTCCTTGTACACATCAATGGGAAGGGATTCTTTGCAGCAATGGAATTGTCACGGGTATTCGTCTTGAGAAAATGGGTTTATCAGGAAATATTGATATTGAAGCGTTGAGTAATATGACAAAAATTAGGAGTATAAGCTTTGCACATAATTCCTTTTCGGGTCCGATTCCTGAATTATATCGTTTAGACTATTTGAAGAATATTTATTTAATGGGAAATGAATTTTCAGGTGAAATACCATCAGATTTCTTTCTAAAAATGCATTCCTTGAAAAAAATTTGGTTATCAGACAACAAGTTTACTGGAGAAATCCCATCGTCATTGATTTATTTAACAAATCTTATGGAATTGCATCTTGAAAATAATCAATTTACTGGGACTATTCCATTTGTGAAACATTCAAGATTGCAATCATTCAATGTGTCAAATAATAAGTTAAGAGGGCAAATTCCTGCTGGTTTATTGAAATTCAGTGCCAGCTCCTTTGATGGAAATGAGTTTTGTGGAGAGAAAATTGGCAAAGAATGTAACCGAACTGCTGATGCATTAGCGTCAGCGACCTTGCCGGCGAGCTTTGCAACTACTATGTCTGCTTCCAGTGCTAATAATAATGTTGCTAATTTTAAGAAAACAGGTGCAGGAATTATTACCTTGGGGGCAATGTTACTTTCTGTGGCAATTGTCGTACTACTTAAAATGAGGCGATCAAAAGAAGATGATATGGAAATCCATGGAAAGGATAATGAAGATACAATTGAGACAGCTGATGTGCAAGTATCAATGCCAATTAGACAGAAAGAAATGGACTTTAACAGAAAGTCAGGAGCTGCTCGTAAAGGGTCTACTAGTGCTCCTGCCAAGCCTAATGGCTTAGGGGAACTCGTGGTGGTGAATCCAGTGAAGGGTGTTTTTGGGTTAATAGATTTGATGAAAGCTTCTGCAGAAGTTCTTGGAAATGGGGCGTTAGGTTCTTCTTATAAAGCTGTTATGGCTAATGGCGCAACTGTTGTGGTTAAGAGATTGAGAGAAATGAATGCATTGGGAAATGATAAATTTGATGCAGAGATTAGAAAGCTTGCAACTTTGAAGCATGCTAATATTTTAACACCATTGGCTTTTCATTACAGGAAGGATGAGAAGCTTTTGATCTATACCTTTATACCTAAAGGCAGTTTGCTCTATTTGTTGCATGGTATATATGTTTTCTTTCATCTATCTCTCTTTTTCTTAATTGCATTTGCATATAGTCCTATGATTATTATTTTTCAACAAGATTTATGGAACTGCTAACTGTCGGATAATTTTTCAGGCGATAGGGGACCTTCACATGCTTCGCTAAATTGGGCTGCTCGTCTCAAGATTGTTAAAGGAATTGCAAAAGGATTGGGTTATATTCACACTGAACTTACTTCTTGCGACTTGCCACATGGAAATCTAAAATCCAGCAATGTCCTTATAGGACCTGACAATGAGCCATTACTATCAGAATTCGGATTCTCTCCACTGATAAGCCCTACAGTTAAAGAACAAGCTCTCTTTGCTTATAAGGCACCTGAAGTTGCACAAGATGGCTTATCCCCTCAATGCGACGTATATTGTTTAGGAGTCATTATTCTTGAAATTATGACAGGAAAATGTCCTTCTCAATGTCTTAACAATGACAAGGAAGGAATTGATTTAGTTCAGTGGGTGGAAACTGCAATTTCTGAAGGAAATGAAACAGAATTGCTTGATCCTGAAATTGCAGGCTCTACTAATTCTGTTGAGGAAATGAGAAAGCTGCTAGTCATTGGAGCTCTTTGTGCTGAAAGAAATCCAACAAAACGGTTAGACCTAAGGGAAGCTATCAAAAGGATAGAAGAGATAAAACTGGAGAGTGTCGCCCCTACAAATGCGAAAAATAAACAATCATTACCATCAGGTACCCCACACTCTAAAGCTTCTAGTGCTACTCAAGGAGGGAATGGCGAAAACTCTAGTAGCGGAAAATCATACAGTTTTACCGATAGTGAACAATTTTCCTTATCTCCAGACAGGATTGATATCGTAAGCAACGATAAATAGAATTCTTTCCTGGAAAAAAGAAAGAAAGGAACATATAAAAACTTTCCAAGAAAAGAAAAATGGGTTCAAATTCAACACTACAAAACATTCAGTTGCAGCAGCAGCAAGAATTTCTATGCAGCAAAAGAAATTGAACTTGTTAAGGAGATACGAATACATTTGTGCTATTCATGTAGCTTAGTCACATACAATTATCTTTTTTGTGCAAAATTTTCTGTTCGGCCAGAGAGAAAAAAAAAGGGTTCTTCTTTTTGACCTTTTTAAAAGCTTTTCTTAAGCATGTTTGTACATTGGTTCTGCTAGTGCTTACTTCATAGCTTGCATAGAAATTATGCATCACTTTTCCAATTTATTAAGATAATCATTTGTATTAACACTTGTATGTAAAATTTCAAATGAAAATTAGATGTAGATTTAGAAATTGAAGACTCTGCACTATTCTTTTTTCTTTTTTTTTTTTGAGATATGATACACCTGAAGAATCCTAATTGGTAGTCCCATGTTACAACTCATTGACAGATTATAAACAAATTATTATTAGTCAACCCTTTCTGTACCTCACCTCATATAATACGCTTCTAATACAGCTGGAGATACCATGAAATGAAGTAATTTAAAATGGTTCAATTTTATAGGATTCTAACCTGGCATACAACAGCAGCCCACCTATTGCCCTCAAACTTGCATTGAAAACTTCAAAATTAAAAAATTTTCATTCAATAAGTTCTATGAACTTATTCATTGAAGCTGCTTATTGGTTACTGCAACCAAACTGTCAGGAATTCTTGGATAACTCCCAACTGCAAAACAAAGTATGTGGCCAGCTCATTATCAAAGCAAATTAATTATTTATGTACTCTTTATTGTAATGTCATGTTTTTGGAGGTAGCTGAAGTTTAATTTCAGATATTCAAATCTTAATTAAAAGGCAATAATAATAGTAAAGCCAGCCAAGATCTTCAGCACACTCGTGCAACTCCATTTTAAAACTATTTTCTTCTCCTCTAGATTGTTGTTAATTAATTAATTAATTAATCATTATTAACTACCCACCATGCACAGGATTTTACACAATCACAAATCATAAATAATAACAATAATCATAAGTGGGTTCGGCTTCCAGCCACATAAACAGCTTCTCTGCAAAAGTATAGGGAAATCTGCACCCATCAACTCTCTCCAAAGTCCACAATTGTCAGATGTTTCGTGCACCCGATCAGTCTTTGTAAATTTATATTTGTATATATATGGAAAATAAAATTGCATGTGTACGTGCAAACATGGAGGCACATGAAAGTTGGCAAAAGATCGGTTGACTTCATTAATTTGTGCAGTAAATTTAATTAAACTAATCTATAAGTTGGGTTTTAGGCAGCAAGTGTAAACACAGATATTAATTCATGTGCTAATAATGTGGCACCAGAGAGTAAGTTAGAGCCAGCACATCCTTCACTTGCCTGTGTACTACAGTTGTGCTCTTTAAATTCTTGATAACTTTTTCTTGGTTTCTTTTGTCTTTTTCGTCTTGAACAACCTTATATTAAACATCCATCGATTCTTGATTTGCAGACTTTTTTTTTTCTAATTTTTTTTTTTTTGTTTTAGATAAAATTATTTATAGAGCATTTATTTGCATTATTGATTATTGCTAATCACAACTGCTATTGTGACCATCATTCACTAATTGTTACATTGGGGATGTGAGTCCAGCATCTCTACCCATGGTGCCATACCATTATGGACAATGTAAGGCTATTGGAAACGAGAATAGGATGTTGATGATATTTGAACCAATAATATGAGAGAGGAGACCCAGCACAATGCTCTCCGTCGTCCAGTGGTCAGTATGCGGAACCGAACCGTAGTGAGTTAGGGTGCGGGCATCATATTCTATCAAAAGGGACTAATGTCTCCATAGAGAATGAGTTCTATGGACACTTTAGGGCCGAGGGCCTATAGTGCGCATCTCTCCTAAAGTGAAGGTTTATGCATAGGCGGGCTATGCCGCCTAATATGCCCTAAGGCCTTGAGCCTATGCACGGTTGTGAGAGATCCTTATATATGAATTGCAAGATGAATCCTACAGTTAAATAGTATGCAAAGACCCTTCGAATATGCATGGCTAGCCTAGGTTATGAGCTAAGTCTACGCGTAACATGTGTGCCAAAGGCTCCAACGTTCTGGCACCGTGACATTATTGGAAGTTACTAGCGACCTTCTACAATTTATCATTTTTATGCATTTTTTTATGTTGAAATTTTATAATTTTAAATATTTTTATGTTCTTATAAATTATGATTTTTAATATTATAATCAAATAATAAAAGATAAGTTTTTTAAAACATATTTTCTATGGATAAACAGACAAGTCTAAATTTATACAGTTTTCACATTATTAAGATCTCTCTCCTGTATCAAATTTTAGTAAATTTGAAATAGTTATGGGCTTGCTCATACATGTTAACTACTAAAACGCATATACTGAGCCCAATATAGCAATAGCCCCAAACTAATTTGAATTGCGAAGAATTGATAATTAAGGCCATTCCATCGGAATATTCTAAAACAGATTCCACCGGCAACTAGAAAAAGTCCAATTGTCAAAAAAATTAAAAAATTCTTTTTTTTTTCCTTGATTTTTTTTATATCTTTTATTTTACGGTATTATGATATTCAGACAACAATCCGTCCCTTCGGGTGTAGCTGCCTTGCATGACCACACAAGTAAAGCTACTGTTTGAAGACTGTACATTGAATTGAAACCTCTCCCCTCCCCTCAAAACAAACATCTACTGTCTGGATCCATTTTTATCTCTAGCAAGTACTTCCTCCCTCGCCACCACCACTACTGCACCACCTTAAACCACAACAACCACCATCACCGCCGAATTCCTCAGCTTTTGAGATTCTTCGGCCTTTTCTAAAAATATTTTTTTTAGCAAATTAACTTTTTAATATTAAAAAAAAAACTTGCTTTTTCATTCTAATGAATATCATAAAACACTTAAATCAATTTACTGTTACGTCAATCATTTTTCTTTTTGGGTTTCCTTAATTCTATTTTTCAAGATTCTTAAAATAAAAATCCATTCTTTTTTAACATCTCTATCCCCATCTTCTCGAAAGGTAGAGTCTGCCAAAAAAAAGTAAAGTTTGATTCTTTAGCTTGCAATAGCCAATAGTTGTATTCATCTAATCATGGAACCCCCGGAGAATAGTAACGCTAGCGGTGGTGATGCGGTGGAGTGTGAAGATGCACAGAAGATAATTCTACGGTGGGATTCGACGGTGTCAGAGGAAGCTAGAGAGAAAATGATATTTGAGAGCGACCGTGATGAAGTGGATCGGTACTTAAAAGCCGTCGACGAACTTCAAAAATCTATGTCCACCACCTCCATCGCTGATGATGAAGATAAGGTCAACTCCGCCACCATCCAGATCGCTATGGCCAGACTGGAAGATGAGTTTCGCAACATACTTCTTAAACACACCACTCCGGTTGAGTTAGACTCACTCACCGTCACCGATCCCAGCTCTTCAGTTCACTCCTCGGTACCGGGTGAGTTTGAGGAAGACGATCATGTAGGTGATGAAGATATGCAAGATCCAATTCAAAGAGCAGATTCATCTGCTAGTAATGCTAGTAACAGCAGCACAAGTTATCGATCCACTAGCAGTATTCGAGAGATCGATCTGATTCCCCAAGAAGCAGTAGCTGACCTTGAGGCCATTGCTAAACGCATGATCTCTGCTGGATACTTGCGCGAGTGTATCCAGGTGTATGGGAGTGTACGGAAATCTGTGGTGGATGTTAATTTTAAGAGACTTGGAATTGAGAAGCTGAGTATTGGGGATATACAAAGACTTGAATGGGATGCTTTAGAGACTAAAATAAGAAGGTGGATTAGGGCAGCTAAGGTTTGTATAAGGATTTTGTTTGCAAGTGAGAAAAGGCTTTGTGAGCAGATTTTTGATGGGATTGGTACTTCTGTTGATGATGCTTGTTTTATGGAGACTGTTAAGGGTCCTGCAATTCAGCTTTTTAATTTTGCTGAGGCTATTAGTATAAGCAGGAGATCTCCTGAAAAAATGTTTAAGATTTTGGACTTACATGATGCTTTAATGGACTTGATGCCTGATATTGAGGTGGTTTTCGAATCCAAATCAGCCGATTCAATTCGAGTTCAAGCTGCAGAGATATTGTCAAGATTGGCGGAGGCTGCCAGAGGGATTTTATCTGAATTTGAAAATGCTGTTTTGCGTGAACCTTCATTGGTTCCAGTGCCTGGAGGGACAATTCATCCGTTGACAAGGTATGTGATGAACTATATTAGTTTGATTTCGGATTATAAGCAGACCTTGATTGAGCTTATTTTGTCCAAACCATCAACTGGTTCAAGATATTCTGGTGATTCTACTACACCAGATATGGAATTTGCTGAATTAGAAGGGAAAACCCCATTAGCCCTTCATTTGATTTGGATTATTGTGATTTTGCAATTCAATTTGGAAGGCAAGTCTAAGCATTACAAAGATGTATCATTAGCACATTTGTTTATGATGAACAATGTGCATTATATAGTTCAAAAGATTAAAGGGTCACCTGAATTAAGAGAAATGATTGGAGATGATTACTTGAGAAAGCTAACTGGGAAATTCAGGCAGGCAGCCACTAGTTACCAGAGAGCAACCTGGGTTAGGGTATTGTACTGTTTGCGTGATGAAGGTTTGCATGTGAGTGGCAGTTTCTCTTCTGGGGTGTCGAAGAGTGCCTTGAGAGAGAGGTTTAAGACCTTCAATGCTATGTTTGAAGAGGTTCATAGGACTCAAGCGACATGGTTGGTGCCGGATAATCAATTAAGAGAGGAGCTTCGAATTTCTATATCAGAGAAGTTGATCCCAGCTTATCGGTCATTTCTTGGGAGGTTTAGAAGTCATATAGAGAGTGGAAGGCATCCAGAGAACTACCTGAAGTATTCGGTTGAGGATTTAGAGAATGCTGTGTTGGATTTCTTTGAAGGTTATGCTGTATCTCAGCACTTGAGGAGGAGATCCCAGTGAAGGAATGGGAATGATTTTTGGCAGCTTACGAAAGTAGGACACATTCTTTGAATTCTTTGTGTAGTGTTTGGGTGGATGTGATGCTGGTCACAAGAGGGCTGCGCTTTGCTCTCCAATTCTTCAAGCATCACTGGTTAATTTTGTGCAGATTGGAAGGAGTCAAGTTCATTTTGGAAGATCAGGTGTAGCTCTCAAGATAGCCAGGTCTCTAAACCTGAATGCTTCCGCACTGTAAGCATTTTGTTTGTTTTATTAGCCTTGTTACCACATTCTAGATTTTTGTTCCATTTGTTCATATTGGAATTGTTTTTCTCATGTGTGATTTCCTTAATATCTATGATATTGATATAATGAAGCATATTTTTGTTTTTCTTTTCAATCCTCAGAACTCCTTCTCACAATTCAATTTCTGACCCAAGTTAAATTCATATTCAAAAATGGATGCTGAACATTGATGATGAACTTTAGGGTTTGGCTTGATTCTTTTGTGTGTTTGATTAGAAGAGTGTGGGTCCATTCCATTTATGTGGATTACATATCAAGTCGAGACCCAGAGTTTATAATAAATCTAAGTAACTAGGAAAAATAAGTTTCATGATTTGCAAAAAGTTTTCTCCTTTCCACCTTGTAAAGATTCTACGTGATCAAATTTCATGCAAATCCGATCTATACGCCCACTCATGACCAAATCAATGAAAATAGAGATTTTTTTGACATTATTTCAACTTTATCTTTTTTTTTTTTTTTTTTTTTTGAACATGTACGATATCTTGAGCCAGTTTCTGTATGAGATGAGCGTCAACTTGTATGAGCTTGTGCTCTGATTATCTTTTGACAGTCTGAAGTCAGTGTTGAGAAATTTAAGTAACGGTGAAGGTGCATGCTGGTCCATTCGACATTATCGTGCTGACATTACATATTCGAAGTCGAATCGACTCAGCCTCAGGAGTTGTGCATAATAAATCCTAACCTGGGATAGTCTAGCAGCTAATCGTAGAGGTCCAAAAAATATATTCAATGATTTGCAACCATCAAATGGTTTTCGTCCTGCTTCTCACAGCTGATGTAGCGACAAATTAACCTTTACGTGAGTCATAACATCTTGTACATGCATAATCCGACCAATCTATTCGCCCCCACCTCTGATGACCAAGATCTAATTGATAAATAACAGTGAGAGTGAATTTTTGTGAACATATATATCGTTCCCAACGCTTTATCTCTGTTTCTTTTATTTTTTTATTTGTGTATTCCTAGTTGATAGTGGAGCATACCTGGATTTGTCCTAAGTAAAGATATTATCCTCAACAGCTTACTGTAAATTCATTCCTTATAATTGTTATGAAGAGTATGCGCGCCCACCCATGTTCCGTTCATTCAGTCGGATGCCCGAGAAACCCCGGCCATACAATGATACGATAGATTCATATATATAGCATAGTCATTCTCCCGATTGAATATATTTCGCTCTCTTTAAAACGAAAGTCTTAGTTAAATAAAGAATATTATTAGCATAATAGAATATTTTGATTTCTATGATTAATTATCTCTGCACTCTAGTCAACTCTACAATGACTCTCGAATGATCATCATTTGAACACGATGCGAATTCAGCACATACTGTGTTTGACTCATACCAATAGGTGCATAATATTAGTGCATCGACTTTAAAAACGCTATTACGTTATAATATTTCTACACTCTAAAAGCATAGATTTAGCTGGATGTTCGTCATGAAATGCATAATACGACATCTGGAGCAATAGTACTTCAGTTTAACGATTTCCGTTCTCCTATACTATATAAAAAAAAAAAAAAAATAATAAAGTAAGTACGAAGTAGTCACATACTATATTGCAGATTACTTAGCACCTTTTTTTTTTTTTTTTTTTTTTTTTTTCCATATTGAATGGTTAGAAATACCTTTATATTCCTCGTGAGCTGGGTCATGTGTAGGCCAAAACCGGCCAAAACCGAGTCTAAACAAGTCATTCTCGATTGAGATATTCTCTCTTTAAAAAAGAGTAAAAAGATATTTAGATATTAATTTTTGGATTATGATATTATTCGACCATCACTCAACAAATCAATCTCATTAAAACGTAGAATATTGTACACCAAAGCATAATTTAGCTCATTAAAACGTAGAATATTATACACCAAAGCATAATTTAGCGGTGAATGCATTACGACCTGGCAATAGATTCAGTTTAAATTTCCGTTCTCCAATATTAAAAAAAAAAAAAAAAAAAAGGTAGAGAATACTATATTGCAGATTACTTGCACCTTTTTCAAACTTTTTCTTGTCAAATTGTTGGAATTGAGCCTCCATGTGTTTTTTCTATTCAAAATCATAATTATGGATAGGTTTTGGAAAGTTGTGAGAAAATAGAATTGCTATTAGGGCGTTGAACAATTTCTCTACTTTTCTTGTACATTGTGTCTTTGTATATTTCCTATTTCAGAACATGTCAGCGCCTGATGGACTCAAAGGCTGATTTCTGTTACTGGTACTAGGAACTTGGAAACCTTGATGTATATGGCTGTTAACTGTACTTTTGGGATTTAATTGTTGTCTGAATGAAAGGAATTAATACAAAAAGACAAGATTGTAGGAAGCATCATTATATTGTTTACAGGCGAACTCTTTCTCATCTTACCTTTGGTATAAATGAACTACCCTTTCTTGATTAGGATAAATGAAAATGTTTATTCTCCTCCTAAAAATTGATTAGAATTAAATTTAAATAAACCATGTGTAAATGAATTTTGCAGTTCTGAGTTCATTTATACCAGGCAAAAGATTAACCAGACAAAGTTAGATCACCTAAATTTAGCTTCAAACCAAACCAATGCTCGATCGGAATACCCATTCTTTCATTAAGAACAAGGGAGTAATTGCAAATTTGTGGCTTACAATAATATTTATTTGAGCGGGATATTATAGTATTCCAGTTTAATAAGTTAATAGCTTGCACGCCAAAATTTCAGTTTAAAAGCAAGAAAGTTCAAATCTTGGCAATTTCCCCCATTTAAAAATTTCCTGCGCACCAAAGATAAGCTTGCTGCGTTGAACTCTAATTTTTCTCAACAAGGAAAAGAAAAATACCGCACATGGTATTAGAAATAGTGAAGATTATCTGTACTTATCTTGGATAATAAGGCCTCTTAATTTCAATTTGTGGGTCCCAAAAGTTGTACTATTCCTTAATCTTAGTTTGCAAGAAACATTGCTAGATGACATTACCAATCTTTTTTAGGAGCCATCAAGTGTCAATTTTTCTTCTATACAGCAATTGACCTTTCTAAGTCCAAATACTCTTAATAACAAAGTCGCCTAAATCTTTTGGCATACTTCAGAAATTTCCAATTAGAATGGCATACTTGTCCATATAGAACAAGCAACAAAAACCTAATTAGGCTAATTTGTTATCCATCTTGTATAAGTTAAGAGTGCCCACAGTTCTTTGGTCCTACGTAATGATAGCTATGGGGGTTTCCTTCTCTGGCCCATTGACAAGTTGAACCGCAGCAAAAGAGAGATTAAAATGGGAAAGATAAAAATTGGGAATTTTCATTTTTGCATAACATTGCCAAGGGCCAAGAACTGAAGAACATTACTGGTTTCCGAAAGACAGTGACAGATTTTTGCTATAAGGAATAAAATATTATAGATTAGATAAGCAAGGAAGCAACTTTTAATGGTGATGACATGTATTTATTTTGAATTAGGGTTAAAATGAAGACAAAACAAATGCATCGATTCTTTCTGTAATATTTATGACCAATGCTAAATAATTAATCTAGCAATTACAGTGTAACAACAAGAATTAAGTAAATAAAACTACACAGAAAGGGCTCTCCTATGAGTGGATATTTCCTTACTCCTAAAATTTTTTCAATGTAGATTGAGGAACATGACAAGGATACTACAGCAAATAACAATGGCACAAATCAAATAATTAAGCCAACCTTTCAAAATCTCACATTTTTAGGGATTTTCTTTATTCTGTTTTTTCTTCTTCCAAATCACCTTTAGATGCAACAGTGTTGGTTTGTACCGGTCTAGATTCTGGTGCATTTCGAATATCCTTTGAAGGCAGAGTGGATGGTTTAATGAGTGTCAAAGAACTGTCATCTCTGTCGAACTCTTCGCCCACGTCATCTGAGTAAGCATACCTGTAGAAGGGATCCAGTAACTAGCAATTAAAATAGGAGAAATTTGATATCTGGACCTAGCTTGTTGTTCTTGAACAGCTGATACTTGAAACAAAATGGGGACCCAGTTAAATAATTCAGAACCAAAAATGTGCAAGAGGGGGAAGAGGAAGAAGAAGAAAGAGAATGCAAAGGTAATTCGCACTTGTTACTACAATAAACTTCCTCATAGTCGAGGTTCGGATTCTACTCAAGCAGCACGGTATTTTAACAAATTTTCATACTAATGGAAGCAAGTTTTTGACCTTTAAAAGTAGTGTTCGTTACCATCCTAACAATTAAATTTTTTGTAAAGGCAAAAATTATCGTAACAATAACCACAGGCACTTCTCAAGCTGCTGGCAGCTGGACTCAAGTAACTACTAAATGCTTCAGAAAGTGTTTAAGATTATTATGGGGTAGAACAGAAATTATCTCCCAAATTAAAAGCAGGAGAAAGACACAACTTTAATACAGTAGCCAGGTCTTACCGCATTGAGTTCTGAGAGGGAGCCCAAAGAGCACAAATTATACATAGAAGAGAAAAGGAAAGGACTTGCCAAAAAGCTGGGATGACCCAAGCATTCTGCCAGTGCTCATTGTAAACGTCATTTGACTTGAAATACAACTGCAAGAAAAAAATTATAAAAATTTGATGAAAAGTGCTTAATAAATAAAGTTCGAAGCAGATCAGAAAGCATCACAAGGATGACCAGATCAATCCACTTTTTTGCTCCACTCTAGATAAAAGCTGGAAAGTGAAAATTTACATGGGGCGAGTTATATAATTTGTAACAATATTATCTCATTCATAAAGCCAAACCCTGTTGTCCTAAACTTTTCTTTTCTCAGCTATGAACCTCAAAAATAGTCACTGCATAAAATTTTGTTGAATGTCATTCCACTCACTAATTCATCTTTTAAGTGTAATCGCAACTGTTAAGTCCTGATACCCATATCTTGTCCGCTCCAAAGATTTTGCAAAAAAAGAACGAATTTTTCCTTGTCATCCATTTCTGAAAGCTGCAGTACTAGCAGCTCAGAATTTATTGACAAAGAACATGTGCAGCAAAATAACAGATTCACAAATAAAATTACCTCATAGCATATCCAACCCACTGACACAATAACTGCTACTGCCAAAGCATTTGTGAATTTCCGGTATATATCTAGCTTGACCATCATCCGTCTAGCCTGTCACATTAAACAAGGAGGAAAAAGTTATTTTTTTTTTCTTTTACATTTTGTTTAACACCCTAACAAGAAACCACAGATAGTATATAAAGCCGTATAACATTAATACAAAAATAAAGATTCAAATTTTCTGTAAATCACAAAAGGTCATCAAAAACATTTAATGTTCCATGCTATACAAAAGGACAGAAAATCAAGAATGTGCTATAAAAGATGAAGGATCAGAATGAAGAAGCAAAAAATCAAGATGAATAACATCGAGCATTAGAAAAATGTACAGTCATCCATTAACCTCAATTTAGCAGATGGCAAACACGATTCAAGCAACTAGCACAGTACTCCTTTTTAGACAGTACAACGCCTGCTGGCCCATTTCAAGTCATCCCAGAATCCTATCTTGATCTAAATAATAGATTTTTATCAGATAACCATGCTATCTGATTAGCCCCCAACAGAAATAGTTCAAAAACATAAAAAAGATGCACAATTATATTGATTAATTTGATGCCAAACCGAGTCCATATACCAAACAAAAGAAAAATAAAAGAAAAACATGCGTTGTTGTCATGCATCAGAAATGCTATTTTAAGCACATGAATTATTTCTTGACACCATTCAAGAATAAAGAATTGCATTATACATTTATACCTACAGCATGCTGAAAACAGATGTACTAATACTAATACACCTCAAATTCAGAATGGCAAACCAAGTACCTGAAGCTTATTTAAAGTGGCCGAAAGGGACTTGAATATCCAAACAATGAAGAAGGCATCCAAGATTGCCACAGGAAGAACCAAAAATAATCTTGCCTTCCCAGAAAGATCACTGACAGCACCAACATTCTCAACTAATTCAAGCACTTCAGAGGCCAAAAAAAATGTCGCTCCAAGCATGATCACCTTTGATGTGAGGCCACCTAGGGTAGGTCTCACGACGCCATAACCCATTGAGACCATGAGAATTATGAGGCGGGCCACCGTACGTTTAACTGTGCCAAAAGTGACTGCCCATATAGTGATTCCAGTTGGCCTAACTCCAGTTTCATTGAATGCAGCATAGTCAAAATACCAGAGAGACATCTCGAACATGCCTAGTGTTATCACCACTGTTATGCAATTCAACAGTGCAAAAACTTCTCTCCAAAATCGTGCATATTGATAGAACCAGAACACTCCAAGAATAACAAAAGCAAGGGACATGAACCCATAGAAATTCATCAGTGGTGCCATTCTACCAGGTAAATAGCCAGTAGGATTTTTCCATATGGTTTTGCCATCTACAAATAATTCTTTAAGATTGGGATCACAATGCATAAAATACAGATTATACATCCCAGTTTTAGTGACCTGTATTGATCTCGATGGCAATGTGGCAACTAGCTCATCTGCATTGAATGAAATGCCAAAGACATGGGGCCAGCTAGGATCCTTTGTTGAAGGCCGATGAATGATTTCTCCTTGTGAGCACACACCCAATTTAGCAAGATCAGCAGTGCAGCAAATAGCTCTTTGACCACCGTAGGCTGAACCTCCAATTGTCTCTCTATCTTCTACTTCGAAAATGATAGCTTGGATAAACCCCGAGTTAAACCTAGCAAATTCCTCAGTTCTCCGGAACACAATCTTTTCAAAACTGATAACATTTAACCATATAAAATTAGTCAAATTAGAAAAGCTTGAACACATAAGTGTGCCAAACAGAATCTTGCAATAAATGAAATTAAAGGAATTAAGATTAAATGAACCTATAGGGAAATCAATCACATTGTCCTCTTAAAACACGCAGTTGTGGGAACTCATATTTTAACTTTGAATGACGAGTTTCAAAATCACATTGCAGCATGTCATGAGCTTGTCTTTCTCAATTAGATGTAGAATTGAAGGACTTGTAAATCACTTCGTCAATCGAAGACATATACACAAGAAATTCATTTAGATCCTTAAAACTAATCACTTGACATCAAATGAATTATCAACTTCAACTGGCAAATCTGAACTAAAACAGGGTAGCGCATATTGAATTACTGAAACAAATTAGTAACTTTGGACATCACAATAGCTTTTCTTCTTACTGAAAAACCAAAACTTTGTATTACTTCGTAAATGTCCAAAATAATTAATAATCTATAATTCAAACAGAAAACCAGAAGCATTCAAACCAAGAAAGACAAAAACAACTTCTGCCCACAAAAACATAAGATCTCATCTCACCATTGTCGACCAGATATTTGAACTGTACACAAAAATCGATAATTACCGTATATAAGAGTCGCCATTAGCAGGGGTGAGATTGCTTTCGTTGAGATTTTCAGCGGTAGAAGAGTAAATCCCTTCACTACCTCCATGAACGACAAATGCATTACCTTTTGCCACAAATCTTTCTCCTTTATAATCATGAACTGAGCCTTCAACGCTAAAGCTCAAGAAGAACCAAACACAACATAAAACTGATAGAACTGATATCGAATTGTAGAGTCTAACCATTTTATTTGAAAATGGTATATCAAAGGAGAGTGTGTATCAGTGTGGGTTTTAGCGTTTTGGATCTGCTTGTGGAGATCTTGCTGTTTGGAAGCTGGAAAAGACCCAACAGAAAGACAGTTTACACTTGAATAGTTAAGGATCGATCTATTGCGTCGATTAGTAACTATTGGATTCGAAGAAATAATACTGTAATAGACTTGAACCAGTAAAACTGGTGTGTTTGAGAGAAAGTGGACGCTCACATCCGTTGGATATTTTGAGTTTGTGGATCCAATGCAGATGAGGACTACGTGTATCGTTATGATTAGTTCTATAGTATGGATTCTGCGTGTGAAATTGTATTGGACAAGGAGAAAGATGTCGGCTTTAGTGCGAGGTCTGTTTGTTTTCGTGGAAAATTAATTTATTTTCTTTCTTCATATTCCAGATCTACTTGCATATAGGTATACACCATTTTCTTACATAGGAGTAAAATATTGAAAAAAAAAAACTATAATTAAACAGATATTATTATTATTATCATCATCTCATATTAATTAATTAAGTTATTAGCTTGTTATAAAATCCATCCATAGATATATATGTACTCCTCTCCACTCCATAGTTCTCAATATGAGTATTGATTCTGCGTGTGACAATCTGTATCTGGACAGGAGTAATAGATGTCGGCTTTAGTGCGACAGAGTCTGTTTGTTTTCGTGAACGATTAACTTTATCTTTCTTTCTTCATATTCCGATGCTACTTGACTATAGGCTCATTATCACCAACCCCTAACCTATATATATACTTACAATAGAGAGTAAAATAATATAGTAAAAAAAAAAACCTATAATTAAACAGATATTATCTATATTATCATCATCTTCATATTAAAGTTAATTAGTTATTAGGCTTGTTCACTCACCACTCACTCTACTATATACTACAGTACATACCTATCTATTATCCCTAGTAATATACTGTATATAATAACTAATAACTTAATATTATATAATACTTGAAATAAGAATAATACGAAATTAGTGATTGGCAGCTACGGCAAGATTGGTTTTTAATTTAGAAGTCTCTTCGGTTTGATTATGAAAAATTATATATAAAACTTGAAATAAGAAAATAATAAAATAGAATGAAGTTGGCCCAGCACCGCCCCCAGCTTACGCATTGGTTTTAGAAGTCTGTTGATATGAAAATTGAACAATTTACGTGCAGATTCAAATAGTGACGTACCAAATAGAAATTGTTTAGTTCAATTTGGTCATTATTTCTCGAAAGCCTGAAGTGAGAGACAGATCATCTCATCTCAACCTAAACTTGATCACCCCATAACAAAGAATGTGTGGAAGCAGCTATTCTAATTTTTCTTGATTGCGCATACAGAGCCATTACAGCTTAGAAATCAAATAAATCTGCCAAAAGCTAAACTTGAATAGAAATTTCACAGAATCAAGCTCTAATTCAATTTATCAAATACATTTCTTTGAAAAATGTTACAGAAATTTTAGAGGAAATGGAAGGCCATCAAATCCCTAAACCAACTGACCGCTAAAATATGTGCGGACCATATAGCCTAGTTGCAGGGATGCACTAATCCAAATCAAGGAACTCCATTCTCTTCCTCATTGTGCCTTTTAGATCTGTAGCCTCCCTTTCAGCTTTCTGTGCCTGCAAAAGTTATAAGACTGGAAGTTAATGCAACAAGTCTCCACAACAGAGTTAGTCTAGAAAGGTCAAAGTCCAGTATGTATGCATCTTTATCTGCTAGAAGACCACAAACCATTAACAACATATTTTTCAAAATCACAGAACAGGATATCTATTTATTTGCTACTCATTTCTTTCACACGGCAATAACAGTCGCCCTCCCATTTTTAAATTTGCAGGTCTGTCATATAACCTCTTCACCGAATATGGCGATCTACACAGTACAAGTAGGATTTTTTTATCATATTAAAGGCGTCTCTGTTAGAGAACATATCCTCAGTCTTAAGCTATTAAAACAAAGAAGTTTAGCATCCATTTTATATTCTGAACCCAAGGAAAGCAATTTGAATCAATATCCAGGAAAGAAAATTTGCCATCATTGACTCGGTCCATGCACCCGTAGTATAATATCAGGTACTTATCATCAAACAGGCAACTTTCACAATTAAAGGATTGACAGAAAACCATTAAATGATTAAACAGCATATTAACAGCTCATTTTGAAATGGTATGTAGACACACATATTGGATCGAGTAAGACCCTGGGTATTGAAACAACCCACTGATCGTGGTGATCACCACAGCAGATAAAATTACCTGACTCCAAAGAAATAAAGAAAAAGTTGCAAGAGAGACTGGCAGAGCAAAGATGAAACACAACCATGCCTAAGCAGTATAAGCAACCATCCAAAAAGAAATCAATCCTCAATGGAAGTAGTAAAAGACCATAAAATTCAATTCAAATGAAAATTTTAAAATTTCAGCTGGGAACTAAAGGGTTAAAATAGAAAGTAGTGTTTCAAAAGGAAGTCGGACTTGTTCGTTACTCTATCAGAGAAGCTTGTACCTTCCAAGGCCAGGCAACTTGACAATGTTGAAAAACAAACACAATTAAACAAAACACTAATCCTATTTCATTGCAAATTTGCAATTCCAACTGGGGAGTAGCAGAAATTTAGGGTTCAAATAAATAATAAAAGGGCACCCAATTAAAACACACTAAATTTTTTTATCTCATCATGCAGTAATTTGACAAAATTGATACGAACTTCAACTGTGAAGTCACAATGAAAAAAGTTCATATAAGGTATTTAAAACAACAGAATGTTTTACTCCAAGAATAATGTGGTATTATTACCTAGGCTTCATGAAGAAATTACAAAGTACTGACATCTAAACAGTAAAGTTTATCCAACTGATTCACGAAATTTCCAAAATTTTTCTTCAATTTTCACCTTGTCGAAGTTTACCAAAATTGCAAACCATCATAAACGAACTCATTACGTACATAATACAATGAAGAAAAATCAACAGCATAAGCGTCCAAGGAAAATGGTGCATAATACAAGATACATAAATTATATTTTTGGGTACCTCTTCCAAATAACCATCAACTTGAGACACATGCCAGCCTAGATTAAACATGCATATACCATTTGGACTCCATTAACTACAAACCGCATGAAGTTTATATACCTTCTGCATGGAGCTTATCTTTCGAGTAAATCATGCCAAAAGAACACTCATGTTCAGACAACAATATTTGAGTGCACCCGGAATTGCTGTGTCCGGAACTTGTGGACCATACAACCATGTAAAACCACAACCTTGTTTGCAAGTCTAGCCATTACTAAAAATTACTGATAATAATGGATAGACTCTATACCAGGAAACTATAGTACCATTGAGAATTCCAAACCTAAATATGATGATGCATCACAAAGTCTTTCCAGCAACGCTAACAATAGAAATAGTTTGTAATGCAACAAAACATCAATACCACATACCCTTCTAATTTCAGCAGCTGAAACACGAGTCATATGTGACGGAAGTTCCTCCCTCTCCAAATTCTAATAAGAAAAATGCAAATTTCATGAGAACAAAAGGCATGAATGAAATAATACATGTTAATAATCAAACAACCAATCAATATATACCAGCTCTCCAATCAAAACGACATTCTCGCCTCGAATAACGTATAGACCTAAAGGAATGTCGCAATAGAGATCACCAACAATAACTCTTTCACATGCACCCTCAAGTACAGCGTTCGCTGCATGCCATAAATATGTAATTATTTATTTATTTTGCATTAAAAGAGTCTAGTAGCATGTAAAACCATTGATATGGAAGGACAGGGGAAAAGAAAAACACTTACCAAATTGGTCAAAAGAACGAAGTATTCCCAGGAGCTTCCGGCCATCCCGCAGAAGCACAAGTAGCTTCTCTGAAACCAAAAGTAAAAGCACAACACAAACAATTAAAAAGAGAAAATATTTTTTAAAAAATAAAAATGGTATCTGAAAAATAAGCAAGCATCAACTTGTACTGCAATGTTGCAGAGTGGATATCATCTATAATACTCTCATCAATATAACTATGATGAGATAAACAATTGGAATGAATAAAGATGCAAATAACACCATGCAGTTACAGTGATTTCAAAACCGCACAATCTTGCAACAAAACCAACAATAGAAAGGAGGAGAAAGTGGATTCTGAACTCTCAAGGATATAGAAGAATATAAGGAACCATTAAAAACCTTTTTCTTTTCAGTCTTTTAACCCATGTACTAGTAAACTGTAAATCCTTAACACCAAACTATCAATTTCTGTCAAACTTTTAAACGTTGTAGCATCCAACACAAGCTAACAATCCAAAGAACATACAGATGAGAGGAAGAGCTTACTATCAAGATAGCTAGCAAGAGAAGTAGAAAGGTAGATATCTTCCGGGCCTGCCCAAGACATCGAAAAGCTCAAGCTATAAACTTTTTCGGTATTGCAAAAATCACCGAAAAATTCGTCGAACACCAATCCAAAAAATATGGCATTGGCTGGTCGCAATTCCTCCTTCTATCACCCCAGCAGACTCTCAATCCTACTTCAATCAAAGAATACTAAACCAAAAGAGAACAAACCCCTAATCTAGCGATGAAATCAAAAGTCAAAACACAACCCCCTAACTGATTTTATCGCCAAGAACACCTAAATTGCTCAAAAAATTCTCCAAATTCAGGTTACAAACCCTAAATACTTCTTCAATCGACGAGAACAAGCGGAAAAAATATAGAAACAAAATTATTGTACGGATCTTAAAAACAAAAAACTAACAATTGGGAATTTCTCTTCCGGATTGAAGGAACCAAGTGGGATTGGTAAAATAACTCACTCAGATCCAATCGCACCGGAAGAGATCAGGAAAGAGTAGAAGAGCAGATAGAAGCAGAGAGAGAAAATGTAGAAAAATTAATGCGGTAGGCAAAGCAAGTAAAAAGAATTTAATTAGGGTTTGGTGTTTTGCATGGTGGAGATGAGGAGGTTATGCGAGAAGTTGTTGACGCTGTAGCTTCTTGCTCCATTTTGTTATTGCTTTTGTTCGAGTTTGGCTCTACTCCTGCTGCTGCTGCTATTATTATTATTATTATTAAAAAAATTAAAATTATCTCTAAATTATTATAGTAGATTAATAATACACAAGTATTTTTATTTTTAAAAACGCATATTATAATTTCATTAACATTCTAATCCTTTTATAAAAAATAACCTTTATTGACTATCAATTCACTAAAAAATCAATCCCTAAATTTTAACAAAGTAATTGTAAAGGCGGTAACACTTTAATTCCTATTTTTTACAATAAAAATTATTATTTTGTATTAAATTGACTATAATTTAGATATTATTTATTTTTTCTGTTATTATTATTATTATTATTATTATTATTTTGAAGGCAACATTCAAATTTACTCTACTATTTGCCAACTTCAACATGATTAAATATGTCAATTTTCTATCACTTGATTATGCATATATATCTTTATTAATTATTAATTAACATTTTCGGTTGCATATTCCTAATTTTCAACCATTTCATCAAATTCAAATTATTCAATTGTTAAGAATCTGAACCTAATAGCAAACTAATCAAATTCAATTAGTAATATATTAATATTTGAATTTATCCAGCGTGTCATGACCAACACATTTCAATATCAATTAGAAAATACCTAATTAGTAAATGTAAAACATATTTGATTTAAGAACTCATCTTGATTTAATAGTAAATGAACATTAATTATTTTGTTAAAGAGGCTGTAATCGATTAAAAATGAGAATTTCAAGGATTGAATTAAACTGAAAATGCAAGTTCATTGACTCGAGTATTTACAGTGGAATTGAATTTTTCTCTCTTGGACATAGGTTGGACAATAATGATCCATGAGCCATGGTGCAAAACTGAAATGGTCCACAAAAGTCAAGGGGTCGGTCGAAAATCTAGCCCATGGTCTAGGATTTCGGACCCAACAAAAAATTTAGAGATAGGCTGAAACTTGGAGGTAACAAACCAATTTTATGATGGATACAGTTCTTTTTCACATGCAATATAGGGTCTAGCCCAATTACTTGTTAAATATTCTTATTTTACTTTTCTTACCCCCATCCATTAATTTCCCTTATTGTCACTCTAAATGGTCTTACCTTTCAAATTCATTCATCAATTCCTATTTTGTTTTCATATATAAATGCAATTAATAAACTCGGAAAATCCATACTTTTGTTTGCCACACAGTCGGAATAGAAGGAAAGTAGAAATTATTAGATCTTAATCCGAAAATTCAGTTCACTCACTATATATCTTTTAGAGACAAAAATCCTCACTTTAGTTCGAAATAGATGATCATTAATAAATAAAGTAGCACTAGTGCATATTCATTTGAAAAAAATATTTTCATGCCCTCTATTTAGTCACAAAAATAAAATCCCTCCTTGATGAACTAGTAATGTAATAATGTCTTAGCAAAATATTATTCATGTTAAAATATATTACAAAGATCAAACTTAGCTAGAAAAGAAAAAAGTGTTATTAAACAGGACAAAAAATGTAGAGAATGTCTAGCTTTTGCCAGTACAGACTACAGAGAAATCCTTGGACTGTATGTTTCTTAACATGTATTGCACTGAAACTACTTATCAGATGCAACCATGAAAAAAAAAGAAGGTAAGGCCCAGACAAGAAAAGTGTAGAGCATTCTTCATTAAGTCTTTAATTTAGTGGTCCTCAAGATCCACACTATATTTTAGCTGTTATTATTGCTGCATGCATGTATAATCATAATCCCCAAGCATTTCACTTCTCAAATCGAGTTGAATCTGCAAAATTAAATAATAAAATTAGCGAAAATAAAGATATAACCATATTCAAATTATGGGTTCAGTGTAGAAATATATCTTTATTGATATAAATAAAGGGTGATCTTCGTGCACGAACTATTCTATATTTGATTTATAAATCATGGATTGGGAGGGTTGATGTATGCAGCTTAACTCCAACCCATGACTTTCAAGTTCCAAGTCACAAATGGAACAACTTTTATGCATAGTGTGAAAAAAAAAAAAAAAAAAAGCACTCTCTTACCTTGTAATATGAATTCTTAGAATAAGTCTAGGCCATCTTAAATCTCTAGAACGATATCTGCAATGGAAAACAAGATACCCGTTAAGAAAGCTAATTAAGCTATAGATTAGAAGGACAAAACTGCTTACTGAAAAAGTTAACTTACATTCAGAATCTGTCTTCACCCATTTACCCCCATCATAAGTTTTAGTTCTCCTCTCATCTTCCTTCTCTTTCTCTTTTTCCTTGTTTGATATTTGTTTATTATCTTCAAGATATTTCTTCATTGATGATGCCCCGGAAGCATTTTGATGGTTAATCTTCTTGTGAAGCAATGTTCTCAAAAGCTGTGGACAAAAATTATATCAATTATATTAATGGATTTGCAATCGTTCAAGGATATAAGGACGCCCTATAGTGTTCTATTGCCCATCATCATTCTAAATTTTAGATGCACTAACAAAATAAACCAATGCTAAAAGGACAGAAAAAGAAAAAGTAAAGCTAGGAAATGTAATAAAAAATGCTCTAATTTTTCTGTGTACCTTTTCCATTCTTGATTCTGGAAGAGGATCCCTCAAACTGGGTTGTGGTGCAAACCCACTTCTGCATACAAACATCTTCTTGAGAAGAAAAGTGATTGATTTCTTTCCAATTGCTTTCTTTTTATTTTTCTCACAAATATCTTTGCATCTACCAAGTATAACACTAATCGTCCTCTCAATATCTTCTTCATTATCATCCATATCACTTGTAACTGTATTACTGATTCTTCTGTCAACTTCCAAGCTTGATGGACAATTGAGAAATCTATCCAGTGGAAGGGTTTTAGCAACTTCCTTTTCTTTATCAGAGGTTGGTCTTTTTGTTAAAAGCTTTGTCAACTCTTTTTGTAATTTTCCAATTTCTTCAGGTGTGAAATCTCGTAAATCCTCAGAGGAAGATGGATCTTCTTCTTCTTCTTCTTCAACATTTTGGTTTTCTTGAACATTTTGAATTTCAAGATTTTCTGATGAACTTATTTCGTTATTGCCAAAAGTTCCAATTGCTAGCAACCCATGTGGCCAATCGCTGAATTCCTCTCTTGAATCTTGTTTCATATGATCTACACATGAATAGAGACATCAACTTATTTAGGGTCTTTTTTCAATTTCAACTGTTAAAAAATGAGAGTTGTTAATAGAAGTCTAATAGAAACTAAATTAAACTTTGATAATTGATTGACTTACCTACATACGGATTTTGAAATATGACTATACATGCAAGTGATATAAGAATTTCAATATATTTATTCAAATCTCAATGTAGATTTATTTTAAAATTTTCCTATCACAATACAAACTTTAAAAGTAATTTAATTAGAATCTACATTGGAATTCTGATAAAAAAAAAAATCGTGTTCATTTGTGAATTTTGCTCATGAAATCAGTAACTAAGATATTATAAAACGATCAGAAACTGAATATAACCAAAAAGAGATGGAAGATGTTAAATGCTTACGAGTAGATGAAGCTGTGTTTGGTTTTTTGTTACCATTAGCTTGTTTATTGCCATTAAGCTTACTGTGCATCCAACTGAAGAGCTGCCACAAAATAAGAAATTCCATTAGAAACAATATAATATGCATGAATTCGTTAAACTATCTTTTACATGCTAAAACAAACCCACCTTCATTTTTGAGCTTTGCTTTGCCTTTTGGGGTCTGAAAGAAACGAGAGAGAGCTTTTACCTGTGCAGAAATGCACTTAAAACTCAAAAACTCTGTTTCAAAAGACAATGAGAGTTCAGCTTCGGAAATATCAAAAGATTAAAAAGATGGGATTTTGATGAATTTGATGGGCTGAAACTGGAAGCTTGAGCTTTGATTTCTATAGGTTCAAGTTCCCAAACACAGCCTTTATATTAATATATATTTGTAGTATTTGGTATTTCATCACCTTTTTATCTTTCCTTTTCTTTCTGATTCTCTGATCCTCTCCACTTTCTGATCAGGTCCTATAAGCTGAGACAACTAATATACCTCCACACACACACACATATCCCACTCACCATAAGGCATAAAGACATTCCCTTTTAATTATTTTTTAATTATATTGTGACTTTACGCTTTTCCAGTCCAATTATTAGTAAATTATATATTTTTTTAACACATGGGTTTTGAAGACCACAGACTTTCTTCTTGAACGACCTCTGAACTTTGCTTCGTGGCAATAACAGTGTCCATTCGATTGAGGTAAAGCAATCTATAGAAAAGTACAAAGTAAAAGATAATAATAACAATTGTAGATTTTTGGGTTCAATCTCCGTACATTTGTGATCTAACGATCGCAGGTTCGTCACGAATGTAATAATGCATATATATTATTATTTATTCAGTTTAATTTTTCTCCTTAATTTGCTTTATGTAATTAAACACATATGTTAACCATAAAAAAACATATATTACTATATATTATATGCATTATGTATTTCAAGTAAGGGTCAGGAGAGAAATGGTTAAAGAATTATGAAAGAAACTACCAATTCTGAGTTATAAAAATACTCCAATTGCTGCATCAATTTATACACAATAGTTTATATAATATATATATAAAATGAATGAAGGGAAGTACGAGGAATGACTTGCAAGTTGCTTACATATTGTGTAATTTTGTTTTAATCTATCAAAAACCTTTAAAATTATTTAAGCGGTAAAAAGTGAAAGACGAGAGCAAAAAATTTATTACTACTTCGTAATTAGAAATGTAAAAACAAGTATCTAAAGTATAATTTAATACATGAAAATGTTATTCCAGCCTATTGAATCTTTTAACAAATAAAAAAATAAAAAACAAAAAGAAGACTATCAAAGAGGAGAAGATTGAAATGAAGTTTGCCTAGCCTAGGGACCTTACTTAAAAAAGCTAAGCCAACAATGAGAATAGGCCAATGAGGACACACAAGGAGAACCATACCCGCGCTTTGGACAGCTACTGGGAAGCCTGCGAGCCTCCAGCAACCAGACTTCTTAAATAAAGGCTATAAACCTATCTTTCCAATTCCCAACCAAAAAGGATGTAAATTTTATCAGATCACAACTCCATTCTACTCTTTAATCTTTAACAGTATAATTTATTTTAAATATTATTTACTTTTATCTTTTTTAAATATTAGAAAGGAAATTACACTTTGAGTTTTCATCTGAATCTTATTTGCGTTTATGATTTGCTAAATAAAAGTGTGCCACGTAGATTATTGATCATATTTGGCACATTTTTATTGGTATATTAATATATATCACATCTTTGATCCACTTTGATGAAAGGTTTGATCCATTTATTATATTTAATGTTATGAGTAGTTAATAATAAAATATATAATAATTCAATAATGATAATTATCATATGTGAAAAATTGGAACATGCATCACTTATTTGTAGTAGGTATTTATGAGTTTCAATATATATACTCTTTCTTTTTCTTTGAAAAGAGTTTTTTTGTGTAAATCACCAGTATCAGACTCTATAATCAGGTTTAATTACTTATTACATTGTGCTATTTTTCTGTTTAACACGACATTCATTATTTTCAAAAAAAAAAAAAAAAAAAAAAAAAAAAAAAAAAAAAAAAAAAAAAAAAAAAAAAAAAAAAAAAAAAAAAAAAAAAAAAAACAGTTTAAAAGATCTTAAATCTATCAAGTACCGACCAAGAGAGATTTGGCTGTCTCTCAGGAGAATGAGAGATCAACGTCATGTGCTTATTCTTTATCGCTATATGCTAAACACTAATGGAGAAACTTTTGAGAAGACTCCATCTTTTGACAAAAAAAACTTGTTGAGCAAAAGATCTCTCTTAACTGGACATGCATGAAATTTAGAAACTCTTGTCACTTTATCAAATAACCATGTGTTGTCAACAGAGGTAACTCTCTTCCTCTTTAATAATTTTATATTAAAAACATATAATAAAATTATGGAAACAACATTAGAAAATACTTGATGTCATTCTTTTTTTTTTTTTTTTTTTTTTTTTCTTTTTTTGGAGCATTGAAGAAGCTACCATCAATAACTTGAGACATCCCTTTCTTTGCAGTGGCAAGAGCAATGACAACCTTAGAACTTTTTTTTTTCCTCAGTACTTGAATCAACTATAATAAAGTTCTTGAGCTATTTTTTTTTTTTTTTTTTTTTTGGAGCATTGAAGAAGTACCATCATACTTGAGACATCCCCTTTCTTTGCAGTGCAAGAGCAATGACAACACTTAGAACTTTTTTTTTTTCCTCAGTACTTGAAATCAACTATATAAGTTTTGAGCTAGATTATGAAAGAAACATTCATGTTTTACCTAAAGCAGAAAATAAAATAGAAGGATAAAGAAAAATTATTTTTTGCCCCATACGATGAAATCAGTTTTTTATCCAAGGCCCCATTAGACGCCGCTCTCTCACATGATTGGTCCAACAAAATGGGTCCCTACTATCTCAGTGTTTAGGTGCTAGGTCGTTACAATTGGCTACGTGTCGCGACATTTTACATCCCATGATCCCCTGTCGGATCAACACGTGTCCCAAAGGGGTCGGATTGACTTTTCCACGAGTACCCCACTTGCAGTCTCAAAGTATTTTCGCTTGGTCTAAATACTAAACATGAGGCATGTAACCAATCCAAAAGCAGGAAAATCTTTTGAAAGAGCCCATCATCCATTTGAGAAATACTCTTCGATTTCCAATTTTTGAATCGACACAATTTTTAAAACCACTTGGTTATTCAAAGCACATGATTGGATCATTCAGTTATCAATAGTATCTTAGGCAAAAACCCATGTTTAATTAAATGGGACCATTAATAGGATAAAAAAGGTGGATTGTCCTATTCAATATTAAAAAAGAAAACAAAAAGGGCTTTTACTAATAGCATGGAAAAAAGTAAGATATAAAATACGTTTTAGATAATCAAAACTATGAAAGATTGACAGACACGAATTTTATTTGGACCACTTGAACCTACAGTCCGCCTCCAAGCAAGGTGGTCTTCGTGTACAATTTCCACCACCACCCCTCCCCCCCTTTTTTTTTGCTTAGTATTTATGAGGTTCATATGATTTTACGTATCTAGTTTGCTATAGCAATCACTAAAATTAAGCATAAATTTAAGAACACAATGGACTCGATTATCACTAACATTAAAAGTAAAGTTTAAAAAGTTTTGTAGAACACGATGAGCTATGTGTAGGATGTTCTTTGGTTTATAGTATCAAAAGCTTTAGACACCCGCTTCAAAAATATCCTTTGAATTCAGGTGTAGTTTATATTATATGTACCGTCACCCTATTCGTCATTAAAATGCTTAAAAATTTTCATTATAAGAAATAACAATATTAATAAATTTTAATCCTCGAGATGCAAGTAAGAAAGCAAAGGAAATGAAAAAGATGAGTCAAGAATCACTCCCACCAAGATAAAGGAAAAAGAAGGAAGCCATGTGGGTTGATAGCAGGTACTAGATGTCTAGGGTTTAGGAACCAACTAAATCTTGCAATGACTTACTAATTCTGGAATGTTATTAAACTTCGGCCACCACAAAACTAAGACCTAGTATGATGTGGACCTCTCTCATCCAGAGAGGGTGGTGGCCATCATTGTTTGACCTAGCTCTGCTTTCATTGGATCTCAGGCTTAACTTAATAATAAACTAAACCTAGCATTAAGACTAAGCAAATGTTTCGTCCTCCATGAAAAACCTCATGTATCAAAATATAATATCTTGCTAGCATGGAATTGAAAATTCTGTAGCCTTGTCTCTCAAATACAACATGCCAACCCTGCAATACTGGCCGCTAACTAGGACATTGTTGGTAACATTGTTCTACATGATAATCAATCATATATTCTTCATTCATATAAATCAATTCAGGTCATGTACCAACTTTCGCTACAGAAAGCTCTAACAAAATGGAAATGCTAACTAAAATTAAATTCAAAGACATTGGAGATTAAACGATTTGCTAATCATTCTCCAAAATTTATATTTCTTTATTGGATAGTGCCTAATATAGCCCTTCATTTTAATTTATTCAAGTGGACATGCCTCGCAAGTTGAAGATGTCAAGGTATAAACTACAACATGGCATGCAACAGCTTACCAAAGTTGTACTATCTTTTGGAACGCAGTGCATCCTAATGTCTTAGGACGAGGGTATTTGGCTGTTCAATGCCAAATAGTGTGCAGAATTTGAATGCATGGATAAAAATAACAGCGAGAGTTTTGGGGTTGCAAGTTGTTTTCCACTACCGCATGCATTTGTTCATGTCTCTAATTATGCTTAGTTCAAATACTGAAAGCTTTTCCCACTACAATGCAGGTTTCTATGTCCCCTACAAAAATAAAGTTTATTTTACTCTAAAATAAAATTCCTGTTAAGTGCCAATAATGGCTCTTTCTGAACTTCAGCTTAATATCCGCAGTAGAGCTCCTATCTTTAGCAAACATCATACTCCATCGAGGTAACCTGATTCTTAAGGGTGATCATTCGGTAATCTAAACTGAATTAGCTCGGTTTCGGTCTATCCAAAAAAATATTTTTATGGTATCCGAATCCAGAACTGAATGGTATAGTAATCGATCCAAACCAATCAAAATGAGTTTTTATATATTCAAACCGATCGATAACTAAATTTCTAAAACTATCTAAATCCGACCAAAATGAGTCAGTTTAGTTCAGTTCTCAGTTAGAAACCGAGAATTGCTCACCTCTACTGATTCTTAACTGTGCTCTTGCACAAGTTCTTTGCACCTGTGTGTGTGACTCACAAATAATAAGAAAAGACTTCCTTTTTTAATGGAATTGCAATTGTAAGCAACCCATTTCATCCACATTTTCAATTTTTTGGCTGACTTGAAACTAGAAACTTAGAACTATTTTAACAGTCTGAGCACTGGTGCAATGTTTAAGAAACTAAAACCACTTCATATGACGACTTGGCTCGACAGGGTCATTTCAAGTATATCTATTATTCAAAGATTCTTATGGACACACAAAAACTGTCTGACAAGGCCTAAAATCAACTGACTTATCATCATAAAGACCCATCAGCCTAAACCTAAAACTCAGCACAAGGCTATATCACTTTATGGGGTTCCAAAAATTTTAAAACTTTTCCAGTAGCCACAATCAAGTTTTCCAGTAGCTATATCACTTTATGGGGTAAAGTTCCCATCCTCTTTAGGGTACATGGTCATGCTCGGCAAACAGAATGACAAAAAAATAGAGCCATCACAAGGAAAGCACATAGCACAATTTCTATTTTTGGTATGCCTGTGTGAGACCATTAAATAACAAGTAATTCTGGCATCATTTTATTATTTTGTAGCAAAATGAAGAATCAAACTAAGACAGTTAAAAGAAACAAATAAGAGAAAAGGAAGTATGATAGAAATTAAAAGTGACACTGAAATTTAAGTCTATTATACAGCATATGGCCTAAATATATGAATTACTTGCCAGTGTTTCATTTCTGAAAGATTTGTGGCAATCATAGAGATGTAATAATGTGTAATTCTGCTCTGAGTACTCACCCTTCATAGTTCATCATGCATTCCAACTAATTCACCTATGGAAGATATTATGATAAACAGCAAAAGTAAAAGCGATACTTTATCAGAAAAGTCTATTTCATAAAAAAAAATTATAGTAAGCATGATTACAGTGGCTCTTCTTAGTGTACACTTGGTACTTCAACTAGCAATCAACCATGACTCTAGAGTTACATACTCATTTGTTTCCTAGGAATCTTCAACCAAATATGTTTTATTTTCACATGTTTTAGCAAAATGATGAAGAATTCTTCACATTATTTACTGATAGTCATATATATAATTGTAATCAAAGAAAATAATCAATTTTTTTTATGCACGAGGGTAAGATTTCATTTCTGTTCTAATGGTTACAGCAGATTTTGAATAAGGACTAAAATCTAGCAAATCATGTCACTAGGATCCACATTTTGAGCTTCAAAATAAAACATTTGTTTTGTTAATTTTCAAGTAAACGAACAACATTGCGGAGGTATCTACCAATGAAATGAAAGGAAAATACCATATCTACAGTAAAATACAGAGTCAATTTATCTGGAGTGACTAGTTGAGTAAATCATTAGGAGAACAGAATACACTTTTTGTGCCATAAAAACTCAATTACTCACTTATGTGTGACTAGTATTCAATAATGGATTCAAATTATATGACAACCTTTTAACTATATTACTAGCATATGAGGTTACTCACTGAATTATGGAAAAGCACCAAGATTAACTAATCACAGTCATTACTAGGACTTGGCTAATATATATACAAAGACAAATATCCTGAAGGCACTAAATTCCCAATAGAATAGTGTTAAATTTCACTGCAAAATAATAGCAAGATATTCTTTTGATCAGGGGCAGATTGATATCCATTTGAGCAATGTAACATGAGCCCACTCAACTTGATGGGGCAATTATTGTATGTTGGTATTACTGGAACAAGGTGGACTGAGAATTATTTTAAAATAACAAACTTCAGACATTTTCTTTTATATTTTGAATTTAAAGTAAAGAATGTACAAATTGGACACTTTGCTCTGTAGCCTTTTTTTACGGTGGACTGAGAATTGAGAGGGGATTATCAACATTTGAACCTTTGACCTCCTACACTAAAAAACAAGTAGTCAACCACTGAACTACTTGTCTAGTGGCATTTCATATCCTTATTGTAGTAAATCGAAACTAATCTATAAATTTAATTCTTCATATGTTTTCCAATTTTACTAATATTATGATAGCTTATTATTAAGACATATTGAAGCTCTTATTGTTCATGATTTGCATTCTTAATAATATTTCTTTCCTTCAAAAAATAATAGCTTATTATTAATGTTGATTTACAAGTAATTTTTGTTATACTTGCAAGCAATTATAGAATGAATGGAACCATTTAAAGTGATTTGTGGCTTTGCCACTATTGATAATGTGCAGGAGTATGGTGCAACTGCTGAGCACAAATCTAGGCCCCATCAATACACGCTCCATAAGAATAGGCCAAAATTGACACCAAATAAGTCTGATGTTTCATTGAATGCCTAAATAGTATGATGATATAGATGCATTATACAGACTCAAATGGTCATTTTATCTATTCACATCAGATATCGACATATTATCATGATTTAGTAATCCATGCCTAGTAGTAAAAATGATATGTCTGTAAATTCATGATATAGGAACAAAGACAAAGCCTTATTGTCTTAGAACAGCTGTGAAGGTGTAAATACAAAGTGCCAATCCAAAGAAAAAGATGAGAGGTAGGAACTGACCTGATGATATCTCTCCAAAGAAGAAGGAGATTTCCCTTTGAGCTGATTGAAGAGAGTCTGAACCATGAACACAATTCTTTTCTAAATCAAGCCCACACATTGCTCTTATGCTGAAAATATCAGAAGAAGCCAAGAGGAGAAAAGTGAGCAACAAAGCTACATAATGAAGAAAAGGATGAAGTGGCACGTGAACCAAATTATAAGGCATAAAATAGGATGGACTGGAGATAGGAGCTCATAGGGAAAGAGCAAGACAAAAGGAAAAAAGAAAAAAGGAAAATGAGAATACAAATAACCTGTTTGGGTGAGTAACCTTAGCTTTGACTGCATCAGTTGGTCCAATTACAGTACGCCAATCAGCAACTGCATTTTTCTTCTGCAATACAATAACTAGCACTGGACCACTGAGAAAAACAATGTATATCAACTTATATTACATGATAAGTCAATGATTTTATAGATGCCAAACCAGAAAACTAACACATAATTGAAATGCAAGCAAACCTTAATATGATAAGAACAATGTAGCAACCCTAATGAATCCTCATTACTGTGGTCGTATGACTATTTTAAATGGAAGTGCATGATTTAACTATCATATATACTGAAGCTGCAAAGATGAAGGCTAACTATTCTTCATGTAAGGATCCTAATATGGACTTCTCCTTGGAGGACAACAAAGGGAAAAGGAACAACATTAATCGACATGTAAATTTGGAATCACCAGAAAGGCACAATTAATCGACCAACATAAGCGACTATGACAACATGATTCTGCTTTGGGTAAGCATGTAGAAATTTCTCATAAAGTTGACGACAAGAATGAGGTAATGAGGAATGTTAAAGTTTGCTGTAGCCTTTGCTTCTCCTGTTTGTTAAAAGCAATGTTGCATAACCTAATTTGGAACTAATAAAAGATTGAGCAAGTATGGAAATTAAGTTAAAGGCCAATAGTGTAAGTTCAAATTGAATTGAATTACTCCAAAAGAAAAGTAACTTAGAATTGAAGATACCTCGTCATGTATTTGATAAGACTTGAAAAGAAGCTTTTTGAAGAGTGCTCAGCATAAAACGTCGAAGCACGTTCTTCATCAAGTTGCGTGATCGTTTCCCTTAGGATGCTGAAACCAGAGTCCATAATAACATTTTTTATCCTTTCAGTGTAGTTGCCTAACAATCCATCCGGCTTTATTATAGCTAATGTCTTCTCTTCTGTACTTCCGTCGCTTGAAGACCTAAATTCCATAAAGAACTTAATATTGTAGATCAGACAAACTAATTGAAATAAAAAGATCTTCTAGGATAGAATTGCAGTTATTCGATATCTACAACTTCCTTGCAACATCTTTTACGTCTAAACCATCAAATTATCCTAAATATGAAGTTTCAGCAAGCACTTCTCGATTAAATCATTCACGAAACCATATTTTGAAATTGCAAGATATTGATACAAAAGAGTACAAAAAAAAAAAAAAATTAAATCATTGCTTGAAAAGTTCATAGCACTTCCAATCGACGGAATGTAATCGAAAAACAAACAAAAAAATAAACCCTAAGTCATATGTTTACCTGACAGGGAAAGGCATGGAGACCAGAAGGAAGAAGAAGAAGAAGATAGTGCGAATAACCATTTGAGGCCGGACACCGAAAAAATCAGCGAGCAGAAACACAGAATCAGAATCAGTATATGATATTTATATTTCTATCATCAAAGGCAGAAAATTAAATACTATAACAGATGAAGGCCTTTAGGAATCGAATGCTTTGGATAATTGGCATTGTTAGTAGTAAATTGTGGAGAGAGTGTGGTTCTTCTTTTATAATTGGTTGGGTTATTTTGATGATTTTGTTGCGAAACAAAAATAAAATTTTACCTCGAACAGAGAGGAGAAAGGCGGGAAAAGGGAGAGAAGGGCAAATTAGGCGCAGAAAAAAGATTTTGACGTATGATATTTGCGCGAGGAAAATTAGGGCAAGGGGGTTACATGTCCAGACCCAATTAGGCCCATTTATAGATAAATTTGATGGAAAATATTTTTTTTTTATTAAAACAAAGTATCTTTTTGGACAAATGTGTTTCTTTTTATGTATTAAAGCCGGTTTAAATATTTATTTATTTTCGTGTATGCGCAATGTATATTTCCTATTTGATCAATAAAAAAAAAAAAAATGGAGTCTGTATAATTCTTCACATGCTCAACATCATCAGATTTTCTAACTTCCATTACAACAGAACAGTAGTTCACATTACAGTTTCTGCACCTTAATTTACATGTTAAACAACCATTTTTACATCATAATTTATCCAAATTTATCCACATTCGCAAAGCTCATAACAACAGTTCAGGCATTCGAAGCAGGCTAGGGCTACACAAAGTTGTGAGAGAGCTATAGAACATTGGTTGTTCATACGTGAGCAAGTCTGAATGAAGCACATGCAACAGAATCGATCGAGCAGCTTGCTGCAGCAATTGGAGGCAGCATTAACTAGCACTTCTGTAGCTTCAGGTGACTTTATTTCATCTGTTCCTGGATCGAGCAGCTTGCTGCAGCAATTGGAGGCAGCATTAACTAGCACTTCTGTAGCTTCAGGTGACTTTATTTCATCTGTTCCTGGAGGAATGTTTGATGCTGTCGCAGCCAAGTCTCCAAAGCCAACACCGAGGTTCCCCAAGAAAATGACCTTCTGGATTTCCGAGTTCACTTGTCTAAGTGAATTAATTTTGTTGAATACCTAGTTTCACAGATTATTTAGTAAACTATATAAAGTAGCTACATGACATGTAAATATTTCTTCATTTGCCATTTAATATTTCAGTCAATAACTAGAAAAACCAGTTATGATATAAATTTAGGGTGGCAATTGAAATAAATAAGGAGAAAGATGAAAAATTGTACCTCCTGCATCAGAATTTTTTCTGTTGCTTTCTCCCCAGTATCAGTCTGATGCAAAATCATATGGGTGTATTCAGATGGAACCCCAGTTTGAATGCTCATTTTCGCAATCTACAATAGAACAGCTTATGGAAATTAAGTTTTTGTAAAAGAGAGAATGACCATCTTCATGCACATATGCTAGCACAGGCCAAGCCAAACTTGGCACTGAACTTCTCCCTTTCTCTCTCTCTCTCTCTCTCAGAGTTTAAGATAGCTTGTGGTTTATTCAAACTGAATATTATAAATTACACAATAGAGTTCCAATACAAATTCAATAGCAAACCTGTTGCTCAAGGTCCTGGCTTTCTGACATCCATGCATTAGCTGTGAGAATGTCAATTTGTCTCCTTGCAAGCACCTGGAAATTGCAGAGTAAAAGAAATAATTAGAGAACAGCTAATTTCAACCGCAGCAATATATAATGAATGAGTATGATCCTCCATTGAAGAACGCGGAGTTCAAATATGAATTACTGAATGATGAAAAAAATTCATTCTTGAAACCAGAAACAAATTCACTTGTGTCTACAATTTGAAGAGCTTATGTATCAGACAGAGTTCATCATGCTTGACAACCTATTTCTGTGAAAAATTGGTGATGTCAAATGTAAAGCAAGTTACAGTGTGCCTAAAGAAAAAGAAATTACTCTATCAAGTTGCACATCCTTAGCCTTTTGTGATTTCAATTCTATTGTGAAATTGCTCATGTCTGCCAAGATACCACTAACTTTAATTGATTCTGGAAAGTTTCCATTATATCTGCCTGATACAAGCAATGGCATGCCACTTGAGAGATCCGGAATTCTAAATGGAAGAACCTGCAAGAGGTTCAAGAAGACAAAATGTCAGAACAGTTGGAGATCACATGAGACAAATGAATAGAAAGGCCTCCAGTTAAACAACTGTACAATCATATACTAGCAACTGACACTTAGAAGGACAACAGAACAGAACAGTTGGATATCAAATGAGACAGAAGAATAAGAAGGCCTCTGACCACTATGCTATCATATTAGCAAGAGACAGAGTGCCAGAATGACTGTACAGAAGATTGGCCATCATGAAGTTTACCTCAAGTGAATCAAGATGTTCCAAGGCATCCACAGTTATATTGGCTAGAATGACTGATGAAGCAGTTGCAAATAATCGCTGCATTCGAAAATCAACCGAATCTGAAAACAAAATCAATATAGACATGTATGGTGTCAAATCTTTTTAATGCTGTTACTTCACAGTGTAATTATACGAAGGCACCTTCTCCCTGTCCAAAAGAAAACAACTAACCTGCATCATATGCACTATCAAAATAACCACTTCCAATTTGTGCTAGCATTTGCAAGAAATAGTGGTTGCAATATGTACCTGAAAAGGTTTTAACAATTTATTAAAATTCTATAAGGAATATATAAACGAACATTCTCGTATGCTTCTCATATGAAGAGCTATGGGCACAGCTTTGTCACCCATCGTTACATGACAAATGACATTGACACCAATGTTTTTGATGAAAAATGTCAATCAAGTAAGTACAAGGTAATCTGAACAATTCTGAGAGCCATGACCTACTAAAAATTTTGTGGGAAGAAAACTATCATTTGAATTAAATATTAGTGAACCATGAGAGCACCAGATTCATCATAACAACTGTTAGAAAACAGGAACTTTTGTTATTTCTTCAAGCGAGTTACAGTCAAATAACGCCAAATTACATGAAGTGGCTGGTTTTTTTTCATATCTGGGTGTCAACAAAGAGAAATTTGACAAGGTTGGCCTTGTTTTCTGCGCGTGATTGCCATGAAACTAGTATGCTAAAAGCTGAGCTTCACCATGCTCAGTGACAGTAAGTCCAGAATATTCATTTCAATAACAAAACAGCTCAAGGTCAATTATGAATTAAATTATGAGGATTGAAGCATTAGAGTTTCGTGGGCTTGTGTATATGTTAATTGCTTACACAGGAACAATTTGTATATTCAAATGCAGCTCCACACGTGCAATGTCAAAAAAGATATCAAGACAACAGGAGTCCAACAACTAAAGATATAACTGGAACGTCAAACCTTACCAATGCCAAATGTACATATCCGAGGAGAAATTGGTCCTGCACCTGTGAGAGAGCCTTTTACAAAATTGCAAATATCTCTTTCATCTTCAACTGCGCCATCAGTGATGAGGAAAATAAGAGGCATTGAATCAGTAGTTTCAGCCAACAGCTTCATAGCCTAAAATAAAGCACATTCCTATGTAAAGAGTCTGCACATATTTCATAAAGAATATCTCATTTATAGATGTAGAAGTGAAAAATGCTAAAGCCACATTCCTATGTAAAGAGTCTGCACAATAATTTCAATAAAGAAATATCCTCATTTATAGATGTAGAACAGTGAAAAATGCTGGATCCAAGACTCCTTGGAATACAGAAAAAAGGGGGGGGGGGGGCGCGGAGTTAATGCACGGGGGGGGGGGGGCGCGGAGTTAATCAGCATTATATGTAGTGTAGGCCACTAAAGAACTCTCACAAGGACAGAGAACAGGATTGAGGAAGAGAGATGGAATGGAATAGCAAAAACGGAACCTGGAAGGACAGTATGTAGTATGTTTCCTTGTCTCAGAACATACAGTTTCTTGCAGAGATGGTTGAGAACAAGTACTGAATATAGAATAAAATAGCATATAGCAAAATGTTGAGAATTCAGTACATAGAATAAAGTTAAAAATATAAGCCAAAAACAAAACTTCAAGACAGTTGTAGCAGATGCGAGTGAGACATTAGCAATTTATACACACCTGTTTAAGAGGATCCAAAATATTTGTTCCGCCATCTGCAATTAAATTATCACTAAGCCACTGAGTAGCTTTTGATATTGATCCCTGCGTTGCAGGAGCCATTAATTGTGAAAATAAGTAGGTCTTCTCGTTGAAAGCAATAATGTTGAAAGAATCTCCAGAATTGAGTTTAGAAAGTGATGATACTAATGCACCCTTTGCATTCTCAAGAGGATCCCCCTTCATGCTTCCACTCATATCAATTATAAAGATCACATCCTTCCTGCGAGCCTAACAGGCTCAAGCAAAAAAAAAAAAAAAACAGATTTTAATGAGCCAAATAGAAAAAAAAAATAAAAAGAAGAATAACCCTTTTTCAATAGGCATGGATGTTTGGTACTTCAAGCTTTCGGGGAAAGCTGACTGGAAACCAAAATTTGAATTTTCCACTGTTCCTCTACCAAGAAAATAACAATACCCATATATCTCAAAAACTTTCTTCTAATCTAAATTTTCTATTGTTAACAATTTTTATATTTGGAAGATGTCTATTTTGTCATAACCAGTATTCCAATTACTGTTTCTATTTGTGCCCCAAAACTTTTCCATCTGGCTTGATTGAATTAATTCAATTCAGACTGGATTATAGACTATCTTTTTCTCTAATCTGATAATTCCTATTACAAGGAAGAAGTCAATGCTAGCAAAACGAAACTGTATTATCTTCATCATCCATTTTCAAAGCCATGAAATTAAATGAAAATACAACATGCTCCAAAAATGCACTCCCATGGAACATGCTCCAAAAATGCACTCCCATGGAAGAAGTCAGATGCTTTGCAGTAATTAAACAGCAAAATGGAGAAGAAAAAGCATGCATCCATTATGATGACAATCCCTTTTTTTCTGAAAAATAAATTTTGGAAGCCAAAATTAAATCCCAAACAAACCTTCCCCTATTCTCGTTGTTTCCAGGGAAATAGATAGAAGCAGAACATCTGTCGTCCCAATCAAAATCTCGGCAAAAGTGGGGACTTGCAGGAAGCACACCAACAAATAAGTCCTCTGAAGAAGACCTGTAAAATGCAACAGTCCAACCAAGAATATATATTAAGATGGCCCATCTCACCACATTGCAATTCATCCTAAGAGGCTCAAAGGAATTTATTTTAGTGAAAAAATACAGCCAATGCTTCAAAAGACTTACAGCCATACGAAAAAACTTAAGTCAGTATTCGACCACTTTGGGGTACGTTCTGCTTCATATAGAGAAACCCATTTTAACCAACCTCACGCCTTAACTCCTAGGAGAGGCCATAACGTTCCAAGTCATTTCCCATTGTATTTTCAGGAGCTGATTGGAAACATAACTCAAAAGATATGAGAACAAACCTTTAAGAGCATGGCTAAGTACTCTTGCATAAATTTCTTTGCCAAACACACTGAAGTTTTCACACTTAACAGTAAATCTTTTCCTCTCTCGAAGTTTTTTGGCCAATGGGGATTGACCAAATTCCTGGAAAATTACAATGGTACATTGAGGCAGAATTGAACCCTCATTATATTACAGCTTTTGAGACCAATTCGCTTTAAAACTGAAATTATTGTCCCTCCACCAACCTAAAAGGTAAAATAGACAACATTAAACATGTTGAAGACAGTATTATGCAACAGAACTAACACAATTAAGAAATCAGATAATATGGAAGTAAATCACCTGTGGGATTGTAAACAGTAAAAATGGCTGCCTTTCAAATAAACGTCCATTTCTCTTTTATTTCCTTTTTCCTTAATCTTTCGTTTCTTCTGCTTGTGAGTTAAATTGACTATGATTACGGAATCTTCCAAGTAATAATCAATCCATCAAGAGACCTAGAATTGAACCCTGTTAGCCAAATCATGCTTTTCTTGAGAACTTCAAAGAAGTTGCTTCAAACAATATTAGCAAAAGCAAGTAAATTGCATTTGTGCAATAATAATATAAACGGAAAGACATGCAAAATTCCAGCCCTGCAAATGCAATTTCTGTGGTAGTAGAAGCAAAATTAGAGGAAGAAACAAAATTGTGACTACCTGGTCTCCCATAGGAATGGCGATGCGGCAATCACACTTGCTACTCGCCTTAATGCAATGCACGCGCCAGTTCCCGCTAAAACTAACGTTTGCATGATCCAAACAACTTTCAACTTCCAACTTCCATAGCTACTCCGTACATATGCAATGGTATCAACGCCGGCGGTTCGCACCGCCCGTGCACGTAAGGCTGGTAACTTGGCACGTCAGGATTGTCTACTACCTCTGGCTCTGGAATCACCGCATAAACCATGAGCGCCGTCGGTAAGAAACTCTCCGATGACTTCGACATTCCAAGTACCGGCGCCGGAGGCAATCCCTTCCCATAGTAAATTCTCTTAGAAAGCTTCAAACCGAAGTCCACACTGGTCTCGAACTCGTCAGCCATGTCGACGGCTACGTTCCAGAGAAATTTTCCCGGCGACAATTATGACGATAAAAATCCAGACAACACAACTCTGCGACAAGACAGATGGGAATAGAAAAATAATTTTGGAGTTTATGACAGCGCAGTAGTTATGAAATGCATGTTGATGTGGCTTTAGAATTTTCAAGTGGCTAGTCGTGAGGACGGAAGGCGAAGGTTGGTTCTTTCTTTTGGAAATTAATCTAGTAGGAGTATTTTAATAGTGATACAACCAGTTATGAAATGACACGTGTAAAATACTTCCCCCCAATCTTCGTATGCTTTTGTTGATATGAACGGATCATTCAGTCAATGTACTTTTCTGGTTTTTTTCTCCTTCAAGAAATTTGTTTATGATAAGATTAATTACAGCAAATATATTTAATCTAAGATCTGAGAAAAAAAGGTACATATACTTATTTTTTTTGTATGAATATTATTTTTAAAAATTATAAATGTAGATTAGATTTAGAAAAAAAAGGTACATATACTTATTTTTTTTGTATGAATATTATTTTTAAAAATTATAAATGTAGATTAGATTTAGATTAAACATGCCATGTTAGCGTGATATGCGTGACAATAAAATGAAAACGTGAACTTATAATTATTTCTCGATAAATAAATAAAATAGTTGCCACTTACAATATTTTAATTAGTATAAAGAGCAATGATAACAAAGTTAAAGCTATGGATTAAAGTAAATGAAGCGCCAGACATAATTAGTACACTACATGATACCAAATGTCACTGTCCTAAACCACGCACCAAGATCGGACGGTGCGGCGCTTATTTAGTACACCCTCAAATAAGTCAGTTAAAGGGATTAATTAGTTATTTATAAGTCAATAATGGTCGTTAGAACAATATAATTCCAATATATAATTATATGGGTTCGGATATAAAAGCAATTTAAGCATAGGAACACACAGCACAACATCACATATAGGGGCAAAATAATAATTCTCATTTATATATCAAATAGTACATCGAGACACAATAATTACAATGAGGCAACCAATGTCACCTTCCATATTCATAAGGGCACTTATAAAGGGCGGACTCTCACGTCCAAGTGACTATAAGCAGAGTCACTCCCCAATGATTTAATTGGATGTCTGCCACTCGACCCACTTCACTAACTAGCGTCCAATCTATGAATGGATGGTCCAGTCCAGTGTCTATCTACCAATTTAAGGCCTTATACTTGTTATGATCTCCACCGTTGGATGATGGTCCCAAAAGATTTGCAGGCTCTGTATGAAGTTACGACGGAAGTGACTCAACGGCAAACGCATACCAAACTATTATTCGGTCGTACTAGACTTGTTTACATCCTGTTCATGAATCCACTCAAATCAGCCCAATAAAAAAAAAATTATAATACATAGATTTGACTATGCATCTTTAATGATTATACTGAAACTCCTCAAACTTCACCTTAATTTTACACTTTCACATTTCAATTTTCATTTCTGCTAGAAACATAAAAGTATAAAACAATGCTTGAATCCAAAAAAAAAAAAAAAAAAAAAAACAAAGCCACAAGAAAAATTGATTAAAAATTTAAAATTAAATTTATATATTAGTTAAAAAGATATTTTTCAAAAAAAATTAAAAATCATTTTATCCTTTTTATTAAAAAAAAAAAAAAAAAAAAAAATCAAAGCCACAAGAAAAATTGATTAAAATTTAAAATTAAATTTATATATTAGGTCAAAAAGATATTTTCAAAAAAATTAAAATCATTTTATCCTTTTATTTTTTAAAATGAACAGTTTAAAATATATTTATATTAATAAAATTTGTTCTAATTGATTTGATTAAATTCATAAATCAAATCTAATCAAATCGATCTTTGAAATATGGTAGCACAATTATATAGATATGTGACTTGGACAGAGACAGACAAGACAGACTTTGATTTGCTGTCATCTTTTTGTTTTTTTCTTACCTTACAAAAAAAAAAAGGCAAGTGCAGTGGATTGCATTGGTACCAAATTTTGACTATTGTTTTCTTTTTCTTTTTTTTTTTTTTTTCCCCCCTTAACAAATGTGCAAAATGTGACCATTTTTTTAAATTGGGTTTGGGTCCACAAGTGATTGATCAAGTATTTAATTGAGCATTGACAATATTAGCATCTACATTGACCCTAATGTGGTCTAAGCATATTATTAACCTACTTCAAAACCAAAGTTTTCTTGATGCCATAAGGACTTTGTCTTTGTTAAACCCATAATTAGGAAAAGAGTAATTCAATCCCTTGCTTTGATTCTTATGAAAGCATGAAATAAATAAATATATATTTAGCTATGAAATGAATTGAAATATTATCATGGCTACGTAAATAAATTTTATAGTTGAATTTCAATTTGAAACTTTTTTATGCTCCACGTTGTTATAAGAATGAAAAAATAAATTAAATTATATATAAAATTTGAAATCTCCATCTATTAAAAAAAGAAACTATAAATTTATAAGAGGGAAAACTATATAGACGATCAAACTATCTAAAAGATGCATTCATAAAAACAAATGAAAAATACGGGAAAGAAAAAATGAGAATATAAAAAGTCAGTTTCTGAGTTTCATAATTAACTTTTTTTTTAAAAATAAATAAATAAATAAACAGGTAAAAAATAAAAATAAAAAAACAATCCAAGAGATGTGCTTAAAATTTTTCCACTAACATCACATGAAGCTTAATTATTAAAGTAACGAAAAAAGCTATCGAATTTGATTTTCACTAAATATATACATAGAGAGAAGCAGTAATTAAATTTCAAATCCATTTTAATTGATTCGTAACAATAAAGTCTGACACTATAATTTAAAAAAAAAAAAAACAAAAGTAATCTTAATAGCATTTTGTAGTGATTGCTGTTAAGTAGGTGAGCCCCACATTTAGCATCAATCGTGATAAAACGTTATGTCATCAACCGAATGATAGATCTAGAAATCTACTTTTATATTAATTTTTGAAGAAAATGATGATATTGATAGTATATATTATCTAAGTCATCAATCATAGAAAATTAAAGCATGCTTTTGTTGATGATACTCTCTGTTGGACAGAAAATTTTGTTTAGGTAAATTGAGGCTATAGTAGTAAGTATAGACTTGACTTTAGTGCTGGCCACTCATATGCCACGAAAGTGACACTTATTAAGTTACAATAATTGTACTATCTATTATACAAATAAAAGATAATTCTTTTCTATATAATCATGATAATAAAACATTATCATCGCAACTAATTAATTTGTTCATACAACTTCATGGACCTCAGAAAAATAAATTGGGCTTTTTAGAATAAATTTTCACTATCAGCCCGCAAAGGAAAGTTACAAGAGAAAAACCCAATTATCCTCCTCTTGCTTTGGATTACTGAATTTGTCCTCATGAGTGATGAGTGCTTTACTAATTGTTGGTTGGAAACTTCAAATCAAAGGTTTGTGAATGGGGTCAAAGCTCAAAAGACTTTTTTTTTTTTTTTTGGGTAACCCATGTGGTATTCGAGTGGGCATGAACCACTGCACTGGTCCGCGCTGGTCCGGTTGTATGATTCTGCCCAAAAAACTGAAAACAGATTGTATTTTAACATATAAAGCGTAAGTTTTACTAGTCTTTCTGAATGCTATAGTTTATGATTCAGAATTACCAAAAACTGAGGACCCTTCTTCGTGGGATTGGAATTTGAAGAACACTTCTACCATTGATGAAGGAAATAATGAAAAATCCCTTTGATTTTGCCTATAATTGACAATTGCAACCAAAACTGATTTCACTAGTTCCATTAATAGAAATGTCAATATCAGCTGCTTCAATCCCTCCCATGAGATTTCATAAAGGTACAATTTTTGCTCTATAATTAATGTGTAATCCCATTGATCATGGAGTTGGAGAACAAACATTAAGGGAAATGATTAAGGGAACTAGTGATGAATTTCCATAATGTAAGTGGCTGCCATTCTTGGTTCTTGATCAAATTCCTATAAATTGTGGCTTTCAATGGTTAACTTCAATCACAGAAGTATATTACTTTTCAGTGAGTGAAAGAACTAATAGAAAAACAAAGAGAGAGAGAGAGAGAGAGAGAGAGAGTGAGTGAGATGGAGAGGAAGGTTTTAGCAGTAGCTGTGCTAGTTATGCTTGCGTTAGGCACAGTTGAAGCCCAAGAACAAGAACGTCCTTCCCTTCTTAAATGTGCAGCAAAATGTGGAGGAATTTGCTATAAAGCAAGATTTCCACCTTTGATGGTGCTGTGCTTTAGCCTGTGCATGCTCCAATGCAGGCATTCTCCGTCTGATATTGTCTACAATTGTACTCACTCTTGCGCTAGAAGCATGGTCACTAACTCATTGACCATTGATTCTAATCTTGGTACGCCAATAATTAAAATTTTCATATATATCTTAATGTTTCATTATGTTCTTTTATGAAATAGTATACTGATTGTTCTTTTCTTTTTTAATACATCAGGTGATGACAAAGTAGAAGGTTATGTGGATTCTTGCTATCAAATGTGCAACAAGGATAGCAACAATATCTAGTATCTAAGAAAAGTATCTTTGTTATATTTAAATAAGATGGTATAGATGTAATCTTTCTACATATTATTACTAATAAAGATGGATGCTTTAATCATGTATTCCATTTTATCAGTCAATGTTCTCCTTTTACACAGTAACTGAAACAAAACCTAATTTATCTATAATTTTTCTAAGAGTAACTAAGGCTCCGTTGTTTCCGTAAAATCACTAAGGCTGGTGGTGGTGGTCGGTGTTGGTAGCCGATGGTAGTGGTCGGTGGTAAATGGTGACTGGTGACTGGTGACTGGTGGCAGTGACTATGATGATTAATAAATTAAAAAATATGAATTTTATAATTTTTCTAAGAGTAAACTAAGGCTCCGTTGTTTCCGTAAATCACTAAGGCTGTGGTTGCGTGGTCGGTGTTGGTAGCCGATGGTAGTGGTCGGTGGTAAATTGAGTGACTGGGTTGACTGGTGGATAGCCGATGGTAGTGGTCGGTGGTAAATGGTGACTGGTGACTGGTGACTGGTGGCAGTGACTATGATGATTAATAAATTAAAAAATATGAATTTATAAGGTTTACTAATGTTCGGAAAATGTTTTACTCTCAAAAATGAAAAGTTGTTTTCTTTAAAAAAATGATTTAATTTTCCTTTAATTAGGAAAATATTTTCCATTGATTTATTTTACTGAATGACTCTAAACAACGGAAAATTGTGAAAATTATTTTTTCGTAAATTATTTACAGAACTGGCGGAAAAGTTTTCGCTGTTGGACGGAAAACTTTACCTCTAAGGGAAGAGTATCCATTTGAGGCAGAAAATTTTTGTTTTGTTTGAGACACACTCGTTCTTCTGGCCAAAAGAAAACGTATGAAATTAACCAACATACCACGATATCGTTTTTCCAGTTCCATAGAAGAATGCTTCGTGGCCAGCTTTTTCCATAGCCAACGAGGTCGTTTTGATACACACCAGAGACTTTGGCCTTCCATCACGGTTTGGTTTGATATGGTTTGGAAAAGCTTCAAAACCAAATTAGAAATTATGATTTGAAAATTTTTTCATATAAAATTAAACCAATGAATTGCAAATCAAAGTGATTTAGTAGGGCTTGATTTATGATTTAGTGCATTAAAAAAATAATTATGCATCGATTAATAAATTTATAATTACAAATTGTGATGAATTAGGAGAAAATGTCTCATTTTATTAAACATGGTTTAGTCTGATTTTAAACAATTTGATTGAATATAAACTGAACTAAACTATTTTGAAAATAAAGGGCATACAAGGGATGATTTGATACAGTTTGATTTGGTTAGTAGTTAAAATAGTAACAAGTTTAACAGGCGGTAATGATCATCTCTAATGTGTTTTAGTGTTCTTGCTGAAACTTGTTCTACTGCTCGAGTTCAATTTAAATGTTTAATCCCTTTGATCAGGGAGTTATATATCAATTAGTTATGCTGCCATAATCAAGTCCTAATCGGAGGATCAATACACAAAATTTCCAATAATGGAATTAGCACATCTCTTTTGAACCCAAATGAGTGGAAATGATCAAGGGAACAAGTAAGATTAATTTCCATAATACAAGTGGCTTCCATTCTTGATTCTTGATCAAATGCCTATAAATTTGTGGCTTCCAATGGTTAAGTTCATCGCACAAACACAGTACTTTCGAGTGAGCGAAGGAACTAAAAAATAAGCAAAAGAGAGAGATGGAGAGGAAGGAGTTAGCAGTAGCAATGCTACTTATGCTTGTGTCAGGCGCAGTTCAGGCCCAAGAACAAGAACGTCTTTCCCTTCTTAAATGCGCAGCGAAATGTGGATCAAAGTGCTTGTTATCTGCAATGATTCCACCATTGGCGGTGCTTTGCTTTAGCCTATGCATGGTCCAGTGCAGGCGTTCTCCTTCTGATATTGTCTACAATTGTACTCATTCTTGTTCTACAAGCATGGTCACTAATTCACTGGCCATTGATTCTAATCTTGGTACAACAATTATTAAATTTCTTACATACATACACTAATTTATGTTCTTTTGTTAAAAAATAGTCTACTGATTGTTCTTTTTTCTTTTTTATTGCAACAGATGATGACAAAGTAGAAGTTTATGTGGATTCTTGCTATCAAACTTGCAACAAGAACAACAAAAATAACTAGATGGTGTCTCTTGCCAACGAACACACACACACACACACATATATATATATGCTTCTTCCGTCTGAGCAAAGTATTGTTTGTTATATGTAAATAAAATGGTACTGAACTACTGATGTAATCCTTATGTTATCATCAGTAAAGATGGATGCTTTAAAATATCCCTTCATCAATACAGATAAGTGATAGTCAATTTTAATCACTTTTTTTTTTTTTTTTTTTTTTCACTTTTTTTTTTTTTTTTTTTTTTTTTTTTTTTTTTTAATATTACCCCTTCATTGATACTAATTTCACATGCCACTGTTAATAAAATATTGTTGGGATAAAGTTAATAGAGAATTAATAATTAAATTTGAAAAAAGAATTGTTTATAACAGACGAAAAAGGAAATAGTAGCTTTTTTTTTTTTTTTATCATTGGTATCGGGAGCCACTACTAGTAAATAGAAGTATTTTGATAATGGTGAGTAACACGAATGTTTTTTCTTTTTCTTTTCAAAACTAATTAATTTACATTAACTAAGGGAGATTTTTTTTTTTTTTAGAGAGCTTTGAAAAGTATTTTCATCTAAAAAACGACTTAATAATAATACTCTGCTGGTCATCACTTTCTCCTTTTGCTTTGTCGAAAATTTAGTATTTTTTTTTAATATATCCTTATTTAATATACAAAATAGATATAAGACGGATCGAGTAATAAAAAGGCCTCCCGGAGTTAACTAGACAGGCAAATACAGGAATAAAACGTCATTTCAATGTGCCCAAACGACGCATGTTAGTTCGTAAATAACGGTGAAAACATTCGGAAAAATCAAGTAAAATAGCTGCTTGAAGCGACCGTCCCTATCCGAAACGATAAAAACGATTGAGTAAAGCATTGCCTATTCTCAGCTTTCTGTTTGTCGTTTGAATAAATTCAATGCACTCTCGCTTAAAACGATCCACCCTTCATACCAATGATGAAGAAAAACGACAGAGCGAAGTTTCGCGCGTGGCATCAGCTGAGGTGCGAAGTTTCGCGCGTGGCATCAGCTGAGGTCGGTCTCAACCAAAGGTTTTGTCAAATTTCGCCTCAACGCGGTCAAATCTCCATTAGCCATATCCCAATACAACAGAAAAATGTGTAAGACGAGAGATACTTCCAGTTAGGTTCATCTGACCTGGAAAAAAAAATTAAAAAAAAAAAAAAGAAAGAAAGAAAGAAGAAGAAGAAAGAGAGATCGTTTGGACTGACGGATTCTATGGTATATTATTCTTTGATTCCTTAGAAACGAAGGTATAATCAAAACCAGCTAAATCGAGCTTTTCAGGTTTGTGCATTGGTTTTCTTGTTTCGGTTTCCAGTTTTTGAGTGATGTTAAGGTTTGTTTTGCCCTTTTTGGTCTCAATTTCTCTTTTTACAATCCTGCGTCTAAAAATCAGTAATTTTCTGGTTCATTAATAACTGGATCATTGCTTGGTTGCTGGGAAACAAGGAATAATGGAGAGAGAGAATTATAGGCTCTTTTATGTGAAGGGGAAAAGTTGGTTGGTTTGATTTGGATTCAAAAGTTTGCTGCTTTTTCTTGTATTCTTACAGTGATTTAGTTGTAAATTAATAGAGATCAAAATTTTGAATTTGTTCCTGAATTAACGTAATCAATTTGTCTATACATCACTGTGTAGATTTGAGCTAGGAATTGTTGAGCAGTGTTTTATTTGAGAGAAAAAGTTATAATCTTTTGCTGCTATGCTTTAAAGATTTTTGATGTGATGGTGAAACATTAAAAAAACTTTATATAGCGAACTTGATTTTCTTTTTCTTTCTATCGTTTGCTTTTAAAATCAGGTATAAACTCATGGCCACTGCAACTATGGCTACTGCAGCCGGTGCAGCTGCTCTTTTGTATTATACATTGAACCGGAAGCTACATCTTTTGTATTATACATTGAACCGGAAGCTACATATGTTTACCTGACAGGGAAAGGCATGGAGACCAGAAGGAAGAAGAAGAAGAAGATAGTGCGAATAACCATTTGAGGCTGGACACCGAAAAAATCAGCGAGCAGAAACACAGAATCAGAATCAGTATATGATATTTATATTTCTATCATCAAAGGCAGAAAATTAAATACTATAACAGATGAAGGCCTTCAGGAATCGAATGTTTTGGATAATTGGCATTGTTAGTGGTAAATTGTAGATAGAGTGTGGTTCTTCTTTTATAATTGGTTGGGTTATTTTGATGATTTTGTTGCGAAACAAAAATAAAATTTTACCTCGAACAGAGAGGAGAAAGGCGGGAAAAGGGAGAGAAGGGCAAACTAGGCGCAGAAAAAGATTTTGACGAGGAAAATTGGGCAAGGGGATTACATGTCCAGACCCAATTAGGCCCATTTATAGATAAATTTGATGGAAAATATTTTTTTTATTAAAACGAAAGTATCTTTTTGGACAAATGTGTTTCTTTTTATGTATTAGAGCCGGTTTAAATATTTATTTATTTTCGTGTATGCGCATTGTATATTTCCTATTTGATCAATAAAAAAAAAAAAAAAAAAAAAAAAAAAAAAAAAAAAAAAAAAGGAGTCTGTATAATTCTTCACATGCTCAACATCATCAGATTTTCTAACTTCCATTACAACAGAACAGTAGTTCACATTACAGTTTCTGCACATTAATTTACATGTTCAACAACCATTTTTACATCATAATTTATCCACATTCGCAAAACTCATAACAACAGGCATCCGAAGCAGACTAGGGCTACACAAAGTTGTGAGAGAGCTATAGCACATTCGTTGTTCATACATGAGCAAGTCTGAATTAAGCACATGCAACAGCATGGATCGAGCAGCTTGCTGCAGCAATTGGAGGCAGCATTAACTAGCACTTCTGTAGCTTCAGGTGACTTTATTTCATCTGTTCCTGGGGGAATGTTTGATGCTGTCGCAGCCAAGTCTCCAAAGCCAACACCTAGGTTCCCCAAGAAAATGACCTTCTGGATTTCCGAGTTCACTTGTCTAAGTGAATTAATTTTGTTGAATACCTAGTTTCACAGATTATTTAGTAAACTATATAAAGTAGCTACATGACATGTAAATATTTCTTCATTTTAAATAATTCTTTCCATTTTTCCATTTAATATTTCAGTCAACTAACTAGAAAAAACAGCTTATGATATATTTAGGGTGGCAAATTGAAATAAATAAGGAGAAAGAATGAAAAAATGTACCTCCTGATCAAATTTTTTCTGTTGCTTTCTCCCCAGTATCAGTCTGTCCTCCTGCATCAGAATTTTTTCTGTTGCTTTCTCCCCAGTATCAGTCTGATGCAAAATCATATGGGTGTATTCAGATGGAACCCCAGTTTGAATGCTCATTTTTGCAATCTACAATAGAACAGCTTATGGAAATTATGTTTTTGTAAAAGAGAGAATGACCATCTTCATGCACATATACTAGCACAGGCCATGCCAAACTTGGCTCCCTTTCTCTCTCTCTCTCTCTCTCTCAGAGTTTTAAGATAGCTCGTGTTTTATTCAAACTGGATATTATAAATTATACGATAGAGTTCCAATACAAATTCAATAGCAAACCTGTTGCTCAAGGTCCTGGCTTTCTGACATCCATGCATTAGCTGTGAGAATGTCAATTTGTCTCCTTGCAAGCACCTGGAAATTGCAGAGTAAAAGAAATAATTAGAGAACAGCTAATTTCAACTGCAGCAATATATAATGAATGAGTATGATCCTCTATTGAAGAATGTGGAGTTCAAATATGAATTACTGAATGATGAAAAAAAATTCATTCTAGAAACCAGAAACAAATTCACTTGTGTCTACAATTTGAAGAGCTTATGTATCAGACAGAGTTCATCATGCTTGACAACCTATTTCTGTGAAAAATTGGTGATGTCAAATGTAAAGTAAGTTACAGTGTGCCTAAAAAAAAGAAATTACTCTATCAAGTTGCACATCCTTAGCCTTTTGTGATTTCAATTCTATTGTGAAATTGCTCATGTCTGCCAAGATACCACTAACTTTAATTGATTCTGGAAATTTTCCATTATATCTGCCTGATACAAGCAATGGCATGCCACTTGAGAGATCCGGAATTCTAAATGGAAGAACCTGCAAGGGATTCAGGAAGACAAAATGTCAGAACAGTTGGAGATCACATGAGACAAATCAATAGAAAGGCCTCCAGTTAAACAACTGTACTATCATATGCTAGCAACTGACACTTAGAAGGACAACATAACAGAACAGTTGGAGATCAAATGAGACAGAAGAATAAGAAGGCCTCTGACCACTATGCTATCATGTTTAGCAAGAGACAGAGTGCCAGAATGACTGTACAGAAGATTGGCCATCATGAAGTTTACCTCAAGTGAATCAAGATGTTCCAAGGCATCCACAGTTATATTGGCTAGAATGACTGATGAAGCAGTCGCAAATAATCGCTGCATTTGAAAATCAACCGAATCTGAAAACAAAATGAATATAGACATGTATGGTGTCAAATCTTTTTAATGCTGTTACTTCACAGTGCAATTATACAAAGGCACCTTCTCCCTGTCCAAAAGAAAACAACTAACCTGCATCATATGCACTATCAAAATAACCACTTCCAATTTGTGCTAGCATTTGCAAGAAATAGTGGTTGCAATATGTACCTGAAAAGGTTTTAACAATTTCTTAAAATTCTATAAGGAATATATAAACGAACATTCTCGTATGCTTCTCATATGAAGAGCTATGGGCACAGATTTGTCACCCATCGATACATGACGAATGACATTGACACCAATGTTTTTGATGAAAAATGTCAATCAAGTAAGTACAAGGTAATCTCAACAATTCTGAGAGCCATGAACTTTTGTTATTTCTTCAAGTGAGTTATAGTCAAATAAAGCTAAATTACATGGAGTGGCTGGTTTTTTTTCATATCTGGGTGTCAACAAAGAGAAATTTGACAAGGTTGGCCTTGTTTTCTGAGCTTGATTGCCATGAAACTAGTGTGCTAAAAGCCGAGCTTCACCATGCTCAGTGACAGCAAGTCCAGAATATTCATTTCAATAACAAAACAGCTCAAGGTCAATTATGAATTAAATTATGAGGATTGAAGCATTAGAGTTTCGTGGGCTTGTGTATATATAAATTGCTTACACAGGAACAATTTGTATATTCAAATGCAGCTCCACACATGCAATGTCAAAAAAGAGATCAAGACAACAGGAGTCCAACAACTAAAGGGACAAACAGGGTTCCAACAACTAAGATAAGAACTGGAAACGCCAAAACCATTACCATGCCAAATGTACATATCCGAGGAGAAATTGGTCTGACCTGTGAGAGAGGCCGTTTACAAAATTGCAAATATCCTCTTTTCATCTTCAATGCGCCCATTCAGCTGATGAGGAAAATAAAGGCATTGAATCAGCAGTTTCAGCCAACAGCTTCATAGCCTAAAATAAAGCACTTCCGTACGGTGTTTAAGAGTCTGCAAATATTTCATAAAGAATATGCTCATTTATAGATGTAGAAGTGAAAAATGCAGGATCCAGACTCTAGAATTACAGAAAGAAGAGGGGGGGGGGGGGGAGCGACGGGGGGGGGGGGGCGCGCAGAGTTAATCAGCATTATGTAGGTAGGCCACTAAAGAACATACAGTTTCTTGCAGAGATGGTATAGCAAAAATGGAACCTGGAAGGACAGTATGTAGTATGTTTCCTTGTCTCAGAACATACAGTTTCTTGCAGAGATGGTAGAGAACAAGTACTGAATATAGAATAAAATAGCATATAGCAAAATGTTGAGAATTCAGTACATAGAATAAAGTTAAAAATATAAGCCAAAAACAAAACTTCAAAACAGTTGTAGCAGATGCGAGTGAGACATTAGCAATTTATACACACCTGTTTAAGAGGATCCAAAATATTTGTTCCGCCATCTGCAATTAAATTATCACTAAGCCACTGAGTAGCTTTTGATATTGATCCCTGCGTTGCAGGAGCCATTAATTGTGAAAATAAGTAGGTCTTCTCGTTGAAAGCAATAATGTTGAAAGAATCTTCAGAATTGAGTTTAGAAAGTGATGATACTAATGCACCCTTTGCATTCTCAAGAGGATCCCCCTTCATGCTTCCACTCATATCAATTATAAAGATCACATCCTTCCTGCTTATAAAGATCACATCCTTCCTGCGAGCCTAACAGGCTCAAGCAAAAAAAAAAAAAAAACAGATTTTAATGAGCCAAATAGAAAAAAAAAATAAAAAGAAGAATAACCCTTTTTCAATAGGCATGGATGTTTGGTACTTCAAGCTTTCGGGGAAAGCTGACTGGAAACCAAAATTTGAATTTTCCACTGTTCCTCTACCAAGAAAATAACAATACCCATATATCTCAAAAACTTTCTTCTAATCTAAATTTTCTATTGTTAACAATTTTTATATTTGGAAGATGTCTATTTTGTCATAACCAGTATTCCAATTACTGTTTCTATTTGTGCCCCAAAACTTTTCCATCTGGCTTGATTGAATTAATTCAATTCAGACTGGATTATAGACTATCTTTTTCTCTAATCTGATAATTCCTATTACAAGGAAGAAGTCAATGCTAGCAAAACGAAACTGTATTATCTTCATCATCCATTTTCAAAGCCATGAAATTAAATGAAAATACAACATGCTCCAAAAATGCACTCCCATGGAATGGCACTCCCATGGGGGAAAAGGAGGGGGGGAAAAGGGGTTTTCCCCCCAAGGGGGATTTGGCCCTGTGCAAGTTATTAAACGCAAAATGGAGAAGAAAAGCATGCATGTCCGATAATGATGACAATCCTTTCTGAAAATATTTTGGAGCCAATGAATCCAACAAAACCTTCCTAATTCTCGTTGTCTTGCCAGGGAAAAGATAGAAGCAGAACCATCTGTCGCTCCATCAAAATCTTCGCAAAGTGGGGATGCAGGAGCACACACTACCAAATAAGTCCCTCTGAAGAGACTGTAAATGCAACAGTCAAACAGGAATATATGTTAAATGGCCATCTCACACACATTGCAATTCATCCTAAGAGGCTGAAAGGAAGATTTATTTAGTGAAAACAGCGCCAATGCTTCAAAGACTTACAGCATACGAAAAACTTAAGTCATAGTCGAGACCACTTGGTAACTTCTGCTTCATTATAGAAAACCCATTTTACCACTCACGCCTTAACTCCTAGGAGAGGGCCATAAACGACTTCGAGTCATTTCATTGTATTTCAGGAGCTGTTGGTAAACATAATGAAAAGATATGAGAATAACTTTAGATCTGGGCTAGTACTCTTGCATAAATTTCTTTGCCAACACCTGACAGTTCACACTATAACAGTATCTTTGCTCTCTCGAACGTTTTTTGGCCATGGATTGACAAATTTTGGGAAAAATTAAAGGTACATTGAGGCAGAATTGACCTCATTTATATTCAAGCTTTTGAGACCAATTCGCTTAAACTGAAATTATTGTGCCCTCCACCAACTAAAAGGTAAATAACAACATAAACATTGTTGAAGACCAGTAAATTATGGCAACAATGAACACACATTTAAGAATGCAGACTATAGGAAGTAAGATCACCTGTGGGATTGTAAACGTAAAAATGCGTGCCTTTCAGAATAAACGTCCATTTCCTCTTTTATATTCCTGTTTTCCTTATCTTTCGTTTCTTTCTGCTGGTGATTTGAAGCTTGACTATGATACGATCTTCCGCAGAATAATTCAACCTCAAGGACTAGAGACCTAGAATTGAACCCTGTTAGCCAAATCATGCTTTTCTTGAGAACTTCAAAGAAGTTGCTTCAAACAATATTAGCAAAAGCAAGTAAATTGCATTTGTGCAATAATAATATAAACGGAAAGACATGCAAAATTCCAGCCCTGCAAATGCAATTTCTGTGGTAGTAGAAGCAAAATTAGAGGAAGAAACAAAATTGTGACTACCTGGTCTCCCATAGGAATGGCGATGCGGCAATCACACTTGCTACTCGCCTTAATGCAATGCACGCGCCAGTTCCCGCTAAAACTAACGTTTGCATGATCCAAACAACTTTCAACTTCCAACTTTCAACTTCCGTAGCTACTCCGTACATATGCAATGGTATCAACGCCGGCGGTTCGCACCGCCCGTGCACGTGTGGCTGGTAACTTTGCACGTCAGGATTGTCTACTACCTCTGGCTCCGGAATCACCGCATACACCATGACCGCCGTCGGTAAGAAACTCTCCGATGACTTCGACATTCCAAGTACCGGCGCCGGAGGCAATCCCTTCCCATAGTAAATTCTCTTAGAAAGCTTCAAACCGAACTCCACACTGGTCTCGAACTCGTCAGCCATGTCGACGGCTACGTTCCAGAGAAATTTTCCCGGCGACAATTATGACGATAAAAATCAAGACAACACAACTCTGCGACGAGACAGATGGGAATAGAAAAATAATTTTGGAGTTTATGACAGCGCAGTAGTTATGAAATGCATGTATGACAGCGCAGTAGTTATGAAATGCATGTGGCTTTAGAATTTTCAAGTGGCTAGTCGTGAGGACGGAAGGCGAAGGGTGGTTCTTTCATTCGGAAATTTATCTAGTAGGAGTATTTTAATAGTGATATAACCAGTTATGCCTTTGTTGATGTGAACGGATCATTCACAGTCAATGTACTTTTCTGGTTTTTTTTTCTCCTTCAAGAAATTTGTTTATGATAAGATTACTTACAGCAAATATATTTAATCTAAGGATCTTAAAAAAAAAAAAAGGTACATATACTTATTTTTTTTGTATGAATATTATTTTTAAAAATTATAAATGTAGATTAGATTTAGATTAAACATGCCATGTTAGTGTGATATGCGTGACAATAAAATGAAAACGTGAACTTATAATTATTTCTCGATAAATAAATAAAATAGTTGCCACTTACAATATTTGCCACTTACAATATTTAATTAGTATAAAGAGCAATGATAACAAAGTTAAAGCTATGGATTAGCGACATAATTAGTACACTACACGATTTGACCCACTTCACTAAATAGCGTCCAATCTATAAATGGATGTCTATCTACCAATTTAAGGCCTTATAGTTGTTATGATCTCCACCGTTGGATGATGGTCCAAAGATTTGCAGGCTCTATATGAAGTTGCGACGGAAGTGACTCAACCGCAAATGCATACCAAACTATTATTTATCGTATTAGACTTATTTACATCCTATGTATGAATTCACTCAAATGCATACCAAATCATTATTTGTCGTATTAGACTTATTTACATCTTATGTAATCCACTCAAATGCATACCAAATCATTATCTGTCGTATTAGACTTATTTACATCTTATGTAATCCACTCAAATGCATACCAAATCATTATCTGTCGTATTAGACTTATTTACATCTTATGTAATCCACTCAAATGCATACCAAACCAAACCATTATCTGTCGTATTAGACTTATTTACTTCCTATGTATGAATGAATCCACTCAAATGCATGCAAACCATTATCTGTCGTATTAGACTTGTATAAGCAAATCAATATTTGAAATATGGTAGCACAATTATATAGATATGTGACTTGAACAGAGACAGACAAGACAAGACATTGATTTGCTGTCTTCTTTTTGTTTCTTTCTTACCTTAAAAAAAACAAAAAGGCAAGTGCAGTGGATTGCATTGCTACCAAATTTTGACTGTTGTTTTCTCCTTTTTTTTTTTTTTTTTCCCTTAACAAATGTGCAAAATGTGACCATTTTTTTAAATTGGATTTGGGTCCACAAGTGATTGATCAAGTATTTAATTGAGTATTGACAATATTAGCATCTACATTGACCCTAACGTGGTGTAAGCATATTATTAACCTACTTCAAAATCAAAGTTTTCTTCATACCATAAAGACTTTGTCTTTGCTAAACCCATAATTATGCAAGAGTAATTCAATCCTGTGCTTTGATTGTTATGAAAGCATGACAATACATAAATATATATTTAGCTATGAAATGAATTGAAATATCATCATGGCTACGTAACTAAATTTTATAGTTGAATTTCAATTTGAAACTTTTTATGCTCCACGTTGTTATAAAAATGAAAAAATCAAATAAAACATATATAAAATTTGAAATCTACATCTATTAAAAAAAACTATAAATTTATAAGAGGGAAAACTATATAGACTATCAAACTATCTAAATTATGCATTCATAAAAACAAATGAAAAAATATGAGAAAGAAAAAGTGGGAATAGAAAAGGTCAGTTTCTGAGTTTCATAATTAACTTTTTTTCTATAATAAATAAATAAATAAACAGGTAAAAAATAAAAATAAAAAAACAATCCAAGAGAGGTGCTTAAAATTTTTCCACTAACATCACATGGAGCTTAATTATTAAAGTAATGTTAATAGCACCTACAGTTTAGATAAGTGAGAAAAGCTATCGGATTTGATCTCCACTAAATATACATACAGAAAAAGAGGAGCGAATAATTTTAATTATAATTAAATTTCGAATTGATTTTAATCGGTTTTTAATAATAAAATCTGACACCGATAATTTAAAAGAAGAAAAACAAAAATAATCTTATTAGCATTTTGTAGTGATTGCTGTTAAGTAGGTGAGCCCCACATTTAGCATCAATCGTGATGGCTAAAAGATTATAATAAATGATACTCCAAAACATTACGTCATCAACCGAATGATGGATCTGGAAATCTACTTTTGTAATAATTTTTTAAGATAATGATGATATTTATAGTATATATTATCTACGTCATCAATCATAGAAAATTAAAGCATGCTTTTCTTGATGATACTCTCTGTTGGACAGAAAATTTTTGTTTAGGTAAATTGAGACTACAGTGGTAAGTATAGACTTGACTTTAGTGTTGGCCACTTATTCAGTTACAATAATTGTACTATCTGTTATACAGATAAAAGATAATTATTTTCTATATAATCATGATAATATGGCAACTAATTAATTTGGTCATACAACTTCATGGACCTCAGAAAAATAAATTGGGCTTTTTAGAATAAATTTTCACTATTAGCCCGCAAAGGAAAGTTACAAGAGAAAAACCCAATTATCCTCCTCGTGCTTTGGATTATAATATTTGTCCTAATAAGTGCTTTACTAATTGTTGGTTCGAAACTTCAAATCAAAGGTTTGTGAATGGGAATAAGATGGCTCTTATTTTAATTGGTTGGTTCCCCGAAACTTTCAAAATCAAAGGGTTTGTGAATGGGTCAAAAACTCAAAGACTTTTTTTTTTTTTTTTTTTTTTTTTTTTTTGGGTAACCCATGTGGTATTCGAGTGGGCATGAACCACTACACTGGTCCGCGCTGGTCCGGTTGTATGATTCTGCTCAAAAAACTGAAAACAGATTGTATTTTAACATATAAAGCATAAGTTTTACTAGTCTTTCCTGAATTCTATAGTTTATGATTCAGAATTACCAAAAACTGAGGACCCTTCTTCATGGGATTGGAATTTGAAGAACACTTCTGCCATTGATGAAGGAAATAATGGAAAATCCCTTTGATTTTGCCTATAATTGACAATTGCAACCAAAACTGATTTCACGAGTTCCATTAATAGAAATGTCAATATCAGCTGCTTCTATCCCTTCCATGAGATTTCATAAAGGTACAATTTTTGCTCTATCATTAATGTTTAATCCCATTGATCATGCAATGATTCCACCATTGGCTGTGCTTTGCTTCAGCCTATGCATGGTCCAGTGCAGGCATTCTCCTTCTGATATTGTCTACGATTGTACTCATTCTTGTTCTGCAAGCATGGTCACTAATTCACTGGCCATTGATTCTAATCTTGGTACAACAATTATTAAATTTCTTATATACATACACTAATTTATGTTCTTTTGTTAAAAAATAGTCTACTGATTGTTCTTTTTTCTTTTTTATTGCAACAGATGATGACAAAGTAGAAGGTTATGTGGATTCTTGCTATCAAACTTGCAACAAGAACAACAAAAGTAACTAGATGGCGTCTCTTGCCAACGAACATATATATATATATATATATATATTTACTGAACTACTGAGTGTAATCCTTATGTTATCATCAATAAAGATGGATGCTTTAAAATATCCCTTCAATCAATAACAAATAAGTGATAGTCATTTTAATCACTTTTTTTTTTTTTTTTTTTTTTTTTTTTAATATTACACCTTCATTGATACTAATTTCACATGCCACTGTTAATAAAATATTGTTGGGATAAAGTTAATACAGAATTAACAATTAAATTTGAAAAAAAAAAATATTTATAGCGTACCAAAAAAGAAATAGGAGTATTTTTTTTATCACCGGTGTCTGAGTCCATTACTAAAAACTAAAAAATAGAAGTATTTTGATAATGATGAGTAACATGAAAGTTTTTTTCTTTTCAAAACTAATTAATTTACATTAATTAAGGGAGGTTTTTTTTTAGAGCTTTGAAAAGTATTCTCATTTAAAAAACGACTTAATAATAATACTCTGCTGGTCATCACTTTCTCTTTTTTTTTTTTAATATCTCCTTTTTTAACTAGACAGGCAAATACAGGAATAAAACGTCATTTCAATGTGCCCAAACGACGCATGTTAGGTCGTAAACAACGGTGAAAACATTCGGAAAAATCAAGTACAATAGCTGCTTGAAGCGACCGTCCCTATCCGAAACGATAAAAACGATTGATTAAAGCATTGCCTATTCTCATCTTTCTGTTTGTCGTTTGAATAAATTCAATGCACTCTCGCTTAAAACGATCCACCCTTCATACCAATGATGAAGAAAAACGACAGAGCGAAGTTTCGCGCGTGGCATCAGCTGAGGTCGCGTGGCATCAGCTGAGGTCGGTCTCAACCAAAGGTTTTGTCAAATTTCGCCTCAACGCGGTCAAATCTCCATTAGCCATATCCCAATACAACAGAAAAATGTGTAAGACGAGAGATACTTCCAGTTAGGTTCATCTGACCTGGAAAAAAAAATTAAAAAAAAAAAAAAGAAAGAATTAAAAAAAAAAAAAAGAAAGAAGAAGAAGAAAGAGAGATCGTTTGGACTGACGGATTCTATGGTATATTATTCTTTGATTCCTTAGAAACGAAGGTATAATCAAAACCAGCTAAATCGAGCTTTTCAGGTTTGTGCATTGGTTTTCTTGTTTCGGTTTCCAGTTTTTGAGTGATGTTAAGGTTTGTTTTGCCCTTTTTGGTCTCAATTTCTCTTTTTACAATCCTGCGTCTAAAAATCAGTAATTTTCTGGTTCATTAATAACTGGATCATTGCTTGGTTGCTGGGAAACAAGGAATAATGGAGAGAGAGAATTATAGGCTCTTTTATGTGAAGGGGAAAAGTTGGTTGGTTTGATTTGGATTCAAAAGTTTGCTGCTTTTTCTTGTATTCTTACAGTGATTTAGTTGTAAATTAATAGAGATCAAAATTTTGAATTTGTTCCTGAATTAACGTAATCAATTTGTCTATACATCACTGTGTAGATTTGAGCTAGGAATTGTTGAGCAGTGTTTTATTTGAGAGAAAAAGTTATAATCTTTTGCTGCTATGCTTTAAAGATTTTTGATGTGATGGTGAAACATTAAACTGTGTAGATTTGAGCTAGGAATTGTTGAGCAGTGTTTTATTTGAGAGAAAAAGTTATAATCTTTTGCTGCTATGCTTTAAAGATTTTTGATGTGATGGTGAAACATTAAAAAAACTTTATATAGCGAACTTGATTTTCTTTTTCTTTCTATCGTTTGCTTTTAAAATCAGGTATAAACTCATGGCCACTGCAACTATGGCTACTGCAGCCGGTGCAGCTGCTCTTTTGTATTATACATTGAACCGGAAGCTACATTCAAGTGCATCTCATGATGATGATGAAAATAATAATGGTAATGTGCCCAGCAACGTCCCTTTGGGAATTGAACGGGTATCACATAGGCTGATTCAAGCCCCTGCAACGTGGGTGGAAACTATTTCAACTTTGTCAGAGACTCTTAGATTTACGTACTCTGAGACACTGGGAAAGTGGCCTATCGGGGACTTGGCATTTGGTATCAACTTTCTACTGAAGAGGCAGGTGAGCATTTATTTTCTAGCTTTAATCTTTTGCATCTGTTGTGATTTGAGTATCAGAGTATGTATTTTGTCATTTCATGGATGTCCTGCTAGTAAAATGGACTTAGTTATGGGCTTCCTTCTAGGAATGAACTGGTCAAATTTATATGCTGTGTTTTTAGACGTATCTTTGCATGTGAAGTAAGTTTAATGTTATATATGAAATTTACAGATGCATTTGCTAAAATAAATACTTGATAGATATATGAGCAGACAGTTTACACCTTACAGATTTGTTGATTCTGTCAAAATTTTGGTTTACTAACATTCACAATCTATGATTGTTCATCTACTTGTATTGTTATACAATTGCCTGGATGCTTGTTGTTGGACTGATTGGATGAAATTTAATTGTGGTGGGGTTGGCTGAGAGGATATCGTCCACATAAAAGGGAGATACTCTCTTTGTATGAGGGCCATAATTCTGCATTGTTCAAATGAACTCTAATTCTTGATCTTTGCCGGGTTGAGAAATTATACTTTTGAAAGAAGTGATTGTCATTAGGGCATTATTGCTGTTATTTTTCAACTTAATAAAATAATTTGCCAATAGGATATTATTGGCACTGGGAACATCTAAATGAGATAAACCTGATTTAAATTTTTCTTAAAACTGTAGCTTTTCCACAATGAAATAATAAATTTATAAAATTAAGAATACTCTTATCCCTATTTATGGATGCCCGCTAAATCTTTTGCTCTACACATTACCAGGCAGCTTTGTCTTCATGTTGTATTTCTTTGGGAGCTGTGACTGTTGATAATCTTGAGATACACTGGAATATTTTTTTTTATTTTCCGTTCCAATAACCTGATCCTGTGACCATTTTTGCAGGGGAACTTGCAAGTTGGTAGAGTATTTGGTGGTAAAGATAGTTTACAGCTGAAAGGGCCTGAAATAACAACTGAACTTAGATATCTCTTGAACTTGCTGACCTTGTGTTGGCATTTCTCCAAAAAGCCATTTCCTTTATTCTTGGAGGAGACAGGATATACCGAAGATAATGTTCTTCTTCAAGAACCTAAAGCAGGAGTAAGTTATTTTAAACTTGAAGAATGGAGTCTTTTCTTGTGGTGAATTGCATGCCTTCTGATTTTCTTTATTACATTTATATGTTTTAGACCATGAAACGCTCAGTATGAGTATATGCTTGGTTCAATTTATTTATTCATCTACATAATGCAGATATTGAAGCCAGCTTTTACAGTTTTAGTTGATCACAAGACAAAATATTTTCTCTTACTTATTCGTGGGACGCATAGTATCAAGGATACTTTGACAGCTGCAACAGGAGCTATTGTGCCGTTTCACCATACAGTTGTGCATGAGGGAGGAGTCAGCAACTTAGTTCTAGGTTATGCACATTGTGGAATGGTTGCAGCTGCTCGGTGGATTGCAAAACTTGCAACTCCTTGTCTTAAAAAAGCTCTGGGGAAATATCCTGATTATAAACTAAAGGTACAAATTTAATTTAGAATTTTCGTATGCCTTCATTCATGTGCTTAAATTATTTGTGAGTTTAAAAATCTGTCAAATCCTTTTGCTTCTTTAAAATGTTACAGACAACAAGGATAAAGTAGAACAAGAGCTTTGGCTGAGTTTGAACTATTGTGCTCTGGCTACTTTGAACAAAGGTTCTCCATTATAAATGATTTCACTCAAAACATTGTAATCCAGGCCATGATCTATTTATTCGCTTGTGTGTTCCCTGAGGCAGTTGCCTACAACGAGTTTTTGCAAGACTCCTTAAGTTGGGTGTTGGATGGTTCTTTTTCACCAAAGCCTTTACTGTCACCTATCTTTTTTTCTCCCTCTTGTGTGGGACCAACAAAGATTTGGACCAAATATAGAGAGCATAAACCAACTCTGTGCTATCACCCTAATTACCCAAGCCAGCTTCATCTTCCACTAATGTGGCTTTTTCCTGCTGAAATACTCCTTAAAACTTTCTATAGACTACTCTTTTCATTATGTCATGTCTTGTAGAGTTGGTGACATGAAGTTCTTGCTAGACTCAATAATTTCTTGTTGCAATATTCTTCTTGGTTCTTGCTAAAAGTTTTCTTGTTAATTATATCAGAAATTTACTCAATAAGATTATGAATGTACTGTTGCCTTCTTGAAACAATTGCAACTAAGTTAGTAGCAAAAACAAGTTTCTGTTATATTTTATATGCTGTTAGTATCTTATCCGTGGTTATAAGATTTAGTTAATTCCATTTCTTGAATCAAAAGATTGTAGGGCACTCTTTGGGTGGAGGCACTGCTGCTCTTTTGACATATGTATTGCGGGAGCAAAAAGAATTCTTGGAGACAAGCTGTGTTACATTTGCTCCAGGTTGTTATTCATTTTATGTAAAATTCTCAAACCCTTGTATTTTTCTCTGTTTTTGTCTTCTGTATATATGTTCGTAGACATATTTATGGAAGTATGATATGAGCTTGATGTTTCTCTTACTTGTTTTGCATGCAGCTGCTTGTATGACATGGGAATTGGCTGAGTCAGGCAATGATTTCATCACTTCAGTTATAAATGGAGCTGACTTAGTGCCTACATTTTCTGCTGCTTCGGTAGATGACTTGCGCGCAGAGGTAATTTCCCAACAAATTGTGTTTGTATATTCAAATTTTTGCTTGCTAATGAACTAAGATTTGAGGATCCCTAAAGTTGTAGAGTTTTATACTTGTGCTTGCCAAATTGATGTTTGTTCAGTCCAAAAATGGTGTCTTATCATATGGATTAGGGATGGATCCAATTTTTCCCATGAAGGAGTTGCATTGGAGTGCATGTTTACTGAATACAAATTCTCCCAAAAGATTTCACTTTTATTTATTTGTCTTTTCTCTTGAGAAATTTAATTTGTGAATATAACTAATGGCTCTTGTAGTTCTGTAGATGCCAGCTGAACTCGTTCCTCTATTTTGCTTGAAGTGATTATGGTGTATTGTACTTATGGTTTGTCCTCCTGGTTTGCTGCTTTGACTCTTTTTAGGTGACAGCTTCTGCTTGGCTGAATGATTTGAGAGATCAGATTGAACGAACAAGAATCCTTAGTACTGTTTATCGTTCTGCATCAGCCTTGGGTTCCCGTCTCCCATCCATTGCAAGTGCTAAAGCGAAGGTTGCTGGAGCTGGGGCAATTCTGCGTCCAGTTTCTAGTGGTACCCAGGTACCTCTTTTATGCTGTGGCAAACTAAAATCTGTTATATCCATTTAATTTCCTCAGAACGATTTTTTTCGTGGATAATAAATATTCAACTTAAGTAGCCTTTCTATGGTTTTTGCTTCTACTTTCCAGTTTTATTTCAACTAAAGCATTGAGACCAATAACAGTTTTTGCCATGAACAATAATAACTGGTCACTGTTTGGAAATATGTTTTAACTTTATAATGCAAGTCCGAGGAGGTATTTGTGATAAGGTTCAGTTTTATTTATGATGATCATAGGTTGTAATGAAGAGAGCCCAGAGCATGGCTCAGGCAGCATGGACAACACGTCCTGCCCTGCACCTGTCTTCATGGTCATGCATTGGTCCCCGTCATCGAGGAACAAGTGTACGTTCCAACTCAGCAGATGGAAGTTCCCCAACATCTTCCTCCAGGGAAGAAACTTCTGGTCCTCTTTTATCCCCTAAGAATACCACAACTGTCATAGAAACCCTTGAAGTTCCTGTAAGTTCTGGAGGAGCAGAATGGACTACGGAAATTGAATGTTGTACAGATGAGATGGCTAAACATGTTGATGAAGACGCTGATATTGAAGATGGTACACAACTAATGAGCGATGCACATGAAGACCGAATGCATGAAGTTGAATTGTGGCAACAACTTGAACATGAGCTTTATGATAGAACAGATGGCAAGGATGCTGATGTGGCAAAGGAAATAAGGGAAGAAGAAGAAGCGGCCATGGCAGAGGTTGGTGAGAGCCAGCCTGAAAGAACTCCAGAAACAAAGGAAGCGCACAGATTCTTTCCTCCGGGAAAGATCATGCATATTGTTACCCTTCAATTTGATAGTGAAGAGAGTGAACCTGGTTCCCCTTCCAGTAGTGATTCAGAAAATGCACCGGAACCTAGTGAGGCTAAGATTGGGATTTTTCTGACCCCAAGATCGCTCTATAGTAAACTGAGACTTTCTCAAACGATGATTAGTGATCACTTTATGCCCGTCTACAGGAGACAGATCGAAAAACTAATTGAAGAACTGGAGAAAGAAGAAGCTGATGATAACCATTACTGCAATGAAGAGGTAGTGTTATAGTGAATCATCTAGATACTTGAAATGGGTTTTGACATTTTCTTGCATACCTGAAGTAGGAAGTAGTCTTTTTCATATTCTTATTTTGTTAATTTTCTAATTTCATCCTCACAAACCAAGTGCTTTAGAATTTTCAGTCTTTCATTGCCTCGACGGCAGTGGAGAAGTTGGTTGGAGTCACTTGGCTTGTCAATATGAGTCTGATTTATTGCACTTACCAATAGGTTTTTTCTTGGAGGCATTTTTCTCTGGGAAATATGATTCTGACCTGTTCCTAAATTACTGTTTAGAACAAAGTTAAATTTGTTTTTGTTACACATTCTACTCAGTTGGGCTGTACATACTGTTATAACCAATGTTCAATGAAAATGTTTTTATTTCCATTCTCTGTGCCATCAACTCATTTTTTTGTCTTCTTCTTCATGAGATATTACATTACTTACACTAGGCAGTGTTGTGATTAACTAATCTTAAGAATTACAAAATTTTAAATGCATCATCATAAAATTACAGTATTATAAATACATTAATAAATGATATCAACAGACATAAGATGCGATCAAAATCCCACTCATCAGCTGCCACTATCAAGTGCAACTTTGCAAGGACATTTCACGTATTATTTCGACAACTTGACTCAAGTCTTTCATATAATAGACGTACCAAATGGAAAAATAAATGTTAACAATTTCTAAATGGTAGTATATAGTCCACTCATACCTACTTGATGGGTCACAACAGCTTCTCATATCAATTCTTCAACATAGACCCAACGTCGTAATATCTTCTCCATTAATTTATCATTATAACCTTCTACTTTTTCAGAAAGATTTCATGCAACTACTCGTGCAAATTGTCAAGGTTTGAATCTTAATGGACCCTTCTTCTATAAAAATTTCTCTGTTTATACATAAAAAGACGTGAACATAACAGTAGATATTCAATCGGTAAAAAATAATATATAAATTCGAGAGTTTGATCCATGAAAAGAACACGTGCAAAACTTAAAAAAAGTATAAGAATGGTTGGGCTAGAAGATTTGCCCTTAATCATGGACGATTGTCAACGAAGGAGGAGGAGGAGGGAGAACGAGTGTCTTCTACCAAGTTTCATTAATGAGTTGTTTTCAGTCACTTTCAATAAAAACATCAATGAATCGCAAATTTTCAACACCAGCTATCCTTTATGTACATATTTATCATAGTTATATATTATATACATATTTCATTTTTATATCTTTCTTGATATCCTAAGTCCAAGGATATACAGTTAGTTCCAAATTAATAATAATAAAAACAAGTCTTCCATCAAATAATAGAAGCTCAGGTTTATTTCAATTTAAAGAAAATGAAATACAATTATGGAAATAATATTCCATTTTTCTTATTTAAAATTCAAAAAATTTTTTATGATATTTACTATATTTAACTAGTTTGAATTATTCAATAAATAATTTTTATGATCATGAATATACTTGTATGTGATAAGTGTGTGTACAACCTAACAATAAATTTAGATTCAAAATCTCTTTTTCAATACTCAAATATATATATATATATATATATGTAATTAAAGTTCATTATATTAAAAATAGAATTGAAACAATATTCTTAGAATAGGTGATATTTATTTTCTAGACAAAATCAAATTTCATTTATAAGGTGACCCAAACGTGCATTAAATTTTCTATATTTCAATGCTACAAACATTTCTATCAGTCCATTCTAAAAAATAAAAAAATAAAATAAAAACACATTTAGGTCAATCAATATCAAAAAAATAAATGGTTCATTTTTCAAGCTAATTGTTTGATTTTCTCGTTGATATAACACGTCTGGTCTTCTTCCAAATCAAAAATTTTTTTTGTGGTACTATGTATCAGAATTTTGCTGCTTAACCAAGTAATTGAATAAGAAAAATATCCATGATTTAGACAATGTTGATTATAACATGTAACAACCTGCCTGGTTCATATACATAATTATTGTGTATGTGCCCAATAAATGTAAAATTGTATATTTAAAGGGTATTTATTTTTCATTAATGAATATTTGATAGGCACTTCCCAAAAATGTATATAAAAAGCTAATTCAACCCTTGTAAATCTAGATCATCAACATATTTTCCTCACTTCAAATATCTCATAAAAAAATGGAAATTTCTTTTTGTTCGCATAAAAATGAAATCGTTCCAATTAATAATATCGATTCATGATTTTGAATTCTTGAAAAAACAATCTATTTCTGCCGATTCACTGCTTTTGATAATTTAGGTACTGTATTAATGTAAATTTCTTTTTCAAATACTCAAAATAATTGAATTTATTATCTAATAGTAGTATATAATTAAGTATGCATAAATTAGAATCTCAGAAAAAAAAATTTAAAATAGAAATTTCTTCCTTCTCTCGTAGAAAGAATATTGCCTTTCTTCCAAATACTGAAAATTAATTTTTTAGCCAACGTAAGTGTTACGTAAGAACTTATGGTTGACCTGAAAAAGGATTTTATAGTTGGTCATGAGCTTTAAAAAAACCTAAATAAATAATAAAATTGAAGAAAAATAATTTCATATGGTGACAATTTATATTACGTCTTGCAAGATGTTTTTCCAATTTCTGGAATATTACTATATTTATTTTTTAAACTAATTAATAACGGTGAAATTGAACTAGAATTAACAAAAAACAAAGTTCCCAGCTTTTATCTATTAAAGTAATATATAAATATGTATAATAAATCAATTGAACGACGAGGAAATGAAAATTCTAAAAGAATATATAATGGTTGACCTGAAAGGATTATAGTTTGGTCATGGAGCTTTAAAAACCTAAATAAATTAATAAAATTGAAGAAAAATAATTTCATATGGTGACAAATTTATATTACGTCTTGCAAGATGTTTTTCCAATTTCTGGAATTATACTATATTTATTTTTTAAAACTAAATTAATAAAACGGTGAATTGAACTAGAATTTAACAAAAAAGACAAAGTTTCCCAGCTTTTATCTATTAAAAGTAATATATAAATTATGGTTATAATAAATCAATTGAAACGACCGAGGAAATGAAAATTTCTAAAAAAAGAATATATATTATATATATAATATATATGTATATATATATATATATATAATAGTATATATAGGTATTATAGTTTAATAAAAAAATAATTTTAAATCCTACATAAATATATAATAATTAATTAAAAAAAATAATTTAATCCTACATATATATATAATTAATATCAAATATCACGTTACTAAATTAAAAAAAAAAAAAAGAAACAAATAATGCATACAATCATAGATATATAAATAATTTATGACCAATTGATTAAGAATCAAAAAGAAGATAAGCGTTGAACACGCAAGTGATGACTCAAATTTCAATTTAAAATTATAATAATTGCCAGACCATCTCTTTGAATACACTTGCATTTGCATATATACAGATTGTGTTCCTTTCTGGTTTGAACCGAGTCGGTTTTCTTTGACCCCAAACAACAATTGCCTACCAATAAAACCTAACATCAAATGTATTCATACATCTTAGAACAAAAGCACATTGGAACCAAACAAAAAATGTGTCCAAACTTGCATTACAAGATTATATTATATGTACTTCGTTCCAAATCATTGATTTAGGTAGGTATAAATACTTCCTTTTTTAAAAATATATTTTTATAATCACATGCATTGTTGAGTCGGTGTTTTTATATTTAAAAGCGCAGACTTTTTATTATAATTATGAATATAAAAACGATTGAAATAAAAGATTTATATAACGATTAATAATTATACCTCCTGATAATCTCTTTAAATAAATGATTGGTCTAATTTTCAAAATACTATATGTTTTTTTTTTTTTTTTTTTTTTTTTTTTTTTTTTTTTTGTGAAATAAAAAACATGCTTCAACATGGTGGGTGTGAAATGCCAAAATTTGTACTTTTGTGTCATGGGAAATACATTACTAATCTATAAATAAGTGAGACCACACAATAGAATATAGATTGAATCATTATTGAAAGCACTTCTTTTTTTTTTTTTTTTTTTTTTTTTTTGAAAATAAAAAACATGCTTCACATGGGTGGGTGTGAAATGCAAAATTTGTACTTTTGTGTCATGGGATACATTACTATCTATAATAAGTGAGACCACACAATAGAATATAGATTGATCATTATTGAAGGCATTCACTACACCAACACATCATAAATTCATACACATGTAAATGCTCTTATTTTTGTGATGGAAAAACTTTCATAGGAAAGAAAGGAACATGGAAATGGAGTGGATTGTCCTTTCTCTATTCTTTGGCAAGTGAAAGTCTCTATCAAAAATTGATGCCTATATAATAAAGTAAATAATATTTTCAGTCTCATGGCAATGGTTGCGATAAGGATCTGGATCCCTAACTTCGCCTCAAAAGCTAGCTCGTAGGGAAAGAATTGAATCCAATTTTATACACTAGTCAAGGATGTACTCTGCGGGCGATATGGGACGCACCATCCCCACCCCCATAAGACCCGACTGCCTCAGTCGGCGTTCGTCATCTGAACCCCTAAATTCGCCCCAAAAGCTAGCTCATAGGGAAATGACTGAACCCAGCCTTATACATTAACCCAGGATGTACTCTGCAGGCGATGTGGGACGCATATATATATATTGAAGAAGAGTTAATTGATTATGACATGTTTGGCCATCGAACCCATGAAAATGGCATATGATATTAATTTTTGGGGAGGAATCACCAACAAGATATATACTCGTGCTTCAAACTAAATAATGGAGTGGGGGCTCCTCAGGACCAAACCCCTTTGCTTCAATTACACTGCTTTATCCAACTCAATTATTATTTCCCACAATTCTTATTTCTTATTTCATATATATATAAAAAATAAGAATTATGAAAAAAATTAGAATTTCATACGTTATAAATATATTCAAATTATATATATGTTAATAATTATAAATATAAATGTGTCTTCATCCATATAAGTTGCCAATAAATAAAATTTTCAAACTAAAGAAATAAATTTTACTGCTAAAAATTAAGGATGGACTCCCAACCATAAAAGCGAGCATGATTAATGGATGCTCTAACTAGATTATAAACACCAATATTTATTTACTTCATGACCTACTTAATATTAATATCAATGAAATTTATCTATAATTTCATTCCATATGCGAGTATTACATTTAAAATTATAATTTGAAATGCAATTTCCAAATTAAATTGCACCCTAAGCCTTTGATTACATAAATTAAAATGTTTTTTGGAAAACTACTATTTTAGGAAAATAATTTTAGAAATATAAGTTTTTAGGAAAATCATCATATTTTAGAAAAAACAATTTCAGAGAGGAGAGATAATTAAATTTAATTAAAATATAGAAAAGCACAAAAAAATGATAGATTACTTAATATGTTTAATTTAAATATATTTTATTTACCTAATTGGCAAAAGATATCTAAAGTAAATTAAACTATGAAAAAGAACAAAAAACAATAGAATATATTGCATATATCTATTATTTACTTAATCTACAAAAATAACACAAAAAGAAATTTTTATGATAATAAATTAATATGAAATATAAATATGCTTCCTAAAGAAATAAATAATTTCTAGATTAATTAGAAAAATGGTTTTGGGGCAGGTAATTAATTAAGCACAAAACAAACACTTCCCTAAGAAATCTCCTTTTCGTTGGTCAGCCAAAAACGACACTAAAATTTTTTTAACCCTATATAATGGAGTACAAACCTGCACAAGTGCAGAACAGTTTTAACAATAAATCCAAACAAACAACTGCTTAGCGCATGTAAAACCTATAAAGCTGTACCTTACACGTTTATGCTCTGCACGTGGCGCCCATTAATTGGACTGCTATAAGGAAAAAGAAAGCTTCTAAACAGCACATTTTGGTTAGGAAGAGTCTTACGACATGATAAATGCTTAGCTGGCAATCCATGAATCAACGGTTGAAATTAAATGACAGCATCAATTGCCGACGTGGATTGTACTCTTTAAAGGATCAATCATTGGTTCTCTCTCTAACCAATTTCTCTCCCTTTCTCTCTCCACAAGAGTCTCACAAACTATTTGATATATAGCTGAGTGGAGAATTTTGTGGAGCAGAAACAAAAAGCAATCTCTTGGTTTTGTTCATATCAAAAGATTTTGGGTTTCTTTGAAAGTTTTCAAGGAAAGGGTTCTTGAGATTGCAATAGTTCCAGAGAAACAAACCAAAGAAAGAAAAAGAGAGGCTGAAAAATGGTTTTCATGTGTGGAATTCTATCTGCAGAAGAAGAAAAGGTTGAAGATGGAGACTGGGAGAAAGAAAGATAACAATATTTGCAAGCCAAAGTAGCAGAAGTAGATAAAAGAGCTATCTATCTATATATACATATATATACATATATATATACAAGTAAGCCAGAAGTATGATTAAAAGAGCTATCTATCTATATATTACAGGTATATATACAGTATATATATACAACGTCTTATATATATATAGTATTATATATATATAAGTAGAAGCGAACTTCGTCAAACTCAGTTTGTTTTATGATCCTGCTTCTATATATATATATAAGAAACGATTCGTCAACTTCAGTTTGTTTGATCTGCTTCTGCTGGTAATTTCATAAAGATTAGATTTTTATTATTTTTCTTGCTTTCAAACATTTTTTCACATTGATTTCTAACTTTGTTAGATCATTTTCTTTATAAAAAAAAATGATTCAAGAGCTTTTCTTTTCCTACTCTGTTTTTCCATGTTCTGTTCTTTTCTTCTTTTTTACTTTTGTTTCGATTTTCTAAATGGTGTGCTCTTTTTTAAAGAAAATATTTCGGTGTCCAGCTGGTTGACAAATGCTTTCTGCGTAACGCGTAATAATCACGTTATCTTTCCATGTATTTTTGCAAGATTTCAAACATAAAATCCGGTTTTATGTTCAAAAAAAAAAAAAAAAAAAATTAATTAACTTTCGAAAAAAATGAAAGATTCCCAGTAATTGATTTCCAATGTTTGATCAGTATCTTTGCTGCGGTCAATACTTTACAGGGGAAATTTTGGCAAATGCCTGCTACTATAATCAAAGTGGCATCGCAATGGTGGGTATCGAACCCCAGAAACATCAAGCAACTCCTAATTGCAGCAGCAAACCAAACAGAAGTTTGAGTTTGCCAATGCAAATGCTTGTGGCCTAACGAGGAAGTGCACTCAGCCTTTACATAGGAAAGAGTGAGAAGAAGATATCATTGGGAAAATGGAATTTTGTGCGCGTTCATTGTGCAGAAAAAAAAAAAAAAAAAAAAAAAATTAACTTTCGAAAAAAATGAAAGATTCCCGTATTGATTCCAATGTTTGATCAGTATTTTGCTGCGTCATCTTTACAGGGAAATTTGGCAAATGTCTGCTACTATAATCAGTGATCCAATGGTGGTATCAACCCCAGAAACACAAGCAACCCTAATTGCAGCAGCAAACCAAACAGAAGTTGAGTTTGCCAAATGCGAATGCTGTGGCCTAACAGAGGAGTGCACTCCAGCTTACATAGGAAGAGTGAGAGAAAGATATCATGGAAAATGGATTTGTGGGTTATGTGCAGAAGCTGTAAAAGATGAGATTATAAGAGCTACAGAAAGGCTCATCAGCACAGAAGAAGCCATGGCTAGACATATGAACTTCTGCAAGAAATTTGTATCCTCTGGTCCTCCTCCTGACCCAACTGTCCATTTGATATCTGCAATGAGACAGATTCTGAGAAAAAGCTTAGATTCGCCAAGAGCGTTAAGATCCACTCCAACTAGTCCTACCAATAATGGACCAATGCGAGCTCGTGGGCTAACTAGGTCTGAAAGTTGCTTCCCTACTCTGTCTCGTTGATATACAGATAATAAAACTGGCGAATCTTAATAAGAATGGAAAGAAGGGAATACTGGAGAAAATTACAGCTCATTTGGTGCAAATTAAGGGGAAAAAAAAATTGGATTTAGGTGCTCAACGTAGTCTTATTTTAGTTATTAATACAGAACCTTTTATCAGAATATGAAGTCCATTTTTCCTGGAACTTTTATGTTTCAGTTGTATTTATATAATTGTGTTCTTTTAAACTCTTGTTTTTTTTTTTTCTTTTGGTTTATTGTAAGTAATGTTTTCTTAAGAAAAATATTAGATTTCTCAATCTTTAATACTCTTGGTGGTGCAAGAGTTGAGTAGCCTTTGAATTTTTCTTTGGAAAACAAATAGAAATTAAATTCCAGGGAAATCAATTTCAAGGGAGTTTGATAATTAGCCTAGGATTCCCCATAATTCAACAAATTTGGTAGGGATTTGGTGACAAATCACTTACAGAATCCGAAGGTTGAAGATATTGCTTTTGTTAATATAAGTAGATAGATCCACAAAATGGATTTACCTTAGCATAGGATTGTTTAATGGTGGAGACCTATCTTTTGAGTATTCCTCTTAAGTGTGTAGGAGCCATTAATGGCATTTCTTTATTTGATTCTCCTCTAAATGGAAGATATACATTTCTATCACGGACTAAATATTCCATTGCCGTATATGACAGATATGAGTTTAGTTGTTCACTTGTGTAGTTCTATGCCATTCTCTGTGCTTGACTATATATATACACGGCTTGTCGTTAGTGCTTTTTTTTTTTTTTAACTTTTGCTTTTATGGTTTAGATTAGAAGGGTTAAGAAACAGGATTGATAATGGAATGACAAACGACGATAGAAATCTATCACCATGGAATCTGTGAATGTTCTCTTTTTATCTTGCCTGGCCCCGAATGTAAAGAATCTAAATCCTATGAAATGGAATTTTTCCCATTATCTTAATTTCATGTATATCCAAAGATTTCATTCCTGCAACTCCACATAAGAACATTGATACTCCCACTTGAGTTTAGAACTTATTTTAGTTTTCTTGGTCCTACCAAATTGATAAAAGTATATGTATATATATATATATAAAAGAGAAAGAGAAAAAAAAAATTGCCAAGAGTAGATATTTAAATGGCCAGAAAAAGGTCACAACTTACAAGAAGATGAAGGCCAAGATATGTGTCTAAAAAGAATAAGATCTAGATAATTCTTTTTTGTGCATTAATGGTAATATAAAAGGAAATTTGAGTTGATTATTAAAAAATAATTAAGTTGAATAAGGATACTTATGTCTTTTTCCCCCTTAAAGCCAGTAACTTTGGATTAACCTTCACTGATTTTTCAAGATTCATTTTCGGTGTTGGCATGAAAGTCCAATTCTAACAAATAATTCAGCATTTATAGACAAAACATGGGATGGGATTCAGACAAGGTTGAACTGTGCTGTAATGAGGGTTCATTAGATCTCACCAGCAGTGACAACTCAGACTGCAACAGCACTAAAGACAGTGGCTCTGCCTCACATCTATACTGTTAAGTGAATTGCCAGACAGAAGATTCTAGACCATGGGTAGAAGTGCATGGTTGGTAAAATGTCTTACAAATTTCTATACATATGGATCAAGTGGGTCTTGATCTCTGCTTGGATCACACTAGAACATGTCATCTCAACAATGCTTCCACATCCACTTCACCAATTTTCATTATGTGCCTTTTTTCCATTGCATTTTCTTTAGTTTTTTCCTTCTCCTTTTCATTTTTTTCAAGCCTTCTTCTTGTCAATATTATGCTTGAGGCTCAATTAGACAGAGCTAATGAAATCTTTTTCAATAGCAGAAGGTTACTTACATGGAGAAGGTGGTGGTGTAGGAGAGGATATCCTCTCCAGCTAGGATGATTGTGAATTATATTATTTAAATATAAACAAAACAGTTGTCTTTTTCTTTGAATGGTGGTTCCTAGAAATCAAACTACAAGCATCTACACTCTTCCACCAATTATTTGTAACTTTGCTTTATCAACTTCTTTAAATAGTATCTGTTCTACCTATCTATCTGATGTGTATATATATCAATCTTTCTCATTATCAAATTATTGATAACTTGAATCGAAATGGTTCAAAGTGTCAAATGATTCATTCTTTTTTAATTATATATTTATAGTAATCTTTTTCTCAATATGTCATTGTTTAATATTAGTTGATTAGTCCAATGATTAGAACCATGTGGGATTAACATAATCAATTAGACAGAAAATTACCAAGTACAAAGTATATTGTTAGGATGTAAAGATAGAATCCACTTATATGATGACTCACAGAGGCCTAGCGATGTGTTAAGGGTCAATAAGATCATACTTAGAAAGAAAGAAAGAAACAAAGGAATGTGGCTTCTACTTGGAGGCTATTGCTTTATCACCTCACTTTGTAATCATTTGCTCAATTATTTGGGATTTGACTCATGGAGTATGCTATTTATTTTACTCTTTTTATACATGAAATAAAAAGACACAGTTGTAAAAATGTGAAGAGTGAAAGATCTCGAAATCGACTTATTTCCATCGTAAAAATTATCATTAATTTAGTAAATAGTATTTAAAAGGAAGAGTTACCCCTTACGGTCTAATCCAAAATATTATTCTGATCCATTAAATCTTCCATTCCTCTAAAAAAAAAACCGACTTTAACCTTATAAAGATATATTTTTATCTTATGAAAACTTAATTATCTTTATAGGAAATTCTAAGACAGTAAACTTTAAAATAAATAAGAATCAAAATTTCTCGTTTCAAATTTTTAGAGTAATTTTGAATCATTATTATTGAGTGATGAAAATATGGTAATTTCTTTCTAAATCAAGCCTATTTATTTATAAGAGATGTTAATTATTTTCCTTGAAGTCATCACAACAGATGAATATACACGAAACAAGAAAATTAAGCAATAAAATTATATATCCAAGTTGTAGAAAATCAAGGATGAATGTGGATTAATTGTTAAACGACAGTGCAATATTTCCGTTGATCTGGAACAGTAAAGATAGAATGTGGATTAATTGCTAAACGACAGCCAAGCAATTTTATTTCCGTTGATTTGAAAAAATAAAGATGTATATTATTAATAAGGAAATTATTTGCAAGCTAATGTACAAATATGGACAGCAAAAGCAAAGGTAACGCATCGACAGGATATTCTGCATATACTTTGATTAGTTATGCAACTTATACCTAAAATATAAAGAAAAGGTAAGACCAATTATTCATGAGAGTGCCTTTAAAAGACACGCTTAAATTCGACGAACTATTTCTATAAGATTAAAAATTTGATTTGCTGAAAACACAACTTATACGTAAAATAAAAAGAAGAGGTAAGACCAATTATTCATGAGAGTGCCTCAATTTATAAGACATGCTTAAATTCGATGAACTATTTCTATAAGATTAGAAATTCGATTTGTTGTAAACACATCTATAGAGAGTGATAGACAGGAATCCGAAAATGAAATTACTCTCACACGAAAAAAAAAATGTGGATACTTGTGGATTGTTTTTTTTTTAAAAGTAAAACAAATTATTTCGTAAATATAAACAATTATTTGGAGGAGTAATTGAAACATAATCGGAGGATAAGAATATTTGTCCATTTGTAATGGAAATTACATTAAAAGAAATATTAGCCGAAACGTCTCTTGATTAGGTTTCAATTATTGATAAAGGAGTCTTACTTTTTTCGTCTAAAGGAGAACTTGATTTAGGGACACTTTAAGGAATAATGAGATAGTTCTATTTCTTATCTAATAGCATTAGTAGAAAATATGTACTTTAGGACTCTTAACTAATTTACACATCCACAAATCAAAAAATAGCCATATTTAACTTTAATCCAGACTCCTTAAAATAGAGGAAGTCCCTCTCTATCGTGTGTATATTGGTTCTACCAAACCTATTCTCTATATTATGTCTCTTTGTCCTTGTCTCTATGCTTTCAAGTTTACCTAATTTATGTTTTGTTCTATTGGGCTTTCACATTTGTCTATAATTAGTATTAACTACTTCCTAATTACATAGATTAAGGCCACATGATTCAATTTTTTTTTTTTTTTTTGTCTTCTTCTAAGAATCATTCTTTAGCTTGAGTTAATTAACCCAACTAATAATTGCAATCATTAATTCCAACTAGGATAAGGATTAGTATATTGTTGGATGAAACTTATATATCAACCAAAAAATAAGTTAGAAGTAGAAACTTCTTGAAGCTATATTTAATTAATTATATCTATCTTTTCATGCAATAGCAATTTGAGAATGATTTGGCAACTTGCCTTGCAGTAATCTTCCACAAACATTAATTTGTTCTTTTCTTGACTAATTAAGGATTTTATTTCACACTATCAGATACGATTAAGGTTTCACTTGAATCGAAAAATGTGGATAGAAAGAGAGAAATATAGAGCTTTGGTTTCGTTATTACAATATATTCTAATACGCATAGTATGGAAAAAATATGTACCTTTAAGGACTCTACTAATTTTACACAATCACCACAAGATCAAAAAAATAGCCATAATTTAACTTAATACCAGACTCCTTAAAATAGAGGAAGTCCCTCTGCTATCGTGTGTATAGTATGGTTTCCTAGGCCAAACCTATTCTCTAATATATGTCTCTTGCGTGGTCCTTGTGCCTCTATGCTTTCAGTTGTACCTAATTTATGTTTTGTTCTATTGGGCTTTCACATTTGTCTTATATAATGTAGTGATTAAAGACTACTTCTAATTACATAGATTTTAAGGCCAAACATGGATTTCAATTTTTTTTTTTTTTTTTTGTTCTTCTCCTAAAGAATCAAATTCTTTAGCTTGAGTTAAAATTTAACCCAACTAATAATATGCAATCATTAATTCGCAACTAGGAAAGGATTGAGATATTGGTTTGGATGAAAACTTATAGTAATCAACAAAAAATAAGTTAAGAAGTAGGAACTTCTGTTGAAGCTATATTTAACTTAAATTATATCTATCTTTTCATGCAAATAGCAAATTGAAGACATGATTTGGCAACTTGCCTTGCCAGTATCCTTCAACAAACCTATTAATTTGTTCTTTTCTTGACTAATTAAAGGAATTTTATTTTGCAACTGCATCAGAATACGATTTAAGGTTTCAAAACTTTGATGCGAAAAATGTGGAATAAGAAAGAGAGAAATATAGAGCTTTGGTTTCGTTTAAATTAACAATATATATATATAATATTATATAAATATTATTATATATATATAGTATACTTATATAAGTAGTTAATAGGAGCTTTTTGCATTGGCTCTGGGATTGGAAGTCGAGAGTAGAGTCCATATTTTTAATTTTCCCTGTTTGGGCCTAATATGACATTATGAAGTCCAGAATTCCCAAGTATTAACACGCATAAAAACACACATTTAACAATTATAGTAGTATTTGATTTTCAACAAATCTGTCCGATATACTCGCCGAACATATATATAATAGGAGCTTTTGCATTGGGCCTGGATTGGAAGTCGAAGTAGAGTCCATATTTAATTTTCCTGTTGGGCCTAATTGACATTTGAGTCCAGACCAATATTACACGCATAAAACACAATTTCAACAGTTAAGTAGTATTTGATTTTCAACAAATCTCCAATATACTCGCCGACTTAGGCGGTAGATGGAGTGCTATAAATATAAATTTAAGCAGCAGTTTGCAGTCCTCTTTATTTAATTGTCTTTGAGAGGTTCGGTATGGCTTCCATCCAAGAGACAGGAGACGAAATTGAACATGATAGAACCAAGAGCGCCAGCGCTGGTTCTAGTTTTAGTGATTCCGGAACGCTGGTTCTAGTTCCACTGATTCTGAGAGCAGTGATTCCGAGAGCGGTGGTTCTAGTTATAGTGACAGCTAGTCATTACGAGAACGAGGAACAAAGGCGAGACGTCCATGAACACATGCGCCAATATCGTGAGAGCGAAGTCATTATCTTATGAGGTAGAAATGATAAAGATTTCAAGTCGTTATCTTACAAGTCTGACAATAAGTGATAGTGAGAAATTGACGGAATGTGAAGTTGATATTCCAAATTTACTCTCTTTTGAATAAGACGGGAATCGGAATGTCATTACTGGTTTTCATGCTCCATGTCAGTTGAAACTCAAACTTGTGTCATATATGGAACCATTAAGGTTTCATGATTTAGCATCCATTGTCCAGGGAAATAAAATTAAAGATATGATATTATCAATTCTGTTGAAGAGGTATATTTCACATCCCAAACATTCATAAGTTATATCAAATTTGTAAACTTTGAGATAATTCATGTAATGATCTCACTTGTTTTGCATATCAAGAATGACGAAAATTTTGATGCAGAGATTATACCAATAGTAAATTCTCCATGTTTTGCATCGAAATCAAGCCATGCAGACATTGTCAATGGCTTGTTTTGCAGTTGACATCCTAAGGTAGTAGCTTCTGGCATAGACTCTGCAAACAAATTCATAAACGTATGTAAAAAATTTTTGTGTTTGTTTCACTTTATAGATATCAACGTTATTAGCAAGAATCAATATTTTTCAGGGTTGTACTAATAACCAAAAGACTTTTAGCAGTTTCTATGCGGTAATCTAATGGACAGCAATAGGGGTCCAAAATGCTGCAGGAGCAGTGAACGTAAATGTTGGAGGCACTATTTAAAGAATGTGAAGATTGACAGAATTGAAAGGGCTGAAAAAAGTTCTTGACTTTACTGGATCACTCGTGTATATGATGAAGAGTTAGCCGACAAGAGGATTCCCGACGCTGTCTTAGAACAGAAGCATCGTCGATGGAATACACTTCTTGCAAAACTTGGAGGTTATGTGATGTATATTTTGCTTTAGATCGGGAGAATTTTAGCAGAATGTTAATGGTTAATGTTGTAGACAATTTTTCTTTTCATGTTTTAATTTTTATCTTCAACCCTGTGTTCTTGGGCCAAGAAGAGACTTAATTAAGTTCTTGATTCGTTAAAATCAGTACACTAAATGAAGAAACCTAAACAAAAGTTGCAGAAGAAAGAGTTCATCATCTCCAATTTAAGTTGGCAATTGACGAAATAACCCAGCCATGTTCTTTAATAACAATAATAATTATATTTATAAATTATTAATTGAAATTCTTTTCTTTTCCTTATACTTCTTTTGTTTGTTTTATTAATGTTGTTAATTACTTTTTGCCTTATCGTTCTCTTGAATGATATTAAATTATTTTATACTTAATCTGCAAAGTAAATTTATTGATTAATTTTCAATTAGTATAAATTTATTAATTTAAAATAAAATTATTTAAATCATGATTGTAATTTTTTTAACATTTCCTGTTCTTTTTTTTAAGTTGTTGCATATTTTTATAAATTTATTAATTTAAAATAAAATTTATTTAAATAAATGATTGGTAATTTTGTTTAACATTTCTGTTCTTAAATCATGATTGTAATTTTTTTAACATTTCCTGTTCTTTTTTTTAAGTTGTTGCATATTTTTACTTTAAAAATTTATTATACTTTGATTTTAATATTACATCTGTTATTATGATAATAAAGAATAAATATTTAAATTATAATTTAATTGAAAATTTAATCTATCAAATGACTATATTTTCTTTGGCTACTATCAATGATTTTTTTGCTTTTATTTTTAATAATTCATTGAATACTCTCTACTATCAAGAGTTTCTTTACTATTACTATATGAAAACTTTTCACTTTATTATTATTAATGACTGAAGTGCTAATTTTAAATTTTAATTTTTTTTTATTTTGGCATACTATCAAAGAAAAATTTTGAATTTGATTATCAATAATTTATTTATATATGTATTTTTAAATGGTTATTTATTTTTAATTTTATAACTATTCCATTTTCTCAAAAACATCTGTTGTAAAAAATTATTAAAATTTTTCATCAAATACTAGAATGTATAATAATGGTTTACACCTATTTTTATACATGTACTAATTATAACGAGTAACAACATGTCGCAAATTCTTGAATAATAGTGTGTATATATATATATATACACACACATATATATATATATACACATTCATCTCATAAATATCCTAACATATATAAATCGAACCAAAAACCGACAGAACCATTTAAATTGAAAAATCAAACCGCACTACGCATAGACAAATGTGCCTCATTGAATTATTGAAGAAAAATACACAAACACCATGAGGACTTCTCTTTTAAATACTCAAATATATGTGTATATATATATATATAAATATATATGTTTTGCAGTTTGTAGTACATTTGACCTTCATGCATTATTATTATTATTATTATTATTATATATTTATGCAGTTTAGGATAGTATCTTGACCATTCAATGACATAATAATTAATTAATAATTAAATTAATATATTATTATATAATATAATTATCAATTACAATTTGTAGCTAAAGGATAATAGCACTTAATAAATAAGAAGAACATTTAATCTAAGAGAACACAAAGCTCCAAAGGGCAAATACCCTAATCTTCTGTCCATCTGTAAAGCAAATCAGGCTGACTAGATATATCTAAACTAGCCACGAACATTTAGAAATGCTTGTGCTAAGCGGTAATTCATATACCAACATAAATTGATTGTACTAGTACCAAGGGATATAAACAAGAAAGAAATGAGAAAACATTTTGTATAGCCAAGAAAGATTGTAAACACGTTATAAAGATAAGAAAGTGAGAATTTGTTTTAAACCAAAAAGTTGAGCGATCGCAATAATCATAAAGAGCTATCCAAGAATACATTCACATGACTTACACAGACAACCGCACACTGTAGGCACTATTTCAACGCCAAAATGCACACAACCATATAATATATCAGAAACACCATTTGATAGAGAATATATTGACAATTAAACAGAATCCACACAAGTCAACTTCCATTAGATGGAACACTGCAATAAGATATCTAAACATGAGTAATAACATTATCTGAAGCCAAGCACAGGGAAAAAAAAAATCAATAAGATATGCTACAAAAAATAATAATACAATCAATTTACAGAGGGGTATAATGCAATGATAAAATTAGCAATACAAATTGATAACAATTAACATCTACATATCATTGGGATGGAACAACATCACAAAGCAATCCACTTGAAAAGATAATTTCGGGTTCTGCAGAAGGTGGATAGAACATATACTTAAATCCTTGAGGACCAGTTAAACTTTATTTAATGGTATCTTGCAAAAGTCTAGGAACAAATGAGCTTGAGATAATAAATTACAGTAATACAGATTGAAACAAAAACCCAATGAAAAGTAGGACAGAATATAATAGAACAATTATATGACACGCTAACACTAAAACAATTGATAAAATAATTATAAAGAAGGTAAAATTTTATTTTAAAAATTATAGAAGAGAAAAACTACACATAATGTCCAATGAAAAGGCTACCAAAGAAAAAAAATCATGAAAGAATGTTTAACATGAAATATATATATATATATAAATATATATGTTTTGCAGTTTGTAGTACATTTGACCTTCATGCATTATTATTATTATTATTATTATTATTATTATTATTATCATTACATTTGTGCTAAGGTAATGCTTATATAAGAGAACATTTAATCTAGAGCACAAAGCTCCAAGGGCACATCCCTTCTCTCTGTCAACATCTGTAGCAACAAGGCTGCTGATCATATCTACTAGCCGAAATTGATGCCTTGTGCTAGCGGTAATTCATTCCCATAATTGATTGTACTGTCAGGGATTAACCAAGAAGAACAATGAGAACATTTTGTTAGCAGAAGATGGTCAACACGTTATAGCAATGAAGCCAAAGTAGAGAATTTGTTTTACCAAGTTGAGCGTCGCATATACTGCTTCCAAGAATCACTTCCTGCTTCACGACCACCGCCTGTAGCCTTTTCACCGCCAAATGCACCACCTATTTCAGCACCATTTGTAGGTATATTGACATTAACAATACCACAGTCACTTCCTTGTGGCCTGCAATAAGTTTAACTGAGTATAAATTTCTGAAGCCAAGCAACAGGGAAAAAAAAATCAATAGTATGTACAAATATATCTCAATTTCAGGGGGTATTGCATGTAAAATTAGCATCAAATGATACAATTAACTCTACATTCATTGGTGGAAACACTCACCCAATCCACTTGAAGATAATTTCGGGTTTGCGGGTGAAGATAGAACTACTTAATCCTTGAGGCACCGAATTATTTATTTCAATGGCTTCTTGCAAAGTCTGCGCAAATGAGTTGGTATTCAGTAATCAGTTGAAACAAAAACCCAATGAAGTGAACGAAAATATATAAGAACAATTATATGACACCCTCTACATTGATAAATAATTATAGAAGGTAAATTTTATTTTAAAAAATTATAGAAGAGAAAAAACTCACATATGTACCTGAAAAGCTACCAAAGAAAAAAAAAAATCATGAAGATGTTACCTGAAATTTCATAACATAAAGCACAGGAGCAAATAACTCTTCCTTTACAACATCTGTGTTTGGAGAAATCTCAACTATTGTGGGCTGCACAAAATTCCCTTCAGATTTTATAATTGAACCACCAGTTAGAATCTTTCCTCCCTGTCAAAAGATAAAATGTGACAGATCAACAAACAATAAAAGTGATACAAAAAGGTTCAGGAATAAAAAGAAATTCTTTGGGTTCCCAGTGATCACATTTGATTTAATATCATGAAATCTTAACACAGATTAGAAATCAGTTAGTTAGATTTTTTGACTTCATGAAAACCTAACCATTTAAGTCTTTGCAAATCTAAACATTTTTATGCTGTAGAAAGCTTAGATCGCCTGAGAGAGGAAATTGGTGATTGAAATATTGGACATGTGGGTTAAATAACAGGAAAGAAGAGGAAAACTAGCCAGACCTCGGACTTTATCTTCTCGATTCCCTTCTCAAAATTTTTCCTTGATTCTGAAGTGTGCAATGGCCCAAGCAATGTACCTTTTTCCAATGGGTCCCCAACTTTGACTTGATTGTATACATTAACTAGCTGATCAAGTACGCTCTGATATATACTCTCATGAAGAAGCTTCACCACAAGCAACAAAACTTCTGTGAGTAAAAACCTTTGCAGCCATGAGCATATAATTCAAGAAAAATGACTTGTACTACATACCAGCCTACGGCAAGTTGTGCAACGTTGACCAGCTGTCCCAACAGCAGCAAACAGAATGGAACGAACAGCTAGCTTAATGTCTGCATCATCCATTACTATTATAGCATTGTTGCCACTTAATTCAAGCAAACATTTACCATATCTTTGATTCACTGTTTGTTGCACCATTAGGCCCACCTGTTGAGTCACACATAATTTCTTTAAGAAAATATGTATCAGGAGATAAATTATAAAGAATATCCTACTCTTCTACCGAAACATTTTATCTCCTTATATTTATAGAGCGAGTGCAACTATGTGCTATGCAAATACCCAAATAATTTTATATCTAGAGTAAACAAGATGAAATTTCAAACAGTAAAGATTCAAAAATTCAGAAGGATAACTTTAGGAAAAAGGGAGAAAACATTTCTAAAGTAACATTTCATAAATTTAAGTGCAACAAATCATTATTATGTAGCAACTACAGTGCCAATTAGTTAGTAGAAAATACCAGAAAGAATACATATCCCAAATGAATTGCTGAAGTACAGGCATTATTTATGTGATATTTATACCAAATTTCACAGAATAAAAACATATATACAGGCCTTCAAATATCAGGAAGGAAGAGATTAGTATATAAATCAAGTTGCATGACACAAGACAAATATAAAGTAAATACCTTTGAACTCCCCGTGAAAGAAACCAGAGGAATGCGTGTGTCTTTTGATATTGCTTCACCAATGTCAACACCACCACAAAATGATGTGAAAATTGCAGGTGGTAAGTTGTTCCTCTCCAACACACCAGCTACCAGCTTTGTCACTGCTATTGTGACCAAAGGAGTTGTTGGAGCACCTTTCCTACAAAAGGATTTAAAAAAATGTAATTCAGGAAAATACCTTTTAAACTCAAATATTTTTGTCAAATATATTTCTCATGTATTATTATGCATTTTTAGTTTATCGCATGATGGAAAATAATATACTACAATTTTATCCAAAACCTTAAGATATGTCAAAATTTATAATGAAAATTTAGTCTCCCATTCCAGATAGTAAGTACTTACCAAACCACACAATTGCCACAGACCAAGGCAATGCATGCGTTCCATCCTACAAAACAACGTTACACGTAATTCTAGGCATAACAGGAAGAACAATATTTTGAACTTTAATCCAAAGGAAATGGTGAATTTGTTCATATCATTCAAGTTGGTATGCTAAAACCACTCAAGTTGCACTTACCATGACTATCTCTAAGGATTTTATCATTTTAACTTACAACATCCAATCAAGAAACAGAAGAAACCTCACAGAAATGGTTTTGAATAACAAAAAAACAACAGAATATTTGTGAAGAAATATATGGAGTGTTGGTTCAATAACCTCGCAGAGACAAAAAAAAATTGACATGAGATATGCACATACATGCATGCTTGGTATTTCTTTCCTGGGAAAGTGTATAACTACAGGTTTATGTTTCTGCACTTGTAAAAATGAGAGCAATATTTGGTTAAAACCAAATAAATGAACCGACACTGTTTGGTTCTGTTGTCCAGCAAGATCAATTCAATTCTTTTTTCTGAAAAAAAACGGTTAATCTGTTTCAGTTTGGTCTTTTTCGGGTGAAGAAAACTGAATAGAGCGAAATAACCAATTTTTGTTCTTTATTCTAGCACATAGTAGATTAAAATTTGTAAAGTGAGATTATTGATTTGCTGTAGCATTTACCTCATATTTACCTGCATGACACCAAAAACAATTGCTACAAGAATGATTCTGATCTACGACGTGCATACAAGCATTCAACATAATAGTACATCAGAAATGATGTGCAAGAGAATTGTAGTCCAAAATCAGATGCTAAATCAGTTGGCAGAAAGAAATTGAAGCCCACAGAAACAAAAATTGCTCTTGCAGAAACAACATAAAAAGCTCACCAAGAACAGCGCATGGGAAGTTGAAAGCTGTGATGACACCAACTATTCCTAGAGGATTCCATGTCTGCGTACAAAGAATAGGTATTTAAAACAGTAAAACGAACTAATTAAGTAATCCAAATGCAAAAGCACAGACAAGCAGGATACCTCCAACATCACATGATTTGGGCCTGTTAAAAGAACAAACATAATTATTCCTGGAATAATTTTATAGAACTGGAGGAAGGGGGATCTACTCTTAAAAATAGATCTCTAATGCATCTTAGAGAGAGAGAGGAATACTTTGACAAGAAAATTCAAAAAAATGCAGAAAGTAAGACCAAAGTTTAAGCTTACGTTCTGAAGGTATTATTGATCCATTCAGTTGTCGGCTTAACCCAACAGCAAAATCACACATATCAATGATTTCCTGCAATTGTATTTGTGGAGTTATATAAAAAGATAATGGAGACAACATGGTGTTAATATTGCAATTATATCAACATAAAATGAAGATTAGAACAGTTACCTACCATATAATAACATATATCATAAATATTATTAGGTTGATCTTAAAAGAACATGAGGACTCAATGCACAATTTCAAAAGCCCAAAATATTAATAAGATGACATACTTGAACTTCCCCTATGCCTTCAGGAAGTATTTTTCCCATCTCAAGTGAGACAAGACAACCAAGCTGCTGAAGCTTTACTCGCAAAGCATCCCCAATCTGTCTGACAATCTCACCTCTCTTGGGCGCAGGAACCTGCAAAGGTAGAAGAGGAAATTTAAGGGCATTACTAGTTAGTACTCAGTAGCAAGCAGAAGGCATCCAACTAAGAATCATATTCTATCTCACCTGCATCCATGTCTTAGCTGCTTCACTGCAAGCTTGCATACCTTCTTCATAATCTTCAAGGGAACCCTCCACAACCTCAGCTATTACCTGAATTTACAGAGAAGAAAACTCATTAACTTGATGATGCACATTACACACACAAATGAAGGCTGAAAGTTCTCTCCAAAAAAATTTATTTCGTAAGACTAGAAAATACTTCAAAACTATTGCAACTTTGATGGATGATAAATAACAACTATTCTTGCTAAATTTGAAAAAGAAAAAAAAAAAAAAAAGAGATGGAACAGGCATGTGTACACTTTAACTGATGAGCACTTCATAATTATAACAGCAATTAGAATGTAGTATGGATGATAAATAAAAATGTCCATTCTGAGGATAAGCAAACCAATGCAGAGTTTACTGTCTTACCGAGTACTGTTGGCCAAAGTAATTGGAACACAGTATTATAAGAAAACTAACTAACTAAAAGTGGTCTGTAAGTCATACCAACCCAATGAAACCTCCAAATAATCATGAATTAGGATTATCAGCATGCATTCGAATTCATAAATGTAATAATCATCCGTAAACACAAAAATCAAAACATAAATAAATATAAAGAAAAATAAAACCGACCTGGTTATTTGCAGGATTCAAAGTGGTGACCACAGGACCATGTGCTTTCCACGTGCCATTGACATAACAACCCAAATTGTGCGAGCTCAACCCGATCTCGCTCAAAAATTCATATTCTTTCCTCGCAAAACCCATCTCTGCATACAAATGCACAAAACAACTCAAAAAGTCTTCAAAGAGCTATTTCCGCAAGCAACCAAACAATAGAAGGATGTTTCTGCGTCAGTCGATGAATCAAAATCTGCAATAGCAGAAAATAAACTTACAGAGAAGTTTGATTGCTTCGGATTTGTCTCTGAACTGGAAAGGGACTGTAAAGACGGAGAATAAACGTTAAATGCAGATGAAATTTGGTAGTTCGATAAGGGAATGGAGAGAGTTCATATAAGAAGAGAGTAATGATCGGAGGAGCAGAGAGACGTGGAGTTATAAGCGAACAGTTTGGATTAGGATGCGAACTGATTGATTACTACTTGTCGATCTATTTTTATTTTATTTATATCCTTTTTGATGTTCGTGTCAGCATGTGAGGTGGTGCCTAATGCCTACCAATAGTTTTCAGTTACTTTATGTTTGGGATGGTGGAAAATATGGGAAAGAAAAAAAAATTAACTAGGAAAATTATAAGTGAAGATAAATGAAAATAAAGTAGAAAGCAAAGTTTTTTTTTTTTTTTAAATAAAATTTTCCGTTCTAAAACGAAAAAACTACTTTCTATATCTAAATATAAGAAACTTTTTATCTCTAATCAATATAGTGTTAGAAAAAGCTATCACTAACTTTTTAAAATTAATTTTGAAACCTTCTTAAAAGGAACAAATAGAAATAAAATTTATTTTGTATAGAAAAAAATCCATTTATTAGAATTAAATTATTTTCTTATTTGATGCATTATTAAATAAAAATAATTGATAAATTTTTACTTTTTGATTAATTCATTTGTAATCTTATTAGTGTGAATTTATAACTTTTTTTTAAAAAAATGTATTGACTTAATTTAGAATATTAATGCTAGATGGAGTATTTTATTTTTGATAATTAGTGAAATATTTCGCATAAATAATATATTCACTTAAGTAAATGAATAGTAAAATTAGTAGTTTTTAATTTGGTTATTGCTAACGAAAAAAGATATAAAAAAAAAAAAAATTAATCAGGTTTTCTCGGATAGGCCCAAATCCAATGCCGATGAGGCAGTAACGAAGCGGCCAACTAAAACGACAGCTCGAAAAGCGAAGGAAAAATTGAGGAAAAAACTGCAAATTCCCCCAAAAAAAAAAAAGAAAAAAGTCCTCAATTTTTCTACTCGATCAAGCTACCAATCTTCCAGCTCCGTGATCGTTTGCCATAAACCCTATAATTGGCGAAATCCAACTGTAAATCTTCAATTTTTCTATTTTGGTTCATCGCTGAGCTCCATTTCTAGGTAAAGAAATCAACTTTGATTGAAATCTAGGGTTTCATTGCTCATAGATGAAACCCTAGGTTCGTATCACGTGTGAGCTTTAATATCTTTAAGCTTGGTTTTATTTTATTCTTTGTTGATAGTTATAGAGTTGAACGTCAGAAATGAAGGTTTTTGGTAGCTTTTATAGTGCTAAAAACCCCAAATTCAAAGGCGCTTTCAATGGTATCTGTAGTATCATTTTATTCTTTTTATTCTACAATGGAGTAGATATCAATAGAAACTCATATTTTGGTCAAAATTCAAATCCGGGAGCTCTATTTAGCGGTGGGCTGAACCACGTGGCTTTAATTCGTAGGCAAATTATTGAAATTGATGCTAATTCATCCTCTTTAACTAATGGGACTTATGATGAAAATGATATAAGTGTGCAGAATCCAGCTTTATGTCGTGGTTTGGTTGATCACAAGGGTTATGCTAATGAATGTGAGTATTTGAAAGAGAACCCAGATTGTTCTTCTGGTGGGTTCTTTGATTATATCAAGTTTTTGTATTGTGATTGTGGTAAGTTTAGATTGTTGGGGTATGTCATGTTGGGTATTTGGCTTGCTGCTTTGTTTTATTTGTTGGGGAATACTGCAGCCGACTACTTTTGCTGTTCATTGGAGAAGTTGTCCTGTCTTTTGAAATTACCTCCAACTGTGGCTGGTGTTGCCCTCCTTCCACTTGGGAATGGAGCCCCAGATGTGTTTGCAAGTATTGCTGCCTTTGTTGGCAAGGATGCAGGAGATGTGGGCCTTAATAGTGTGTTGGGTGGTGCAGTGTTTGTTACTTGTATTGTTGCTGGCGCTGTGTCATTATGCATAGCAGAGAAGGACATTCAGATTGATAGGAAATGTTTCATTCGGGATATTTGTTTCTTCCTCTTTACCCTAATGTCTTTGTTGATGATTTTAGTTATTGGTAAGGTGAGTGTTGGAGCTGCAATTGCTTTTGTCTTGATTTATGTAGTATATGGTATCTCTGTTGCTGCTGGTGAGATTTTTAGGAAACATGCACGGAGGTTGAAACTGGATGCTATTACCCCATTGATTCCCGTCCGAGGAAATGTATTATATCAAGGAAGTAATGAAGAAGAGGGAAATCTATATGGTTCTCTACTAGACATTGAGACCGATAGTGATGTACCACATCTGCCTCCTTCCTTACCATCATGGATGTGGGCCTCAAATGTGGCAATATATTCCAACCATTCATTGAAACCAAATATGTTGGATGAAGAAAGGCCTCCATGGGGCTGGAGTGATGAGGGCGCGGAAGTCAACAGCTCCTCATTCTCATGTGCTAAATTATTTTCACTGATTGAGATGCCATTGACAGTGCCAAGGCGGTTAACAATTCCTTTGGTTGAAGAAGAAACATGGTCAAAGCCATATGCTGTAGCCAGTGCTATATTGGCTCCTATTCTCCTGGCATTTTTGTGGAACAGTGCATATGATGTGGGTCCTAAAAGTAGAATTGCAGTGTACTTTTTAGGGGTTACAGCTGGTTGCACACTTGGTTTTCTTGCATACCGGTATACCTTAACCCACCATCCACCTCAAAGATTCCTACTTGCATGGGTTTTAGGTGGATTTTTCATGAGTATTGTGTGGTTCTACATGATAGCTAATGAGCTTGTTGCTTTGTTGGTGGCATTTGGCTTGGTTTTGGGGATTAACCCATCAATCCTTGGATTGACTGTATTAGCATGGGGCAACTCAATGGGTGATTTAGTGTCAAATGTTGCTCTGGCAATGAATGGTAGTGACAGTGCGCAAATCGCCTTTTCTGGATGTTATGCAGGTCCCATGTTCAATACACTTGTTGGCTTGGGTATCTCAATGCTCTTAGGAGCCTGCTCGGCAAATGCTGGTGTATATGTTGTTCCACAAGACAGTAGCTTGTTTTACACTATGGGATTTCTCATATCAGGACTAATCTGGGCTCTTGTGGTTTTACCTCAAAATGACATGCGTCCCAGCAAGACATTAGGCGTGGGACTTATAACCTTATATCTGATTTTTCTTTCCATGAGGGCGACTATTGCTATGGGATATGTTGGAAGTTGAGCAATTGGTTTCAGTCACCATTTGATGGATTTGTAAAGCTAGTCTCTCCAAACTGTTGTTCTGCTCTTCCTTTGTAAAATGGTACTCTGACAAATGGCTTTATTGTACTGCTATTTGTAGGATTCTTCTTATTACTTGCTGATAGATTTTGAGCGACCTTTCCCTATAGAGAGGCTTCTACTTGAAGTAATACAACTAGACACTGCGTGATAATTGAAATATTATACCTGATTTTCAGTTTGTTCTTCTTTAAAAAAAAAAAAAAAAAAAAAAAAAAAATTTATCTGATTTCAGTTTGTTCTTTCTTTAAAAAAAAAAAAAAAAAAAAAAAATCTTTTCCTTCATGTGGTTTTGAGGATATGTATAAACAAAGTGCTCAAAAAAAAAAAAAAAAAAAAAAAAAATCTTTTCCTTCATGTGTTTGAGGATATGTATAAACAAAGTGCTCTATACGGCTAATGCCTTGTTGAATCTCGGATAAATTGACCCGAAAAAGGGGAAAAAATGTCATAATGTTTCTTATTTAATGAATTGCGCTAAGCTCTATGTAGATTAGCAACTCAAGCCCATAACGATAGCTACGCGATGGGCCGTTACGGATAGAGAATGTGTAGGCACGGCCCATATTGCTTGCCAACAGAAACTGGCATCTGAAAACTGAAGTCGCCAGATGTGAAATGACTTCGATAGCCCAGGTTTGCTTGTACAGCACTAAGAGCAGCTAACATGCTGATTGCTCATCTCCCGCGATTGACACGTCATCGAATAACTTACAAGCGCAACCATGGCTTGTATACTGTCTTGTCATTTGTCTTTCGCCGTCCTCGAGGAGGAAGTAGTGAACAACTAGTGATATGATATATTTACCTTATTGTCCCTCTTCCATTTCTGAAGTAGCGTTACTATTTAATCCCGTTATTACACTCCCTTATTGTTACACTAAATTAATTTTAAAAATTTAATTATATAATCTCTAATTTTGTTCCTGTTCCCTTCAAAAAAAAAAAATTATTCCCGTCAAAATAATTAAGTGTGTAACAATGATAAAATTGAGTAACTGTAGTTAAATTTATAAGTAAAGATTTTAATTAGTGTATTTGAATATAATCAGAAATTATTTAGTAATCTATTTTTAGGTGCTTTTATGTAATTGCAATTATGAACTTTCTAAATGCAAAATAAGTATATAAGTAAAATATTAATAAATATCATTAAGTTAAAAACTTCCAACGGAAATTGCACTTGCGATTCTTTAAGTACAATGCAATAAAATAATGGATGTTTTTGCTTTTTTTTTTCAATTTTGTCAAATTAATAGTAAGGGCCCGTTTGTTACCAAGTAACAACAAAAATAGAAACCAAATACTTAAGGGGTGAAAAAGTCCAAACAAACCAAACTAAACTAAAATAGAACCATTTGCTGTGTTTGCTAATTGACAGTCACGTGTGGTCTGCAACAATGGCAGCTTCGCACTTTTATAACTTCTGTCAACCCACGTTCCAGTTTTCAAAGAAACACTCCTCTCAGTCCTCTCTTTCAAAACCCCTCTCTCTTTAGTACTTTACTTTATTTAATCCCCTCTCGCTTTCTCTCTCTCTCTATCATTTACACAGAAATACAAGCAATGCCTTTCGCGTACTTGACGACATTAACAACTCTGTCTTCTTCAATGGTTTTCTGTTCATTTCTTGTTGTTCTTTTTCATTATTGATGATGGATGGTCGGTCCAACTCTACTTCTTCCTCTTCTTCTTTGCCGCCGACGACACCAGTGTGTCCAAAGTCGCCGCCTGGAGGTTTGGATTTGTTTGGGAAGAGAAGGCAGTTGGTCAAAGTACAAATCTTGGAAAGAGAGATTGGCTTGCTTCAGGTTTGTTTTAGCTACTTCATTTAAGAGGCATTTTTCAAGTAACAAATGGATATGTAACAAAACTTCAAGAAAGACGGAATCTTTCCATGAAGAATGCTAATTACAATCCCATTCCTTATTTTTATGACCAACCCATTTCAATTTGTCACAAGTATGTGCATAATGGAATTGCAGCTCTATAATATGTAATGCATGACCTGCCTTATGCTTTTTATTTTATGGCTGAAATCTCAGCCATTGAGGAAAAAGAGAAGTTCAAGAAGTTGATTTTGTTTATTTGATTTGTACCGTAGTTAGGAATATTCAACTAAATAGCTTAGAACAACTAATAGTTCAGAGATATTTAATTGTTTGATTTTAGTTATTTAAGTTCCATTAATGACTTTGTGGCCCTTTTTTGTTTTAACCAAAGAAAAAAGACCCCCTTTCTCTTGTCTTCTAAACACATGCCAGACGTGGTAAGATTCTCTTATCTCCGTTAGCAATGTTGACTCTTAGATGCCTTCATATGTCGAATTTGTACAATTCGTGACTCATACATGTGTGTTCCAACACTCTGGTTCAACTACCATTCTTGCTCCCCCTTCCTTCCTCTGGACCTATTCTGTGACGAAAAATATAGCACAAAATTTCCTCATAGATGGTTGAGATAGATGGTGACGTACTTACAGAAGATTTTGTTGTGAGCAGGAAGAGTTAAAAACTATTGAAGGCCTTCAACCTGCTTCAAGAAGCTGCAAAGAGTATGGTTTCTTTATTGCTTTACTTTCTATGGCATTTTGTTGGCTGAAACTTAAACATCAAAATAGCTTATTCCATACATTTCTAAGCGATGCGTTTGTGTGTTCCTTTCTGACGCCTAACATTTAATTGACAGGCTTGAGGACTTCATTGGGGCTAAGCAGGATCCTCTTGTGGCAATGTATCTCTTTTCATTAACTTATTGTTATTGTTAATATGATTTCTCATGCTAAGTTTATTCACTTAATTTGCATATGATCGTGTTCTTAAGCAGAAATGAGAAGGTCCATAAATCTCGTCTTCGCTGCAAGAAGCTCTGCTGGTACTTTAAGTTGTTTTCTTTTTATCTCGAATCTCCTCTTTTCTGTTCTCCAAAATATATTTGTGACTTTTCCTATCATGAAGCGATAGTTTCATATATACATCTATGCATAGAAGAATATTTGTTAAAATCAAAATAAATGCTTCTGGTAAAAAGAGCTCATCACCTTCATTATATGTGACTAGTGTGCTAGAAGTTGATAGGAAAATCTTACAGCCAAGTTGAACAATAGCCATTTTTGCACTTGTATTTGTTCCTTGAAATGAACTGCTTATTTTTTCCAATTTTTATTTACCTTTTCGGCTTTTCCCCCTGATTTGGAGAGTAAAGGCAGATATTTTACTAGTTCATAGTCTTCAAGACCTGGATGTTCTATATAGAGTATCCAAAAGTTTAATTGATGCACTGTTGCTAACTCGGTGAAAATTTGTTTCAGTCTCCCATGGATTTGCTGCTCGAGTGGTTGCGGGCCTCGTTTTGAAAGGCCGAAATGCTGTGCCTGCTGTCCAATCTCATGCCTGAACTTATGCAGTTGCTTGCAGAAAATGAATTGTCAAAATTGTTGCAAATTTACCAGTCTTTCATGTCCACACCTTGGTTGTTGCTGTTTCAATTCATCGCACTGTAATTGTACAAAGGTGAATCTTTGCTGTTGTTGCTCAAAAACCAGTAATAGTTCATGCTGTTGATAATCTTGCATTAACTTGTGCTTTTCTTAAACTTCAACTTTCTTCAGCCTTCTTAGATTAAAAATTCCCAAATAAAAATCCAATTATTCTATTATTGTTATTCCATAAATATCTCATCAACATCAACTGCTTAAGTGGACAGAGCTAGGCCATTAAATCTCCTCACATAAATATCTCATAAATTATCATTGAGCATGTCAGCTTATCATCATTTGTATTCATCCAAACAAGGAACCCAAATCTTACAAATGTGGATTGCGACCATTAATTGATACTCAACATAAAAAATTTTGCAAGAAATTTTAGAATTTCGCTTCAAAAATATAATTTTATGTACTTATTTAATGGCATTAGAATATCATTATAATAGTAGTTTATAATTTCAAATCTAATTAGAGTTTAATATACTATTCCTTCGTCTACTAATAATAATAATAATAATAATAATTCAATTTGATTTTGTCATGAAATTTCAAAAAATCTTTTGAATGAACTTATTTTTTTTAATTCACTGATATTATTCTTTAGTTAAAAAAATATACAGAAATTGATGTAATGAAATTGCTAAATATTATTAATAAAATAATCTTTTAATTCATTAACTTAAGGAGAAAATTAATGTGATTTTGTATTAATTAAAAATAAATAAGAATTACTGTTGGTATTTTTCTCTCACTATTTGTCTATTTCTCCCGACTTGATGTGATCTGTAGATGATATTTTTAGTGAAAAAAACAAGAGGGGGAGAGAGAAATTTGGCTTATTCTGACGTGGACCAATATGGTCCGAGATACCATACCAGTACCGTCCAGCTGGTTTTATCTTAATAAAGATTCTATTTTTCCGACCCTATACGTAACTAAAGAGAGACTCCACTTTCTCAGGAATCAGAGAGAAAATTTCATGGCAATTTCCCCTTTCTGTTTCCTTCTCCTTCTCTTCCTTTCTCTCACCTCTCTAGTCTTCTCTTCACCATCATCAGACCGTCCACAGACCTTCATCGTCCATGTGTTGAAATCACACAAGCCCGTCTTGTTCTCTTCCCACCATGACTGGTACACATCCATAATCCGATCTCTTCCTTCCTCTTCTCCCTCCAGCAAGATCCTCTACACCTATGATCGCGCCATCAATGGCTTCTCTGCCCACCTCACTGCCGGCCAAGCTGATGAACTTCGGCAATATCTCGGCGTCCTCTCCGTCATCCCTGACCAGATTCGCCAGCTCCACACTACCCGTACTCCTCACTTTTTAGGCCTTACTAATGGGTCTGGGCTTTGGCTTAATGGCGCTTACGGTGAAGACGTGATTATCGGTGTTTTGGACACTGGTATATGGCCGGAACATCCGAGTTTTTCGGACTCCGGTTTAACTCCTGTTCCGGCTAATTGGAAAGGTATTTGCGAGATATCGGCCGATTTTCCTGCTTCTTCTTGTAATCGGAAACTAATCGGTGCAAGAGCTTTTTATAAAGGTTTTGTATCATATCACGGAAAACCAATTGATGAATCGAGGGATTCAGCTTCTCCTAGAGATACAGAAGGTCATGGAACCCATACAGCATCAACGGCAGGTGGGTCTTTTGTTCAAAACGCAAGCTTTTACCAATTTGCGCGGGGAGAAGCACGTGGTATGGCTTCAAAGGCAAGAATTGCTGCTTATAAGATTTGTTGGAGCATTGGTTGCTTTGACTCTGATATTCTTGCGGCCATGGATCAAGCCATTGCCGATGGTGTTCATGTTATCTCATTATCTGTTGGTGCTACTGGTTATGCTCCTCAATATGATCATGACTCGATAGCGGTTGGAGCATTTGGTGCAACCCAAAATGGAATTGTAGTTTCTTGCTCTGCAGGAAATTCTGGTCCAGATCCTTTTACAGCTGTTAACATCGCGCCTTGGATTCTTACTGTTGGTGCTTCCACCATTGACAGAGAGTTTCCAGCTGATGTCGTGCTCGGAAACGGGATGACTTTTGGTGGGGTATCACTCTACTCCGGCGAGCCATTAGTAGATTACAAGCTTCCTTTAATATATGCTGGTGATTGTGGAAATAGATATTGTCTTATAGGAGGTATAAGTCCATCAAAAGTTCAAGGGAAAATTGTTGTATGCGATCGCGGAGTAAATGCAAGAGTAGAGAAAGGAGCAGCGGTTAAGCTTGCAGGTGGCCTTGGAATGATATTAGCAAACACAGCAGACAGCGGTGAAGAGTTAATTGCTGACTCTCATCTTCTGCCAGCTACAATGGTAGGTGAAATTGCTGGTAATCAGATTAAACAATATATCAAATTTGGTCAATATCCTACTGCAACAATTGTTTTTGAGGGAACAGTAATTGGGAATTCACCACCAGCACCTAAAGTAGCTGCCTTTTCTAGCCGTGGACCAAACCATTTGACACCAGAGATTCTAAAGCCAGATGTTATAGCTCCTGGGGTCAATATCTTGGCTGGTTGGACTGGAGCTGCTTCTCCAACAGATTTAGACATTGATCCTAGAAGAGTTCAGTTTAACATAATTTCAGGTACTTCAATGTCTTGTCCACATGTTAGTGGAATTGCTGCTTTGCTTCGAAAGGCATATACGGATTGGTCACCTGCTGCTATAAAATCAGCTCTAATAACTACTGCTTATAGCTTGGATAATTCTGGTGAAAACATTCTTGATCTTGCTAGTGGCAAAGAATCAACAGCCTTTGTTCATGGAGCTGGTCATGTGGATCCTAATAGTGCTCTGGATCCTGGACTAGTGTATGACTTGGAAACTCGTGACTTTATCTTATTTCTTTGCACAATTGGGTATGATTCGAAGCGAATTTCAGTTTTTATTGGAGAGCCTGCAAGTTTAAATGTATGTGATCAAAAATTGAGTAGTCCAGGCAATCTCAACTACCCATCATTCTCTGTAGTTTTTGATTCCAGCTCTGATGTAGTTACATATAAGAGAGTGGTGAAGAACGTTGGAAGTTCTGTTAATGCAGTTTATGAGGCCAAGGTGAATGCTCCTGCAAATGTTGATATCAAGCTTTCAACGAGTAAACTTGAGTTCAGTGCAGAGAATAAGAGCTTATCCTATGAGATTACATTCTCTAGTGCTAGCTTGGGTTTGTCTAGTTTTGGCTCACAAAGCTTTGGATCAATTGAGTGGAGTGATGGAACTCACCGAGTTAGGAGTCCTATTGCTGTTAAGTGGCTGGAAGGATCATCAAAGGCTTCCATTTGAGTTCCAAGCGGATAGATTGCATTATTTATTGTCTGAAGATAGAGAGGAATGAGCATGGGATAAAGGAACCTGATTTGGATTGTCTTCTTATTGTGTGGTTCTCTTAGTTTGTGCAATGTATCAGCTTTCTGTACAAAATTAAATTAACTCTGCTTTAGTATTTCTCACTTTGCTGAGATTTCAACGTATTTACTATGGGTCGATATAGGAATAGATCCGTTAACGTATCGGAATGCAATAAAAATTTGTTTCTTGTTAGGTCTTATGCACTTGTTGAATATAAAGCTTCACTTGACGCATTTTTGAATTCAAAGTGCAGACCCCTTGTTTAGACTGATACAGATCAAAGGATAATCAAAGGCAAGCTGCAATTATATGTTTTCCGGAATACAAATGATAAAAATATACATTTTAGGATTAAGGAGGACTCTAGAAGAACAGCCATTCAAAAAAACACCACCTCACAAACCCAACCGCCACCACCCCCATCCTGGTGCCCAAAAATATTCATAGCCACACTCTTGCTACAAGTACTTCTAGAATAACAAAAAGATCCCACCACTGTAGTAGAACTGTATAAGCAACACTCGCCCTCCAGAAATCTGGCAAGCAGATGATTTAATGCATCACAAAGACATACATTAGCTCTTTAGCCTCTCTTGTTTTTGGCCAACGAGTTTCAAAATCGGGCAGACTTGAATAAGAACTGGACAGCCAGCATAAGAAAAGCAAACAGCAGACTTGAATAAGAACTGGACAACCAGCATAAGAAAAACAAACAAGTATATATTCACGATCCCTAACAAGCAGAGACAAACTATTATCACAGTTAATAATCAAGCATTCTGATGGTGTTTTACTTCAGCAATTAGGAGATCACAACTCTGTGCTTATTGCTTAAGCAACCAGAATCTTAGGTCACATTGCATTACAAAATGGTACATTAGGCATAAGCAAACTTGCCTGACTGACCCGAATTCAGGAATAAACATGATGTTGCTCTTATATGCTACTAATAAAGAGAGATTACAATGCTGAAATGGAGACACTGTTTTCAATCACTTCTTCACTTCCAGGAGTCGATTTACACAACTTCAGAATTTGACCCAGTTGTCCCACTTCTGGGCTGTGGATTTTAGTGGCCATACTTTTGGAATTCCCACTCGCTATTATCTGCAAGAATGAGAAACCCATATAAGAGTAAAGGAATTTGTCATGTAATACCAATAGACAATAAACCAATAACTATGTAAACTGAGTTTGCAAAAGCGTACCAAGAGGGCACACTTGGCGGGTTTTGAGCCATCGGCTAATGCAATGGAAGTGGAAAGCATGATTGCACACACCTGTGCAAGCAGAAACCAAGTTTCTTCAGTCATGTAAGTAAATTGAAAAAAAAAAAAAAAGAAGTTAAATAACTAACTCTATAGGATGAAATAAATTAGTTTGCTAGCATTCTGCACACAACAACTTGATTAAGCTTAAATACAACAACTGAATCACAATCTAACCAAAGCCAACAAAATGTCCAGCATAAAATTTGGGATTCCTATGCTAGTGTTAGAGCAGTTGTGTCATTGAGAAGATACTAAGGGGATCACGTGCTAGTAATACAGGCATCCCAAGCATTCATTACGTTTCCATGATGACCAGGTAGATATCAGAATCTTCAGAACCAAAACAGAGAAACAACAAAATAAAAAGAGTATCCCAGCCACTAAATTCTGAAAAAAGGTTCTCAAAATGCAGCAAGTTACAACCACCCTGAGATCTGCCTAATCTATCTCATGTTTTCAACAAGAATTAACTACAAAGGAATCTCTATGATTCCAATAATTATCATGTTTATCCAAGAAATAAAAAACATCATTAGCCAATTTATTGGTCCCAAGCTCCACGAGCAACTTTCCTGGTGGATTAGAAATATGAGGTCCAAAATTCTCTCAAGTTACCCTACTGAAATGGTGACCCCAGTCAGGTCGATCAGAATTTCACCAGGCTCCAACCTCCATCTCTCTCTCTAAAGTACTACTATATAATGAAGCTACCTACCACTTATGAAAGACTGATTGGCAAATTCATATTACACCCAAATTTCCATAGCACTCAATGGATTAACTGCATCCAAGATCAAGATGGTAACCTAAGTCCTCATATTATTTAGGAAGAGAACAGAAACCAAAATGCAAAAGGCAATCAAAACAAAACAATTAAGACGATAACAGCAACTAAGATTCATGAAATGAACAACACACTATATGCTAGAAGCGGACAGACTCCTACAATTCATTGTCAGTATGAAGAAGAAAAGTGCACCGTCCAAATAAGTGTATTCAATTCTCAGTCGACCATGTGTAACATGGGGGTGGCATGAAACCTTGCACATAAGAATATAAGCATGCTAAATGCAAAATGAGTGGCAAACTTACCAGATATCACAATTAGCCACAAAATAAAATATTCGCCAATAGGAAGCAATTCAATAACCCAAAACAAAATCAAATTCTAACATAGCAAGCAACATAAAAAGAAACCCGAATTCAAAGAGCTAGGGTTAGGGTTTAAAGAAGCGATGTCATACCCCAGGCGACAGTGCACTCCTCGCTTGTAGCGCTCGCTTGATTGGCTTGGCACTCAATGCCTGACCACACCAAACAAAAAAAAAAAAAAAAAATTTCTAAACATTAGCCAAGCACATAAAAAGGAAACCCGAATTTCAAGAGCTAGGGTTAGGGTTTTAAAGAAGCGATTTGTCATTACCCCAGGCGACAGTGCACTCCTCGCTTGTAGCGCTCGCTTGATTGGCTTGGCACTTCAATGCCTGACCAACCACCAAACAAAAAAAAAAAAAAAAAGGAAGAAGAAATCAGATGCCCAATTAGTAATAAAAATTGCTGCAAGTACTCTAATTGTTGTATTTATACATATATATAGGCCAAGCTTAAATAGGATTAAAACCACATAAAGTTGAGAAATAAAAAAAAAAAAAAAAAAGAAGAAGAAATCAGATGCCAATTAGTAATAAAATTGCTGCAAGTATCTAATTGTGTATTTATACATATATATAGGCCAAGCTTAAATAGGATAAAAACCACATAAAGTTGAGAAATCGAATGAGAACGTGAAACTCACAGAGATCCATAATATGATTCCTACAAATCGCACAGTTATCCACAACAATATCTGAAAACCATCAAATACCACAAAAGAAATCATATAAGGGAAGCCAAAAACATGAAAATATGAATTTTATATGAGATTAGGACTAGGGTTTTAGAGGCGAAGTAACATACCCCAGGCCCAAAGAGCGACGGCATTCCACTTCTTGATTTCGAATCGTTTGGGTTTCTTGGTGGAGGATGAGGGGCCGGCGTCGCTGGAGCTGGAATCGCCGGCTGGAACCATCGTCACGTCCGTGTCCATCTAGGTAGAGGTGGAGGTTGATTTGGGTTCTTAAGAGAGAAATAAAAGAAGGGAAGTCGGGATGGGATGGGAGAGAATAAGGGTAATAAGTACCCTCTCTGTCATAAAATAATAAAACAATAATACACTAATTTTAAATATTTTAATTAATTATCTAATGTTCTATTTTAATCAATAGGTAAAAAAAATTATTTTGTAAATAATTTTTGCACCATTTTCATTAAAAGAAAATTAATCAATTAATAATAATTATTTCATCTAAATAAAGAAGCAAATAAGAAAATAGAGGAAGATAAGAAACCATTTTATCTAAAACACGTGTAGAGGTGTTCAAGTGCAGCTTTGGTCTGTGTTCAATTGGGCTTCATATTCCATGATTAAGCCCAGACTAACTTATATACATACTACTAAGTTCAAAGGCGGCCCAAAGTTTTTTGATGATCCTGGCCCGGTCTAATCATAACAAAAAAAATGTCAAGAAAACATACGTAATATTAATTTTGTCACAAAACGGCGTCGCTTATTACGATCAGTAATTTGCCCAAAAAAAAAACCGGCCAAGTAGTTTTTGCTACCCGTGTTGTATAACAAACGACGTCTTTTCCAATAAATGGATGCTGCCTCCAGTAATACTGCAAAAACGACAGGTTATTTCCTGTTGGCTGGTTTACACCTTCTAAAAAACGACGACCTGTCATAGTAGATCACCATTCACCACTATTTTTTTCCTAAGATCACCTGTGATAAAACAAAAACTAAATAGGAAACCTGCAATAATTTGAAGAGAAAAACAAATATATATTTGACATTGTCCACTGTCCCCCTGTGAATTGAAATTCAATTGTTTATTAACACGAGTATTTACATATGATTCTATTTTCATTTCTGAATTTATGGCTACTCTATATATATGCCTATTTTTTTTACGGATTGAACTCCTAACTTTATAAAAATCGTCTGCTGAATTCAAGTGTGTCTTACCATTTGAGTTATTTCATGAATAAATAGAAATTGATATTGGTATATATGAGTTTTATTTAGCAAAAATAATAGTTCTAGTAATTATAAATGATGGTAAGTATGCAGTATAGCCTAAAAAGTGTAGATATAATTGAGCATGGTCTCCACAAGTGCTAGCAAAAGTGGTGTGGCAGCACACCACCTCCAGCAAATGCGTAGATAGACATAGATGATGGACGGGCATTCATAACTATAATTACCTCCAAAGAAAACAAAAGGCTTGGCAAATGACACAAGTTTTGACCAACTGGCCTGCCTCGAATTGGCTAAAATATATTAAGTTGGAGGACCAATTTTCTGAATTCTGGACCTTGTATAGATTATCGATCTTCTTGATCAATGTGACAAAATTAAATAAATGGATCTTAATTTTATATAGATAGGGTCATGTGAGGGGGAAATATTAAAAAAAAAAAAAAAAATCATGAAGTTGCTGCCAGACAGTATCATTAAGCTAATATCTCTTAATTAAAGGGTTTAACTGTTTAAGCAGGAGTTATGTTATCGCTGTCTCTTAAACATGTTTTCATCATTGCTTGCGCAAGATATTCCGATCTCCAATTTAAAAAAACTTTATAATAATAATAATAATAAATGGATGACACAGTTCTCTTGTATGGTAAATTTATATGTTTCTAATTTTTCTGCATGTGAGAACCTGTAAAATCTGCCCTAAAATTAAGGTTTTTGAAATCTTTTTTTTCGATCTCTCAAACAAATTTTGCCTGAAAAACCACTCAACATTCATGCCTGTTGTTTGTTACTAAAAGGGGTTAACGTTGAAAGTGTACTGTATTTTCAAATAAATTTTATCATATCAATTTACCGTATTAAAAAATTTGAAATTTAGAATCGTGATTATTGAAATGATTTTATATTAATATATATCATCCTAAGCAAGCCGAAAAAATACTTTATATACCAATCAATCGTATTTTGATTAGTTTTTCTATATGTTGTAAAAAATACGAGGAGTTGGAGTTTGAAATTCCAGCACTTTTTACTATAAAGGTTATTACTAATTAAATAAAAATTATTCGAAGGGGAGGAGTACACCTATTATTATGTAGTGTTATTCTGCTCTATTCACCCTTCCACGTGTAAATAATAATAATAATAATAATGATAAAAAGAGCTTTATATGGGCAGTTCGAAATAGTATCCCCATTCTCTTTGTCTGCCATAACGCTAAAAAGCCCCCGTCCATTCCCATGTGGACCTCATCCAAATTAAATTCTCTAACACAACTATTGCCCAAGTACCCAATTGTGCGTTTAGTCAACTCCACCTCTAAACCATATCTATCCCCTTCTTACCTTTTTTATTTTCTCACATCTTCCTCATACTCTCATGGCTCTAAATGATGAAACCCAAAACCAAAACACCACCCAAACCCACCTCACCGCCGCCTCCCGGTGGCCAATTATTCGTCGGAGAATCTCGCTACGCAGGCGTAAAATGCACACAGTACGCTTAGGGGGGAAAAAGCCTAGACGAGGATTGTTTTTATTAAGAATGCTAAAAAAGATGAGACTGAGGTGGCTAAAACTGCAGTATTCTTGCATGTTAAGGAAGCTGAAGGAGTATTATAGTAATTTGATTAAGGATATCGTTGAAGCTGGAGCTACTATAGAGTCTTATCAACAAAGGCTTGTTATGGAGGCTAGTTTGGCTGTTCCTGTTATGGGTATTTCTTTCTCTGGCTATCCTTCCATGTCTGGATCGGATCGCCCTCGATCCATTTTCCTGTAATCAACTTCTTTTTTTTTTTTTTTTTTCCTTTCTTCTCTTATTATATATATTAATTTTCCTTTTTTTTTTTAAGTTTTTTGAATGAATTATGAAAAGGTGAAAAGAAAACGTCCAAAAAAAAAATTTTTTTTCTTTTAGTTCTCTCATGCTAGTTTCTTTGAAATGAAATAAAAGTTAAATCTCTAACATGAATGAAACTGAAATATTATTGAGAAGAGTGATTTCATCAGGATTGATTTTTTTTTTTCTTTTTTGCAAATAGCTTAATTATTTAATTAGTTGGATTATACTATATGATTTTAGTTAATTAATTTGTTGAATTGAAGCATGAGAAATTCAAATCCAGAGATTAATGGTTTTCATTTTCATATACCCAATTTGATTTGCCAGTTCTCAGTTGCAGGTGCAAGCTTGGTTTGCATGTAACAATTTTTTTGTTTCATTTCAATAATTAAGTTCATAAATCATAATTAATTTATGAGGGAGTTACATTTTCGCGTAACGTTTAATAATTAGGTGAACTGCTGTGGTATTAAGCCCTAAATTTAGTTAATTCTCTTTACTGGCATATTAATTGCTTAAGTAAGTTACTATTAATTAATATTATATGAAATCATTAAATATTTCTTTATGTTATTCTTTAAAATACATAATAATACATTAAACTTACCAATTTATTTATTTATTTACATATATACCCTATCATATAAGACAAGAAAATTAGAGATTGGAATTCTAGTTTATATATATGTATGTATATGATGATGTGTAAAGATTATAGATTTGGATATGTTATAAAAGAAAACAAAAAGAGCATCTTGATGACATTCCATGACGACTAAATAAATAAAATATTACCATTAACCATATACCATACATTATCTTTTTCAAAATGTTTTTTCTTAATCTAGAGATAAGTTTCTTTATGGTGATGACAACATTTCCTAAGCAATACCCATAAAATTGAAGGATGGTCCATCTCAAAAAATATAAATAAAGAAGAGAGAAATTGCGTGAGGTCCACAATATTTAAATGTAAAATGACGATGGAATTATTTTTAATTAATATCTATTAGATTAAAAAAAAAACAAAATTAATACTAAAGTTGCATTTATGCCCCCCCGACTTTATCATCTTGAATCCATCCATTAAATTATTAATAGTTTAGTGATAAATGCATATAAAATTATATAATTTTTTTTCTATTATTAAAAAATTATAATCAAGCTTTTAGATAATTGGATAAAAAAAATACAAGGTTAGTGGGTTGAACCCATGGAGATATAATTGTTGGGCCATCATATTTATGATTTCACTTGTGATGGGCTTCTCTTTTAAAGCCCAAATGTAAGAATTTATAAAATTGTTTTTTTTTTTTGACAAATATTATATTAAAATGAAACCTAAATATTAATTACATGCTTAAAATTATATTAGAAAATAAATTATTATAATTATAATAAGATACTACAAAGTTTAAGATTATTTTTAATTTAATCCTTAAAATTATTATATCTGTTTTTGGATCTCAACTGTAAACACCATTTTCCAGCACATGGTATTCGAGCAATCACCTTTTTCCAGCACATGGTAATGGTACCGATAATGCAGCACCGAGATGAAGTGAAATCGGGGAAAAGAGAAAATTGTTAATCTTGTTTGTAAATCGGAATTAATCAAACATTAAAAACGTGTTTCCATGCAAATTGATTAATAGCACTAATTAATGACATGTAATTATAGTTTTCTTAAAAGTTACTTCCACTGGATCATGATGATTTGATTGTTGGATTTAATTTTCTATTGTGGGCTTAATATGTAAAATTAAATATGTACAGCAGTCTAATTGTAAAGTCAATTTCAAATGTGGTCTTGATTTTGATTTGTTGGATTTAATTTTCTATTGTGGGCTTTAATATGTAAAATTAAATATGTACAGCAGTCTAATTGTAAAGTCAATTTGTAAAGTCAATTTCAAATGTGGTCTTGATTGTGAATAATTGACTATTGAGGTATCAACTGATTATAAATATTAAGTGTAGAGACCATTATATAATTTTTATTTTGTTAAAGGACCGAAATAGAAATTATACTAACGCTACAGGTATATAAAGGTAGTGGTCCCCAGAGGAGTTGAATACGATTCAATTTTACGTTCCTTTCGTATTGCTTCCGCTAATCGATTCTTCAATTCTCTGGAAGGCTGCAAACCTAATTCTACACATCAAGATCGACCAACAACGATGTCAGGTACGCAACCTTTTAACCTTTCTTATTCAATCTATTTTGTTGAATCTTTAGTGGTTTGCACGCATCTAGGTTTATTACTTTGAATATTTTGAGATAATTCTTAACAAGTGGTATCAAGAGCCTTGTGCATAATTGCTAGATTTTTAGATTGATTTTCTAATGTTTTTTTTTTTTTCCTACTGTACGATAGAGGGGTTTTGTTAATAAAAAAAAAACAGTATAGGTTGTGGATTTGATCGAAATCTTTGCTTGAGTATAAACGCCATTGATGGATTTTAGGGGAAATTTATTGACAAAAAGATTGTGTTTTTCATGGTTTGCCGTTTGTTTAACAACCTTCAAAACCCACCTGTTGGTTTAACACCTCAAAACCCACCTGAGAACCTCCATTGTTGCCGGCGAATTAGTTTTGAAATTGCAGTTTAGAGATTTGTGATTTCAACACCGTTTTTTTTTGACTCCCTTGGCTGCCATTCACCGTCCAATGGCTACTGGAGCTTGTTTTCGGTTGGAACTGGTGGTGTTGGCGGCCGAAAGGGGCTGGAACGGCAGGTGGAGAGAGTTGGCGGCGGACCTGGTTTTTTTTTTTTCCTTGTTTTGTCTCTGCTCGTTTTTGTGTCAAGGTTAGGGATGGAAAATTACGGTTAGGTCCATGGAAAATTTCATATTAGTCCCTTAATTTTTTGTAATTTCGTCCCTTAATTTTCTATAATTTCATATTGGTCCCTTAATTTTCTGTAACTTCAGATTAGGTCCCTAAATTTTCTGTAACTTCAGATTAGGTCCCTAAAGTTCCTGTAACTTCAGATTAGGCCCCTAATCTTCTGTTTTTTCGTATTAGGCCCTTAAATTTCTGTTTTCTTTCGTTTAGACCCCAAACTTTATTTATTCAAATTTTAGTCCAATTTTATAACTTAGTCTCTAATTTAGTGACTTAAAGACTAGATTATAATTTTTTTTTATTTTTTAGGGCTAAATAATTTTAGATTATTAAATATTTAGACAATCAATTCCTTTAATTGCAATTGTTTTGCTTTAATTACAATTAAATGAATTAATTTGTCGACTTGAGATTAAATTTTGGAGTGATTAAGTCCCTATTGTGTTTAATATTTGTTAAAATAAATTGATTTGATCAATAAGTCACCATCAATAAGTCACCAAAGTGACCTCTATTCCTTGAATTGATTTATTTTAGAGTATTAGACAGGTGTACTAGAATTCGTTGCGGATAGTTAATCGGCCTAAAGGAAGGTTGCTATTTGGCTGAGTTTTAAACACATGTTTGGCAATAAGTATGTGATAATTGTTGATTATTTTCCATGACAATGATATATCGGCCCAAAGGAAGATTTATTATTTGTCAGGACTATGTGTAACATCCCTTCCCGGTCCACCCATAAACCCGAATAAATCGAGCCGAGACGTTACAAACTGGTTGACTTAATGACCTGATATGCTGAATTCATAATAGCATGCTGATGTTGTTTACATAAATAATGTACTGCATATTTACAAAACATGTTACTAGTTACACAATGGAATGGGCCCAACTGTGTGCCCTGTACATGCCATGAAACAAATAGACAAAAGATATACATCCAAATGAGTAGCTACCCTGAAGACTGAGTCTTCTACAGATGAACTGCAGCAGTTGTAGGCGGACTCTCTATGGACCAGTCTCAAAACCTGCGAGTTAAACAGGTAACTCGCTGAGCAAATAAAGCTCAGTGGATATCTCAACATAAAAAGGAACACTCATATATAGAAATAAGCATGTAAACACATATAGCACATATAAGCACACATATCGCGATACTTTCAGTTTACCTTGATGGTCTTTATTTCTATTTAGTATACTGTATGATTCATGCAATGATAAAGCAAGATATCTGTATAGCTCCATAAGGTTATAGTGAAACCGAAGTGATAAGAAAAACTGAAAATTAACCTCCATGAAGTTTGCTGGCAATGGTGGTGCTCGGGAGCATATTCTTAGCATGTCTCAGATTGCAAAGAGACTGAAGGTGCTGGGTATGGCTTTACCAGATGACCTTTTAGTCCATTTGGTTATGAATTCTCTTCCTTCTCAGTATGGACAAATTAGGACTTCCTATAATTGTCAGCCGAATAAATGGACTCTTAACGAGCTCATTTCTCATTGTGTTGATGAGGAGGAGGAAAAGATGAATTCTAACAAAAGAGAGAGTGCTCATTTTGTTTCTTCAGCTGAGAAGGGCAAGAACAAGAAAAGAAAGAGGCCTTCTGCAAAGACTGTTGAAAAGGCTATTGAGAAACCTGCTGTTGCTACTGCTGTAGATCCAGTACAAAAGAAGCCTTATGTGCCAAAATGCTTCTTTTGTGGAAAGACGGATCACTTGAGAAAGGACTGTCCTAAATTTGCTAATTGGCTTGCAAAGAGGGGTAAGTACCTTGTGCAAGTACCTTGTTTTAGTCTGTTATGAAGTTAATTTAACTTCAGCTCCTAAAAACACTTATTGGATGGATTCTGGTGCTACCGCTCATATAAGTGTTTCATTGCAGGGCTGCCTTAACTACAGAAAGCCAACTGACGGTGAAAGACAACTATAGAAAGCCAACTGACGGTGAAAGATACGTCTATGTGGGAAATGGCGATCCGGTTGAAGTAGAGGAAGTACTGGCTATTTTTTGGATCTTATAGATACTTTTGTTATTCCCTCTTTTAGAAGGAATTTGATTTCTGTTTCCTGTTTGGACAAATCTGGTTTTCATTGTTCTTTTGGAGACAGTGTATTCACTTTATCTATGAATTCAAAAGTTTTGAGTACTGGTTGCTTGA